CAAATGATTCAACCAGCTCAAATGACTGAATTGCCCCAAATGATCCAACCAGCTCAAATGCCACAATTGCCTCAAATGATCCAACCAGTTCCAGTGACTGAATTGCCTCAAATGACCCAACCAGCTCAAATGACTGAATTGCCTCAAATGACTCAACCAGCTCAAATTACTGAATTGCCTCAAATGATCCAGCCAGCTCAAATGACCGAATTGCCTCAAATGACCCAACTAGCTCAAATGCCACAATTGCCTCAAATGACCCAATTGGCTCAAATGACTGAATCGCCTCAAGTGACTCAACCAGCTCAAATGACTACCGGGGTAAATTGCCTTAAATGACCCAAGCAGCTCAAATGACTGAATTGCCTCAAATGACTTAACCAGCTAAAATGACTGAATTGCCTCAAATGATCCAAGCAGCTCAAATGACTGAATTGCCCCAAATGATCCAACCAGCTCAAATGCCACAATTGCCTCAAATGATCCAACCAGCTCCAGTGACTGAATTGCCTCAAATGACCCAACCAGCTCAAATGACTGAATTGCCTCAAATGACTCAACCAGCTCAAATGTCTGAATTGCCTCAAATGATCCAGCCAGCTCAAATGACCGAATTGCCTCAAATGATCCAACTAGCTCAAATGCCACAATTGCCTCAAATGACCCAATTGGCTCAAATGACTGAATCGCCCCAAGTGACTCAACCAGCTCAAATGACTAAATTGCCTTAAATGACTGAATTGCCTCAAATGACTCTACCAGCTAAAATGACCGAATTGCCTCAAATGATCCAAGCAGCTCAAATGACTGAATTGCCCCAAATGATCCAACCAGCTCAAATACCACAATTGCCTCAAATGTCCCAACTGGCTCAAATGACTGAATTGCCTCAAATGACCCAACCAGCCCAAATGTCTGAATTGCCTCAAATGACCCAAGCAGCTCAAATGACTGAATTGCCTTAAACTACCCAACCAGCTCAAATGATTGAATTGCCTCAAATGACCCAATCAGTCAATTATAGCCAACTGCCTTAAATGAACTAACTGGTTCAGATGACTGAATTGCCTCAAAGGACCAAATCAGTTCTAGTGATGCAACTGCCTTAAAAAGACCCAGCTAGTTTAAAAGACTGAATTGCCTCAAATGACTCAACCAGTTCTAGTGACCCAACTGCCTCTAATGACCCAATCAGTCAATTAAAGCCAACTGCCTCAAATGATCCAACTGGCCCAAATGACAGAATTGCCTCAAAGGACCAAATTGGTTCCAGTGACCTAACTGTTTCAGATGACCCAATAATTTCAAATAACATTTACTTTCTGAAACAGCAGAACCTAACATGTGGCCATCAGCGAAAATGACCCAATCAGTGCAAGTGATCCAACTGCCTAAAATGATCCAATCCACTCAAATGACTCAATAAGCTTAATTAAACTACAAAAAGCTACAGGAAAACAATGCAAGCTGTTCACAAGTGTTTCCATAGAGCAGGAAAACAAGAGACGAACAACACATCTTCATTTCTTAATCACCGTCGTTAGTAATTCTGTGAGAACAGTATCGTTCGCGTACTCGGGAAAAGCAGAGAAAAACTTTCGGTTGAACAAGCCATACATTAGCGTTTCCATGGAGCAGGAAAAAAATCGACAAAGATCATGTTTTCATGCTATTAGTAATTATCTGGGAATACGCTTGGAAAATTCAGCAATCGCGCGCTCGGAAAAACTATAGAAAAAAGTTCTGGAAAACAAGCTATCAGTGGCGTTTTCGTGGAGTAGGAAAACAATCGACGAACTTCTTGTTTTTTTGGCATTTACAGTTTGCAATTCTGCAGGAAAACGCTCGACAAATGCAACGTTCGCGCGCTTGGGAAAATTATAGAGTAACGTTCAGGAAAACAAGCTAGACACTAGCGTTTTCGTGGAGCAGGAAAACAATCGACAAACATCATGTTTTCATGGCATTTACCATTGGTAATTCTGCGAGGAAAACGCTCGGAAAATGCAGCGATCGCGCGCTCGGGAAAACTTGAGTAAAATGTTCAGGAAAACAAGCTATACAATAGCGTTTTGATGGAGCAGTAAAAAATGGACAAACATCATGTTTTCATGGCATTCACCGTTAGTTATTCTGTGGGAAAACGCTTGGAAAATGCCGCGTTCGCGCGCACGGGAAAACTATAGAAAAACGTTCAGGTGAACAGGCTATTCATTGGTATTTTCCTGGTGCTGGATAACTTGCGATGAACTTCGTGTTTTTCCTGAGTTTTACTGAGGGTGAACAATTAATTTGCCGCACGTTTTCCGATATCGGAAAACGTCAGTTTAATGTCGAATTTCTCAGTCATTCACCATTTCGGAAAATTAACAGTGAACGCATGTTTTTTTGCCGTGTAAGATACGCAAAGTCAGTTCATGTTTAGAGTAACTTCTCACCTGGTTTTGAATTGTGCAAGGCTCAAATCTGTTGTTCAGAAGGGGATTTTTCCCTTTGCTGGGGGTGCATCTAACCTTTTAAGTCGTGGCGGTGCACAATATCTCATGTTTCACTCGCATTTCCTATTCTTCATTGGATCCTAGAAGATACGCGCGTACAAAGGAGCAGAATTACCTTGCTGATATTTGTTCAAGCATCCCAGCCGTTTGTTTGCACCTTCAAATTTATCAAGATATTCCTCACTTAAACTTGAGTGTTAAGGTATGTTAGGTAGCTTTTTAATTCCTATGCAAACCAGTGAATTAATACAACTTAAACCGAAGTGTATTTAACCTACTCTTGTTCTCAGACGGAAAAAGTCGAATACTACCGTGTAAGGCGCATTCCATTTTGCCGTATTCATCCTTGAGTCATCCTTGAAATCATGGCGACAGCAATGCTTCATAGACGCAAACGAAACAGCACGATTCAGACTTTCGTCCAAATCATCCCGTCATTGCATTTGGTTTATTTGAAACACGCTCTAATTGGGTCAAGAATAATTTCCATCATATTATAGTCTCTTCGGAACATTTTTGTAGGAATAAATATCTTTCATGAGGTGCAAGAAAACACGTAGAGGCTTCTACTTACGGTAAGATGGAGCGAGAAATGAATTTAGTAAGCAGTACATGGCGATTGCTTGCTCGCAAAGAATTCAAATTACGAGACACACGATTTGAGATGAGCGGCAGAGTTCGCTTATTATGACTTCATGTCATCGTCATCCTAATCGAGTAACCAGCTGAAGACGAAAGTAACATCCAAAGTTGTTTATTTGAGAAACAGAAACTATGCGCTTTCGTGGTGTCAATACACTATTTGAAACCAAATGCACAGAGGACTCGATCTTTTGGATATGAATCTTCAATCCTCTCCACATATTGAACACAAAAATGCAGTGACTGTAGCGAATGAACAGAATTTGAAGAAGCAAGGCTCAGTTACCACAAACTAAAATTTGTGGTAGTTTCTTGTTTACTTAGTAACAAACATCAGTTTCGATTTCATTTTGGAATGAAGATTTGTTAATAGTTTTAACTCATTCGTTACAAATGAGCGCCACCTTAAATTGCAGTATGTCGATTGATTTTACAACGAATAATCATATCGGAGTTGGCATCTAATTGATTTGGAAAGCAGGAGGGTTTTTACAAATCCATTTCGTTAAGCTTTGTACTTTTAGAGATAACTGAACATACAAGTTCAATGTCGGTCACTCAAAATGCAATGGTATTGAAATTATTTATATTTCGAAACCTCTTCATTTGTTTGTGTTTCGTTACTGCAAAGTATGTTGAATGTGACTTATTTTCATGATTGAGGTCATGATGTGCTCACGACATGTGCCTTCAAGCGTGAACTAAATTAGCCAATCACGCTATTTTACTTCATATCACTTGAGTAAACACGGCAGCAATTAAAGGTCTTAAAAGCGTGATAATATAATCAGGAGCTCTTCTGTTCGATAGTAAATGTTGATACGAGGAATTGTTGCCGATCTGCTCTCACACAGTACGGTGTTGTAGTACTGTATTTGCTCGAATCGGTAGCTTCGAATTCTCCAGAGCTGCTACGCCTGTTGAAAGTTAAGACTCCGGAAAGGTATACAATTCTTTGGAGTGTTTCCAGAACAAGAGCATGTCTTCGGTGGCTAAAAAACACACACTCTTAACCGTCACAAAGGCGAAAAATGGGAATGAAAGGGAGCACCAAGAGGGTAAATGATAATAAGAGAGGGAAATCTTGATGAAGTAAAAGCTAACTTTCCCCCCCAAGCAAAAAGTATCGCGCATTTCCTCCAGAGGGCTTTGTTTGTCACGCTATACCGTGACAACTCTGACATAAACTGTCTTTGGTTTTGTTTTGTTTTGTTCTCGTCATATTCTAATAATATTATTCACTAAAGCAGCCTCCATATGGGCATTACACGCTTAAAAGCAGTGTTTTGTATTTAAAGTTGAAAACAATTAAAATCATTGTCAAGCTGGATCACTTGGTCAAACAATAAACGCGCTATCAGGCAACAGAAGAATTTCCCCACAATAAAATATTTAATAGATCCATATCTATTTGTCATGAATTGATTACGTCGTTTGCTTCGTGTGACGATTTTATAGGGGTAAATGGACCTTAAGATGTGTGAACCTGCACCTGTCTCGTTTTTTTAACTTCATTTACACCATATTGGAAAAAATCTCTCCATTATTTGCAGTCTGAGTGTGATATGAGTAACTTGGCCTTTAAAGTTTGATACAATCATGATTCCATCCTCTTTGTGCTACTAAATGTGGGGCTGCAACTGTGGAATAATGATAACTTTATCATTCTGATAACTTTTCTCAAGTAGTTACTTATCCCTCAATTTTTTTTTTTTTCCAAATGATGGAAACTTTCTGCCTACATTTCGTTTCCTTTCAAACCCACAGCACCTCTGTTACTGATATGCTTTTTTTTAAAATTATGTATACTTTACAGATCATATCCAGAGTTCAGTTCATTGAGCAGAAAAATTCGTTACTATGGATGTCCTCGGTAATAACAAAAGATGGCTTGTGACTCTTGTTACCTCAAATAAGGTCGTAGCTCCAGTTTTACAGGATATCGTGAATCAAGGAATGGACAAGCTGTATGCTTTGCTAGATAATCACCTTAATGGCTTACCGACACCTTGTAGTCTACAAACACTGAACTATGCAGAGATATGCCATCTGGCAGCCACGCCAAGTCCTGCTTCTTCGCTTAAAGGCTTAAATTTTGGAAATATTAACAACAATTCTAGTGTTCACGGAAAGAACAAAAAGACCTACAACTACAATGTAAACAGCTCAGTTGATCTTGCCAAGCTTTATCTCCCAGACTACCTCGCAGTATTCTCGGCATTATTCGACAAATCTATGGATTTGAGTGCCGCTCTTAGACTACTGGGATGTAGGAAGTATCCCATACAAATATTCGTTTCTTCTGATCCTTTGCACGATATTCAGCCGTTGGCGGATGATGTCAGAGAGAATGTCAGGAATCGGGGAAGTCATTTTAAAGAGAGTGACTGGACCCAAATCTTCTTTGACCAGTGCTTTGACAAATTAGAGGCTCTGCTGCAATATCTTCCACTGCTTCCCGACAAAAAAAAGGAGCTTTTGGATGAACTTTCTGCATGGAAAACAGAAGGTACTAGAAATGTCTCAAGCTGTGTAATGTAACTATTCAAGGAATAGCTTTAGTTTAATATAGCAATTCTCTAGGTTGGATGTTCACTCAAGACCAATGTAAATACGCTTAAAGAGAGCAAAGACGCGGCTTTCCAGAGTTCACAGGACATTCTTTCCGGAAATTTGAAAACATATGTTTTTGGCTGCATTTTCAGTATTTTACCTTTAAACGAAGCTTCGAAAACATTAACCACTTAGGAGCCAAACTCTGCGCAAACTCCTAACCCTGTTCGTGCTCATGACGCTTGACTGCTTTTCTTTCACAGGAATTAAGCCCACTATATAATCTGTGGCAGGGCATATTCCTGACTTTCATTCATGGCCCTTTGAATATGTTTGTGATCGTTTGTCTTTTATTATTCTCATCAAATTAAATTAGACTGCCTGCCATTGCCATGATGTTTTCATTCCCTTGGCAACTCACGCGAAACTCCGCTTCAGGGATTTTCCCTGTGCCAACCTGGTCGTTGCAATCAAGTAAGCGGAACAACATAATCAGAGGAGCCATCTTCAGTAATATGAAGTAGAAACTGTCTTACTTATTACTCAAATGCCGTATCTACAGTGACAAATTATTTCCTCTCACCAGTTACTTAATTTAATCTCTGCCTTACCATGCAGTCATCATTGTTATCATCATCGACATCAGAGTTGACATTATAATTATTATTATTATCATTATCATCATTACCATCATTTAATGTACATTCATCACTTTTAGGGTTCAAGCGGATTGTTGACAATGACGTCAAAGATCTACTGGAAAAATTCCAGAACGTCAAACTTGCTTCAATTAATGACAAACTGGACGACATGCCAACTAGGGAGGAGAACGAAAGAGTGATAGAAAAGCTGTTTTTCTTTCACACCAGTATGATGGATAGATTAGATAGAATGGAATCCTTACTTCAATCCTTACTAGACAGTAAGTCTAAAAACAACGACTTCTTGCAATCTGTAAAATCCCAGTGAAAAATAATGTTGTAAGAGAGGACTCTTCCGGCTGCTAACAATTTCACCCACAGAAGCGCGTACATTTTCCACTAATACTCGCGAGCGAATCGGGGACCACATGGTTAGATACAGAGAGTTAAATTGTTATTGTTGTGTTGCAAAAGTGTGCAGTTTTGCCCATTGGACACGCCAGTACTCTCGACACGTAAATAATTGAGAGTCTTAATTGTTCTGTAATTTAAGAGGTTGCTAACATAATTTTTATATTGCACCTTTAAAAGCGAACAGAACAATACAAGTAAAGAAAGTCACCGACCATACTTCGGTTATTTAAAAAACCACACGTCTTTTTCATTAACCCGGTTGCATTTTGTTACATTATGCAGGCATTAGTGTCAGTGCTCTAAATCAAGAAGGTAGCAAGAGAGTGCACTCTACAGAATCAAGCGTCTTATCTACAGACGCCACTTTCAAAGAAACCCGCCAAATGAGGGAAAAGGTAACATAATATACACTGGGTAAAATGCCAAATTTTAGTGTCATTTAAGTAAAATTAAACAACTATTAAACCCAAAGACAAATTTAAGCCATGTTTACTAAACTTAAACATGAATTAAAAATGTACCTTTGTTTAGGCGAGGTTTAAGCATTCTTAAATGCAAATTAAATCGACATTGAGATTTAAGCTATGTTTAAGTCATTTTAACCGTACTTAAATCCTTTGAAGGATTTAGGGTTACTTTAAATCACCTTAAATCTAACGTTAAACCTATTGGGGAGATTTAAGGTCTAGTTAAAGGAGCCTTAAATACAACATTAAATTTATCATAATATTTATGCCGTGTTTAAGGACCTTAAAAACACATCAAATCTTTTGGTGTACACCAAGCCTACTTTATTGACATAATCTCTCACCAGAACCAGAAACCATAAGAGAGCAGCCTCCAGCAACCTTCAATGAATTAATCATAGATTAATATTAATATTATGTATTTAGTAAAGCCACAATATTTCACGCTACTGATTTTATTGCTTTTTCAATTCTTTGGGTAATGAAACTGTGTTTGTTGATTGTGAACAAGAGACTTGATTTCTTGCGTTGGAAACTGTTTCACTAAAGGAAGGTGGTTGCACAGGGAATTTGACTAACCTGAGCAAATAAGGTACATTTCTTCAAAACCATATAATTTTAGTATATACCAAACCAGTGGACAGTGTTTTTTAGAATTAAAACTTTACCACCAAGAGCTAAATCTCTCTCTGACCAGCTTCTTCTAAGGGACTGTTAGTTATCTGTTTTGAGGCCAGTGTTTAGAGTCTGGGGCCAGTGTAAAATATTCAAATTGGGAGTAGGAGGTGCTAAACTTTTAGAATCTGTTATTTCAACTACTATGTTGCTGATAGATTAATACATGCAAATTTTTGTTTTGAGAAATCTTTTCCCTCCAAGAACCAGAAATCCTAATGTCAGTTTGAAGGTGTAAAAAGCATGTAGCTTCTGCACTGTACCAGCAGTGATTAGAAAATTGTCCATCTTGTATAACTGCTTTACTTGAATTATTATTTCCTTTTTTGGCTGAATAATAATAATAATATTATTATAACTGCCTCTGGCTATTGTTTAAAACAAAAATAATATTCTCATTTTTATTACAGTCCACAGTCAGAGAGAAACCAGAGTATTTTTACAAAAAAGAAAGAAGTACTGAAAAAGAGCATGGAGGAGAAAGCTGCCTATGGACTGACTTACAAATGGAAGGTATTACATTACAGGAATCAAGTTTTAATGTTGTGTGCAAGTTAGAACAAGAAGCATTTACCTTGTGCAAAATCAAACAAATTTTCTGAAATATGTTGGACAGAAAACTTAACAACTGAAAGGGAAAACACAATATTACCAGCATTAATTCTTTTAATTAATATATATCCATAAGCTGATGTTACATATACACATAGACTTGTCATTGTATTGTAATTTTAGGATATCATGCAGCGATAATAATTATTGTTTTTAACTCAACAGCTCAGTTTTATCGGTACTTCAAAACAACTAAAAAGAAAGAGAGCAGAGGATAAGAAAAGGGAAAAATGAAGAGCATAAAGAAAAGTGCAAAAGGAGCAGGCGTTTGCTAAATGTAAGGACTAGCTAAGTTGTCTTGCTTTTGCCATGCTAAACCTATATTCAAGAATAAATTTTCAAGATAGTGTGGCTGAAGCATGGCTTCTGAATCAAACGTTTCAATTCAGTTTGACAACAAGTGTTGTTTAATACTGTGGCAAATTTGTGCATGGCATTGTACCAACATAATAATAGTCTGAAAACACAATACAATGTGGGATAATATACAGCAACAAAAAATGAAACAATGCCATGTACAAATTTGTCATACACTGTAAGTTGGATTGGTATGTTTACAACTGGTGTACAAATACACATTAATTAGGAAAGTCAACCTTGCTGGTAGTTAACCAAATAATATGGGTTTGCTTTAATTTAGTACTGTTTTGTAGCATAATTTTTTTTCTGGGAGTTCTATTTATTGCTGATTGTTATTTTCATATTTTATATCTTTTGTGGGATATCATTTTGAGTTAGAAAAGTATTTCTATTTGACAATAAATTATATGTTTCATAGATATAATTTGGTCTGGTTATTAACTAAATAATGACTGAATTGTTGCTTTTTGTTCCATTAGAAACTGGAAAGGCGTCAGTCATCCTATGAGATGCTACAAGCTTCTATGACACCAAAAAAAAAAACAGTATTATAGTGAAATCCTTTACATTGATTATATGAGTAGCGAAGAATCAGATTATGAGGAGCAAGAAGATTTCATTACTGGTGAAAAAGAAAAGAAACTGGCAAGATATGTAACCAAGAAGCTATCATGGGAAAGAACAAGCTTGACAAATGCAAAAGCCAGGCTAGACAGAACCTACAAAAATAATTTGACCCCCATGCCAGGGCAATGGCTAAGACAAGGAGTGTTGGTGGCATGTCGGAGAGGCCTGCACCTGCTGGCCCACTTTGGGCTGTCAGGCAGATAAACAAAGAGTCGTGATTGAAAAAATACTTAACACTTTTTCTACTTTTTATTCATTTATTTATCATGTATTTAATGGCAAACTGAAGTAATTGTTTTGTTAGAACAAATTATTGTCATCTAGATCACAGGGATAGTTTCTTCCAAGTATTGTTAAATTTATTGACTTATGATGGGGAAAATTTGTTCCTGTCAAGCATAAATTAGCTAGGTATGTGTGACATTTTAACCCTTTAACTCCCAAGATCTGATTGGTAACTATCCTCTCTAGCTGCTACATATTTCCCTGTAACTTAGTTTTGAGAATCTGGTGTGATATCAAGACAAAGACCTATACCTGATAAGTTTGAGAATTCTCATTATCTCTTTGCTGGATAAGTTCAAGATATTTTAGGGAGAAGTTACTTGTTAATCACTCCTGGGAGTTAAAGGGTTAATTACAAATAGGCAGTAGCTTTAAGAATGTGTACCAGTGAATTTAAAATAAAAGAAACTTGAAACATATATTGTTTAGTGTGATATGTGACCTGGTGGGTGGCAGTTTAGTAATGAAACAACAAAACAATAATATTTCACTGATTTCACAAATTTGATTCAAAACTAAAATAAGCAAAAAATTTTGAGCAGATTAAGTTGCATTAAATGGTACTTTGACAACATTAAATGTTTGAGCTCTGTTTACTTCAATTAAACAGTACTTAAACATACAGGAATGTTTTGGACACATTTAATGTGCACTTAAACCTGCATTAAGTTTTAGCCTTAAGATAGTATAAGCCAGGTTTAAGTCCAACTTAAATCTAGGTATAAGTGACTTAAACATCAACTTAAACTTATTAAACCTGAGTTTAAGACAGGATTAATCCATGTTTAATGACACCTAAATATATCTTTTCTCCATGTGATAATAACAGATAGTTTCCAGTCAAAGGCCCAGACATTAGACAAAAACATAATTTATTTAGTGGAGTCGGGTTTGCCAAGCTTGGAGCTAGTGTCGATAAAAAATCAGCCTTGTATTAGCTACGAAGTGCTGTAACACGAGGATAGAAATAATGATTAAGCATAGTTTTAAATCACCTGAAAGAAACAAAGCAAGAGGACAGTTAGACTCTGACGAAGAGTTCCAGAAAGGTTATCAAACGACAGTCCCTACTTCCTTCAACAGTCCTTCTCCTAGGAAAAACTACACAATCCAATAATACCTTTGGGCTCAAACCATTACTGAAGAAAAATTAACTTGCTATGCAATTTTTCATCGAATGGGGGACCCATACGGAAAGTAGGACTTTAAGTAATATGCTATACCTGTAACGTGTAAATTTTTTCTTAAAAAAAAAGGACATTTTATTTGGAATGCGTTGACTTTAAAATTGCCTTTCTTCCCCCAGGACAAAAACCCAGAATCGACGTGTAGGCTTCGAGCGAAAATTGCCAAAGTAAGTCAAGTACTAAATTGTGTGACAGTTTTATGATGTAGTGCGTGCTTTAACAATGAAGACAAATTGTGGTTAAATAAGAGGTTCGATGTTATGTCTGTTATCCTTTATGCAAATATCTCAGAAAAGTTAATTTCGTCTTTTTGGATTTGACATATCCCGGACCAGGAGCCAAGCTCTCTGTCCTGTAGTTTTCTCCTTGATCTGGGAAGTGGTGATGATCAGCGGTTTTATGCGTACAGCTTACAGTGAACAGAATTCGAAGAGGTTTCAGTTTTTTCTGGTTTTCCACTTGTTTTTTTCTTTTAAAGTGGAGCGAAAGCAAGCACGAGGCGATTGTCTAAGCCAAGTCATTTTTGGGAGAAGGACAAAATAATGCTTTTGTATTTATTTTTCATTTTAGTCTATTACTGTTTTATTTTCCCATACCTTCGCGCCTTTTTTCGCTCCCTACTTCAACATAATGTTTGGGGAGAAAATTTCCTCAAGACAATAGTTTTTCAATTCTCATCAAAATTGGTCTCAAAATTCCACTCTGATCAAATCCTCTTTCTCTCTGAGGTATGCTTATGTGAGTACTACATGTTATTTGGGAGAGGGGATGGCGCAGTGCTCACACGACTGTGGCCTGGGTTCGATTCACGGACCTGGTGTCACATGTAGGTTGAGTTTTTCGTTGGTTCTCTTCCTTGTTCCGAGGGTTTTTCTCCGGGTTCTCCGGTTTCCTCCCTCCACAAAAACCAACATTTTTAATTCCAATTCAACCTGGAAACAGTGGACAAGAAGAGCCAACTCGTGGAATGTCTATTGCTAAATGATTTGATCCCATCATTATTATCGTTATTGTTGTTATTTTTGTATGTCCCACTCTTTCGATTTGTTATGTTCTCAGCATGAGCTCCTCTTGGTATCCTTCAAGTTCTCGAATTTTTACTCAGATTCTCCTCTTCTGTACTTTTGCTACGTTTCGGATAGCCCTATTAATAATCAAAATGGTTTGAGTTTGTGTAACGTTATTCTCTGGGACATTATAATTATTATTATCCACGCTGAATCTAATGGCATTATTATGTCCTAAATTAAACTAATTTCCTAGTCAATATCTATCCATATATATACTTATATATATATATCTATTATAAGTGTCTTACTATACTAGCGATATGCTAAAAAGTCAGTCCAATTTTTCACAGTTATCAAGAAACAACTTCTACACAAAGCTGCTATCAGCGGTCGATGTGACGCTGTCAAATTACTTCTTGAAATTGGTGAAGATGTGGACCAGACGGATGAGGTTTCTAGCTTGATTTTGCGTTTAGATGTGTCTGTTCTTATTATAAATTGATCGGTATTTGACCTTTGTCCAACGATTTGTTTCATTTTGCAGTTTAATTTAACGCCTCTTCACCTTGCCGCATGGTATGGGCAACGAGCTGTTGTTGAACTCTTGTTACAGCACGGTGCAAATGTCAATGCTGTAGATAGGGTAAGTTGGTGACCACTCGTGTTTCTGTTTTGGCAATACGTCAGATATAAAGTAATGATAAAAAATTCCAGGCATGCAAAGACTTTCACAAGCTCTTGAAACCTTTCTTTAGTCAATTGTATCTCATGTCCAGGCATACTCATCTAATTGAGTGAGTGGCAGTTACTCTAATATTTTGACCTTTGCACAATTTTTTTCCTTTCAGTTTCAAAAAACAGCGCTACAAAAAGCTGAACGCAACAATCATCGATCCATTATTGAGCTGCTTCTGAGGAATAACGCGAGTCCCACTTACAACCAACCGGTATGGTGAAAACTGCATTCTTCTTTCACGTTTTGAAACAGCTTCTAAAACATCTTTCCACTCACAGAGGAGCATCAGGATAATTCAATAAGATTTACCAAACGTTTCTTTTCATTACGGTTGTTTAGGGTTTTGGTTTTTTTTTTTTTTGATAACCTATTCACTATAATCTAATTTATATTACAGCCTAGACTACTGTCCCTTTCAAAAAAGCGTTTTTCAATGTAGATGCACGATCCGGCTTCAATCGACTGCAGGCGGCTGTATTTCAAGGCGACTATGACACGTTTTGGAACACTTTTAACGCCTGCCCTGGGAATTTTGTCCAAGAAATGAATTTACAAAAAACAGGAAGTCAAGCAAAGGCATTTCCTGGAAAAACTGCGTTAGAGATTCTCTTGGCTCTCCAAGATAAAGGAGAAGGAAAAGTTAAAATAGAAGAACTGTATAAAATGGAAGTTGAGAAGATCGATACATTAACTGAGCTGCACTTGTGTAAAGACAACAATGATGTAGAGAAGGCTGTCGAGATTGTTCTAAACGAGGGTGTAGATATAAACATACCAGGAAAAAGCAACCGTACACCTTTGTTGTGGGCAAGTCTGACAGCCTCTGGTGAGTTTATCAAGACCCTCATTGATCTTGGAGCTGACGTAAATGCTCAGAAGACAGACGACAAGGTTTCACCTTTGCATTTGGCAGCTCATTTCAACAACTATATGGCAGTTGACATCCTTCTAAAGCATGGAGCCTATGTGGGTCTTCTACATTTCTCAAAAGGGACAGCATTGCATCGGTGTGTAAAGGAAGGATTGTTAAGTGTCTCCCGGTTACTAATTGATTCAGGATGCGACATCAATTTGCGCAAAAACACAGGCCAAACCGCGCTTTACTTCGCCGTCAAAAATAAACACAAATTCATTGTCAAATATTTACTTGAAAGCGAAGCGGATGTAAATATGAAATGCAATGAGAATGCAAGTGATAGAATTTACCTTGTTCGTGGGATGGACAGAGGAAAACCAGTCTGGCATTATGTCCTAGTAGAGAAAGCTCTGTTGCCCTTGTTCTTGAGGCGCACTAAAGGTGGTAGTCTTGACGTTGCAGACTTTGGACTCATCCTCACGAGTGGATGGGGAAAGGATCCTCCAGAAAACGTGCGGAAGAATATCAATGAAATGGGTGCTACCTTTCCTGACACGCAAAGTCAGACAGTTCTTCATGTTGCCAGCAAAAGTGCCAGTCTCGAGATCGTAGATCTGTTAGTAAACTATAAAGCAGATGTAAACGCGAACGACATGGACGGCTTTACCCCACTGCATTTGGCAGCGATGCATGGCAACATTCAAGTTGTTAAAAAACTAGTTGAAACCAACGCCGACGTTAACTTGAAAGTGGATGGAAAGGATGCGGCTGACTTGGCTCGCATGAACGAAGAAACAGAAATTGAGGAGTATCTTAAACCAAAAGGAAGCCTTCCCCAAAGAGACTCGGAAAGTCAATCAGCGGAAAGTCAATTGGCGGAAAGTCAATCGGCGGAAAGTCAATCAGGGGGAAGTCAATCGGTTTTAAAAGTTGCCATTAAAGGGGCAGGACAAGGCTTAAAGTACCTTGAACATGGCTTAAAGTTCCTCGAGGAAAAGTTCAATTAACTTACGCCGTTCACCATTATTTTAGACTTTTCAGCGCACGATTTTGTGTTACATATAATCAGCGCAAACAAGAATTGTTTACAAGGCAAGATCATCGTGAAGTTTTCAATTCATAACTGTACGGCACTATTATTTACATCGCTGTGTTACCCAAAATTCATTTTATTAATTTTTTTTGATCAGTCAATGTTAATTTGATTTTTGAAATTATTTTGTGTTTTTTTTTTGAGAAAAGTTGATTGAGAAAGTGGCAGATGATCGGCTTTGTGAAAATCGTGCGGTTATTCACTTTTGTTTTGTACATATGTGAAAGTTTTTACCCTAACTATTTCGCCTGCACATATGATTTATATAACAATCGATTCAACGGGCCTTTCTACAACGTAATGTAGCAAATAGGGATTCAAAAAAATAATTTTCTTTGTACAGTTTTTAATCAATTTGAAATAGCTTCTAAATAACCTAAGAGGCAAAAAAAAAAAAAAAAAAAAGAAAAAAAGGAAAAGAAAAAAGAAGAAAAAATTGATCAAGTATGGAATCTAGCAGTTTACGATGCGAGGCTAAGGAAACATACCAAAATATTTGAATGTGCCTCCCGGAAAAAAACTCTACCTAAACGAGTGCAAAAATTAGAGAAAGAGAAAGTTTGGTCTACAAAGCGGCCAAATGAAAATCATGTAGTTTTGCATTTGTCTTTTGTACATGTGCGAATTAATTTGTTTTACCCTAATTTTTCTCAACGTGTCTATATCAGTTGACATATAACTTGATTATACAACATGAGAGTTTGAAAATTAATCCGCAAATAGAGATTCTAACAAATTATTTTCTTCACTTAAAATTTAATCCATTTTAAATAGCCTCTGCATAAGCTTAGGAGTAAAGAAAATCATAGAATGTAGTTTTCACCACTGCTTTGTTTGACTTTAAGCTGTGAGAGAGACAAATTCACGATACGAGGTTAGGGCAATAAACAAAAATCTAGACATGTGCCTTTTATCATAAAATCCTGACAGTAGCGGCACTTGTAGGTGTTCATTCATAGTACTTTTCAGTTCTTGTGAAACGAAAGAGGCGGAGTATTTTTACTCTTTTCAGAAAGTAAAAACTCGAGTACTACTTATCCACGTGAACGTTTATTCACTCAGCTTCTTCGTCAGTATATCCTTAAGCAGTGTTCGGGGCTCGGAAGAACTTTTAAAATCCAGAACTAAAGAAATCACATGGGCCAATCGGTACAAAGAACAACATCCAAAAGGAGCCAAGCAGAACCCAAAGTAAAGACATGAAAAAGCTTCAAAGGGCGGGAAAACACGGGTAACCATTTCGCGATTGATTTCGGGCTTTTTCTTCTGATTTGATGGCGTAGGTTTGTTGGCTACTCACAGAAAGCAGTATAACAAAACCGATATAATTCCGTATTACTTTCCAAACTCTAATTTAAACCAATAGGACGTAATTTAATAGTTGCTTGACACTGGAATATAAAAGCAGCGAAGGTGTAGGTCGTCATAGAAACAAAAACTGTACCGTTGTCTAGAGTAATCGAAAATCTTCATTTTATCGTAATTCTACGTCAGAAATAAATATCACAACATTCAGTGTTGCGTGCATTGAAATCTTTATTAGACTGATGGGGCATGCTATAAATAATGATCACTCTGTGTCACTCTGCAAAATAAGTTATAACAATAAATATTGGAGGGAAATTCAATAAAAAATCAATTCTAATATCAAACTTTTTACGGCGAACTCTCGATCTTGTTCACACAGCGCCCTGTTGGGGGAGCGAACAAGTGAGAAGTATTTCCCCCATAATATACACAAGAACGCTAAAGAATCGCAAGTAAAAAGCGATTTAATATCAAGAGAGAAGCACCAGGCTCTCACCAATCTTCAATTTCGCAAATAATTCGTTAAGAAAAATTGTACGAACTATGTAGGACCTATCGTCAATAAATAAGCGAAAGGATGTACTATTTTAGAAGATACTATCAAACTGGAGTTAGTCTTTATACAATCCCCAGCATGCAAAGAAAATAAATTGATATAAATAGAATAAATTACCACTTGAATATAAAGTACATCTAGATGTATCCTTGTTTTCATGTAACATCACAGAATTCAAAGTCAAAAATTTGACCGTAAAATACCACCCCCCTTCTTGCATAAATAAATCTGCGAGGCCTTTTACATTTCAGCATAAATTGTGACTGGTCAGAAAGGAAATCCTTTCCTCTTCCCGTTTCATCTAAGATGATGTAATTATTTCTTCTCACGTAATATTCAATACAAAGCTTTGTGCTATTACTAAAATAGAAATTACTACACTCTTACACAACTTCAAAGTAATCACTGACCATATGCTAAGGATTCTTACTACGAACGAAAACAAAGGGCATATTTAGGGCGATAAAAGATTACTCTCGGCCTCTGCCAGGCTCTCCTGTTAGTGGAGACAAATAAATTTTTCGTCGAGAGTAAATTGGCAGGATTCTCATTCTCTCCTTCCCTCCCCCCTTTTTTTTTCTGTCACTCGCCCCGCTTTTGCACTCTACTCACAAATGAAATGAATGGGACGGGTTACATGGATATTGACGCTAGGAAACAAAAATTCACAGTGTTAAAAAAATGACACTTATGTTGGTCAGGCAGCGTTGGACAATCGTAACAATGAACGACTGCTAGCAGAGCTGATTGAAATGTAGTAACCATTAGGAGTTGCGGTCAAACTAAAAAACATTGGGTTACAACGTTTCAGTATTAAGTGTCTGCTAACCCCATGAGGGAGGGGGGGGGGGGGCACTTGAAGGACTGGGTCTTTACAACTGAGCTTGGTCGACCAGACTGGCTTGATCACCAACATTCCGTGCACTTTGCCACAATTTTCATTGCTCAAATCTTACTGTTTTCACTCGAAGAAGTGAGCTTGGAAGATAAGCTAAAGAACTTACAAAGGTCCTGTTTCTCGATAAATATATCTCGGTTATGAAGAAAGACAATTTACCATTAGGAGACCACAGCCCGATTATTAAGAAAAAACTTAAAATAATAATTCTTTTTCAACTTGGTAGCCAAGATGAAAATTATTTTTATATACAAAAGCGACAATTCCAGACAACCCATTTGTCGAGTACAAATGAAATGGTCCTTTACAAGACTACACTAAATGCTTGGTCGGCTATTTACAGAAACTTTCAAAATAAATTATGCCCCATCACCGCATAGACTCAAATATCAACCAGTCCACCCGGGGTAACATCAAGCGAAACACCTCAAGGTGGAGGATTGCTCGTCTGCATATATGCAGCATAGGGTGGCGGCCTCTCATCAGTAACTAGCGTCTGTGGACAGAAAAAAAAGAAACTTAAATTACAGGTGACGTTTTTAGAAAAGGGGCCGTCGTGAGGCACTTGAACACGTTAGTGGATTCAGAAAGGAAAGATCTTGGCCGAAGCTCATGTTCTGAGCGCTTTAGGAGACAACTTTCCCAAATATGAAACCAGATGTGGTGATAAATTAAATTTTAGTTGACGATAAAATGTCACAGATAGCAATACTTCGCAGGACCACACGATCAAGCTTTCCACTGTAGTAAATTTTATACATAATCCAAGACGCTTTTCAGATCAGTCCATGCAGCCTGCTCACCAACTACAATCATTATTTTGCATACCTGAGATTGTATTTGAGTCTGTATCTGTGGACTAAGAGCACTTGCGTGTGTCACAGTCACCGTACCAGCTGGGTTGGACCCAGGGGGAACAGCCCAGTAGCCAGGCTGTTGGATGGTCACCCCAGGCTGTGAGTGTAATGAAGTTAAAAAATAGAAATCAGTGTCAATGTCAGGTTTTTGATTCATAAATGGCACACAAATTAACAGCCCTAAAAGTTATGTACTCGACTTAGGTAATTAAAACCTTTTAGATATTACGTCCACTTTTAAATCAATAGCTCACTGCAATCTGATTGGCCCTCAGCAGTGCATTTCATTCACGAAGTGCACATGGTTTGCTCAAAATTGTATGTTCTGGCAGGTGATGAGAAGGAAACATTAAAACAAAACCACCCATTAGATTTCAAAGGTTGTTTAAAGTAACCAATCAAATCGCTGGAAAATGAAAGACAAAGAAGCTGTTGTGTGGAAAATTTTGCAGAGTGCTGGATTAACAAAAATATTTGACTGTATTGACTAATGAGCCCTGTATTTAGGTAATTAAATTGTGCACTTTCCAAATGTATGAAAAAAAGGAAGTTCAATTTCCGTTACTACCAGCTGGTGCATAAAAACTATACAGACAGACTTTCCATGAAGTATTCTATATGAACAGGACAGATCTATTTGGTTTAGGCCTAAACAACCACTACCATGTAACGGACTGGCATCCCAGCCTGGGAGGAGTAGCATTAACTTGTTTTTGATAGACTATAAACTTGTTTGAGTTTTTTTATGGTAAGAAGAACAAAGAAAGAAAGAAAGAAACAGATGTGAACAGAAGCAGACAAAAGTAAACAAGAACAAATGAAAATTAACAAACAAACAAACAAAAATACACAATTACAAAACAAAATCAAGTAAAAAAAAAAATGTTTTTCTTTGTCCCACAATCGTGACAAGACCAAAAAAACATCTTTTTTTTTTACCCAGCCCAAAACTTACCATCTTTCTCATTTAATATACATTTTCGACAATTTTAGCTTAATGAGTTTCAACACTGCAAACTTGAAAGTGACTATGCCACAAGACAAACAATAACACTTCAATACAAGTGCATTCATCCTTATTTGAGACCACAATCTTTTTTTCAAAATAGAACTCACATGAACTTGCTGTTGAACGTAAACTTGAGGCTGGGCTACTGCTGGGTAAACTGGTGTTGTAGTTGTAACTCCACCAGTTGGCTGAATGATAACCATACCTCCCTGTGGTCCTGTAAATGCAGGCCGCCCAGGCTGAATGTATGTCACTTGTTGATTGGTTACCGTCTAACAACCAGAAGTAAAAATCAACTCTTTCAGTCCCAAAACTCCTCCTCATAATATCAATCTCTCAATCAATACAACCATCATTGAATTTAAAACATTCATTCATTGAGTTTAGTCTGGCAGTATAGAAAAATATTTTGGTGTTAGTCCTGAAGTGTGGACCCTGCTGACTATTTAGTAATAACTGAAAAGAAACCATCCTGCTTATTTTCAAGTTAAGCTGTAACTGAAAGCCAAAACAGAGGTTTTTAAACATAGTTGCTGAGTACTATGCTAAGTGCAGTGAGTAAAAAATAAATTGTGAGAGATACGTAAGCTGGAACTCCAATGATAGAGATCTTCATGTTCTTTTAAGCTGTGGTTGATATAAGCTAGGTCACTGAGTTGTGTTCTGGGACATGACACTCCTCTGACATGGTCTCTCTCCTGTACCAAGGAGTATAAATGGGTACCAGTTGCTCCATGCATTTATGCCTCTGACACAACCACTGGTCGAATGATCATCTAACTTTCTGTGCCTTCTTAACCCTCTCAATCCCAGATCTTATTAGAAATTCTCCTCACTGTTTGTCATACAATTCTCATGATGTTACTTTTGGAAATTTGGTATTGGATCAAAAATAATCCCTTAATTGATCCTTTTTTCCTTATTCTCATCACTTGTCTGCTTGATACTACATTTATATTGTAAGGAGAAATTCTATCTTGGTCACTCATGGGAGTTAAAGAGTTCATGATCAAACTGTGGTACATGCATATCTAGCAAAAGATTCTACCATGCAAATTCATGAATACAAAGTGTCTACTGATAATACGAACCACTCCTCTTGGGGTGTTGCAACAAACAGCACCACAGCAGTAGATTGATGCAGTAAGAGACAACATAAACTGAACGACAGCGCATATAAGAAGGCAGGAGCCTAACCCAGTTCCAACAGCAGCCATATGCCTCTTACTTACGGAGTAACAATAGACTTTGAAGTAACTGTAATGGTATCTCTTGCAGCTACTGATATGAGAATAGTCAACCAGAGCAATACAGTAGGTGATGAACATGAACACAGTTAGAACACAAACTGTGATGGCAAATCCCATGTAAGTGCCAATCTGCACAAAATGGCCAAAAAAAAAACCAAGGTTACATTAATTCAAGAAACTCAATATCTGTTGTTGTCAAGATATTAATAAATAAGTAAATAATAATGATAATAATAATTATTATAGTTATTAGGTAATATAATTCACAAGTCTAAATGTATTTATAAAATAATTAAATAATAATGAATTCAAACAAGTTGGAAATAAACATTATGATATTAATTACTGATAAACACAAACATACATGTAGTGCTGGTTATTAAACCAAACCACAGTTTTACCCAAAAAAGTGGGCCTCAGGCTTTCTCCTAAAGAGAGTTGATTCAATTAATAACCCTAATAAACTCCCAAGATCTGATTGTTAATTTTCCCCTGTAGCTGCTACACATTTCATTGTAAATTAGTTACGAGAAATTGGTGCTAGATCAAGATGGCAGCTTCTACCTGATAAGTTTGAATATTCTCATCACCTGTTTGCTGAAGAATGTGTGGATATTGTAGGAAGAAGTTTTATGTTAATCACTTCTGGGAGTTAAAAGTTTAAATAAATGTCCTTCCACTGTTTGCTTTCCAACCAAACTAAGGATTGTTTCAGATGCAGTTTGCTCAGACAACAGCTGTTTGAATTAACGCTTAAAGTAGTTAAGAACCCCAACTGGCAGGAGGCAGACCAGTTGGATATAACTTAAACAAATTGCAGCCAAGGAACCACAAAAAAATTGAAAACAAATCTCGTGTGTAACAAGGCAAACCCCAGGATCACCAGATTACAAGACCAGCACCCAAACCACTCATCTTCTTCTAATTCCCAGTGTGTTAAAGGAACTTAAACTCTTAAAATTTCATGATATCCATTCGTTTCAATTAGGTACAAATTCAAGAACCCCAATCAAATCCAGAATTATAATACTACCCTTCCGCACCCAAACCAATTTACTTTCATCCAAACTTTTATAATTCTTAAATTCTGACATAATTTCCCCTCCTCCGCTTCTTTTAAAAAAGAAAGCTTAAGGAATTTCTTCTCTCTAAGTATTAGCTGTGTTTCTGCTATTTGGTTTCTCTAATAATTATCCTAAAATTTTTTTTTAAGTGAGAAAGCCTCACAGTCTGTATGCTATTTATTTTCTGTCATCAATTTTCTTCATTTTTTTTTTTCCATGTTCTAAATGTCGAGATAATTATTGTTTGTATTCATTTGGTTTCAATAATTTAAAATTTTTTTTTGGTCACAGTCTGTATGCTAGTAATGTTCTGCTAGATAAGTACATTGCTTCATCAATATTTAAACCATTTGCATTATCAAGCATTCTAGATTTACAAGCACAGGGGTGTATGCAGCTTTAAACTCACCAAACACCTGTTAGGAGTTGAATCATCTTTTGCACCAATGTATCCAAAGATTCCTGTGAGAAGAACCTGCAAAAGAAAGGATAAAAATTTGACTATACTGATAAATTAAAAGTATTTCAATTAATTATTCTCTACACACACACACACACACACACACACACACACACACACACACACACACACAAAATCAAAACATGTATAGTAACCATCATAAAGAAGAAGAACCCCCATTTTTTTTTAACAGCGGTGAATTCATGTGCTTTTCAAGTTTGCTTTTATTCAGGAGGATGTAGCAAAGTGTATGGATATAATGAGTAATTTATTATCAGCTAACTCCAACTCAGTTAACAGACTTGAACTAATATTACTTTTACTTGGCTTAAATTTACTCTATTTTTGTAAACTTTAAGTAAAAACGTTGATTGATAAACTTTTAAGTGTTGGTCATAACTAACACTGACTAAACTTCTCAGACTGTGCGTATACGAAAGTCATTTATGGGAACTTCAGTTAAAGAAATTAATATGAAGGCGATCTTCACGGTAACGAATGCTACTTAAGCAGTTGAAAAAATTAAGGACCCAAAAAAAATTAATTCAAACTAATTTTCATTTCCCTTGGAAGCTTCAATTATCAGGGTTCTACTGTTGTCTGAGAACCTGTATAAATCCATCTTTGAGGCTTAATACTGAAGTTATTCTTCACCTATACTGTTTTATTATTTACAGTAATTACCTTCCATGATACTGCCATTAAGAAAACCATGAAATTTTTGGCTTTTGTGAAATTCAATTTTGTAGAGAAGCCATGAAGCAACTGCCAAATTGCAGATTACAGTAATTTTCAAAACTTTTACCATTTCAAAATTCCCATGACTGACTAAGTAAGACAGAATATCAAGCAGACAAGTGATGAGAATAGAAAAAAATATCAATCAGGGGTTTGCTAGTTGATCCAATACCAAATCCTCCAAACTACCATCTCAAGAATTGTAAGGCAAACAGTAAAAAAAAAATTATTGAGAACTTGGAGTGAGAGGGATGTATAAGCAGGTTTATTGCGATTGTTATTAAACCAAATGTTGCATCTTGGCATGTAGGTACTAAAAGTGTGGCAGCTCTTATCACAAACAGTGGTCAAACTGTAAGCGTGTGATTTTCTTTGCAAAAACCAACTGATGTAAACGAGTTTGATTTCATATCAAAAGAGATTTTTTGGACCTTGTCTCAGGATATCTTAGGTCATGCCACATTGCAAGGTTGGTCAGTTTTTAAAACTTTCAAGAACTTAAATAACTACAGTAAATCTGTAATTCTGGTTTTAATGTGGGTTATTTTCCGTCATCAATAAACCCATCAGCTTAGAATAATGGTAAAGTTTCTGTACAGCCCCATACTATTGTAAAAAAAAAATCTGTTTTCCAATGGCAATGTATTGTTTTTGTCATTGTTTTCTCTATTTAAGAACTGAATGCATAATGTAGTATGGGGCTGTGCGGAAATTTTACCAGAATAATACTTACCAAGGGCTGTAAATTGTGTTTCGTGAATCGTAACATATCAAGGTAAAATATTTTTTTCGGAACCCATCTCCCAAAATGATCAGATTGAAAAATTAAAAAAGGTATCTGCACAAATGTTTTGTAATTTAATCCACAGCCCGTGAGCATCTTACTCCCAGGATTAAGCATAGCAAATATGCATATCAGGTATTTTATTGTTATAAACAAACTGGGTAATGACCTAGCGTGCAGAGGAGTTGATCGCTCCGTTATGCTGACGCAGTAATGAATTACTCCAAACCCTCCACAAAATCACCTTCTAAGTGCTCGTCAATGCCACTAAGAGATCAAGAAATTTGGCGCACTCAGATAATTTCACGATGGCGTAAATAACACCAAGGGAGTGATTGTATCTATAGAGACGAATTGTGCGCAACTAACAAGCCGCAATGCAAAATTTTGTCTGTCCTTTACTTCTGATCTTTATCCAAGACAAACTAGAAATATGTGTTTTTCCTGTATCTACTGCAGTAGTCATCATGCAACACTGCTGATCGAGCAGTCAAAAGCTCTACTTCGCATATTTTTGATTTACCTGTAAGTTAGTACGTGATTAACTAATTCGACGAGGCAGTTAGAAGTATACGAGATTTTTTACGCTCACCCAAATGCCAATCCAGACGCCATAACCGATCTTAGGACACCAGTGATCCACTGCAATACGGGATGCAATTCCCAGTATTATCATTAAAGAGCCAAATATCATATGTGCGATAGCTAGCCCTCGAAGAGACACAGGATGGTACGCCATGACTACCAACAATATGGCGACTTAATATTCAACGAAATGTTCGAGAATGACGTCTACAAGATGAGACTTCCATAGGGAGGGGGGGGGAGGGGAGGAAGTGAACCTGTTCGTCACTTTCAGCACAGGAGGAACTGAATGTATAAAATAAAACTGACGAGGAGGTCAATTCAATGACATTTATTTCTTTGACTGGATAAATAGTTTAATTTAGCGCGTGACGTTCTCGTAATTCAGATTATATGACCTAAGTTTACAAATCTTGCTTGCTTTGGGTATGATGGGGCGCAGAACACCCGGTACCAACTGATATGACGTCATAATTTTACTTCCTTGTTATTTTCACTTAGTCGCCATTTCGATTGTAGTCATGGTGTACAGAGCGACTACTTTGCGAGGGTTGGCCAACTCACAGATGGTAGTTGGGGCTGTAATGATCGTGTTTGGAGTAGCATGTATTATCTCCGCTCAACACTGGAGTTCCTACGTTGGTTTCGGCGTCTGGGTTGGCCTTTGGGTAAGTTTGGTCTGTTGCTTCCGCATGTCGTGCGTACAAATGTGCATGACCGTTTCTCGATTGTACTGATAAAGCATAATTTGCAGTCTCTGTTTTTCACTTTTGTCTTTTGATTTGCCTGTAATAAGCTTTGATAAAGTCACCCTAAATCTTCCCAAATTGTTGATTTCAGTTCCTACTGGAAATCGAAATCGTCGCGAAAGACACGTGGGGAATTTCGAAACTCTGGAATTTGGCTTTCATGTGAATGAAGTTATTATTTTTGGGGCAGCTGGTCTATATTCCTTGAATTTGACATTTTGTTGCGTGATTTTTGCACTGAAGTGAAGCGAGTTTGAACCATAAATTTTACGCTCTAATGGTTTGGGTAACACGATATCTTAGTGACGCCTCATCTGAAGGCTCTCAGCAAACCTCTAGGCTGGAATTGGTGGCCTTTAATTCCATTGCATTGTACATAATGTTGGAATGAGGAACATGAGCTTAAAAGAACATCATTGATTGCCCATGATACATGTGGAGTTCTAGAGGTTCCACAGCCTGCTGATCCACAGTTTATATTAGTAACCCTCACTCGATCATCTAAGGGAACTATTGGCACCAAATCAGGCAACATGGACTCCATCTCCACTTTAGTTGGTGAAGCTTTATTAGCCAGTCTTGTCTGAACTGAGTCCAATATTTATGGCCAGCAAAATAAAAACAAATTTGTCTTTCGGACTTTAAGAATATACATGTTATTACAATAAATCCACAAGGAGAATTCTTTTACTGCATTCAAAAGATCTTTCCACTTGTATGTATTATTTATAGGTTTTAATCACCGGGATTTTGGGATACATAGGAGCAAGAGATGACTCAATCCCAAACAATTGTTTGGTGAGTAACTTGACCTTTTAAAGAAACCTGTAATTATTTTTTCTGGCCATTTTCTCAAAACAATCATACACACAAGCATGTATATTGGTATCCCTTTTCCCTTGTAATGAGAAAAATGGGATGGAAAACCCCACTGCAGTCAAATTTTTCTCAAGTGTAATCTTAGGTATCTATAATGACTGACATTCATTTCATAAATTTATCAAAAATAATGGAAGAAGAAAAAAAGTACCAAGAAAACAAGTAAAACAACACAGCAAATTCATCTTATGCATTGGTTATACTGTTATATTTACAAACATGCACATAATAGTTATCCTGTATAATTTGGGATTTTCAAATCAGTTTATGACTAAACAGTTTAAAAACTTTTTTTTAACCATAAACATTCAAACCATTAACATAAAGGTTTCTGCATGAGATGATAATCAAGACTGGGTGCTCACCAGTCTATCAACTTTTTTTTACCCACAGTGCAGGTGCATATATGAGGTTAGGCTTTAAATTGTATAAATGTAGTAGATAAAGTCATGTGTTTGAATTGTGTCCTGTGTTTTTTATCATCAGATTGGATGTTTTATGGGTTTCTCCATTTCAAGTTGTGTCCTCTCAGGAGCAATGTTCATCTGCTACTGCATTACTCTTGCAAGCTACTCCGATATGAAGGCATACTGTTTAAACTCTTACTATAGCAACAGATATGATGGTTCCTATACCTACCATGATTGCTATCAGCAGTATGGCTTTCACAGAGATACAGCAGTAAACGTGGCTGGTTTAGGTTCATTTCTTCTTCTTATCTCCTTGGGTGAGTTCTTCTTGGCCCTTGCATCATCCATCTACTGTTGTACTGCAGTGTGTTGTGGTACCTCACCAGCAGTTGTGAGCAATGTAAGTAATTATCACCTCAACCATTCAGTTGTTAATGTTAAAGTTAACATTAAATCATTTTACTGATTCAGAAATATATATTTTATGGCCAATAAAACTAGGGAATATCCACTGATATTTCCAATTTTTAAACCTTGTGTCCAATGCTATGAAAGTCTACATTTTAGAGTTGATTAGAGCTGTTCTTGTAGAACAGTATCTTGCTGTTTTTATAGAAGAAAAGACCAACTTCCATGTATTGTAAATGTATATTTTCCCTAGGTTGTGCTGAAAATCTTTTTTTATATATATATATTTATATAGAGTGTGTAGCTTTACATTTCCCCCCTTTTTTCTGGTAGCAGCAGTCGTGAAAAATGCGTGAAGTCTCTGAAATGCTGTCACTCTTCTTGGATAGGAGTACAGTGTACAAGGAGATGGTAAATGACAAGTGACTGAGTCAAGCTGTTCACAAGTTTCAAAGCATGTCTTTTTTCCTTTCCACAGTAGCTCTGTTGTAAACCATCCTACCTAAATAGTTTTGAGCATTCTTTTGACTTCACTTGGTGAAATGAGAAATAATCAATTTTTTTATAAATTAATGATTTTTATATTTAATGTAACTGATGTTTCATTACTGTGACTATAGACAAGGACCAACCAGCAACTGATGTGTATACAGCCTCAGCACATGTACCCAGGGGCACAGCCTGGTGTGGTTTTAATGCAGACTGATGCTGGTGTGGTGCCACAGGGATACCCAGCAATGGGCCAGCAACCTGTGTATATAGCCCAGCAGGTAACTATAGAACTGATTTAACTTATGTACTGATTTATGATACAATCCAAGGACAAACAAAAAAGTTTGAAATAATGGAAGTTTGAAGGGGAGTACTATAAGCACAAAATGATTCAGTTTATTTTTGTGTTTCAGTGTTTTGTTTGTTTGTTTGTTTGTTTTTTTGTTAGAAAACAAACCACTTTTCTGTGCAGTGCAGTGTTTACAATTGAAAATCTACTTTATGTAAAGTTATCCATCAATTGATACAGTCTTGGGTTTAAGAATTCTCATTTGGATGTTACTGCAGCACCAAAGATTGTGAATGATTGTGGGGCAAAAATTTACTTTAGTTGAGTTGTGGTACTCAATTTTTTTTTTGCCCTGTGCATTTGACGAAATGGATAAATGCTTTTATGCCATGTAATCTGAATTCAGTTAATATATTCTATGTCTAAAAAGGAGATTATTCTGTTCATTTCACAGCCTGGGGTGATTGCACAACCTGGGGTAGCCTTTCAGCAGCCTCATTACTGGGCTGTTCCCTTAGGATCCAACCCAGCTGAGGCAGTGACTGCGCCCTATTCAGATGCTGCCTCCCGAGGGCAGAATCAAGCTCAAGTCCAGGTAATTATGCATGAGTACATAACTGTTTAATGTTAACCATTTACAACCTAGTATTGATATGCATATTCTCCCTACTGTTCTCTATACATTTTCTAAGATGCTGACAAGGAGAATTTGTTAAACAATGAAGAGCTTCTTTTGTTGGTAATAATTTCCTTCATTCTCAAAACCTTAATGTGTGAATCAGAGCTGATGTTGTAAGAAGAAATTAGATGCTAGTCACTCTTAGGGTGTGTCAAAGGGTTTATGAGATGGTATGTCATGTGATCGTGGTTTATCTAATGTAGAGTTGCCTTGACCTCAGTTGGATGAACCTTTTTGAATAAATGATGAAACTGTCCCAATAGCATTTCTTAGAATAGATTGCCTCACTTAATTTTTCCTTAGATACCTGAGGCAGTAAAGGATGAAGACATGCCACCACCTTATTCTTTTGCACTGACAGCCAATGTGCCACCACCAGCTTTCTCTTCTGTGGATGCCAATCCAAACTATTAGTGCCTGATGTCATTTCATAAATGAGCACTGACATGTTCATCAGGAGACCTTTGTAGTGCAATTGGGGCATACCTTGGAAAGTTTGTGTTTGTGAGTTCTTTTAGTACAGTCGAATCGTATTAAGCATCAAAGTCCCAGGATTTCCCCCTGAAATAGTTAAAGATTAGATAGCTCAGTCAAAGATTGAGATTCAGTCAGAGTTTATTAAGAGTCAAATTAATCTTGCATATTTTTCAAAAAAGTTTATCTTTGTGAGTTCTTGTAGTAAAAAATTGTACACCATAAGTGATGGCGAGTTGCCACGTCCTCAAAGTGACTGGTAACTGTTGTAAGTATTTGACCAAAGTAGTACTTAAGCTTCAGCTGTAAACAGACTGTTTCTTATGGAATGATTATTAGTTTTTTAAAAATTTTAAAAGGCAAGCTCTGTAGCTTCAAAATAATGTAAGTTGTAACCATAACATGTTGGTGCAAAATTAATATATTTTAAAGTATCAAAGGATGTCAAACATGCTATTTTTTCATGTAGATGGTTTGAAATTGTTTTTAACCCTTTAACTCTTAGAAGTGATTAATGTATAACTTCTCCATATAATATCCATAAATTATCCAGCAAGCAGCTAATGAGATTGCTCAACCTTATTAGTAAGAAGTTGTTACCTTTATTGAACACCAATTTCTCATAACCAATGTATAAGGAAAGGTGTAGCAGCAAGAGGGGAGAATTGAAAATAAGATCTTGGGAGTTATAGGGTTAAAGGAGAAAATGATTTTTTGAACCTTTTCAACAATTTAGTGGATCATCAGCTCAGAATATTTAACAAAGGCAAAGTAAATATTGTTGAATAATATGCTAGAGGAAGTCATAATAAGTGGATTGTTCAACAATAATTATTGTACATATACTGTACTATACTGATAAATTAAAAAGTATTTCATAATTATTCTCTACACACACACACACACACAAACACACAATCAAAACATGTGAAGTAGCCATCATGAAGAAGAAAACCCCCATTTTTTTAATAGCAGTGAATTCATGTGCTTTTCAAGTTTACTTTTATTCAGGAGGATGTAGCAAAGTGTATGGATATGACCCCACTTTTCCAGTAATTTATTATAAGCTAACTCGAACTCAGTTAACAGACTTGAACTAATATTACTTTTACTCAGCTTGAATTTACTCTGAACTTTAAGTAAAAATGTTGATTGATAAACTTTCAAGTGTTGGTCATAGCTAACACTAAACTTCTCAGACTGTGCATATACAAAAGTCATTTATGTGAACTTCAGTTAAAGAAATGAATATGAAAGCAATCTTCACAATAATGAACACTACTTAAGCAGTAGGAAAATTAAGGACCCAAAAAAATATCAATTCAAACTAATTTTCATTTCCCTTGGGAGTTTCAATTATCAGGGTTCTACTGTTGTCAGAGAGCCTGTATAAATCCATATTTGAGGAATAATACTGAAGTTATGTCCTACATCATTTTATAATTTACAGTAATTACTTTCCATGATACTGCCGTTAAGAAAACCATGAAATTTTTGGCTTTCATAAATTCAATCTTGTAGAGAAGCCATGTAGCATCTGCTAAATTGCAGATTACAGTAATTTTCAAAACTTTTACCTTTTCAAAATTCCCATGACTGACTAAGTAAGACAGAATATCAAGCAGACAAGTGATGAGAATAGAAAAAAATATCAATTAGGGGTTTGCTAGTTGATCCAATACCAAATCCTCCAAACTACCATCACTGGAACTGTAAGGCAAACAGTAAAAAAAAATTATTGAGAACTTGGAGTGAGAGGGATGTATAAGCAGGTTTATTGCGATTGTTATAAACCAAATGTTGCATCGTGGCATGTATGCAAACTATAAGCTTGTGATTTTCATTGCAAAAAGCAACTGATGTAAACAAGTTTGATTTCATGTCAAAAGAGTTTTGTGTGTGGACCTTGTCTCAGGAAATCTTAGGTCAAGCCACATCGCGAGGTCGGTCAATTTTTGAAACTTTCAAAAACTTAAATAACTACGGTAAATCTGTAATTCTGGTTTTAATGTGGGTTATTTTCCGCCATCAAATAAACCCATCAGCGTAGAATAATACTTGCCAAGGGCTGTAAATTGTGTTTTGTGAATCGTAACATATCAAGGTAAAATATTTTTTTCGGAACCCATCTCCCAAAATGATCAATTGGAAAATTAAAAAAGGTATCTGCACAAATGTTTTGTTATTTAAACCACAGCCCGTGAGCAATTTACTGCAAGGATTAAGTATGACAAATATGCATATCAGGTATTTTATTGTTATAAACAAATTGGGTAATGACCTCGTGTGCAGAGGTTACTAATCCAATATGGCGCCGGGAACTGTAAAAAGGGCTATTGATCGTTCCGTTATACTGACGCAATTGTGAATTACTCGAAACCCTCCACAAAATCACCTTCTAGGTGCTCGTCAATGCCACTAAGAGATCAAGAAATTTGGCGTACACAGATAATTTCCCGATGGCGTAAATAACACCAAGGGAGTGATCGTATCTATAGAGACGAATTGTACGTAACTAACAAGCCGCGATGCAAAATTTTGTCTGTCCTTTACTTCTGATCTTTATCCAAGACAAACTAGAAATATCATTTTGTTTTTCCTACATCTACTGCAGTAGACATCATGCGACACTGCTGATCGCGCAGTCAAAAGCTCTACTTCGCATATTTTTTATTTAACTGTAAGTTGGTAGGTGATTAACTAATTCAACGAGGCAGTTATAAGTATAGGAGATTTTTTACGCTCACCCAAATGCCAACCCAGACGCCATAACCGATCTTAGGGCACCAGTGATCCACTGTAATAAGGGATGCCAAACACCATATGTGCGATAGCTAGACCTCGAAGAGACACAGGATGGTACGCCATGACTACTAACAATATGGCGACTTAATATTCAACGAAATGCTCGAGAATGATGTTTACAAGATGAGACTTTCCATAGGGAGGGGGGGAGGGGAGAAAGTGAAACTGTTCGTCACTTTAAGCACAGGAGGAACTGAATGTATAAGATAAAACTGACGAGGAGTTCAATTCATTGACATTTATTTCTTTGATTGGATAAATAGTGTAATTTAGCGCGTGATGTTCTCGTAATTCAGATTATATGACCTAAGTTTATAAATCTTGCTTGCTTTGGGTATGTTGAGGATCAGAACACCCGCTACATCTGATATGACGTCATTATTTTACTTCCTTATCATTTTCACTTAGTCGCCATTTCGATTGTAGTCATGGTGTACCGAGCGACTTCTTTGCGAGGGTTGGCCATCGCACAGATGGTAATTGGGGCTTTGATGACCGTGTTTGGAGTAGCATGTATTTCCTCTGCTCAACACTGGTCTTCCTACTCTGGTACTGGCGTCTGGGTCGGCCTTTGGGTAAGTTTGCTCTGTTGCTTCGAATGTCGCTTACATACATTCATATACTTTATTTATGCTCGAAATTCACAGTGTAGCTGTAGAGCTAATATCTTCGAGAAAATAAGCTAAAATAAAATAAAATATGCTATATTACAATTCCAATATTATTTATATACTATATACAACATTATACATGCAGAGGGAAATATAACTTGTAGATCTACTGTGGAAAAGATCTCCTGCTTGAATTCTTGAAAATTTAATGTTTTGTAAGTGTCTGGGAGAGAGTTCCATATTTTTCGTGTGGTGATTTGTGCGGCAAGCGAAAGATGACTGAGCAGTTCACTGACTGGCGTTAATCAAGGTGTTATTAGAACGTGGATCAGCAGACTGTGGAACCTCTCGAACCTACGATTGTTCAAGGAAAATTATTATACATATAGAATTGAAAAAACCACAACACTGTTTAAGCAATCAGCTGTGACCTTCCCTCAAGCATTAGTAATGTTTGGGTAATGCAATATCTTAATAATGCCTCAACTGAAGGCTCTTATAATTAGCAAACCTTCAGGATAGAATTGGTGGCCTTTAATTCCATGGCATTGTACATCACGCTGGAGTGAGGAACACAAGCCTTGAAGTAACATTATTGCCCATGATGCAAAAAGTGTAATTTTAGGTCATGTAGGTTTTGCTGGTTCCAGATGCTCTAGAAGGTTCCTCAGCCTACTGATCTACAGTTTAGTAACACCCAATTGGTCATCTAAGGGAACTATTTGCACTAAATCATGCAACATGGACTCCATCTCCACTTTAGTTGGTGAAGCTTTATTGACCAGTCCTGTTTGAACTGAATCAAATATTTACAGCCAGCTAAATATTAAAAAAAAAATTGTCTTTTGGACTTAAAGAATATTGAAGATGTTGTTATGGTAAATCCATAGGAAGAATACCTTTGCTGTATTAAAAAGATCATTCTACTTGTTTGAATTATTAATAGGTTTTTATCACAGGGATTTTGGGATACATTGGAGCAAGAGATGACTTAATCCCAAACAAGTGTTTGGTGAGTAACTGGACCTTTTACAGAAACCTGTAATTATTTTTTCAAGCCCTTTTCTTGATACAATCATACACACAAGCTTACATGTATATTAGCAGTTAGGGCTGGCTCCTTGTAAAGAGAAAAATGGGATGGAATACTCCACCCTGGTAAAATTCTTCTTTAGTGTTTCCAGGGTATCTACAGTGATTAACATTCATTTCAAAAATTTGTCAAAAATAAAGGAAGAAGAAAAAAAGCACTAAGAAGACAAGTAAAACAACTTAAACAGTAAATTGATATTATGCATTATAACTTTATATTTGCAAACATGCACACAATAGTTATCCTGTATATTTTGGATTTTTAAATCAGTTCATGGCTAATGAGTTTAAAGACTTTTTTTAGCCATAAATGTTCAAACCATTGATACAAAGGTTTCTTCATGAGGTATTACTCAAGGCTGGGTACTAACAGGTGCATTTAGTTTTTTTTACCCAAAGGGCAGGTGACTGTATATAAGTTTGGGCTTTTAATTGAATAAATACAGTTGATGAAGTGGTGATTGAATTGTGTTGTGTGTTTTTTCATCACCAGATTGGATGTTTTATGGGTTTCTCCATTACTGGGTGTGTCTTCTCAGGACAAATGTTCATCGGCTATTGCATTATTCTTTCAAGCTACTCCGAAATGAAGGCATACTGTTCTAAATCTTATTTTGATCATGACTATGACAGTTTCTATAACAACCATGATTGCTACGAAACTTATGGCTTTCATAGAGATACAGCCGCAAATGTGGCTGGTTTAGGCTCGTGTCTCCTTCTTCTCTCCTTGGTTGAGTTCTTCTTGGCACTTGCATCGTCCATCTATTGTTGTACAGCAGTGGGTTGTTGTTCCTCAACAGGAGTTGTGAGCACTGTAAGTAATTATCACCTCAACTATTCATTTGTTAATGCTAAAAGTTAAAATTAAATCACTTGTTGGAAATATATATATTTTTTATTTTGCATCAAATATATGTTCATACTGAACATAGGTTTAAACTTGTTACATGACCAAACAATTGGGTCTACAAAACAAAGGAATATCCAGTGATTTTCTTAATTTTTAAACCTTGTGTCCAATGCTATGAAAGTCTTCATTTCAAAGTTGAGAAACCTTTTTTTTCTTTCGAAGAGTATTTTGCTGTTTTTATAGAAGAAAAAACAAACTTCCATGTATTGTAAATGTATAATTTCCTTAAGTTGCACTAAAAAGTCAATTTTTTAATGTTTTTTATAACTTTATATTTTGATATTTTAGTATTTAATGTAATTGATGTTTAATTACCATGACTATAGACAATCACCAACCAGCAACTGATGAATGTACAGCCTCAGTACATGTACTCAGGGGCACAGTCTGGTGTGGTTTTAATACAGACTGATGCTGGTGTGGTGCCACAGATATACCCAGCAACGGGCCAGCAACCTGTGTATATAGCCCAGCAGGTAACTATAGATGTAACTTAGGTATTCATTTATAATAAAATCCAAGGACAAGCAAAAAAGTTTGAAATAATGAAAGTTTGAGATGGAGTACTATGAGCATAGAATGATTCAATGTTTTTTTTTTCTCTTTGGTTTGTTTTGTTTTGTGAATTCCGAAGTCAGTAATGTTTTATGTATGAAAAGAAGAATATTTTGTTCATTTGACAGCCTGGAGTGGTTGCACAGCCTGGGTCAGGCTTTCGGCAACCCCCTCACTGGGCTATTCCCTTAGGATCCAATCCAGCTGAAGAAATGACTGAGCCCTATTCAGCTGCTGCCCCCCAAGTGCAGAATCAAGCTCAAGTCCAGGTAATTATGCATGAGTACATAACTGTTTAACATTAACCATTTACAACCTAGTATTGATATGCATATTCTCCATACTGTTCTCTATACATTTTCTAAGATGCTGACAAGGAGAATTTGTTAAACAATAAAGAGCTTCTTTTTTTGGTGATAATTTCTTCATTCTCGAGACCTTAATGTGTGAATCAGAGCTGATGTTGTAAGGATAAATTAGATGCTAGTCACTCTTAGGTTGTGTCAAAGGGCTAATCAGATGGTATGTCATGTGATTGTAATATAGAATTGCCTTGACCTCAGTAAGATGAACCTTTTGAATAATTGATCAAACTGTCCCAATAGCATTTCTTAGAATAGATTGCCTCACTTAATTTTCTCTTAGATACCGGAGGCAGTAAAGGATGAAGACATGCCACCACCTTATTCATTTGAATCAACAGCCAATGTGCCACCACCAGCTTTCTCTTCCATCGGTGCCAATCCAAATTATTAGTGCCTGATGTCATTTCATGAATGAGCAGTGACATGTTCATCAGAAGACCTTTGTAGTGCAATTGGGGCATACCTTAGAAAGTTTGTGTTTGTGAGTTCTTTTAGTACAGTCGAACCTGTATTAAGCAGCACTGTATCAAGCAGTCACCCTAAATTAAGCAGGAAGTTTTCAAAGTTCCAGGACTTCCCCCTGAAACAGTTAAAGATTAGATAGCTCAGTCTAAGATTGTGATTCAGTCAGAGTTTGTTAAGAGTCAAATTAATCTTGCGTATTTTTCTAAAAAGTTTATCTTTGTGAGTCCTTGTAGTAAAAAATTGTACACCATAAGGGATGGTGAGTTGCCACATCCTCAAAGTGACTGGTAACTGTTGTAAGTATTTGCCCATAGTAGTACTTATTAAGCTTCAGCTGTAAACAGATTGTTTCTTATGGAATAATTATTAGTTTTTTTAAATTTTTAAAGGGCAAGCTCTGTAGCTTCAAAATAATGTAAGTTGTAACCATAACATGTTGGTGCAAAATTAATATATTTTAAAGTATCAAAGGATGTCAAACATGCTCTTTTTTGATGTAGATGGTTTGAAGTTTTTTTTACCCTTTAACTCTTAGAAGTGATTAATGTATAACTTCTCCTTAAAATATCCATAAATTATCCAGCAAGTAGGTAATGAGATTGCTCAACCTTATAAGTAAGAAGTCGTTATCTCTATCTAACATCAATTTCTCATAATCAATGTATAAGGAAATGTGTAGTAGCAAGAGGGGAGAATTGAAAATAAGATCTAGGGAGTTATAGAGTTAGAGGAGTAAACAAGTTTTTGAACCTTTTCTGCAATATATTGGACCATCAGCTCAGAATATTTAACAATCATTCGCCAAAGGCAAAGTGAATATTGTTGAATAATAATTACTAGAGGAAGTTATAATAAGTGTATTCAACAATAATTACTAAATAGAAGTGAGGAATTGTTTTAGTATAATTCAATGCTCAGGTGCTTTTTAATTCTATTGTAAAATCATTCTGTTGTTAAAGCCATTCGCTAAATATAAAGAAAACTTGCATATCTTTTCTTACAATTTTTTGACTACATGCATCAAGATAAGCAGCCAGTTTCCTCCAGATGTCAACAGGGAAAAAATTATATTTAAGCTTTGAAAGGTGTTGCACCATATTTGGTAACAGCTTATTGAATTGAATTTTCCTCGAAAGGGTTTATCACTTCCTCAGTACAGCTTTGCCAAACGTAGGGCAGCCATTTTGAAATTCAGTGCTCCTGCTTAAATCATCTTGTGCAAAGAGATTATAGCAAGATATGATGCACTCCTCAACCAATCAGCGTGTGCATCTTTGTATTTTAGACATCAATGATTCATAGCAATCCTAACTGCATCTCCCACTATGATTGTCAAAGAGCCATTTAAAACACCATTTATGTGCAGTAGTTAGGCCCAGAAGTGTTATGGGCTAGTATTTACTAGCTACCAAATTAATGAAAGTTCAAGCAGTGTGATCTCCAAATCACGCCATATGAATTCAGTTTTGTATTTCCGTTGCTGCGTAAATATTACTTGCGTTGGGTAAGTTACATTGTTTTGACGGGGGCAGGAACACTCACGAATGTGAAATGACGTCATTTCTTATTTATATTGGATGTTCGATTTGTCGCCATTTTGATTGCAATCATGGTGTACAGGGCAACTACGTTGCGAGGGTTGGCCATCGCACAGATGGTGTTTGGGGCTTTAATGATTGTGTTTGGAGTAGCATGTATTTTTTCCGCTTATCACTGGAGTTCACACGTTGGTTTTGGCGTTTGGGTTGGCCTTTGGGTAAGTTTTATTTCGTAGCTTGTTTGATCGTGCGTGCGTACGTAGACAATTATGCAGGACTGCCTTTCGATTGTAATAATAAAGCCTGCTCGCAGTTTCTGACTTTTACATTGCTTTTTTTATTTGCCCGTAATACACTTTGTCAACCCCCCCCTAATTCTCGCCTAATCGATGTTTTCAATTTTTTTCTGGCACTCGGAATCGTCGTAAGAGAGACTTCAAATATAATATAGATGAATATCTTGAGAGGCAAGTGGGTAAGCTACCGAAGGAATTTTGGAAGCTATTGTTTTTGGGAAACTGCCCTAGATTCGCTGTATTAGGCATTTTGTTGTACTATTTTCGATTGAAGTTACATATTTTGGTTCTTCCGTGTGGTAATTCGTGCCCAGCAGTTCACAGATGCTTGATCATTTATGTGAAGTGCTTACCTTAATTTGCCAAACGAAACGAAATGAGTTAATGAAATAGTTCATGCTTTTTTTTTACTACTTTCTTTAAAACTTTTCTGCAATAAAAATCAAATTGGTTTAGACACTGAGCATAAAAACAAAAATTAACTCATTTGAATCAGATCATATTTCGGGGACTTTATGCATCTCTGCTGTAGTAGGTTGAGTACTGTTTAATATAAATTAAATATATATAGCCAGCAAGATACTAAACAATTTTTCATTTGGCTTTTAAAAAATATATTTTTTTTTGTTCCAGTTTGATATGAATCAAATGTTTTTGGCAAGTAAAATAGGATTATTGTTACTTGGACTTGGAGAATATTTATGCTGTTGATGTAACATTATTGGAAGAATTTAATTATTCAAAATATCACTCTGCTTAATTGATGTCAATGTATGCATTGCAGGTGTTTATTACCGGAATTTTGGGATATATTGGAGCAAGAGATAACTCAAAACCAAACAAGTGTTTGGTGAGTTACTGAACCTTTTTAAAGAAACAAGTTTTCATTTTGTCATTTGTCTTGCCCTTTTCTCAATTCAATCATTCAAAAAAGCTGTAATAGGTAAGCCCCTTTCTGAGAGCCAAGGAATTTTAGATTCTTCTCCTCTTCTTCTCCAGATTTGATGGTAAATGTTTTTGTAAGCTTATTTAAGGCTGGGTGCTTATTGTATTTCCTGCTATTTTGACTCTCCTGTTTTGTATAAGGGAATAGGCCCTGATGCAAGTTGGACTCTCATATGAGAGGTTGGGCATTTAATCAAATAAATACAGTAAATAAAGTCATGTGTTTCAATTGTGTGTGGTTTTTTTTCCTTTTTTTAATCAACAGATTGGATGTTTTATGGGCTTCTCCATTGCAGGTTGTGTCCTCTCAGGAGCAATGTTCATCTGCTATTGCATTACTCTTGCACACTACTCCCAAATGAAGGCATACTGTTCAAACTCTTACTACAATTATGACTACGACCGTTTCTATAACTACCGTGATTGCTATAGAACGTATAACTTTCGTAGAGATACGGCAGTAAATGTGGCTGGTTTAGGCTCGTGTCTCCTTCTTTTCTCCCTGGTTGAGTTCTTCTTGGCACTTGCATCGTCCATCTATTGTTGTACGGCAGTGTGCTGTGGTACCTCACCAGGAGTTGTAAACACTGTAAGTAATATCGCCTCAACAGTTTCATTGATATTGTAAAAACTTTATGTTAAATCATCTGTTGGTAACATTGTCTTTTTATCTTGCATGGTGTATTTGTAACTTCCAAAGGTTACCAGTAGATCAGAGTAGATAATCCTAACCCACAGTGAAAATCAAGGTTTGACCCCATAACTCCCAGAAGTTGATTAACAAGTAACTTCTCCCCACAATATCCATGTACTATCCAGCAAACAGGTAATGAGAATACCCAAATGTATCAGGTAGAGGTTGTCATCTTGATCTAACACCAAATTCTCGCAACTTATTCACAAGGAAATGTGTAGCAGCTAGAGGGGAGGATTAGCAATCAGATCTTGGGAGTTATAGATTTTAATTAAATGCAGTTGATAAGCAAAATTATAAATTGGACTGAAGAAAAAATAAGTATGGAGTCATCAAATTATTCAGATGAAAAGGACAAAGTTGGGATTGGAGTTGCAAGGTTATATTGATTGAAGGTTCTGGCTGAATTTGTAATTCAAACTAAAAGGAGATACAGCAGATACTAAACTAAGATAAATATCCTGGAAATGGAACTGAATGCAAGAAATAAACCACTAATATTGACCAAAAAGGGAAATGTTGTAAATATAAGAGTTGAAAGACTTCCTTTGGTTTTGCTCCTTATGATAACAGATAATTCAAGAAAAGTAACTGTTGATGGCAATAGCAAAAGTTGATAGCAGTGACCAAACTAATAGCAAGAGAACAAGAAAAATGAGATCCAATGTCTAATTCATGTGTTTTAAATGAAACTGATTAAAATAAGGAATTTATTAAGTAATAATCATTAACTAACAAAGGATTTATTTAAAAAATTAACCCAGAACAAAAAAAAAAAAAAACAAAAATGAAAAGAACATGAACTACATGTTTTGAAACCAACACCATTTACATACAAGACTGGACATATTGGGCTTACACAGATATCATCTCTCAGTTAGTACATGTGCTCTGAAATGCTGTCAGTCTTCTTTCTTCTTGGATAAGATTTTAAGACACATTTCTTTGACAAGTTTTTAACAAACATTTCTTTCTTTTTGTCCATAGTAGCTATATTGTAAACCTGCCTGGATCTATGCATTCTCCAGACCTTATTTCAAGATGAAATGATGTTAGTTTTTCATTTGTTAATGACTTTAATATTAAATTTTTCTGATGTTTATCTATTTTGACTATTAAGACAATGACCAACCAGCAAGTAATGTATGTACAGCCTCAATACATGTACCCAGGGGCACAGCCTGGTGTGGTTTTTATGCAGACAAGTGCTGGATTGGTACCACAGTATGTCCCTCAGCAGGTAACTATAGATGTAACTTATGTATTGGTAAACAATAAATCCAAATCTGGTCAAAAAACTTGCAAGGAAATTTGAGACAAAGTAATATAAGCATAGAATGACACAATTATGGTCATTTTTTATTTTAAGTTTCTTTGTGAGAAAGCAAAAGATTGTACCATCCAGTGAGGTCATCTCACGGTGTTCACAATTAATTTCATCTAAAGATATCCAAAATTCTTTGAGTGCATGCAGTACTTTATACTTTGGAAAGGTTTAAAAAGGAAAAAAAGTAAATGCACATCATTTCCATACATGAAAAAGGTACTTCTACTCTGTCCTTGTTTGATGTATTGTTGTTATGGGGTACTCTTTGAGATAATTATTAGAAATTTGATATTTGAAGATCTTATTGACTCTGTCTCAAATTTAAGGATTCTCTTTTAGAAGATGATACTATGGCACCATAGATTGTGCATGATCGCAGGGTAGTAATTTTTTTCTGTCAAGTTCTAGTGACTCAATCAGTTACTGTAAATTGAGACAAGATGAAACTGCATCATACAAGTTCAGTAACATGAGTGGTAAAGTTGTGAACTTGGTGGCAGAACAAAGAATTCTAATTATTACCTGTTCATTTGTTAGCTATGAACATACAATCAGCATGATGACACATTATGTTGGAAATCAGGTTTTTTTCTCTCTACCCTATACATGTTACAAAACAGACAACATCTTTCTTTAGGTACAGTTATGATTTACAGAAATAAAAAATGCCAAATCTCAAACAAGATTACTCTTTTCATTTGACAGCCTGGGGTGGGTGCACAGACTGGAGTGGTTACACAGCCAGGGGTAGGTGTAGGTGCACAGCCTGGAGTGGTTATACAGCCTGGGGTGGGTGCACAGACTGGAGTGGTTACACAGCCAGGGGTAGGTGTAGGTGCACAGCCTGGAGTGGTTATACAGCCTGGGGTGGTTGCACAGCCTGGAGTGGTTGCACAGTCTGGGGCAGCCTTTCAGCAACCCACTTACTGGGCTGTTCCCTCAGGCACCAACCCACCTGGAGTGGTGACTGTGCCCTATTCAGCTGCTACCCCCCAAGGGGAAAATCAAGCTCAAGTCCAGGTAATTATGCATGAGTACATAACTGTTTAATGTAAACCTTTACACCCTAATATTAGTATGCATATTCTCCATACTGTCCAACATACATTTTTAAAGGTGCAGATAGGGAGAATTTGTTTAACAATAAAAAGCTTCTTTAGTTGGTGATCATGCATGCCCTTTATTCCCTCTTCTCGTGACCTTAGTATGTGATTCAAGGATGATGTTTAAGGGGAAATTAGATGATAGTCACTCTCAGGGTGTGTCAAAGGGTTTATTAAATTAAATTGGTGCTACATCAGTAGGAGAGTATAACTAGGTACTTAGGTATTATCGCCTGAGTTGATAACTTAGGTTGGCCACCGTGTAGAGTTTGAGAGCTGACGTTTCGAGCGTTAGCCCGTCGTCAGATCGAATGTTTAAATTGTTTGTGATATGATTGTGCTTAATCTAATTTGGGTCAAATTGCCTTGACTCTAGTTAGGTGAACCTCCTGAATTCATGATCAAACTCCACAATCAGAATTTCTAAAAACAGATGCTCTCGCTAAATATTTCCGTAGACACCTACGGCTCCAAAGGATGAAGACATGCCACCACCCTATTCATTTGCACAGACAGTTAACGTACCACCACTAGCTTTCTCTTCTGCAGCTACCAATCCAAATAATTAGTGCCTGATGTCATTTCATGGACGAGCGGCCACATGTACATCTGGAGACCTTTGTAATAATTGTAATTCAATTGGGGAATACCTTAGAAAGTTTGTGTTTGTGAGTTCATTTCGGACAGTCGAACCTGTATTAAGCAGCAGCGTATCAAGCAGTCACCCTTAATTAAGCAGGCAGTTTTTAAAGTGCTAGGATTTCCCCCTGAAACAGTTTGAGATTAGATAGCTCAATCCAAGATTGAGATTCAGTCAGAGTTTACTAAGAGTGAAGTTAATCTCGCTTATTGTTCTATAAAGTATTTATTGTAGCTTAGATTGTACACATTTTTCAAACAGGCTCTAATTTTACTTTTTCGAAAAGAACATTTACACAATTATCAAAGCGAGTATAATCAAAAAATAGAGAGGCCTTGATTGTGCTCTGTTCTGTTGTTAAGCACGCAGGATGCGGCCAGAGCACGAAAGAAGTGTCGGGAGAAACACGAGACTTAGTCGAGTGTTTCAATACTCTTATAGAGCACGCTTTTTCAACCATTGACAGCGCGCGTTATATGCCAACTTTATTATGATAATATTTAGTGTCGGCAAGTTTTCATTCAAATTTTTTCATTTCGTTATTAAAGGCCCCGGTTATAATTTGTTTTTGATTTCAAAGTGCTTTTAAATGAAATAAATTAGTGACGGCGGGTTGATAGTAGTTGCCGGCAAGGTGAATGATGTCATATGCAAGTTGGTTTTTAGCGAGTCAATATGTCGGCAAAGTGATCGGTAACTGTTTTTAAGTATTTTGACCATGGTAATACTTAAGTTATAGCTTTAAATAGACTTTTCTAATTTTGTGAATTATTTTTAATTTGTTCAGTTTTCTAGGGTCGGCCCCATAGTAATAACTTAGTAGCCGTAACATGTAGATGTAAAATTAAATATTAAAATAATAAATATTAAACACGCTGTTTCTTTTTTTTGTTTTTTTTTTTTGTTTTTTTGTTTTGTTTTTTTCTTTTTTTCATGTATATGGGTTTTCCACAATTTTGTGATCTATCTCAGAATAATAATTATGAGAGACTGTAAAATTTGGTTCAGAGAATTGAAACAGATCAATGCTCAGTGCTCAGAGGTTAAATTGCCTCCCTTAAAATTCGCTTTAGGAATACTTTCCCAAAATGTTGAAGACTTGAAAATTAAAAAATGAAGCCGGAAGGCCCTTTTTTGTTTACAATTTAAACAACAACCCTTGCTATGGCAGAAAAACTTATCTTTGTTTATGGAAGGCTTTATTTCTATCTTAAGCTTCAACATCCCTCCCGAGTATTTGAAGCGTTGAAATTTCTTCCATTTCCCCTTCCTACCTGCGGGCCAAAACTGTGTTCAAATGCTCTACTCCACTGCTGGATTCGATGATCAGTTTTTTTTCTAAAGATTAGTGACTGCGACTTTCTGTTCATTCACCGGCAATTGACTTGACTATTCGAGCTTTAAAAACCAAGACCTTGTGGATCCTTTCTCCCTTAATTAACCCTTTAACTGCCAGATCAAATTTGTAATTCTCCTTACTGTCGGTCATACAATTTTTATAATGTTAGCTCAGGGAATTTAGTATTGGATCAACTGATTATCAAAAAATTGATATTCTCCTTTATTCTCATCAGTCATCTGATTGATATTGTATTGATATTGTAGGGAGAAATTCTGTCTTGGTCACTCATGGGAGTTAAAGGGTTCGCTCTGTACTTCACGACAGCTCCATATTAAAATGTAAAATGTTTCGCCCTCCAGGAAGAATGGACACCACCGGATCAAATTTCCCATCCCAGCAAGGCAAGGGTTACATTTGCCATCCCCGGGGACTAACCATAGTCAAATTCCCTCGGGTTGCCCGGAAAGGGATTTTGAAGCTTTGAATTTCTCGGCGTCTGATTGAATGTTCGATTTGTCGCCAATTTGATCACAGTCATGGTTTACAGAAAAACTGCTTTGCGTAGGTTGGCTATCGCACAGATGGTGTTTGGGGCTTCGTTATTCGTCTTTGGATTCATAAGTTTTTCCATTGCTCGACACTGGCCTTTGTATGTTCGTTGTGGCCTCCTTGGGGTTGGCGTCTGGGTAAGTTTCGTCTGGCTTGTTCGAATAATAGGGACCTATGCAAACCAAGACGGCGACGGCAATGAGGACGTGGCAGAACTCTAGGTCTAATGGGCAGAACAATAGCCAGCACATGCCTTTTAAAACTATGCTCATTTCATAGCCGTCCTCTGCAAAATGACAACGTGGAATAGCAAAAATTTGCGTCGTCTGCAAGCGGAAACCGCGACGGCAAATTATTTTTATTTCCATTTGGAACTCAACGCTGCTTAAATGTGTTATGCTGAAGTTGAGTTGTGGCACTGCAAGAGACGGTTAATTCATGCGACCATTTTCAAACTGAAATTCATTTTTTAATCGACGTCTTTCTTGGCTTTTTTTTTTTTGGAAAAAGGTCAAGATATTAGGTATTTTGTTGCACGCTCTTTCGACTGGAGGGATATATTTGACTGTTTTGCGATAGGCTTAATATAAACTTACGGTTCACCCGTGCTTGGTCATTTAAGAAGGCACTACTTCCCATAAAATCTAATATCACAGCCCTATAAATTATTATGCATACAGTTCTTGGATAAAGGAAAAAAAGCGAGAACCATAGATTGTATTTTGGACTGGGGATCTGTTTTTCGATTGAATGAGGAGGCGCGGAAGTCTTACCAATCTATTTTGAGAAGCAAATTTGTTTTTAGTGCGGAAGTGACCAAATAGAAGGCGTTTGGACCAAATCAATTCAAGGATAGGCTCGGCCTTGGCGGTGTGTGCACTCTGATTGCGTTGTATTGTGGTTGTGTTATCTTCAATATTGCGTTGGAAGCGGAATTGACTGGACATTCCGTAAAAGTTAGGCTGTTCCTTTTTCCCTTCGCCATAGGTGAATGTAATTTGATTTATTTTGAATGTGTTGAAGTATTTCCGTACACATTTGTCGCATATTTAGTCGCTCTTGTAGGACAGACGGAATCACTATGTCTACGTATGTAATTTGAGACCAATTTTCGAGAAGGTCAAATTTCAAGTTAATTATCCAAAGATTTGGATGGTCGCTTTGATCAAAATCTCTGACCAAACGCTCTCCAACAGTACTCGTGTTTTATGTATTTTAAGTGCTAGCGTTTGAGACCGGTTATGGCAGCGAAAAGGCCTGTTGTTGTCCATAGCTATATAGTGTATATAGTGTATATAGTGTATATAGTATAGTGTATATAGTGTATTAGCTAGTGTATTACGTTACGTAGCGTTACGTTGTTGTAAGGACATTTCCTATCCGCTATACTCAGTCGTGTTGCAGTAAAAGCAAATTAACTAACTACGATTATTGTGTGGTAAATCTACTATTTTGATCACTGAATGAAGAACTGTTGAGTTAAATCAGAGCAACAGAAGGAGTCACTTGACCAATGATTAGGGCTTAATGATTTCCGGCTCAGACGGAAAGCGAAAAAGGCCAGTTGACCGTTAAAAAGTGTTGACGGGCCTTTGCGACTCCTGTCATTTGCTAGCACTTTTAAATCTTTAAGCCAGGTTCCTTTCGTAACTTGACACTGAGTTACACAAAGCGTGAAGCGTTCATGAATTAATCGTTAGCTTTTTCTCGAAACATGAGCTTGGGCCGCCTGTGATTCTTTAAGCGTGATTTAAAACTCTCAACGTTTTCATCAAACATGGAGCGTGAAAAATTTGTTCTTAGGAGGCGTAATACTTCTTCTTTTTACGAATCCTGTATCGATGCCATTAGATGAAGTTTGTGTATTAGAAGGGAGTTTAGAAGGTCTCTGTCTCTTTGTGGTTCATTTACGTGTCAAGAGTCAATTCCCTGTTAAATTAAACTTGCGTCTAGGAATCTAATTCCTGAATTTGATATTATTCACACAGCCATCGGCTGTGACTGTAACTGCATGCTGCCATGTGATGTGTAGATTCTTTACTTAGGCAAGACTGCAGTTTATATTTTTCCGAATTTCGTCAGTAATGTGCCTCCCAAGAACAAATTAATCATAGAGGAATGACAAGAGTTGCGCAGGCCCGTCAACACTTTTTAACTTTCGAAGGAATTGTAACAGATAGTGAATCTCCAATACAACTCAAGTAGAATCACGCTATTCTCGTTACCACCAAAGATGTTCATTCCACGGCAACAGGATGCAAATAAGTTACTTTTTCTTTTACGACCATAATGCAACACAATGAGAACGTGCACATCGCCTGGGATGGGTGGATCCAATTTAAACGAGTCAATCTGATACCAAGTATACTACCAACAATTTTGTTTGATTTTGATATCAATACTGTGACCTCGTTGAGTTAAATGGAAAGTCAAATGTTCAGACTAATCAAATATATAATTTTATTACATTGCTGGCAGCTTCTGACTGGGCATTATGAAGCGAATCCTGTGTTCTGATTGGCTACCCAAGCAGGCAAGACGGGCCCATCTTGCTTGCTGGGATTGCCTACTTAGATCTAGAGCAAGAAAAACATTACGTGGAGCGTACTTACTAAGTTCATAATTTTTGGACAATTTTGGCAGACAAAAGCGGTAGAAGATTGTCGAAATAAAGAAATCATAACAAGTCTTGTCTGTTTACTGCGCTAAAAACACAGTTGGCTTTCTTTCCTAGCCCTAAAAATTAAAACAAGTCATTCTTGATTCTTAATAAAGCAAATCTTTTAAGATGGCTTGATATTAGCCAATATTTTGTTTGGACTTTGATGGAACTGAGCCTGGACCTGGACGTCTCAGTTCATAATATGCAAAAAGGAACTTAGTCAATATCCAGCCATGTTGATCTTACTAACGGCCAATAAAACACATATCTTGCACTATGAATGCTGCTTGTTGTCGAACATTCTATGGTAGCATCAAAAATTGCGAGACAGTGAAACAAATCAAACATTTTTTAATCGGTGTTTAAAAAAAACAATGCCCTGCGCAACAATAACAGCAACAAAACATCGGATAAATGTCATCTCCTTCCAAATTTTCATATAGAACAACGTCGAAAAAATATCGTTAGCTAAGTAGACCACACTAGAGCATAGATAGCAGCAGGAAACGAAAAATCTCCTCATCGATCAAAACTTCCTCATGAAGAATCATTCGCCTCAAGGTCACTGTCAGTAAAAATCCCATTGGGGTAGTCTGCCTCGTGATACGCTAATGGGGATGTGCCACTGGATGGGGTCACATTTTTAAGGAGTATTGCCTCGTGATAGGCTAATAGAGATGTGCCACTGGATGGGGGTCAATTTTTATGGGGTACTGCCTTTTGATGGGCTAATTGGGATGTGTTACTGGATGGGGGTCACGTTTTTATAGGGTACGACCTTGTGATAGACCAATGGAGATGTGCCACTGGATGGGGTCACATTTTTATGGGGTACTGCCTTGTGATGGACTAATGGAGATGTGCCACTTAATGGGGTCCCATTTTTATGAGGTACTGCCTTGTGATAGACTAATGGGGATGTGCCACTGGATGAGGTCTAATTTTTATGAGGTACTGCCTTGTGATAGGCCAATAGAAATGTGCCACTAGGTAGGGTCACATTTTTATGGAGTACTGCCTCGTGACAGGCCAATGAGGATGTGTCACTGAATGGGATCACATTTTTATGACTAGATTGATTGCAATGGGGTTACATTTCCCAAATAGTTACTTGAATGGGGTCGATCCCACTTTTTTCGGATCTTGGAGGAAGAGAAATTTTGGTCGATCTTTGGCATCATCACATGGCTCTCTAAGGATTACCTAATTAAAAGGTTGATAAACATGATCCAAAGTGATAAATATGGGGTCGCGAAAATCCCGAATTATCTTTTCGAAAGCTCCACCACTTCAGTTGGTGGAGTTTTCTGAGCTTGCTTGAATAGATGTGAATCGTATATTTAAGGCCGGCAAAATATGAAAAATTTATCATTTAGCCTCAAAGAATATTTAATATTTTCTTATTTTATAGTAAGAAAGGAATTATTTGAAAGATCTTTCTGCTTCTTTGTATTGTAGGTTTTTGGCACAGGAATTTTGGGATACCAAGGAGTAAGAGATTATTTCAACCCAAACAGGTGTTTGGTGAGTTACTGCGCTTTTTAAGGAATTTTTTGTTATTATTTCTCTATCTCTTTCTTCAATACACACTACCTTATTATACGAAAGCACCTCGATTATTGGATTATTAAGCCAAAAATTTAATTAAATGGCTTAAAAGAACATGAATATATTAGACAAGAAGGAAGGTCCAACCTCGAGGATTCATTGTACATAAACTGTTAACCTCTGCTAAAAGTTATCCAACAACGATTTACATGGTCTAAAATTCTGATGTAAATCAGTTTGTTTCGAGCGGCTACAGTGTGTGCCCACCACTAGTTTCATCATTCTTTGAAACTGCATTAGTTTTAGAATTATGTCAGCCTTGTTTCACCTTTTCAGCTATTTTATACACTTACTCAAACATTCAACAGTTTTTAAAAATGCAACATGTGCTTATGTACTTGTGTGCTTGTTTGATGGAAAAAATGGTATGGATCTTGAATGTTATTTTAATATTAATATTCTTATTATATGGGACTAGAGATTAGCAAGTCTGGATAATTATAATAGTTGCACTGATAATAATAATAATAATAATAATAATTATTATTATTATTATTATTATTATTATTATTATCATTATTATTATTACAATTATAATAATAGCTGTTACAATTAAAAGATACCAATAATCGAGGCCCAGATTATCTAGGGCTGCCCTTAGTAAAGGGGAGAAGTGGGATGAATTCCCCTTCCCCTGCCCCCATTTACAGCATTTATCTTCGATGTTTCTAGGACATCTTCAAAGACTAACAGTAATTTGATAAATTTGTCAAACATGAAGGAAGAAAGAAAGAAAGGAAAAAAAAAGGAACTACAGAAACGACTAAACTACCAAACTAATAATACACGTCTTCTTCAGGTTTGCAAAATTCACATGATAAATATCCAGAATATTTCTGAATTAAACTTTCCAGACCATAATAACTCTCGTGCAAGCCTATTAAATAAACATAAATTAAAGGTAACTAGTAAGGAATAAGTTATCAGATAGAAATTAAACTAATTATTTGAGGGGGAGCGACTGGACAAATTTTTAGGCTAGGATTTTGAAAAAGAGTGTGTGGTTTTTCCTGTTTAACAAATTGTGTTATTCTTTTTTAGGCTAAGACAATTTTGAGTAAAAAACGGCTGGCATTTTGGTTCTCTATAAGATTTTAATAATCAACCCAACCTCTATAACGAGTCCCTATCTGAAAGCCCTGGAGTTGAGCACCCCTCACCTCTCCCCTTGGGTTTTTTCAAGGAATTGACGGTTCTTACAAATTGAATTAAATGGGGGAACAAGTATGGTGCAGTGGTGAGAGTGCTCGCCCTCATACTGCTATGGGTGGGGTTTGATTCCTGGACCTGCCGTCACATGTGAGTGGAGTTTGTTATTGGTTCTCGTTGTTGTTCCGAGGGGTTTTTCTCCCTGAGTATTCCGATTTTCCTCCCTCCACAACACCACAATACCACAACTTGGAAACAGTGGACAGGAAGAGCCACCTCGTGGAATGTCCGCTGCATAACCATAATTATTATTACCATTACCATCATTATTATTAATAAAAAAGATTGGTATGAGACTCACATTTAAAGAGAACACATTTAGTTCATGTACATTTACCAGGAGATGATCAACTTTGAATTTTAATTGAATTGTGTAATGTGTTTTTATCAACAGATTGGATGTTTTATGGGTTTCTCCATTACATTTTGTGTCTGCTCAGGAGCAATGATCATCTACAGTTGCATTACTCTTGCAAGCTACTCCGAAATGAAGAATTTATGTAACCGTTATGAGACTTATTCTAGAGGCGGCTACAATTATTACTCTGCCGAGTACGATGATTGCTATTTGAGGCATGGCTTTGATAGAGATACAGCAGAAAAGGTGGCTGGTTTAGGCTCTTTTCTCCTTATTTTATCCTTGGTTGAGTTGTTCTTGGCCCTTGCGTCATCCATCTATTGTTGCAGGGCAGTGTGTTGTAACTCAGCAGCAGTTGAGAACACAGTAAGTAATTACCAGTTGATAATGTTTAAAGCTATCTTGAAATCATTTGTTGCCAATATATTTTTTATACATATATTGCATCAAATATTTTTGCATACTTACAGGTCGTTTCACAAAAACTGAGAACTATTCAATATTATAACCCATCAATTTTTTTGCCCGCGTGCAATTTTTCTAAATACATCATGTGATCAAATATGATCTGGCTAAAACTGGGGAATATCCTGGGATATATAGCCCAACTGATATTCCTCAATTTACAAATCCCTATGATCAATACGATAAAATCTTTCGCTTAAAATTGAATTCACGTTGAAAGTGCATTTTGCTACTGTTACAGTGAGGATGATATACGCTCGAAGATATACCCTTATGTTTGTCCTTGGACATTATCTGTTCCTTGAAGCTCATCGCGACCCTCTAAGAAGACTCTTCGCATCGAGGAACAGATATAATGTCCCTGGACAAATATTCGTGCATATTTTAGTGCCCGATGGCAGCCATTGTTAATTTATTGCAATTTTCAAATCTTGTGTCTAGTTTCCCAGTCTAGCTTTATAGAAAATTAGTTCTTAGAAAGTTGCTTGCATCATGGAACAAACATTATATTTACCAGACAAATATCTCTTTAGTGAACACAATCCCACGTATATAGTGGTAATAATGATCATGATGAACAATTTGTATAGGTAAAGACACGCGTAATTTTTTCATGTACATTATTTACACTAGGTTACTGACCTTTATAATGATAAGTATATATTATGGACTATTGGAATTTTTAGTTTTGAATGTTAATAGAGTAAACTTCCCTTTAACAGACAAACTATCTTTTCCTGTTCACAGTGGCTTTGTTGTAAACCTATACCTAGTAAATGGTTTTGTGCATTCCATTGACTTTATCTGGTGAAATGACAGCTAGCATTTTTTGATGAATTTTAGACTTTAAACATTTAATCTATCTGATTTTTAACTATTTTGAATATTAATACATGGACCAACCAGCAATTGGTGTATGTACAGCCTCAATACATGTACCCTGGGGTACAGCCGGGTGGGGTTTTAATGCAGACTGATGCTGGTGTGGTGCCACAGGGATACCCAGCAACAGGCCAGCAACCTTCGTATGTCCTCCAGCAGGTAACTAGATATAAATAATTATGTACTGATAAAAATTACATGAATCCAAGTTTGGACAAACAAAGTTCTAGGCAGAGTACTTTAAACTTGGAATAGTCAAATGTTTTTTCCTGGTTTAGTTTGTTTTTCCGAAAACAAATTAGTGATTATTCCATTGGCATTTTTTTTTCAGATATTAGGAATTTTATATTTGAAATTCTAAGAGTGACTTGCAGCTAATTTCTCCCTACAATATAACCCCTGAATCCCACATTAAGATAAAAATAATAAGGAAAATGGTCAGCAACTAAAGAGGCTCTCGATTGTTAAACAAATTCTCCCTGTCAGGTACCTTAGGAAACATTATATAAGGACAATATGGAGTATATGCATACTCATGTTTTGGTGTAAAGGGATAAAATGCTGGTATGGTGAAACTAAAGCTACTGACAATTATACATTCAGTATGGTAAAGTTTTGAGCTTGATGCATAAATAAAGAAAAAGTTGAGTTTGTTAGATATGAACCTATTTATGGCCCAGTTCACCTGAGTGTGCTCTCTGTAACTTATTGGTAGAGGACAAACTCCAAGGTCTAGTGTCTATTTCAATATGGGTAACCCAGAGTTTTTTGCACCATGGATGTGGAAAATTGCAGAAAGTCTTCCCCCATATGCTGTCAAGAATTCTGAAGTCAACAATGTTCTAGGTCTAAAATATTTTATTTCTTATTATTTATTTGGCAGCCTGGCGTGGTTGCACAACCTGGAGCGGTTGCTGAACCTGGAGTGGTTGCAAAACCTGGCGTGTTTGCACAGCCTGGGGTGGTTACACAGCCAGGGATGGCTGCACAGTCTGGGGTGGTGACACAGCCGGCGGTGGTTGGACAGCCAGGAGTGGTGGCACCGCCTTGGGTGGTTGCACAGCCTGAGGTTGTTGCAAAGCCTGGGGTGGTGACACAGCCGGCGGTAGTTGAACAGCCAGGGGTGGTGGCACAGCCCGGGGTTGTCGCACAGCTCGGGGTGGTCCCACAGTCTGGGGTGGTTGCACAGCCTGGACTGATTGCACAACCTGGGGTGGTTGCACAGCCTGGGGTGGCATTTCAGCAACCCACTTACTGGCCTGTTCCCTCAGGATCCAACGCAGCTGGAGCAGTGACTTTGCCTTATTCTGATGTTCCCCCCAAAGTGCAGAATCAAGCTCTGCAAGTCCAGGTAATTATGCTGGAATGCATGAGTGCAACCCTTCAGCCCTAAGGACTAACCAGAATCTAGTTTCTCTTCACAGTTTCGCTCCTTAATCAAACAGAAATGAGAACAAATGAAATGATGGCCAACTAAAGAAGCTCTTTGTTGTTAATCAGATTCTGTGTGTCAGTACCATAAGAAATGAGTGGAGAACACTCCGATGGTTTTTAAATGAGTTTTGTTGTGAAGTGACCTGTTTGTTCACTTTAGAATTGCCTTGACCTTAGCAAACTCTTCAAACAGAATCTCTGAGAATCGATTATCTTACTTAATATTTCCTTAGATTCCTGTAGCAGTAACAGACGAGGACATTTCACCACCATATTCATTTGTGCAGTCAGGCAATGTACCACCACCAGCTTTCTCATCTGAGGATGCCAATCCAAATGGTTAATGTCCGATTTCAGTACATGAATCACCAGTTACATCTGGAGTATAATTAGAGCATGCTTTAGAAGTTTTGAGTTAGTGAGCTCTTGCAGTAGAATGGGAAAGGAATGGGAACCAGGGGAGAAGAGTGAAATTATTTGTGATATGATTGTGCTTAATCTAATTTAGGTCAAATTGCGTTGACCTTAGTTAGGTGAGCCTCATGAATTCATGATCAACCTCCACAATCAGAATTTGTAAAAACAGATGGTCTCGCTAAATATTTCCGTAGATACCTACGGCTCAAAAGGATGAAGACATGCCACCACCCTATTCTCATTAGCACAGACAGCCAATGTACCACCACCAGCTTTCTCTTCTGCAGTTGCCAATCCAAATAATTAGTGCCTGATGTCATTTCATGAACGAGCGGCCACATGTACATCTGGAGACCTTTGTAGTTCAATTGGATATTACCTTAGAAAGTTTGTGTTTGGGAGTTCTTTTATTACAGGCGAACCTGTTTTAAGCAGCACCGTATCAAGCAGTCACCCTTAATTAAGCAGGCAGTTTTCAAAGTCCAAGGATTTCCAGAAACAGTTTGAGATTAGATAGCTCAATCCAAGATTGAGATTCAGTCAGAGTTTACTTAGAGTCAAGTTAACCTCGCTTATTGTTCTCGAAAGTATTTAATGTAGCTTAGATGTTGTATTTACCTTTTTTACACATTTTTCAAACAGGCTCTGATTTTAATTTTTCAAACTTAAGAACATTTACACAATTATCAAAGCGAGTATAATCAAAAAATAGAGAGGCCTTGTTTGTGCTCTGCGCAGGATGCGACCAGAGAACGAAAGAAGTGTTGTGAGAAACACGAGACTTAGTCGAGTGTTTTAATACTCTTATAGAGCACGCTTATTCAACCAATGACAGCGCGCGTTATATCTGAACTTTACTTAGTCGAGTGTTTTAATACTCTTATAGAGCACGCTTATTCAACCAATGACAGCGCGCGTTTTATCTGAACTTTACTTAGTCGAGTGTTTTAATACTCTTATAGAGCACGCTTATTCAACCAATGACAGCGCGCGTTATATCTGAACTTTACTTAGTCGAGTGTTTTAATACTCTTATAGAGCACGCTTATTCAACTAATGACAGCGCGCGTTATATCTGAACTTTATTATGATAATATTTAGTGTCAGCAAGTTTTCATTCAAAACTTTTCATTTCGTTATTAAAGGCCCCGGGTATAATTTGTTTTTGTTTTCAAAGTGCTTTTAAATGAAATAAATTAGTGACGGCGAGTTGATAGTAGTTGCCGGCAAGGTGAATGCTGTTAAATGCAAGTTGGTTTTTATCGAGTCAATATGTCGGCAAAGTGATCGGTAACTGTTTTTAAGTATTTTGACCATGGTAATACTTAAGTTATAGCTTTAAATAGACTTTTCTAATTTTGTGAATTATTTTTAATTTGTTCAGTTTTGTAGGGTCGGCCCCATAGTAATAACTTAGTAGCCGTAACATGTAGATGTAAAATTACATATTAAAACAATAAATATTAAACATGCTGTTTCTTTTTCTTTGTTTGCTCGCCAAAGTGAATTAACCCTTTAACTCCCGGATCAAATTTGTAATTCTCCTTACTGTCGACCATACAATTCATATAGTTAGCTCAGAGAATTTAGTATTGGATCAACTAATTATCAATAAATTGATGTTTAACTTTATTCTCATTGCTCATCTGACTGATATTGTGATGGTATTGTAAAGGGAAATTCTGTCTTGATCACTCGTGGCAGTTAAAAGGTTAAACCACGTTAAAATGTAAAACGTTTATCCCGCTGGGAAGAATCAACACCGCCGGATCAAATTCCCCATCCCACTCAGGCAAGGGTTACATTTGCCAACCCTGGGCACTGACTACAGTCCAATTCCCTCAGGTTGCCCGAAAAGGGATTTTGAAGCCTTGAATTTCTCGGCGTATGATTGAATGTTTGATTTGTCGCCAATTTGGTTACAGTCATGGTGTATAGAGCAACTATTTTGCGAAGGTTGGCCATCACACAGATGGTGTTTGGGGCTGTGATGTTCGTATTTGGAATAACAAGTATTTTCGTTGCTGAACACTGGACTTCATACATTGCTTTTGGCGTCTGGGTTGGCGTTTGGGTAAGTTTCGACCAGCTTGTTCGAATAATAGGGACCTTAAGCAAACCGATACGGCAACGACAATGAGGACGTGGCAGAACAAAAGATCTAATGGGCAGAACAATAGCCAGCACATGCCTTTTAAAACTATGCTCATTTCATAGCCGTGCTCCGCAAAATGACAACGTGGAATCACAAAAATTTGCGTCGTCTGCAAGCGGAAACCGCGACGGCAAATTAATTTATTTCCATTTGGAACTCAAAGCTGCTTAAATACGTTATGCTGAAGTTGAGTTGTGGCACTGCAAGAGACGGTTAACTCATGCGACCATTTTCGAACTGAAATTCATTTTTTAAACGACGTCCTTCTTGGCGTTTCTGTGTCCTGACGCGCGACGTGGCTTTCATGATAGGGTATGTATATTTTTTTTTTGGCAAAAGATCAAGATAATAGGTATTTTGTTGCACGCTCTTTCGACTGGAGTTATATATGTGACCGTTTTGTAGCAGGTTCAATATGAACTTACGGTTTCACAAGCGCTTGATGATTTAAGATGGCACTACTTTCCATAAAATCTAATATCGCAGCCCTATAAATTAATATGCAAACAGTTCTAGGATAAAGAAAATAATGGCGGGAAGTATAGATTGTATTTTGAACTGGGGATTTGTTTTCCAATTGAATGAGGCGGTGCAGAAGTCTTACCAATCTATTATTAATGAGAAGCAAATTGGTTTTAGTGCAGAAATGACCAAATAGAAGGCGTTTAAAATAAATCAATGAAAGGATAGGTGTGTGCACTCTGATTGCGTTGCATTGTGGTTGCGTTATTTTCAATATTGCCGTGCAAACGAAATTGACTGAACATTCCGTAAAAGTTAGGCTGTTCCTTTTCCCTTCGCCATAGGTGAATGAAATTTGACTTATTTTGAATGTGTTGAAGTATTTTCCAATCGCATTTGTCGCATATTTAGTCGCTCCATTTAGTCGGACAAACGGAATCACTATGTTTAAGTATGGAGGGGGGCAATGGGATTTTCGGTTTTGTGGTTTTGGCTATATTTTAGATCGGTTTTCCATTTTTGTGCCAAAAGACTTGGGCTTTTCGGTTTTGGTGTTCATTACGGTTTGCAGATTTTCCGTTTTTTAGCATTCGGTTTTCGGTTTTCGGTTTTCGCGAAAAATACTAACGGGTTTTAGGATTTGATATCAGATGCGGTTTTCGGTTTTTCCAATTAGACCTATTTGAGTTCCGGTTTCTCTTCGATCTGAGCGGCAATTACGCTACAATTACAATTGAAATATCGCAGGGATCCCTAGGTAGCCTACACGTAGCCGTGCTCTTCCCCTCCCCTAAGGTGGGGGGGAGGGGAGGGTGCGGCTACAGGTAGGGTACGGCTAAGCACGGATCATCGCCAGAGTTTCTTTATCAACGCCACCTCGAAGTTGATGACAAAGTTACAGGCCACACGTGACTGATTGATTAAACATTCCAATAGAATCTCCAAACTTTCAGGTCTTAGTTCGCAAATAGAAATGTTAGATTAAGGATATTCGATGAAACTTTCCAGAGCTATAGCTTTTTGCGACTGCAAAATTGTAATTCCATCGAGGACTTTTGTGCGAATTTCCTTAATTTAATTAGGCTCCACTACCAGTTGCTGAGTCCGCAGAGACCACGCTCGAGGTCCTCGAGAGTGCAGCTGCTAATTTAAGCAGATACTAGAAGATACGAGTGCCAGGTCCATGGTATTCATAAATCCTGTCATGAAATTAGTATAGTTTACTCTGTATGCTCCACTTGTCACCAATGTATCGGATCGATTAGGGTTTTAATAACTGGGATGTGAAAATGTATCGATTTTGACAGTTTTGCATGCGGTTTTCGGTTTTGATCAAATTTTCTTTTTCGGTTTTTCGGTTTTGGATGATTTTATCTACGGTTTTGCGGTTTCTAATGGGCCTTAATGCCCCCTCAGTATGTAATTTCAGACCAATTTTCGAGAAGGTCAAATTTGATGTACGTCGTTGTCTGAAGTCTTTATTTATCCAAAGATTTGGATGGTCGCTTTGATCAAAAGCTCTGATCAAACGCTCTCCCACGGTACTCTTGTTTTATGTATTTTAAGTGCCTGTGTTTGAGATCGGTTACAGCAGCGAAAGGCCTATTACTGTGTATAGCTAGAGTGTCTTGCGTGACATAGCATAATGTTATTGTAACGAAATTTCGTATCCACTATACTCAGTCGTGTTGTAAATCTACTTTCTGTAGTAAAAGAAAGTGGATCAATATTTGTTTCTGGGCAACCGAGCTCGATATCGATTTGTCGTACTCGATTACCATTCCTGCTCGATAAGCAAACGACGTTGGACCACATTTAGTATCTGGGCAACCGAGCTCGATTCATGTTCACACGTCGTTTGCTTATCGAGCAGGAATGGTAATCGAGTACGACAAATCGATATCGAGCTCGGTTGCCCAGAAACAAATATTGATCCAAGAAAATTAACTAACCGCGATTATTTTATGGTAAATCTACTATTTTGATTGTTGAATGAAGAACTGTTGAGTTAAATCAGAGCAATAAAAGGAGTCACTTAACCAATGATTAGGGCTTAATGATTTCCGGCTCAGCCGGAAAGCGAAAAAAGGCAGTTGACCGTTAAAAAGTGTTGACGGGCCTTTGCGACTCCTGTCGTTTGCTAGCCCTTTTAAATCTTCTGCCTTCAAAGTTAAGCTCTCACTAGGATATCTAGTAACTCCCGAGATATGTGTCTCAAAACTGTCATCTGGGTATCCTCTATTCTTTAAGCATAATTTAAAATTCTATACGTTTTCATTAAACAAGAGCGTGAAACATTTGTCCTTAGCAGGCGTATCACTGCTTCCTTTTACGAATCCTGTATGGATGCCATGTAGATGGAGTTTGTGTATTAGAAGGTCTCTGTCTCTTTGTAGTGCATTTATGTGTCAAGAGTCAATTCCCTGTTAAATTAAACCTGCGTCTAGGAATCTAATTTCTGAATTTGATATTATTCACATAGCCATCGGCTATGACTGTAACTGCATTCTGCCATTTCTGTAGATTCTTTACTTAGGCAAGACTGCAATTTAGATTTTTCCCGAATCTCGTCAGTAATGTGCCTCCCAAGAACAAATTACTCACAGAGGAATGACAAGAGTTTTGCAGGCCTGTTAACACTTTTTAACTTTCGAAGGAATTGTAACAGACAGTGAATCCCCTTTACAATTCAGGTATAATCACGCTATTTTAGTTATCATCAAAGATGTTCACTCCACGGCAACAGGTTGCAAATGAGAAAGAGTACATCGCCTGGGATGGGTGGATCCGGTTTAAACGAATCAATCTGATACCAAGTACAGTACCAACACTTTTGTTTGATTTTGATATCAATACTGTGACCTCACTGAGTTAAATGGAAAGTCACATGATTAGATTAATCAAGTATAGAATTTTATTACATTGTTGACAGCTTCTGACTGGGCAATATGTAGCGAATCCTGTGTTCTACTTGGCTACCCAAGCAGGCAAAACGGGCTCATCTTGCTTGCTGGGAGTGCCTACTTAGATCTAGAGCTAGAAAAAGATTGCGTGGAGCGTACTTACAAAGTTCATAATTTTTGGACAACTTTGGCAGAGAAAAGCGGTAGACGACTGTCAAAATAAAGAAATTAGAACAAGTCTTGTCGGTTTACTGCGCTAAAAAAAAAAAAATATATATATATATATATATTTATGATGACCGCGTAAGCGCGAAACTCAAAGTCACAGAAAAGTTATGTCTTATCGATTTGTCCAACTTTCAGTTACTCCACGCTCTGCGAACGCATCGATCGAGCTCTATACCGCAAGGATAGACTATAATCAAGGTTTATTTATATTTATATATGATACACAATGTGCAAAAAGGAACTTAGCCAATATCTAGCCGTGTTGACCACACACATTTGGTCGATAACACACATATCTTGCACTATGAATATTACTTGTTGTCCAATATTCTACGGTAGCATCAAAAATTGCGAGACAGTGAAACAAATCAAACATTCTTTTATCAGTATTTAAAAAAAAAACATTGCCCTGCGCAACAATAACAGCAACACAACATCGGATAATTGTCATCTCCTTCCAAATTTTGATATAAAACGACGTCGAAATTATCGCTAGCTAAGAAGACCACACTAGAGCATAGAAAGCAGCAGGAAACGAAAACTCTCCTCATCGATCAAAACTTCCTCATGAAGAATCATTCGCCTCAAGGTCACTGTCAATAAAAATCCCATTGGGATAGTCTGTCTTGTGATAGGCTAATAGGGATGTACCATTGGATGGGGTCCCATTTTTATGGGTTACTGCCTTGCGATAGGCTAATGGGGATGTGCCACTGGATGGGGTCACATTTTTATAGGATGCTGCCTTGTGAGAAGCTAATGGAGATGTGCCACTGGGTGGGGTCACATTTTTATGGGGCACTGCCTTGTGATAAGCTAATGGAGATGTGCCACTTGATGGAGTCCCATTTTTATGGGGCACTGCCTTGTGACAGGCTGATAGAGATGTGCCACTGGATAGTGTTCAGTTTCTATGGGGTACTGCCTTGTGATAGACTAATGGGGATGTGCCACTGGATGGGGTCATATTTTTATAGGATACTGCCTTGTAATAGGCTGATAGAGATGTGCCACTGGATGGGGGTCAGTTTCTATGGGGTACTGCCTTGTGATAGACTAATAGGGATGTGCCACTGGACGGGGTCACACTGTTATAGGATACTGCATTGTAATAGGCTAATAGAGATGTGCCACCGGATGGGGGTTAATTTCTATGGCGCACTGCCTTGTGATAGACTAATGGGGATGTGTCACTCGATGGGGTCACATTTTTATGACTAGATTTATTGCAATGAGGTTACATTTCCCAATTAGTTATTGAATGGGGTCGATCCCACTTTTTTCGGATCTCGGAGGTAGAGAAATTTTGGTCGATCTTTGGCATCATCCCATGGCTCTCTAAGGATTACCTAATTAAAAGGTTTATAAACATGATCAAAAGTGACAAATATGGGGTCTCCACCACATCAGTTGGTGGAGCTTTCTGAGCTTGTTTGAATAGATGTGAATCGTATATTTAAGGCCGGCAAAATATGAAAAATTTTATCATTTAGACTTAAAGAATATTTAATATGTTCTTATTTTATAGTAAGAAAGGAATTATTTGAGAGATCTTTCTGGTTGTTTGTATTGTAGGTTTTTATCACAGGAATTTTGGGATACATCGGAGCAAGAGATGATTCAAGGCCAAACAAGTGTTTGGTGAGTAACTGGACTTTTAAAGGAATTTTTTTTATTGTTATTTCTGTATCTTTTTCTTCAATACACACCAGCTTATCATATAAAAGCACCCCGATTATTTGATTATTGAACCAAAAGTTTAATTGAATGGCTTAAAAGAACATCAATACAGTAGGCAAGAGGGAAGGTACATCCTCGAACTGTTAACCTCTGCTAAAAGTTATCCAACAACGATTTACATGGTCTAAAATGCTGATGTAGATCAGTTTGTTTCAAGTAGCTACAGTGTGCCCACCACTTGTTCCATCATTCTTTGAAACTGCATTAGTTTTAGAATTATGTCAACCTTGTTTTGCCTTTTCAGCCATGTTATACACTTACTCAAACATTCAACAGTTTTTAAAACTGCATCATGTGCTAATGTACTTGTGTGCTTTGTCTGATGGAAAAAATGGTATGGATCTTGAAAGTTATTTTGATATTTATATTCTTGTTAAATGAAACCAGAGATTAGCAAATCTGGATAATAATGATAGTAATACTATTACTACAACTTATAATGATAATTATAATAATAGCTGTTACAGTTAAAAGATACCAATAATCAGATTATCTAGGGCTGCCCTTAGTATGGTGGAGAAGTGGGATGAACTCCCCTTCCCCTGCCCCCATTTACAGCATTTATCTTCGATGTTTCTAAGACATCTTCAAAGACTAACAGTAATTTGATGAATTTGTCAAACATGAAGGTAGAAAGAAAGAAAAGAAAAAAAAGCAACAACAGAAACGACTAAATTAGCAAACTAATAATATACGTTTTCTCTAGGTTTGCAAAATTCACAAGATAAATATCCAGAATATTTCTGAATTAAACTTCCCAGCCCATAATAACTCTCGTGCAAGCCTATTAAATAAACATAAAATTAAGGTAACTGTTTAAGGAATAAGTTATCAGATTGAAATTAATTTAAATGAAATTATTTGAGGGGGGAACGACTGGACAAATTTTTAGGCTAAGATTTTGAAAAAGAGTACGTGGTTTTTCCTGTTTAACAAGATATGTTATTCTTTTTTAAGCTAACAGGCAATTTTGAGTAAAAAATGGCAGGCATTTTGGCTCTCTATAAGATTTTAATAATTAACCCAACCTCTATAACAAGTCCCTATCTGAAGGCCCTAGAGTTGAGCACCCCTCACCTCTCCCCTTAGGTTTTTTCAAGGAATTGATAGTTCTTACAGATTGAATTAAATGGGGGAACAAGTATGGTTCAGTGGTGAGAGTGCTCGCCCTCATACTGCTATGGGTGGGGTTTGATTCCTGGACCTGCTGTCACATGTGGGTGGAGTTTGTTATTGGTTCTCGTTGTTGTTCCGAGGGTTTTTTTTCCCTGAGTCTCCCGATTTCCCTCCCTCCACAAAACCACAACCTGGAGATAGTGGACAGGAAGAGCCACCTCGCGGAATGTCCGCTGCATAATTATTATTATTTTTATTATAATTATTGTTAATAAAAAAAGATTGGTGCGAGATTCAACACATTTCGTTCATGTACATTTATTAGGAGATGGTCGACTTTGAATTCTAATTGAATTGTGTGATGTGTTTTTATCAACAGATTGGATGTTTTATGGGTTTCTCCATTACAGGTTGTGTCTTCTCAGGAGCAATGTTCATCTGTTACTGCATTACTCTTGCAAGTTACTCCGAAATGAAGAATTTTTGTAGCCGTTATTATAGAGGCGACTACAAGTATTACTCTTATTATGATTGCTATCGGAGGTATGATTTTCGTAGATCTACAGCAAAAAATGTGGCAGGTTTAGGTTCTTGTCTCCTCATTTTCTCCTTGGTTGAGTTGTTCTTGGCCCTTGCGTCATCCATCTATTGTTGCAGGGCAGTGTGTTGTAAATCACCAGCAGCTGGGAACACAGTAAGTAATTACCACCAACAGTTCAGTTGCTAACGTTAAAAGTTTTCTTAATATTATTTGTTGTTAATACTTTTTTTTTATATATATTGCATCAAATATTTTTGCATACTTACGGTTGGTTTTTTGTGGGGCTAAAACTGAGAACTATTCAGTTCAATGTTATAATCCATCAATTTTTTTTTGCCTACACGCAATTGTTATAAATACATCATGTGATCAAATGTGCCCTGGCTAAAACTGGGGAATATCCTAGAATATATAACCCAACTGATACTCCTCAATTTACAAATCCTTATGGTCAATACGATAAAAGCTATCGTGTAGAATTCAATTCACGTTGAAAGTGCATTTTTGTTACAGTGAGGATGATATATGCTCGAAGATATACCCTCATATTTGTCCTTGGGCATTATCTCTTCCTTGAAGCTCATCGCGACCCTCTCAGAGGACTCTTGGCATCGAGGAACAGATATGTAATGTCCCTGGACAAATATTCGGGTATATGTTAGTGTCCGATGCCAGCTATTGTTAATTTATTGCAATTCTTAAATTTTGTGTTCAGTTGCCCAGTCTAGCGTTATAGAAAATTAGTTCTTAGAAAATTGTTTGCATCATGGAACAAACATTATGTTTACCGGACAAATATCTCTTTAGTGAACACAATGCCACGTATATAGTGGTAATAATGATCATGATGAACAATTTGTATAGGTAATAACATGATTTTGAATACAATTTGGTGTTAATAAGCACACGTAGAATTTTCACAAACAACTTAGTTGGACAAGCCTGTAGGGCAATTGGTGCAAGTTGTATTCTTTGAAAAATTGCAAGAAAAATAATGTTATCACTTGTTCATAATGTACATGAGAGAAACATCAAAGAGACTGGAGACAGACATATATTTACTGGCAGCACAAATGCCCTAATTGTTATTTGCACTTGTGTTACAACTTTGCACTTGTGTTACACCAGAATGCACCTGTTTTCGGCCAATCAGATACTCGTAATGTAAATTATTAATACTGGGTTATTGAAAATTAATAATAATTAGTGTATATTACGGACTATTGGAATTTTTAGTTATGAATGTTATTACAGTCAACTCCCCTTTGACAGACACTATTTTTCCTGTCCACAGTGGCTTTGTTGTAAACCTATAGCTAATAAATGGTTTTGTGCATTCCATTGACTTTATCTGGTGAAATGACAGCTAGCATTTTTAATAAATTTTAGACTGTAAACATTTAATTTATCTGATTTTTAACTATTTTGACTATTAAGACATGGACCAACCAGCAAGTGGTGTATGTACAGCCTCAATACATGTACCCTGGGGTACAGCCGGGTGGGGTTTTAATGCAGACCGATGCTGGTGGGTACCCAGCAACAGGCCAGCAACCTTTGTATTTCCTCCAGCAGGTAACTAGATATAAATAATTATTAGATATAAATAATTATATACTGATACAAATTACATGAATCCAAGTTTGAAAAAACAAGGTTTTAGGCAGAGTACTTTAAACTCGGAATAGTCAAATGTTTTTTTCTTGTTTATTTATTTTTTTTTTAGAAAAAAAATTAGTCATTATTCCATGCAGTGCAGTGTTTACTATCGAAATTCAGTTTGGTGTAAAATTATCCATAAATACATTGATTGTAAGACTGTATACTTTGGAAAGGTTTAAAAGAGGAATGAATGCTGTAATTTAGACGCATAACACATAGTTACTTATTCTCTGTCTTGGTCTGTCTTAGTATTGTTCTTACTATCGTGCTTTTTTGGGCATTTCAGATATTAGGAATTTGATATTTGAAATTCTAAGAGTGACTTGTATCTAATTTCTCCCAACAATATAACCCCTCAATCACAGATTAAGGTAAAAGGAATAAAGGAAATGATCACCAACTAAAGAAGCTCTCGATTGTTAAACAAATTCTCCCTGTTAGGTACCTTAGGAAACATTATGTAAGGACAATATGGACTATAAGCATACTCATGTTATGGTGAAAAGGGAAAAAATGCTTGCATGGTGATACTAACGCTACTGACAATTATACATTCAGTATGGTGAAATTTTTAGCTTGATACATAAATAAAGAAAAATTTGAGTTTGTTAGATATGAAGCTAGTAATGGCCCAATTCGCCTAAGTGAGCTCTCTGTAACTTAATGGCAGAGGACAAAATCCAAAGGTCTAGTGTCTATTTAAACATGGGTAACTCAGAGCTTTTTGCCACATGTGTATGAAAAATTGTAGAAAGTCTTCCCCTAGATGCTGTCAATGTTCTAGGTCTAAAATATTTCGGCATTATTTGACAGCCTGGAGTGGTTGCACAGCCTGGTGCGGTTGCACAACCTGGAGTGGTTGCACAGCCTAACGTGTTTCCACAGCCTGGGGTGGTTGCACAACAAGGGGTGGTTGCACAGCCTGGGCTGGTGGCACAGCGGGGGCTGGTGGCACAGCCGGGGGTGGTGGCTCAGCAGTGGGTGGATGGACAGCCAGGAGTGGCGGCACAACCGGGGATGGTGGCTCAGCAGGGGGTGGTTGGACATTCAGGAGTGGTGGCACAGCCTGGGGTGGTTGCACAACCAGGGGGAGTAGTGGTACAGCCGGGGCTATTGGCACAACCAGGGGTGGTGGCACAGCCAGGGATGGCGGCACAGCCGGGGATGATGGCACAGCCAGGGGTGGTGGCACAGCCAGGGGTGGTGGCACAGCCTGGGGTGGTTACACCGCCTGGGGTGGTTGCACAGCCTGGGGTGGTCGCACAGTCTGGGGTGGTTGCACAGCCGGGGATGGTGGCACAGCCAGGGGTGGTGGCACAGCCTGGGGTGGTTACACCGCCTGGGGTGGTTGCACAGCCTGGGGTGGTCGCACAGTCTGGGGTGGTTGCACAGCCCAGGGTGGTGGCACAACCTGGGGTGGTTGCACAGCCTGGGGTGGCATTTCAGCAACCCACTTACTGGCCTGTTCCCTCAGGATCCAACGCAGCTGGAGCAGTGACTTTACCCTATTCAGATGTTCCCCCCCAAGTACAGAATCAAGCTCTGCAAGTCCAGGTAATTATGCTGGAATACGTTAGTTTAACCCTTCAGCCCTAAGGACTAACCAACACCTAGTTTCCCTTCACAGTTTCGCTCCTTGATCAAACAGAAATGAGAAAAAATGAAATGATGGCCAACTAAAGAGGCTCTTTATTGTTAATCAGATTCTGTGTGTCAGTTCCATAAGAAATGAGTGGAGAACACTACGATGGTTTTTAAATGAGTGTTGTTGTGAAGTGGCCTGTTTGTTCACTTTAGAATTACCTTGATATTAGCAAACTCTCCAAACAGAATCTCTGAGAATCGATTGTCTTACTTACTATTTCCGTAGATTCCTTTAGCAGTAACAGACGAGGAAATGCCAGCACCATTTCCATTTGTGCAGTCAGGCAATGTACCACCACCAGCTTTCTCATCTGAGGATGCCAATCCAAATGTTTAGTGTCTGATATCAGAACATGAATCAGCAGTTATATTTGGAGTATAATTAGGGCATGCTTTAGAAGTTTTGAATTTGTAAGCTCTTGCAGTAGAATGGGAAAGGAATGGGAACCAGGGGAGGGGAGAGGTTGGAGAGGAAAATAGGATAAGAGAGGAGAGGTGAAACGTGCGAGCTGAATGAGGGTTGGAAGAGAGGGGGGGGAGTAGAAATGTTAAAATGTGAACTATCATCCATAGAAAAATGGGAGATACATGTAAGAGTCAAAGATATTGAGGCCCGGTTAGAGAGAGGGAGGAAGAGCCAAAGATGCTGAGGCCTGTGAAAAGCAAGAGATTCTTTCCCCCACTCCTCCCCACCCTCCTCCAACTTCTCCCCACCCTCCCCATTCCCAATCTCTTTCCTAATTAAGGTAAAGCTGTGCCTCCAAGATATGTATGTTTATATAATAAGCTGAATTAAAGCTGCATTTTGATTAGCTCATTTTTATAAACTTTTGGAAGTGGCCATTGACAACTTTTTTCTTCTTTATTATTCATAATAAATACGGGTAGAGAGATGACGTCACAAGTGGTAATAACATCAATGACACACTAGGCTGCGCCTCGTTTGCCACTTTTTGGATCTTACCACATTATGACGTCATCTGCAATCTCTTACTGAACAGAGATATGGCAGCTTGCAATCTCTTTATTAATTTGTAGGGGTATATTTCAGCTTTGATGTTCGTGAAGATAGAGGTAGTAATAACGTGCCAGGTTTAATTTTCATCAAGAAATGATGATTTAAATGTAGCACTGTATTGTTTAAACTGAAGTGCTGAATGAGGCTTTTGATCCATAATTGCAGTCTGTTTTTTACCATTTTAACTATGATGGTAGTACCTATAATAAGCTCAAGTTGTAACTTGAATGATTATTCATTTGTTCAGTTTTGTAGGGCAGGCTCCACATCAATGACGCTGTGACCTTAACACGAAGGTGTAAAATTATATTACATTAAAATGTGTCAAACATGCTATATTTTCTTGTATGTGGGTGCGTAATTTTATTTTTGTATGTTCTACTTTCATCAACTACCAAACCTGAAGGAGTCAATTTGTAAAATGTTGCTTTTATTAATTTTTGTCGTTCTTTGGTTACCGAATCCTTCGTTCGTAATAATGTTTGACAGGAATACTATGCAAAAATAGAACCAAATTATATTTTAAGCTTTTACTTTTCAAGATTAACAATAATCTGCACGTTTACGATACACCACAAACGAACCCAACAGAACGATCTAACATTACCCACGGATTGAAACTGACAAATCACAACCGAATTACACCAACTGAGTCTTAAAGCCGCTAACATCACGGCTGAACTAACCAATCAGTTCACATGAACAGTAGGTAACTAAAAATTTAAAATTTTGTACCGATACAAATTAAATGAATCCTAGTTTGAACAAAACAAAGTTCCAGACAAAGTATCAAATGTTTTTTTTTCTTATTTAGTTTGTTTGTCAGAAAACAAATTAATTTTTATTCCGTGCAGTGCAGTTTTACAATGGAAATTCAATTTTGGTCTAAAGTTATCCATGATTACATTGACTGTAAAAGAGTATACTTAATAAACTTATACTTAGTAAACTCTTGTAGTGGAAGGGAAAGGAATAGGAACCATGGGAGAGGAGTGGTTGGAGAGGACAATTGGATAAGAGAGGAGAGGGTGAAAAGTGCGAACTGAACGAGGGTTGAAGAAGGGTGACGGGGGAAGTGTCAAGGATACGAGAAGTCACGGATATTGAAGCCCGGTGAGAAGCAAGAGATTCTTTCCCCTTTTCCCTCCCTACCCATCTCTTTCCTAACTAAGGTAAACCTGTGCCTCCAGGATGTGTATGTTTATATAATAAGCTGAATCACTGCTGCATTTGATTGGCCCATTCATAGATGATGTGACTTTTAACAGTTTTTTGCTTCTTTCTTATATATAACAAATCAGGAGCCCTTTAATGAGCTCCTGGTAAATATGGGTAGACAGATGACATCACAATGTGGCTGCGCCTCGTGTGCCACTTTTTGGATCCTACCATGTTATGACGTCATCTACTATCTCTTACTAAGCAGAGTTATAGCAGCTAATAATCTGCACGTTTACGATACACCACAAACGAACCCAACAGAACGATATAGCATTACCCTCTTACTAATATTTCCGCATGCTAGAGCCCTCTAGGAACAAGTCTTCAAAAATAAAATCAGAGTGATCAGGATCAGAATAATACTTATGAGAGGCTGTAAGTTTGGTTCAGAGAATCGTAACAGTTCAACGTTGACAGGTTAAATTACTTCCCCGTAAAATTGACGTTAGGAATACTTACTCAAGTTTAAGACTCCCCCGTAAAATTCACGTTAAGAATACTTATTTAAGTTTAAGACAGGAAAATTGTGATAGGAAGCTGAACAGCCCCTTTTTGTTTATCATTTAAACAACAGCCCTTGGTATGGCAAAAAAAAACATATCTTTGTGAAAGTTCTTCCCTTCCCCCATCCTCCCTGTGGGCCAAAACTGTACTCAAATACTCTACCCGACTGCTGGATTCAATGATCAGTTTTTTCTTAAAGATCAGCGACCGCAACTTTCTTTTCATTCACTATTTGAGCTTTAAAAACCTAGACCTTGTAGACCTTTTCTTGTGAGCCATTCGCTTGCAAAAGTGAATTAACTCTGTACCTTTAAATAACTCCGTATTAAAATATAGAACGTGCACTCTGGAAAGACTCAACACTTCCGGTTCAAATTCCGCATCCCAGCCAGGGAAGTGTCACATTTCTAACCACCGGAAACTGACAACAATCAAATGCCTTCGGGTTGCCAGGGAACAGATTTTTAAGCTTTGACTTTCTCGGCGTCTGATCTAATCTTCGATTTGTCGCCAGTTTGATCACAGCCATGGTGTACAGAGCAGCTGCTTTGCGAGGATTGGCCATCGCACAGATGGTGTTTGGGGCTTTGATGTTCGTCTTTGGAATAGCATCTATTTTCGCCACTATAGACTGGACTTCGTACGCTGGTTTTGGCATCTGGGTTGGCGTTTGGGTAAGTTTCGTCTAACTGTTCAAATAATAGGGACCTTAAGAAAAGCACGACGGCGACGGCAACGAGGACGTGGCAGAACAAAAAGATCTAAAGGGCAGAACAATAGCCAGCATGTGCGTTTTAAAACTATGCTCATTTCATAGCTGTCCTCTGCAAAACCACAACGAGGAATCAAAAAAAAATTGCGTCGCCTGCGAACGGAAACCGCGGCGGCAAGTTATGCAAGTTATTTTTATTTCCCTTTGGAAATCAACGCTGCTTAATATACGTTATGCTGAAGTTGAGGTAAGGCGCCGTAAGAGACAATGAACTCATGCGACTATTTTCGAACAGAAATTCATTTTTTAATCGATGCGTGTCTTAGAATAGAATGAATGAGTTTTTAGTGGCAAAGGTTAAGATAATAGACATTTTGTTGCACGCTATTTCGACTGAAGTTATTTAGTTGGCTCTTTTGCAGCAGATTCAATATGAGCTTACGGTTCACAGGCGCTTGGTCATTTAAGAAGGCACTCCTTCCACTAAAATCTGAAATCACAACCCTATAGATTATTACGCATACAGTTCTTGGATAAAGAAAATAATGGCGAGAAGCATAGATTGTATTTAGGACCGGGGACTTGTTTTCCAATTGTATGAGGCGGAGCAAAAATCTTACCAATCTATTTTCAATGAGAAGCAAACTGGTGTTCGTCGGGAATTGACGAAAGAAAGACATTGAAAGACAGGCGTTTGAACCAAATCAATTTAAGGATGGGCGTGCACTCTCTGATTGCGTTGCATTGTGGTTTCGTTATTTTCCCCTTTATGGCGGTGAAAGGGAAAGAATCGGCAGATTTTGACTGAACATTCCGTAAAAGTTAGGCCATTCCTTTTTCCTTTCGCCATAGGTGAATGTAATTTGATTTATTTTGAAAGTATTTTCCGTACGCATATCTCGCAATTTCAGTTGGTTGTCAAGGACAAAAGGAATCACTGCGTTTAAGTATCTAATTTCAGACCAGTCTTCGAGAAGGTCAAATTTGATGTACGTGGTTGGTTGAAGTCTTTATTTATCCAAAGATTTGGATGGTCGCCTTGATCAAAAGCTCTGACCAAACGCTCCCCAACGGTCCTCGTGTTTTATGTATCCCAAGAGCTAGCGTTTGAGACCGGTTATGGCAGCGAAAAGGCCTATCCTGGTGAATAGCTACAGTGTATTGCGTTACATAGCGTAATGTTATTGTAAGGACATTTCCTATTTATACTCGATGGTATTGAAAATCTACTTTCTTTTAGCGCTCGCGCAAACTCCCACAACTTCAAAACATACATTTGAATTTACTTACAGATTCTTTCCTTCCAATTTACAGAGGAATTCTTCATACGCTAAACATTGAGTGAAGTGAATGATATTTTCCATAAGGTCATTAAATGGCTTTGGAGAAAAAATTGTCGTAACAGTCATTGAACTTGAGTTTGTTTGCCAAACCAGTACCATTGTTATTTTTTTTCAAAAGTGCACCGATGCTTTTTTTCTCTTACGCGCTCTCTAATTGATGGGTGTAAGATTGTGACAGATACCTGTAAAAAAAATGTTTGAAAGTTTTTTGAAAGCCTTATAAATCACCTTCATTGTTACGCAAATAAGAAAATATCTAGGTGAAGTCTCTCTCTTTCATTTATGTTATCTCTGTCTCTGTCTTAACTGCCTTTTACTCCCTCAGAAATTGTTCAGTTTAAGGAGGATCTAAGTAGATTGCCTTGTGATAAGCTAATGGGGATGTGCCACTGGATTGGGTCACATTTTTATGGGGCACTGCCTTGTGATAGGCTAATGGGGGCGCCACTGGGTGGAGGTCACCTTTTTATGGGGTACTGCCTTGCGATAGCCCAATAGAGATGTGCCACTCGATGAGGTCACATTTTTATGGCTGGATTGATTACAACTGGGTTGCATTTTCCATAGAGTTATTTGAATGGGGTCGATGCCACTTTTTTGGGATTTTGGGGGTAGGAAAATTGTGGGCAATCTTTGGCATCATCACATAGCTCTCCAGAGATGACCTCGTTAAAAGGTTATATAATGAAGATACATAAACAAAAAGTGGATGAGTTGGGATCGCGAAAATTATATTTTGGTGAACTCCATCTGCACTTCAGTTGGTGGAGCTTTCTGAGCTTGTTTGATTTGAATTGTATATTTATGGCAAGCAAAACGTGAAAAAATTATCACTTTGACTTGAAGAATACTTAATATGTTCTTATTCCACAATGAGAAATGAATTATTTAATTGATCTTTCTGCTTGTGTGAATTGTAGGTTTTTATCACCGGAATTTTGGGATACGTCGGAGCAAGAAATGATTTCTACCCAAACAGGTGTTTGGTGAGTTACTGGGCTTTTTCAGGAAACCCCTTCAATACAAACTACCTTATTATAGTGAAAGAGCCTCGATTACATGTATTTGATTGATGAGCCAAAAAATTAAAACTGAACGCTTGAAATAAAACATGCATCAATATATTAGGTGAAAATGAAAGTAAATCCTTAAAGATTCATTGCGCATATACTGTTAACCTCCAGCTAAAGTTATCCAGCAACGATTTACATGGCCTAAAATGCTGGTGTTGTTCAAGTGGCTACAGTGTGTGCCCACTACTAATTCCATCACTCTTAGAAACTGCATGAGCTGAATATTGTCAGCCTTGTTTTGTGTTTTCGGCCATGTTAAGCACTTCCTCAAACATTTAAGAGTTTTGAAAAGTTTAATATGTGCTTATGTGCATATGTGCCCTGTTTGATGAAAAAATTAAAAAATGATATGGATCTTGAATATTATTTTAATATAATAATTATTTTAATAAATATTCTTATTCAATGGGACCAGTGAGGCGTGTCTGGATAGTTATAAAAATGATAATAATAATAATAATAATGATAACAATAAAAAGATACCAGTAACCAGGGCCCAGATTATCTAGGGCTACCCTTAGTAAGGGGGAGAGGTAAGATGAACTCCTCCTCTCCTGCCCCATTTACAGCATTTTTCAATTTTTCTTAGACATTTTCAAAGACCAATATTCAATTGATAAATTGGTCAAAAATAGATAAATTAATAAATAAAGAAAGAGAAAAATGAAGACGGAAAGGAAGAGAGAAAAAAAAGAAACAACAGAAACAACTCAACTAGCAAATCAGTAATACACATTACCTTTAGGTTAATAAAACTCACATAATAGTTATCCTGAACTGAATTTTTCTGAATGAAACTTTTTAGCCTTAATAACTCTTGTGCAAGCCTAATTGTTTAAATATAAATTTAAGGTAACTTTTCAAGGAATAAATTCTTTAATTTGAAATTGAATTAAACATCCGAGGGGGAGCAACTGGCCAATTTTTAGGCTAAGATTTTATGAAAGAGTAGGTGGTTTTTCCATTGCTCTGTGAGACCATTTTAATTGTACTTGACATATTTGTAGTTGGCTTTCAATGAAAATAAAGATCAGTTTTTTAACCTGAGAGAGTGCACCGTCAAAATTCCAACAACCAAGCTCTTCTCTGACAAGCCACAATCTCCTCCTTCTCTCTTAAAAGGCGTTAAAATTACACTAACAGTAATTCTTTCCTATATTTTATGGCCTATCATAAGTACTAAAATATTTTATTACGACTGGTTATAAATAGGAAAAATATACACTGTTCAGCAAATTGTGTCATTCTTTTTAAGCTAAGAGGCAATATTGATGGACAAAAATAATTTCCTATCTGAAAGCCCTGGAATCTTGAGTGAAAAATAACTGGAATTTTGGCCCTTTATAAGTTTTGAATAATTAACCCACACTCTAAAACAAGTCCCAATCTGAAAACCCTGGAATGTAACACCCCTCACTCCGTCCCTTGGGTTTTTCAGAGAATTTAAAGTCTTTACGAAAATTGAATTGAATGGGGAGCAGAAATGGCGCGGTGGTGAGAGTGCTCGCTCTCATACTGCTATGTGCGGGGTTCGATTGCTGGACCTGCAGTCACGTGCAACCTGCATGGGTTGTGTTTGTTATTAGTTGTCGTTGTTGCTCCGAAGGGGTTTTTCTGCAGGTCTTTCGATTTCCCTCTATCCACAACACCACAACCAGGAGATAGTGGACCGGAAGAGCCACTTAATGAAATGTCCGCTGCTAAATTATAACTAATAATTGTTATCATTATTATTGATCAAAAAGATTGGTATGAGACTTAATACGTTTAATTCATGTACATTTACCAGGAGATGGTCCAGTTTGAACTCTAATTGAATTGTGTGGTGTGTCTTTATCAACAGATTGGATGTTTTATGGGTTTCTCTATCACGGGTTGTGTCTACTCAGGTACAATGTTCATCTGCTATAGCATTACTCTCGCAGTCTACGCTGAAATGAAGAAATACTGTGACAGTTATAAGACTTATTCTCCATACCGCTACAAAAGTAACCGTTATGATACCAACAAGAACTATGATTGCTATGGGAGGTATGGCCTCAGAGCTACAGCAGAAAACTTGGCTGGTTTAGGCTCTTGTCTTCTTATTTTGTCCTTGGTTGAGTTGGTCGTGGCCATTGCGTCATCCATCTATTGTTGCAAGACAGTGTGTTGTAACTCAGGAAGAGTTGGGAACACAGTAAGTAATTACCACCAACAATTCAGTTGTTAATGTTTAAATCTATCTTTAAATCATTTGTTGCCAATATCTTTTTTTTTTATTTTTTTTATAAATATTGCATCAAATATTTTTTAATACTTACGGTTAGTTTCACAAAAAAAGGGGCACATAACTGGACATTTGGGGCTAAAACCGAAAACTATTCAGTGTTATAATCCATCAAATATTTTTGCTCGCGCGAAATTGTTCTAAATTCATCATGTGATCAAATATGCCCTGGCTAAAAGTGGGAAATATCCAAGGATGTATAGCCCAACTGATATTCCCCAATCAGTTAAATCCTTATGGTCAATATGATAAAAGCCTTCATTTGAACTTAAATTGAAGATAAAAGAGCATATAGATACTTTTACAAAAGAAGAAACATACTTTTTTGTTGTTGCTCAAGTGGGACCAGAGAATACTGAAATGGAACTTAAACCAGCAAAAATTAAGTTGTTCACAAACACTTTCCCCGCGCAATTTGCAAAAGTATGTTGAAGGATGATATACACGCCAAAAATATACCCTTATATTTGTCCTTGGACATTATCTATTCTCTTGTTCATCATAACCCTCTCGGAAGGCTGTTCGCATCTCAGAAGACAGTTCGTATCTCGGAACAGATATATTAATGTCCACGGACAAATATCCGTGCACATTTTAGTGCCCGATGGCAGCTATTGTTTATTCATTGCAATTTTAAAATCTTGTGTCCTGTTTCCCAGTCTAACTTTGTTCTGAGAAAATTGTTAGCATCATGGAACAAATATCTCTGCATTGAACACAATCCCACTTGTATAGTATTAATAATGATCATAATGAACAATTTATACTGAGTTATGGACATTTTTATATAGTTATTATTCACTGTGAACTAATGGAATTTTTAGGTTTGAATGTAGTACAGTCAACTCCCCTCTTACAGACACACTCATTTTTCCTGTCCACAGTTGCTCTGTTGTAAACCTACCAAGTGAATGGTTTTGTGCATTCTATTAACCTTATTTGGTGAAATGACAGCTAGCAATTTTGATGAATTATTAGACTTTAAATATTTAATCTATCAGGCCCCAGATGTTTGAAGGGTTAATAACACTATTCACTGGATAACTCCCTATCCGCTGGATAGCGCATTATGTTTTATTAACCTTTTAACTCCCAGATCAAATGTTTCATTCTCCTTACTGTCAACCATACAATTCTTACAATGCTAGCTCAGAGAATTAATTATTGGATCAAGTAATTATCCCCAAATTGATATTTTTCTTTATTCTCATCGCTTATCTGGTTGATATTGTATTGATATTTTGAGGAGAAATTCTGTGTTGGTCATTAATGGGAGTTAAAGGGTTAATTCTTATCAGCTGGATCGCGATTTATCCATTGGATAGTGTTATACGCTCTTTGAACAACTGGACCCTTGGCTGATGTTTAATTATTTTGACTACGAAGACAAGGACCAACCAGCAAGGGAATTGTTTGCTTGTGCCAATGAGTAAATAGCTATGTTTTGTAAACTGTAGTGCTTGTAGCCAATAATTATACAGAGCACTTTAGCTATATAGAGACCCTTTGTAAATAGCCCTAGTTTTAATTGTACTAATTTTATATTGTAAATAATTATTTAATTCAGCCTTTGGCTGCAGCTAAGTTATTCTTATGAAACTCTCTATCTCAACCAACCAGCAAATGACTTTTGTACAGCCTCAGCAGAGGGCACAGCCTGGTGTGGTTTTAATGCAGACTGAAGGTGGTGTGGTGCCACAGGGTTACCCAGCAACAAGCCAGCAACCTATGTATGTCCTCCAGCAGGTAATTAGATATAAATAATTATGTACTGATACAAAGTAAATATATCAACGTTTGGACATGCAAATTTCCAGGCAGTTTACTATAAACTTGGAGTGATCAAATGTTTTTTTTTTGGTTTAGTTTGTTTGTTAGAAAACAAATTAATTAGTATTCCATGCGGTGCAGTGTTCACAATAGAAATTCAATTTGGTCTAAAGTTATCCAAGAATACATTAACTGCAAGAGAGTATACTTTAATAGGTTTAAATAGGGGAAAAGAGAAAAAATTTAGATGCATAAAAGTGAGTGATCAGCATCTAATTTCTCATTACAATATAACCCCTGAATCACACATTAAGGTAAAAAGAATGAGGGAAGTGATCACCAACTGAAGAAGCTCTCGATTGTTAAACAAATTCTCCTGATCAGGTGCCTTAGGAAACACTATATATTAAGGACAGTATGGAGTAAATGCATACTCGTGTTATGGTGTAAAGACTATTAATAGCTACTGACACATACATTCTGTATGGTAATTTTTTGAGCTTGATGGGTGAATAAAGAAAAAATCTGAATTTGTTAGATATGAACCTACTAATGGCCCAGTTCACCTGAGTGAGCTCTCTGTAGCTCAGTGGCAGAGCACAAAATTTAAAGGCCTTGTGTCTAGTTCAATACAGATAACTCAGAGATTTTTGCCCCATGCATGTGAAAAAATTTGATAAAATCTTGCCTAATATGCTGTCAAGAAGTCTGAAGTCAATAACGTTCTAGGTCTAAAAACATTTTGGCATTGTTCATTTGACAGCCTGCAGTGGTTGCACAGCCTGGAGTGGTTGCACAGCCTGGGATGGTTGTACAGCCTGGGATGGTTGCACAGCCTGGGGTGGTTGCACAGCCTGGAATGGTTACACAGCCAGGAGTGATTGCACAACCTGGGATGGTTGCACAGCCTGGGGTGGTTGCACAGCCTGGAGTGATTACACTGCCTGGGGTAGTTTCAGTGACTGGGGTGGCCGTTTAGCAACCCAATTACTGGGCTACATGAATCAATACATTCACTACATGAATCAGCAGCCACATCTGGAGACTTTTGTAGTGTAATTAGGGCATGCTTTTGAAGTTTTGTGTTCGTGAGCTCTTGTAGTGGAAGGGGAAAGAAATAGGAACCATGGGAGAGGAGTGGTTGGAGAGGACAAAGATATAAGAGAAGTCACAGATATTGAAGCCCGGTAAAAAGCAAGAGATTCTGTCCTCCACCCACCCACCCACCTCTGTCTCTTTCCCGATGTAGGTAAAGCTGTGTCTCCAGAACCGGTATGTTTACATAATAAGCTGAATTACTGCAGCATTTATTTTGATTGGCTCATTCTTATAATCTTTTGGAGGACAGACATAGATGATGTGACCATTAGCAATTTTTTGCTTCTTCATTATATATAGCAAATACGGGAAGACAGATGACGTCACAATGTGGCTGTGCCTCGTTTGCCACTTTTTGGATCTAACTACATTATGACACCATCTATCATCTCTTACTAAACAGAGATATGTCAGCATGAAATCTCTTTTTTAATTCGTAAGGTATATTTCAGCTTTAATGTTTGAGAAGATACGGGAAGGAATAATATGCCGGATTTGCCTTTTCTTAGGAAATGACGATTTAGATGTGACACTGTATTGTTTAAATTGAAGAACTGAATGTGGCTTTTAATCCTTAATTGCAGCCTGTGTTTTACAATTTTAACTATGGTAGTAATACTTATAATAAGCTAACGTTGTGACTCGAATGATTATCCATTTGTTCATATTACAATAAAGTATGTCAAACATGCAATTTTTTTCATGTATATGGGTGCGAAATTTTGTTTATGTATACAGCTATTTCAATTTACGTTGTCGAATCAAAGCCTCAAGCCTACAAGACAAGACCGAAGGGGAATATGGGATGTTAATGAATAATTATCAGCAAAATTAACAATGCCTCGTCCATACAGCGAAGATCTCCGATGGCGAGCCATTTGGATGAAAGAAATGTTGGGGTTTCAAGTGGATGAGGTGAATTAATTCTAATCTACCCATACCGCCTTTCGGTCTTGTCCCGTACCCTTGAAGCTTTGATCCGACAACGTAAATTGAAATAGCTGTATTCTATTTTCATTAACTACCAAACCTGAAGATATCAATCTGTAAAATGTTGCTTTTATTAATTGTTGCCGTTCTTTGGTAACTGAATCCTTCGTCACTAACAATGTTTGACAGGAATACTTTGCAAAAATAGAACCGAATTATATTTTAAGCCTTTTACTTTTCAAGATGAACAAGAATCTGTACGTTTACGATACACCACAAAAGAACCGAACAGAACAATGTAACATTACCCACGGATTGAAACTGATCAATCACAACCGAATTACACCAACTGAGTCTTATACCAACATCACGGCTGAACAAACCAATCAGTTCACATGAATCAAACAACAACTAATTAATCAATTAATTCTGATGATGACTTCTGCGCAGGTTGTCGAAATATCAGTCACTATTACTGACAACAGTCCTTCTCAGAACAATTTTGGTACTATCAACTGAGTTGATAACGTAAACTGGCCACCGTAAAGAGTTTTAAAGCTGACGTTTCGAGTGTTAGCCCTTCAATGGAGCAAAGTCGCGAATTATCATGTTATACTTTCCCACCGACGTAGCACAACAGCTTCTTCAGAAACTTTCCCTGCTTCTCAGGACTACCCTCACTTAGACGATTAGACTACACGATCAAACCTACATCTTCAAATGGCTTTTTAAAGTGGAGTACACGAACGATTTTGCTGAGGGTTACTTCACTAGATTGTTATTGACTTCGAGGAAGAGAATCTCAAGACTTGTAAAAAACAAATCGGGCTCCCGCTTTTTGGTCGACTGATGTTGTTAATCACTCAACGTATGATTACAGACCGAATTGAACCCCTCTTAGTCCTATTATCATTACTAGGCACGCCTAAAGTTTGTGCACAAGAAGATGTTATAACGTTAGTCTGAATAACACATTCAAGGTGCCTAAGTTGATCCGTATCGTAATGAAAATATCATTACAGTTTAGATTTGTCGTTTTGCATTAGTGGACGCGGGTATTTGTTGTAGCCCGATATGCACCTGAAATAAACAAAGTCCTCCAATAAACAAAAACGTTATAAAACAGGTTTAGTTGCTACGGCAACGAATGGTTTTATGACACACAGGCAAACCTATGGTGGTGTTAACAGGATTTGGAAACCCAAGCCCAGATAAAGTACAAAAATCAACCGCATATTGCTAACTCTTGCTTTGAGCCAGTGAGAATTTTCCTACCTCTTTCTGCTATTTCCGTATGGTAAAGCGCTCTATGAACAAGTCTTAAAAAATTAAAAGCAAAGTGATCACGATCAAAGTAATGCTTCACAAGTTAAATTGCCCCCCCCCCCTTCCCCACGTAAATTGACGTTAGGAATACTTTCTCAATTTTAAGACTGGAAAATTGTAAAAGAAGGCTAGACAGCCCTTTTTTGTTTATCATTTAAACAACAAGCCCTTGGTATGACAAAAAAAAAAAATCTTTGTGTGTACTTCTGCCGGTGTAGAAGGCTTGATTTCTACATTATGCGCCGATTAATTCCAAGCTTAAAGATCACCTCCGAGAATTTGAACGGTTAAAATTTCTTCCCTTCCCCCTCCTCCCTGGGGGCCAAAACTGTATTCGAATGCTCTTCCCCACTGCTGGATTCGATGATTAGTTCTTTTTTTAAGATCAGCAACTGCAACTTTCTATTCATTCACCAGCAATTGAATTGATTATGAGAGCTTTAAAACCTAGATCTTGTAAACCTTTTCTTGTGAGCCATTCGCTCGCAAAAGTGAATTAACTCTGCACCTTTTAACAACTCCATGCTAAAATATAAAACGTGTATTCCGCTGAAGAGAATCAACACTTCCGGTTCAAATTCCCCGGCCATCCCAGCCAGGGAAGGGTCACATATGCCAACCCCAGGCACTGAATACAGTCAAATACTTATGTTGCTAAGGAAGTATTTTGAAGCCTTGAATTTTTTGGCGTATGATCGAATGTTCGATTTCTCACCAATTTGATTACAGTCATGGTGTACAGAGCAACTGCCTTGCGAGGGTTGGCCAACGCACAGATGGTATTTGGGGCTTTAATGTTCGTCTTTGGAATAGCAAGTATTTTCTTCACTACAGACTGGACTACGTACGTCGGTTTTGGCATCTGGGTTGGCGTCTGGGTAAGTTTCGTCTAACTTTTTCGAATAAAAAGGTCAAGATAATAGGCATGTTTTTGCACGCTTATCCGACTGCAGTTACATAGTTGACTCTTTTGCGGCAGGTTCAATATGAGGCTTACGGTTCACTGGCGCTTGGTCATTTTAAGAAGGCACTACTTCCACTAAAAACCTGAAATCACAGCCCCAAAAATTATTATGCATACACTTCTTGCTTAAAGAAAACAATGGCGAAAAGGACAGGTTGTATTTAGGACCGGGGATTTGTTTTCCAATTGTATGAGGCTAAGAGAAAATTTTACCAATCTACCAATAAATGAGAAGCAAACTGGTGTGAATGTGGAACTGACTGAAAAAAAAAGGCTTTTGAACCAAATCAATTTAAGGATGAGCTCGGCCTTGACGGTGTGCGCACTCTGATTGCGTTGCATTGTGGTAGCGATAAGTTCATTATGGCGGTGAAAGCGGCAGAAATAAGCAGATTTTGACTGAACATTCCGTAAAAGTTAGGCCATTCCTTTTTCCCTTCGCCATAGTTGAAAGTAATTTGTTTTATTTTGAATGTGTTGAAGTATTTGTCGCAATGTCAGTAGGTTGTCAAAGACAAACGGAATCACTGTGGTTAAGTAAGTAACTTGAGACCAATTTTCGCGAAGGCCAAATGTGACGCACGTCGTTTTTTGAAGTCTTTATTTACCCAGGGATTTGGATGGTCGCTTTGATCAAAAGCTCTGACCAAATGCTCTCCAACGGTATTCGTGTTTTGTTTATTTTAACAGCGAGCGTTTGAGACCGGTTATGGCGGCGAACAGGCCTATCGTTGTGTATAACTACAGAGTATTGTGTTACATAGAGTTACGTTATTGTAAGGATGTTTCCTATTTCTACTCAATCGTGTTGTAAATCTGCTTTCTTCTAGCGCTTGAGCAAACTCCCACAACTTTAAAACATACATTTGAATTTACTTACAGATTCTTTCCTTGCAATTTACAGAGGTATTCTTCGTACACTAATCATCGCTGGAAGTGAATAATACTTTCCGTTATTGAGGTTATTAAATGGTTTTGAAGAAAAAATTGTCATGAAAGTTCCTGAACTTGAGTTTTTTTGCCAAACCAGTACCGTTCTTATTATTTTTCAAAAATATAAATGCGCTTTTTTTCTTACGTGCTCTCTAATTGACAGGTGTCAGATTGGGACAGATAGTTGCGAAAAAAATGTCTGAAAGTTTCTTTGGAAGCCTTTTAAATCGCTTTTATCGCTACATAAATAAAAACTGTATCGGTCTCTCTCTTTCTTGTGTATTATCTCTGTTTTAACTACTATTCACTCCCCCGAAAATTGTTCAGTTTTAGAACGATCTGGGTTGTCTGCCTTTTGATGGGCAATTGGGAATGCGCAACTGGATGGGGGTCACCATTTTATGGAGTACTGCCTTGTGATAGGCTAATGCCACTCGATGGGGTCACAATTTTATGGCTGGATTGATTACCACGGGGTTGCATTTTCCTCAGAGTTACTAGAATGCGGTTCATCCCACTTTTTTGAGATTTTGGGGGTAGGAAAATTGTAATAGTGTAGTTTGATCGTCCGGGTGAGTGTAGTCCTGAGAAGGACTGTTGTCGGTACTAGTGACTCATCATCAGAGAGCAATTTGTGAGCAATTTTTGGCATCATCACATGGCTCTCCAAAGATGACCTAGTAAAAGGTTTTATAGGTAGATAAATAAACAAAAAGTTTCTAAGTTGGGATCGCGAAAATTACATTTAGTGAACTTCATGAACTCCATCTGCACTTCAGATTGGGGAACTTTCTGAGTTTTTTTTGATGTGAATTGTATATTTAAGGCCTGCAAAACGTAAAAACGTTTATTACGTGGACTTGAAGAGTACTTAATGTGTTCTTAATCCACAATGAGAAATGAATTATTTAAAAGATCTTTCTGCTTGTGTGAATTGTAGGTTTTTATCACTGGAATTTTGGGATACGTCGGAGCAAGAGATGATTTCTACCCAGACAGGTGTTTGGTGAGTTACTAGGAATTTTAAGGAAACGTTTTTTGGATAACTTCCCTATCTCAATACACACTACCTTATTATAATGAAAGAGCCTTGATTACATGTAACTGATTAATGAGCCAAAAATTAAAACTGAATCGCTTAAAAGAAAATATGCATCAATATATTACGCTAGAATGAAAGTACATCATCAAAGATTCACTGAGCATAAAATGGTTTACCTCCCAAAAGTTATCCAACAACGATTTACATAGCCTAAAATGCTAGTGTTTGTTGTTCAAGTGGCTACAGTGTGTGCCCACCACTAATTCCATTGTGTGGTGTCTTTTTATCGACAGATTGGATGTTTTATGGGTTTCTCCATTGTGGGGTGTATCCTCTCAGGACAAATGGCCATCTGCTATAGCATTACTCTTTTAGTCTACGCTGAAGTGAAGACACACTGTAACAACTACAACGATTACGGTTATGATACCAACGAGGACTATGATTGCTATGGGGGGTATGGCCTTCGTAGAGCTACAGCGGAAAACTTGGCTGGTTTTGGCTCTTGTCTCCTTATTTTGTCCTTGGTTGAGTTGGTCTTGGCCCTTGCGTCATCCATCTATTGTTGCAAGGCAGTGTGTTGTAACTCAGTAGCAGTTGGGAACACAGTAAGTAATTACCACCAGCAGTTCAGTTGTTAATGTTTAAAGTTATCTTTAAATCATTTGTTGTCAATACATTTTTTATATATATATATATTGCATCAAATATTTTTGCATACTTACAGTTCGTTTCACAAAAAGGGGCACATAACTAGATATGTAGGGCTAAAACTGAAAACTATTCAATGTTGTAATCCATCAAATATTTTCGCCCGCGCGCAATTGTTCTAAATACAACATGTGATCAAATAAGCCCTGGCTAAAACTGGGGAATATCCTAGGATATCTAGCCCGACTGATATTCCCCAATCAGTCAAATCCTTTTGGTCAATACGATAAAAGTCTTCGTTTAAACTTGAATTCAAGATGAAGGGCATATATTAACTGTAACAGAAGAAGAAACATGATTTTTTATATAATATCCACGGAGAAATATCTGTGCATATTTTTTAGTGTCCGATGGCAACTGTTGTTAATTTATTACAAGTTTAAAATCATGTGTTCTGTTGTCCAGTCTAGCTTTGTTCTTTGTTTTTTGTTTGCATCGTGGAACAAACATTACTTTCACTAAACAAATATCTCTCTCGTGAACACTTGTATAGTGTAAATAATGATCATGATGAACAGTTTATGCTGGGCTAGTGACATTTGAAATAATTAGTATTCATTGTGAACCATTGGAACTTTTAGTTTTGAATGTAGTACAGTCAACTTCCCTCTCACTAGAAACGCGCTGTTTTCCTGTTCACAGTAGCTCAGTTATAAACCTACCTACTAAATGGCTTTGTTCATTCTATTAACATTATTTGGTGAAATGGCAAGTTGCGTTTTTGTAATGAGTTTTAGACTATGAATATTTAATCACTCTGATGTTTAATTATTCTGACTATTAAGACAAGGACCAGCCAGCAAGAGGTGTATGTACAGCCTCGGTACATGAACCCAAGGACACAGCCTGGTGGGGTTTTAATGCAGACTGAAGATGGTGTGGTGCCACAGGGATACCCAGCAACAGGCCAGCAACCTGCGTACGTCCTCCTGCAGGTAACTACAAATAAAACATTTTCTACTGATACAAATGAAATGAATCCGAGTTTGAACAAACAAAGTTCCAGGCAGTGTATCAAATGTTTTTTTCTTGTTTAGTTTGTTTTTCAGAAAACAAATTAATTATTATTCTGTGCAGTGTAGTGTTTACAATGGGAATTCAGTTTTGGTCTAAAGTTATCCATGATTGCATTGACTGCGAGAGAATGTACTTCAGAAAGGTTTATAAAGGGGAAAAGAGGAATGAATGCTGTCATTTAGATGCGTAACACGTAGATTAACATATTCTCTGTCCTCGTCTTCTTAGTGTTGTTGTTCAGGCTATAGTGTGTTTATTAGGCATTCTTTTCAGATATCAGGAAATTAATATTTTAAATTCTAAGAGTGACTTGCATCTAATCTCTCCTTACAATATAACCCCCTGAATCACACATTAAGGTAAAAAGAATGAGGAAAATGGTCACCAACTAAAGAAGCTCTCGATTGTTAAATAAATTCTACAAAGATAGTATGGAGTAAATGCATACTCATGTTATGGTGTACAGGGTTAAAATGCTGGTATGGTGCAACTAAAGCTGGTGATATATACAATAAGTATGGTAAATTTTTTTAGCTTGATGCATGAATAAAGAAAAACTTCGAGTTTGTTAGATATGAAGCTATTGATCGCCCATTTCACCCGAGTGAGCTCTCTATAGCTCAGTGGCAGATCAAAAAATCCAAAGGCCTAGTGTCTAGTTCAGTATGGGTAACTCAGAGTTTTTTTGCCCCATGCATGTGAAAAAATGGAGAAAATCTTGTCCCATATGCTGTCAAGAAGTCTGAGGTCAATTGTGTTCTAGGTCTGAAAATATTTTAACATTGCTCATTTGACAGCTTGGAGTGGTTGCACAGCCTGAAGTGATTGTGCAGCCTGGAGTGGTTGCACAGCCTGGAGTGGTTGCACAGCCTGAAGTGATTGTACAGCCTGGAGTTGTTGCACAGCCTCGAGTGGTTTCCCGGCCAAGAGTGGAGTTTAAGCGACCCAATTACCGGGCAACACGAACCCATACATTCACTACATGAATCAGCAGTTACATCTGAAGACCTTAGTAGAATTAGTGCATGCTGTAAAAGTTTTGTGTTCGTGAGCTCTTATAGTAGAAGGGGAAAGGAATAGGAATAGGAACCATGAGAGAGGAGTGGTTGGAGAGGACAATAGGATAAGGGAGGAGAGGGTGAAACGTGCGCACTGAATGAGGGTTGGAAGAGGGGAGGGGAAGAGTCAAAGATACTGAGGCCCGCTTAGAGAGAAGGGCGAGAGGTCACAGATATTGAAGCCCGGTGAGAAGCAAGAGATTCTTTCCCCCTTTTCCCTCCCCCTCCTCCCCCCATCTCTTTCTCAACTAAAATAAACCTGGCCTTTAGGATATGTATGTTTATATTATAAGCTGAATTACTGCTGCATTTTGATTGGCTCATTCATACATGGTGTGACCTTTAACAATCTTTTGCATCTTTCTTATATATAGCAAATCAGGAGCCCATTAATGGACTCCTGGCAAATAAGGGTAGACAGATGACGTCAAAATGTGGCTGTGCCTCGTGTGCTACTTTTTGGAGCTTACCACATTATGACGTCATCTACTATCACTTACTCAGCAGAGATATGGCAGCATGAAATCTCTTTGTCAATTCGTAAGGTATATTTCAGCTTTGATGTTCGTACAGGTAAAGGAAGCAATGATATGCCAGATTTGCCTTTAATCAGGAAATGGTGATTTAGATGTGACACTGTATTGTTCAAATTAAAGTGCTAAATTCGGTTTTTTAATCCTTAATGGCACCCTGTGTTTTACTATTTTAACTTTAATAGTAGTGCTTATAATAAGCTTAAGTTGTAACTTGAATGATTATTCATTTGTTTAGTTTTAAGGAGGAGGCCCCACATCAATAACATTGTCCCCTCAACATGAAGGCGTGAAATCATATAATAAAGTGTGTTAAAAAGGCTATTTTTTCACTTATGTGGGTGCGGAATTTTGTTTTGTCATCAACTACGAAACCTGAAGAAGTCAATCTGTAAAATCTTGCTTTTATTAATTGCTGTCGTTCTTTGGTTACTGAATCCTTCGTCAGTAACAATGTTTAACAGGAATACTATGCAAAAATAGAACCAAATTATATTTTAAGCATTTTATTTTTCAAGATGAACAATAATCTGCTCATTTACGATACACCACAAACGAACCCAACAGAACGATGTAACATTACCCACGGATTGAAACTGACTAATCACAACCGAATTACACCAACTGAGTCTTATAGCCATTACCATCACGGCTGAACTGACCAGTCAATTCACATGAACCGGACATATTATACTGACAACAACTATTCAATTGTTCCTGATGATGACTTCCACTCAGGTTGTTGAAATATCAGTCACTATTACCAACAACAGTCCTTCACAAGACAATTTTGGTATTATCAACGGAGTTGATAACGTAAATTGGCCACCGTAAAGAGTTTTAAAGCTGACGTTTCGAGCGTTAGCCCTTCATCGGAGCGAAGTCGCGAATTATCCTGTTATATTCTCCCACCGACGCAGCTCAACAGATTCTTTATAAACTTACCCCCTTTTAAGGAGTCCCCTTACCAGGACGATTGGACGACAAGATCAAACCTACAGCTTCAAATGGCTTTTTAAAGTGGGGTGCGCGAACGATTTTGTTAGGGGTTACTTCTCCAGATTGTTATTGAATTCGAGGAAGAGAATCTCAAGACTTCTAAAAAACAAATCGGGCTCCCGCTATTTGGTCGACTGATGTTGTTAATCACTCAACGTATGATTACAGACCGAATTGAACTCTACTTACACTTATTACCCTTATTAAGCACGCCAAAATGACACGTTCAATTTGATCTATATCGTAATTAAAATATTATTATAGTTTAGATTTGTTGTTTTGCATTAGTGGCCGCAGGTATTTGTAGTAGCCTGGTTGCACCTGAAATGAAAACAAAGTCCTTTAATAAAACAGGTTTAGTTGGCACGGTAACGAATGGTTTTATGACACACAGGCAACCCTATAGTGGTGTTCATAGGATTTGGAAAACCCAAGCCCAGATACAATACAAAAACCAACCGCATCTTGGTAACTCTTACTTTGAGCCGGTTTTGTCGTAATGCCCTAAATTTTTTATACCTCTTACCGATGTTTCTGCATGATAGAGCGCTCTATGAATGAATGTTTAAAAACAAAACTAAAGTGATCACGATAGCCAATCCGAGGATAAGAAAATTTCACAATTAACCAAAAAGAAAGCAAATTTATTCATTTTTTTAAGACAATTTAATAAAGCGCGGGTTGCATTTAGTGTTGAATCTGATTGGCTGAGAGGATTGCACGAGTTTTCGGCACCACTCACAAAGCAAAGTAAAGCAAATACATAGCGATCCCAGATTAGTAACGAAACTCGATTGCACATTTCTTTATCCATCAAAAATTAATAAACTGTACCTGTTCATCATTTAACTCCGATCTTTGCGCCCATCTGAAAAGGTCTTCATATACGTTGCCATCGAAACGTCCCAATGGAGAGTTAAGTACGTAATCTGAATGATCAAAGGCGTCAACCAGAGCCACTGCTTCAGGTCTTTACGTTGAGAAATACAGAAACAAGAAAATCGGGTTAACTCAAACAAGCTGCTGTTTTTCAAACCTGTTCACGATATCATAAGACAACAGCGCTTATGTTCTTGGGCATAAAGATGTTTTAACCCCGACTCACAATCATTTTAGCCCGCGCCGCTAAGAGAGGGTTGAACTGACTCTTAGAACAGCCCAAAACATAATAATTCCTATGAACATAAACTATATTACCATTATAACTTTGGGGGGCATTAAGAAAAAAAACCTGAAACCAAAAAAAAAAAATGACAAAACAGTCTGAGCAACCAGGCGAGCGCGCGGGCTAAAATAGATTTGGATTCGGTTTCACAACGATGACTGAGATAATTATCAAGGCCTTAGTTCTCCTAGGACTATTCTGTCCTGGCCTCGACCTTGTGTACTCGACTCAATTTTCTTAACTCGCGTTCACACATGTCGAATATAAGGCCCAGGCCCTACTCTCGAAAATGCAGGCCTTATGCCATATCTAAACTTATAAATTTCACGAATAGAACTGTCAAAGGACAAGTTTATTATGTTCCGTTTCCTAAAGATTCAAATATTCGAATTTCATTGCTATTAAAATTCTTGAAGATCTTGACAGCAAACAATTCAAATTCAAACAATTCAAAGTTGAAAAAAAAGAAAAAAACCCAGCTTTCCAGAACTGCTAAATATCAGAACCTTGAATATCAGAACTTTCGAGCCCTTCGTCAGAGCGAAAGACGAAAGGGCTAACGCTCGTAACGTCAGCTTTCAAACTCTATACGGTGGCCAATTTACGTTATCAACTCCGCAGTTGCTAACACTAAACTACCCTTTTAAGAATTAGGGATTTTTATTCTTAGTCAACTCACCTGAGCTTGTCCATCAAATCATAAACTTGTTGTCGTATAGTTTGAGTTTGAGTGCAGTTAAGAACTCCAGCCTAACAGGAAATAGAGAAAAAAAAGAAGGCAACAGATACTTCATACAACTGATATCAAAAATGGCTTCCTATCATTTATTTTCATTTTTCATGCAGGTTTCTCTTCTACACTACTTAAAGCTGGATACATCATAGCTTTTGTTGTTCGCTTGTTTGTTCTTGTTTGTTTATCACTCGGCATGAAGGTCAAGGTTGTTAGGCGTTTCATCTGAGCTAAAATCATTTCTATTACCAGCTTCATAACATTATCGCTCTTGCTTACGAAGTTTTTAATCTAAAAAATCGTTTGTTACCTCCAGAAAACTTCCTGAGTCTTCAACGATACCCCAAAGAACAAACAAATCTGCCACACATTTCAGCACCCTGCGTAAACTTGAACTAACACCAGACAGGTTCTCCATCGAATCCAATAAATACGAAACCATTACACAATGACTATAACCCTGAAACAAAGAGAAAAAATAAACTAATAATTTATATCTAAGTGAGATATCTTTATTGGAGGCACATATTACTTGCAGACGTCCGCGCGAATCAAAGGCTGCGCACACTCCATTAAAAGGCTGAAGCAAAAGATCGCGTTATCATAACGGCAAATCCGAAGAAGGAAAATATTGAGGAGAGCCAATGAGAGCTCAAAGTGTTGACACGGGAGCGGGTATATGCGCGGAAAAACGCAACGCCCAACCCAACAACAAAGATGACAACGTAATCAATCGCAACAGCCAATCAAAAAGGGGAAAACACTGAGAAGAGCCAGTGAGAAAAAGAAAAACGTGGGTGCGTAAGGCAAGATTGCGCTCAGTTTCCTGCTTATTAGTTGGGTTGCTGGTAAGCGGTTAGCCTGCATAGCAAGCGTAATTTTGGCCTACGAGTGCGCAGTATTTTCTTAATGAAAATGAAGGTCACCATATTTGATCTTAATGGCAGCGGAAGACTGGGGAGAGATAGAAATTTGTATGAAGCGGGTGAGCGACGTAACTCCAAATCAGACATGGCCAGTTGAATGAACAATCGCGAGCTTCATCACGTTAACTCGCCCTAAGAAGACGTCTGCACTGCAGGCTAGTGCACAGTTTTAAGAGTGAACTGAGCGAAGACTGAACACTTCTCTGCAACACAGCTTGTGTTATGGTCACCTCGCTCTCTGGCTCACCTTAGCACAGCGTAGTAAGTCTACAGACAGCTCGTTCCAAGCATCAGAGGAGTCCGTTCCAGAGGAAATTTTTCTTTGAAGCTTTTCTGCAACAGCCCTCACCTCGCTGAATGAACGCAAGGGAACGTTAAATTAATTAGTGACAGCCTATTTCTTTTTCTACATGGAAATGCTTACCACTGATGCAAGCTACAAGGCCACTAAACGGGCGGAGACCGGACCCCGCCTCAAGCTTGAAAAAGCGGGACGCTTGACGTATCTAGCGGGATCGCCACATAACGGTACTCAAGAGTAGGTTAGGCTACTTATGGGCTTCCTAAATCATTTTTTTGGGTAGGGTAGGAGCGGTTAAATTCTCTCACCTGCCAGTCCTGTCCTGGTAAATTGTTCTTTGTACACCTGGCTCCAAAAATCCTTCTCCATTGATTACCGGACACTGTTCATTTCTTCGTAACAAATATCTCAGTGAGACAGGTAGAGCTTTTCCCTCTTGAGCTTGAGAGGCGATTTTTACCAGAAACCTGTTACAAAATATAATCATTGCAAATGTAATCAGTCGTGCAGCGCGAGAAGAATTTCAACTAATGCCAGAAGCTGAATACACGAATGATGAGGGAGAACACGATCCCAAGCGCGGATATGAACGTGAAATTACATGAATTTTTCCTTTCAAAGGAAAAAAAAACGCTTAAAGTCAAAGTAAGAAGTGACTTCACAAACCCATCACCACTGGGCGAGGGATGTTTCTACCAGGTCACTAAGCCGTCGAAACATTGCGATCGTTTTTGATAGTAGGGCCGTCTAACTTAAAAGCTTTTTAACCTTCTACAAAAGTACATCTAAAACCTCAATTACATTTAGGTTAAAAGTCGGGGGCGACGCAGCTTTAAGTTGGGGGTGACGCACAAAAACTTCGGGGCGACGCAACCACACTTCGGGGCGACGAAACTTCACTTGGGGGACTCGTGCAGGGGGGGGGGCGACGTCACCTACATCCATTTAGGCAGTACAATAATGTATACAAGCTTACCTTGCTACTTGCAGGAAAAGAACATCATTATCTCCTTCGTAAGTACAGGCAGCATTCAACAATGTATACAATTCAGGAAGACCGCTGTACAGTAAGTAGCCATGTCCACCACACGCCAGTCGGCACGTCTCTGCATGATGCATGGCCGTTGAAGTCGAAAACGCCTTGAGACCACTGGTGATAGCATGGCTCTACAAATAAGAAATAGAAAAAAAAGAATAAACTTGAGGAAAACTTAGGCAAAGTTTGTTGCAAAAAAAAAAAAAAAAAAAAAAAGAAAAAAAAAAAGAAAAATCTACGTGCCGATAATATCTCTCACTTAGGATAAAATTCGTATTACAATGGCTGCCACACGACATCCTCTATTTAAAAGGGCTGGCGATAGTATATTACATTGAATTTTGACTGGTTAACAACCCATAGTATCTCAACTCATATACCATAGACCATTTTCAGACTGGGAACACGAAAAGGTTTTACTTTACCTCTGGTAATATGGACAAGTCACCAGCTGCAATTTTCTTTTGACGTTCCTGAAACGATCTCCACACATGATCAAACGCAAACTTTGAGGCATAGGCCATGGCCAGCCCGGGTAACAGTTTGTACTGTTGTGTCTTGTAATCGATAATCTGGGTCTCGGGTTCCCTGTTGTAAGATCAAAGACAACTTGTGGGTAAATCACTAAATATACGTTTCCGAGTGTTTCACCAACGGTTAATTCAACCAAACCTTCTCGTAACGCGTATAATGACAAACGAAAGACAAACAAACAAACAAACAAAAACCTGACGCACACAAACCAACAAACAATTTAAAACATCATGTTAAAACAAATCAAACAAACAAACAAACGAAAAACAAACTGAGTCCTCATTAACGGCCAAGTAAGCGCATCTAAGAGTCAATTTGTCCCCTTTGAGTTGAGGGAATTAAAAAAATTATTCGAAGGGATAAAAGATAAACTAAAAGCGTGCACGAAGCCCGTTACTCGAGGGTGCGAATAACGACCATGAAAGGAACGACTCGAGGAACGTTTTGAGTCGATATCGTTTGAATTTACGCGATTTCAAACGCTCGAGGCTTTCTTTCTACTAAAAATCAAGTTTTTTCCAAGTGTTACCTTAAAAACACTTGCTTCCTGCTGCAGCAAATGTACCGTGAACTGATGACATGACGCGCGTGAATAGTGCCAACGCAGACATAAATGGGGTGAGTCTAGTCCATTATATCTCCTAAACAAGCACAGTGACCTATCCTTTTTATTATATTTTTCGAAACAGACATTGGTAGGGTATATTTAAGGAAAGTTAAAAAAAATTGTTCGATAACTTTTTTTTCTGAGGAGTCACCTCAACGTTTAATCCAGGGGTAGTAATGAAACGAGAAAATATCATGCTAGTCACTCTTGGGTGTCGACAGGTTGATGACAGGAATGCATATGGTTTCTAAAACCAATAAACTTGTCCCATACCCTTGTTTCAGCTGACCCTGGCGCCGCACAGCACTGTAACGAATGGCGATAGTGATCGCTTTTGATAACTGCCAGAAGGAGTCGCCAACAATGCCTGCCCGCGTCAAACTCATGGTACCGTACAACAGTTTGGAGTTGGCTGGTTTTGTGAAGGTTCCGTCAGGGGACAACTGTCGGTTATTGATAGTAAAATCAATATATTTACTGTGAAGCCTATCAAAATCAAATCTAAATAGGTGTAGGGGGAAAGACACAATAACTGAAAAAAAAAAAGTGCCAGGCTGGGCGATTGATAGAAAGTTATGTACGCTTTTCTCGGAGTGAAGACAGAATGTTATCACAGCAAGGAATTTCAGGTCGCGTTTTATTGCGATAAACCATTTAAGGATTTTGAGTTTTTCCGTCATTAATTCATATGGTTTATTTCGTTTTTCGATTGGTATCAGACCAGTTTGGGAAGGTTGACAACGCACGAGTAGCGACTCGCGATACTTGTTATGTTATTCCACCGTTAAGCACGAGTTAAAAATACGTTAAACTGTGATGAGAGAAAGTTTGGTTTTGAGCATTCTGAACATTACCTGTCTTTAATTAGAAAAACTTATCCAACCACAATGAGGTTTCCACCCCTTTCAGTGTCTAACCACTTATCATTGTACCATAAGAGCCAGCACTAACGCCAAGTCATATATACGAGCACAACAACCCATTTCATACTACCTTTGAAAGACCCATTAGCATCTGGTCTAGTGGAATACGGACACGGTCAAACATTAGATATCCATTGTCACTCCCGTTGTACATCATAGAAAACTTGGCTCCAATGTCTCCTATTGTGATACCTGGATATTTTTGGAGAATAAAAGGCTGTTACCTGATGAGCAGGTAATTTAGTGTTAACAACTGGGTTGAAAACGTAAATTAGCCACCGTAAAAGTAAAAAGCTGATTTTTCGTCAATCGAATAAAAACGGTCTTTTTTTACATGATAAATCACCCAGTGCGCCAAACAGATTGTAGACGCAGTTTCTTTTTAGAAACTTACCCCTTTATTGTTACCTGATGAATCACGTTGCGCCGAACAGATTGTAGTGGGGGGGGGGAGTAATAGGCTTTATCAACTGAGGTGATTAAGTGAATAGACCATGGTAAACAGTTTCTAAAGCTGAAGTTCCGAGCATTAGCCCTTCGTCTGAGCGAATAGATAAAATTGTGAGTGTTTAACTGCGTAAAAATGGAGCTACGCTGTTGGTTGGAACATGTTAACATTACGAAGCAAATACAGCTCAAATACAAATGCAACTTGAAGGAAATGCACGTATTTGCTGCGCGGACGTACACACAAACGCAGACACAGTCGTGTAAGCAAGAAATGAAAAAAGAACTATACCCATTCTCGTCTTCTTGCGTTTGCGCTCGCGTTTACATCTAATACGTGTGTCTCTATGCTACAACACTGTTGAAAAGGAAAAGTCCTCTTCAGGTTCGTTTCGTCATGAATTTGGGGGCCTGTGGAGTGGACGTGAGTGTCTGCATTTTCCATTTTTTTTTTCCTTTGCTTTCCAACAGGAACAGAGAGAGATCCCTTACCTGGCAAAGGTTGATGAGTCTCCAGATCTCGTAACTGAACTAGAAACATCTGAATTCCACGATCAGTTCCATCAACAATCAGCCTTGCGGGCACGGTCGCAAAATTAGAAGTTTTTCCCACTAGAAAACATTTTAAATCAACATTTTAAAATGGAAGCACTGTAGCATAACATTAAGAAAGGACAGAGTTTAGGCGATAAATTTATTCGCACCCATAAATCTGCAAAAGTAAATTACTCTGCTTTTTTCACGCGGGTTATTCAACCATGACGAAAAAAAGCAAACAAAAAACTGACATTTAAATCAATACTTCAGAATGGAAGTAGTATAGCGTTAAGTACAGATTACTAAAGAGTTCAAGCAATAAATTTAACCACAATGATGAATCTACAGGGGCAAGTTCCTTTTTTTTTTTTAAATTATTATTATTATTTTTTTACATAAGGTCATTCAAGACTTGGCGATTGAACGAAAACAGCCGTCTAGGTAGAGAAACACCCTCTCTTGTCCCAATCCCTTCTCGCCCACAACTCCTCCTCATCCCCTGGTACTTAAGTATCTTCTCTAACCAAATCTTTAAAATGCATCCATATATAATATAATTTCGAACATACGATTTCCAGGCCACCATTTACAGGCTGAATGAGTTGGCGAGTGAATAATAAACTCCTGTGTGGTCTTATCATATGTTGCTATTGTCTCCAGGCCACGCACAAAAGTTCCTGAAAATATAATTTATGCATAAGATAATTCATCAAATTACTAAATGCCAAATACCTAACCTTTTCCTCCCTAACATCAGTATGCATATTCTCCATATTGTTCTCTATACATTTCATAAGATGCTGACAAGGAGAATTTGTTCATAGACCTTCATACTCACCATGGCCAATTTCAGTCTGGGCATATGTTCCTATTATCTGAAAGGACTCTGCAAGAGGCAGCCATTTTGCTTTTTGTTCTTCACTTCCTTGTCCCTTAATTGACAGAAGAAAGAAAGTACATTTATATAAAAGCCTTCTTGCAGTAATGAAGACTGCTTAAGCAGAAGTGGAAATAATGCCTGAAAAAATTCAGGTATAGGATTTGAACCCATCACCTATGTGATACCAGTGTAGTACTCTTCCAACTGAAGTAACAACATAAAAAGCCAACTGGGAGCTGGTCATATTTTTGCTTCGTAATAAACCCGTGAAGTGATGAATAATGTTCAAATCTTGTACAGGACTGAATTTTTTCAGGCCTTATCTTCATTTCTGCTCAGTTAAGTAGCATTCACTACTGCAAAGATTGCTTTCATATTCATTTCTTAATCTGCAGTTCACATAATGATTTTCATATATTCACAGTAAAGAATGAACATATAATCAGTCTGTTCATAACTGTAATTTTCAGCAACTAACAAAAGAAGCATGAGGCAGGTTCCACAGAGAATGAGGACATTTCCCAACCCCCCTAGCATTCAGTCCTTAGCTTACTCTCCTGTACCTCTTATTACAGGTATGCTCTACAAAAATATTTGAGATAAATTATAAGGTCTATCAGAAAGAATGTTGTGTCATTCCATTTGCAACATAATGAAACATTTGCGTTTCATAGCTGTCAGCCTTTTTCATTATTATCTATTTCTGACTAAAATAAATTTCTGAAATTGAGATGTTTAAGAGTGTTACAGAATTATGAACTAATTCAGAAGGGTATCAATTTTTTTTGGAGTCAGTTTGTGCTTTTTTCAATAAATATGAACAATTTGAGGTACCTTTATGGTAGGAATGAACATCCCTTTATGCAAGGTGTGTGGCAGGTGGGTTTGTGTGCTCCTAGAGAAAGAGTTGATAGCCTGTAAGTTTGTATATATATCCCATCATGATTTACCAGATTTATATTTTGTATTACAATTACACAAGTTTTCAGTTACATGTGTATGTGGAATTGAAATCTTATCAGAAACATAGTACTTCTCCATGATCCCTTTTAAACAGTCATGTCAGAAAGTTCTAAAATTGGTGACTACCCTATGAATAAGGAGTAGCTGAATTTTGTCCCATCTGTTACTGAAGCATTGACTTGGCTAAAAACAAGTAGGTTGTAATCATAGTCAGCTGAGAGTTCTTTAATCTTAGCTTGCCTGAAAGTTGCTGTTTACCCCTGCAATTATGCTCATTAAGTCTGTTGCTGACTGAGAAGGACCCCACACTTAGGCATAAACAATGACTGTACTCATCAGTTAGCGGCAGAAATCAAGTGATTGTGGCCCACAGCATTTATCAGTAGTGTTCATGCTTTTTATAAACCAGTAATGGTCATGTCATACTTTCTCCTTTGTTTAAAATGCACTATCTATACCTTCCTAAAATGCTTTGTTCGTTAGGATCAGTTATCTGATGTTCTTTCACTAGCTCTACAATTCTTAATCCTTTCTGTAAACCTCTCTCATAAGCACGTCTGCGATCCAGGATGTAATCATCTTCTTTGCTAAACACAGGATCCTTCTCTACCAATGACTCTTCAATTGAATAAAAGGGAAAAGAAATTTTGATAACAAAAACCTTTAATTAAAAGCTAACTAAAAACAGATTTTATCATAAATATTGAACATGCAGGGCAGACAATTGGTTACATCAGGGGCATTGACAGGATTTTTCATAGGAAGGGGGTCACAATGTGTCAAATAGAGGGTTTTCACCAGTTTTTGTCACCTTAATATTGTAGGTTGTTTGCTTACAAATGTGTGTGGGGGAGGGGGGTTTAACAGGCACCCCAGGACCCCACCCCAGCATGGGTTGCCCCCCTATGTTGATGTCTTCTTGTATCAGGGTTCAAACATGTCCCAGGGTCATTAAACAGGGGAGGAAAGTCCCTCTGGCAGTTCCTACTACCATTTTAATGCGATAAGTCCACTATAAGTATTAAATGCATCCATGAAAAGGTAAATTCAACTGAAAAGTCAACACATATATCTTGCCAAATCTAACTCCACTTTCAGTTTACAAGTTGAATAAGGTACAATACTACAGTGCTACTCCCTCAAAGTAGCTATGTAGTACTGCAGCACAGTTGATCCTAACCTCCCCCCATCTCCTCCCTTCAATCACCCTGCCTCAACCTTTCTCCTGTCAGACACGTGGTCCTTATATGAACCACTGGGCAGAGAGAGACTCTAAAACAGTGACATGTCTAGCCCATGAACATGACAAAATGACCCTCTCCACCCTAAACCCAGACCTTGCAATCCAGAGTCAGATAGCACAGTAATTGCTTGGCAATGCATCCTCTCATACATGTAACTGTATCTATACCTGCTGAAAACTCTTAAGCCATGACTGCTGATTCACAACTTTAACCTCAAACCAGTTAATATCCAAAGGCCAATTACATAGCAGAAAAATTTGAGCCTTCACCCGAAAAAAACAGAAAAAGTTGAATGTACAAGCAGAGTAATTTGACAAGCTAAGTCTACCACTGTTCCATCACAAGGGCTGTAATCTGATTGGCTGAAGTACTCACTATCTATTCTGTGACAGGTAGAGAGTAAACAGAGTAGCAAAAAGTGTGCACTTGAAAAAAAATACATATATATAAAAAATAAAAACCATGATCTTGAGGTTTTAAACAAAAACAATAGGACTACTTGCTCTAGATTTCTATGCGTGATGGTCAATTTGGGCTTCACCCTCATCACAGTTGTCAAGCGATAGAAATCTCGAGCTCATAGTCTAAATATCACATAGACAGCAGGTTATGTGTCACTCAAGTGTGTCAGGTCTAAGGTCGACTTTGCAAGGGTCTCGGTTCGCGTGACATTTCTCGAACTGGAATGTCGATTTCAATGCGAACACTGCATTTCGCATTTGATCGCGTTCGATGCTGATGCGTTTGCCACGTTCTCCCCAATTACCTGATTAAAGCAATTATCAGAAATTATTTATCCAAATGCCATCTAACGCTAATGCCAACCTCACAGCTATAACCATCAGTCGATATTCTCACCTAAGAATTTCTTACGCTCTGTTCTCTCTCGGCCTCCATAAAGCAAGTAAGTTAGTTCCCTTGTGTCAAAGGATGCTTTTCCTCGTTCACGGGCTAAATCGGGATTTATTTTACCAGACGATGGCTTCATTTTGATACAGACCAAATAGATTCCACCAGAGATTAATGGCTTTATGAAGTAAACATTACGCAACTCATACCAGGGATGACGTGACTTCGCTGTTAAGTGGCTAACCATAATTTTTCGGTCTAGTCTCCCTCGGTCATCCCTAAAATGTGCGGGTTGTTGCTGTTGCTTCTCTTTTTCTTTCAAGAAGTTGAACATTCGAAAATACATACATACACACATATATATATATATATATAAACCTGTAAACCATTTCCGAAAACATTTTATTTCAAGAAGTTGAACATTTAAGAAAAAAAAAAAATATATATATATATAGGAAGTCTGCAAGTCGATTTTCGCATGGAACAGTGCTCAATACGTTGAAGAAGAGCAGAATAAATATTATGAGAGGAAAAAACGACGCAACTACATATCCCGACAAGCCTGTTTCGTGAATCGCTTCACTCTTCAGGGGTTTAATATATATATATATATATATGTGTGTGTGTGTGTGTATACGACGGTCTAAACCCAGCTCCCACTCCCTATTGGTGGGTGAACAATCCATCACTTGGCGAAATCTGCTTCGCAATGATAGGAAGAGCCGACATCGAAGGATCACAATGCAATGTCGCTATGAAAGCTTGGCTACCACAAGCCAGTTATCCCTGTGGTAACTTTTCTAACACCTCTAACTTAAAACTCCTAAAGACTAAAGGATCGATAGGTCACTCTTTAGCGGTTTGTATTCCTACTGAAAATCAAAATCAAGCGAGCTTTCACCCTTTTGTTCTACGCGAGATTTCTGTTCTCGCTGAGCTCGCCTTAGGACACCTGCGTTATCATTTGACAGATGTGCCGCCCCAGCCAAACTCCCAACCTTACTCTGTCTCGGACGCAGATCGGCTCCGACGCGAGATTTCAGGGTGAAAGTCCGTTAAAAAGAAAAGAGAACTCTTTCCGGGGCCCCCGCCGGCGTCTCCGGGTTCGGTTGCGTTGCCGCGCCTACTAACGAGTGGCAATAACCACGTTTCGGTTCAGGAATGTTAACCCGATTCCCTTTCGATAGGCGGCCCGAGCATCGGGCGCTTTGACACGGAATTACCCTATCTCTTAGGATCGACTAACCCATGTCCACTGCTGTTCACATAGAATCTTTCTCCGCTTCAGTCTTCAAAGTTCTCATTTGAATATTTGCTACTACCACCATGATCTGCACCGGGGGCCGTTTCACCCGGCTCGCGCCAGAACCATGGGAGAGGAGTAATTGGAGAGGACAAAGGATAAGAGAAGTCACAGATATTGAAGCCCGGTAAAAAGCAAGAGATTCTGTCCCCCACCCACCCACCCCCGTCTCTTTCCCGATGTAGGTAAAGCTATGTCTCCAGAACCGGTATGTTTACATAATAAGCTGAATTACTGCAGCATTTATTTTGATTGGCTCATTCTTATCCTCTTAGAGGACAGACATAGATGATGTGACAATTAGCAATTTTTTGCTTCTTTATTATATATAGCAAATACGGGTAGACAGATGACGTCACAATGTGGCTGTGCCTCGTTTGCCACTTTTTGGATCTTACTACATTATGACATCATCTATTATCTCTTACTAAACAGAGATATGGCAACATGAAATCTCTTTGTTAATTCGTAAGGTATATTTCAGCTTTGATGTTCGTTAAGATATAGGAAGCAATAATGTGCCGGATTTGCCTTGTTTTTTATCAGGAAATGATGATATAGATGTGACACTGTATTGTTTAAATTGTTTAAAGTGCTGAAAGCAACATTTTATCCTTAATGGCACCCTGTGTTTTACTATTTTAACTACAATAGTAGTACTTATAATAAGCTTAAGTTGTAACTTGAATGATTATTCATTTGTTTAGTTTTGAGGGGGAGGCCCCACATCAATAACGTTGTCACCTTAACATGAAGGCGTGAAATCATATTATAATAAGATGTGTCAAAAAGGCTATTTTTTCACGTATATGGGTGCGTAGTTTTGTTTTGTATATTCCACTTTCATCAACTACGAAACCTGAAGAAGTCCATCTGTAAAATCTTGCTTTTATTAATTGCTGTCGTTCTTTGGTTACTGAATCCTTCGTCAGTAACAATGTTTGACAGGATACTATGCAAAAATAGAACCAAATTATATTTTAAGCATTTTACTTTTCAAGATGAACAATAATCTGCACGTTTACGATACACCACAAACAAAGCCAACAGAACGATGTAACATTACCCAAGGATTGAAACTGACCAATCACAACCGAATTACACCAACTGAGTCTTATAGCCATTATCATCACGGCTGAACTAACCAGTAGTTCACATGAACTGGACTTATTACACTAACAACAACTATTCAATTGTTCCTGATGATGACTTCTACTCAGGTTGTTGAAATATCAGTCACTATTACCGACAGCAGTCTTTCTCAAGACAATTTTGGTATTATTTTGTCAACTGAGTTGACAACGTAAATTGGCCACCGTAGAGAGTTTTAAAGCTGACGTTTCGAGCGTTAACCCTTCGTCGGAGCGAAGTCGCGAATTATCATGTTATACTCTCCCACCGACGCAACTCAACAGGTTCTTTATAAACTTACCCCCTTTTCAGGAGTCCCCTTACCAGGACGATTAGACGACACGATCAAACCTACAGCTTCAAATGGCTTTTTAAAGTGGAATGCGCGAACGATTTTGTTAGGGGTTACTTCTCCAGATTGTTATTGACTTCGAGGAAGAGAATCTCAAGACTTCTAAAAAACAAATCGGGCTCCCGCTTTTTGGTCGACTGATGTTGTCAATCACTCAACGTATGATTACAGACCGAATTAAGCACGCCAAAATGACACGTTCAAGTTGATCTATATCGTAATTAAAATATTATTATAGTTTAGATTTGTTGTTTTGCATTAGTGGCCGCAGGTATTTGTAGTAGCCTGGTTACACCTGAAATGAAAACAAAGTCCTTCAATAAACAAAAACATCATAAAACAGGTTTAGTTGGCACGGTAACGAATGGTTTTATGACACACAGGCAACCCTATAGTGGTGTTCATGGGATTTGGAAAACCCAAGCCCAGATACAATACAAAAACCTTGGTAACTCTTGCTTTGAGCCGGTTTTGTCGTAATACCCTAAATTTTTTATACCTCTTACCGATATTTCCGCATGATAGAGCGCTCTATGAATGAATGTTTAAAAAAAAAAAAACCAAAGTGATCACGATAACCAATCAGAGGATAAGAAAATTTCACAATTAACCAAAAAGAAAGCAAATTTATTAGTTTATTTTTAAGGCAAATTTATTGAAGCGCGGGAAAACACGAGTGAGCAGGACGCGGTTGCATTTAGTGTTGAATCTGATTGGCTGAGAGAATTACACGAGTTTTCGGCACCACTCACAAAGCAAAGTAAAGCAAATGCATAGCGATCCCAGATTAGTATCGAAACTCGATTGCACATTTCTTTATCCATCAAAAATTAATAAACTGTACCTGTTCATCATTTAACTCCGATCTTTGCGCCCATCTGAAAAGGTCCTCATATACGTTGCCATCGAAACGTCCCAATGGAGAGTTAAGTACGTAATCTGAATGATCAAAGGCGTCAACCAGAGCCACTGCTTCAGGTCTTTACGTTGAGAAATACAGAAACAAGAAAATCGGGTTAACTCAAACAAGTTGCTGTTTTTCAAACCCGTTCACGATATCATAAAATAACAGCGCTTATGTTCTTGGGCATAAAGATGTTTTGACCCCAACTCACAGTCATTTTAGTCCGCGCCGCTAGGAGAGGGTTGAACTGACTCATAGAACAGCCCAAACCATAATAATGCCTATGAACAAAAGCTATATTACCATTATTACTTTGGGGGGCATTAAGAAAAAAACCTGAAACCGAAAAAAAAAATGACAAAACAGTCTGAACAACCAAGCAAGCGGGCGCGCGCGCGGGCTAAAATAGATTTGGATTCGGTTTCACAATGATGACTGAGACAATTATCAAGGCCTTGGTTCTCCTAGGACCATTCCGTCCTGACCTCGGCCTTGCGTACTCGACCCAATTTTCTTAACCCGCGTTCAAAAATGTCGAATATAAGGCCCAGGCCGTACTCTCGAAAATGTGGGCCTTAAGCCATATCTAAACTTCTAAATTTCACGAATAGAACTGCTAAAGGACAAGTTTATTTTATTCCGTTTCCTAAAGATTCTAGTATTCGAATTTCATTACTATCAAAACTCGATCTTGACAGCAAACAATTCACAAAGTTGAAAAAAATTAAAAAAAAAACCCAGCTTTCCAGAACTGCTAAATATCAGAACCTTGAATATCAGAACTTTCGAGCCCTTCGTCAGAGGGAAAGACGAAAGGGCTAACGCTCGTAACGTCAGCTTTCAAACTCTTTACGGTGGCCAATTTACGTTATCAACTCCACAGTTGTTAACACTAAATTACCCTTTTAAGAATTAGGGATTTTTATTCTTAGTCAACTCACCTGAGCTTGTCCATCAAATCATAAACTTGTTGTCGTATAGTTTGAGTTTGAGCGCAGTTAAGAACTCCAGCCTAACAGGAAATGGCGAAAAAAAAGAAGGCAACTGATACTTCATACAACTGATATTAAAAATGGCTTCCAATCTTTCATTTTCATTTTTCATGCAGGTTTCTCTTCTACACTACTTAAAGCTGGATACATCATATTCGCTTTTTTGTTCTTGTTTGTTTATCACTCGGTATGAAGGTCGAGGTTGTAGGCGTTTCATCTGAGCTAAAATCATTTCTATTACCAACTTCAGAACATTATCGCTCTTACTTATGAAGTTTTTAATCTTAAAAATCGTTTGGTACCTCCAGAAAACTTCCTGAGTCTTCAGCGATACCCCAAAGAACAAACAAATCTGCCACACATTTCAGCACCCTGCGTAAACTTGAACTAACACCAGACAGGTTCTCCATCGAATCCAATAAATACGAAACCATAACACAATGACTATAACCCTGAAACAAAGAGAAAAAATAAACTAATAATTTATATCTAAGTGAGATATCTTTATTGGAGGCACATATTACTTGCAGACGTCCGCGCGGATCAAAGGCTGCGCACACTCCATTAAAAGGCTGAAGCAAAAGATCGCGTAATCATAACGGCAAATCCGAAGAAGGAAAATATTGAGGAGAGCCAATGAGAGCTCAAAGTGTTGACACAGGAGCGGGTATATGCGCGGGAAAACGCAACGCCCAACCCAACTACAAAGATGACAACGTAATCAATTGCAATAGCCAATCAAAAAGGGGAAAACACTGAGAAGAGCCAGTGAGAAAAAGAAAAACGTGGGTGCGCAAGGCAGGATTGCGCCCAGTTTCCTGCTTATTAGTTGGGTTGCTGGTAAGCGGTTAGCCTGCATAGCAAGCGTAATTTTGGCCAACGAGAGCGCCATATTTGATCTTCTTGGCAGCGGAAGACCGGGGAGAGGTAGAAATTTGTACCAAGCGGGTGAGCGACGTAACTCCAAATCAGACATGGCCGGTTAAATGAACAATCGCGAGCTTCTTCACGTTAACTCGCCCTAAGAAGACGCCTGCACTGGAGGCTAGCGCGCAGTTTTAAGAGTAAGATTAGTTAAATTACAGATTACTTTTGAAAATCAATCAACTGAACATTTCTCTGCAACACAGCTTGTGTTATGGTCACCTCGCTCTCTGGCTCACCTTAGCACAGCGTAGTAAGTCTACAGACAGCTCGTTCCAAGCATCAGAGGAGTCCGTTCCAGAAGAAATTTTTCTTTGAAACTTTTCTGCAACAGCCCTCACCTCGCTGAAGGAACGCAAGGGAACGTTAAATTAATTGGTGACAGCCTATTTCTTTTTCTACATGGATATGCTTAAAACTGATGCAAGCTACAAGGCCACTGAACGGACGGACACCTGACACCGTCTCAAGCTTGAAAAAGCAGGACGCTTGACGTATCTAGCGGGATCGCCACATAACGGCACGCAAGAGTAGGTTAGCCTACTTACGGGCTTCCCAAATCATTTTTTTGGGGTGGCGGTGGGAACGGTTAAATTCTCTCACCTGCCAGTCCTGTCCTGATAAATTCTTCTTTGCACACCTGGCTCCAAAAATCCTTCTCCATTGATTACCGGACACTGTTCATTTCTTCGTGACAAATACCTCAGTGAAACAGGAAGAGCTTTTCCCTCTTGAGCTTGAGAGGCGATTTTTACCAGAAACCTGTAACGAAATATAATCCCTGCAAATGTAATCAGTTGTGCAGCGCAAGAAGAATTTCAACTAATGCCAGAAGCTGAATACACGAACGATCAGGGAGAACACGATCCCAAGCGCAGAAATGAACGTGAAATTACATGAATTTTTCCTTTCAAAGGAAAAAAAAAAACGCCAAAAGTCAAAGTAAGAAGTGACTTCAGAAACCCATCACCATTGGGCGAGGGATGTTTCTACCAGGTCACTACGCAGTCAAAACATTGCGATCGTTTTTGTTAGTAGGGCCGTCTAACTTAAAAGCTTTTAAACCGTCTACAAAAGTACATTTAAAACCTCAATTACATTTAGGTCAAAAGTCGGGGGCGACGCAACTTTAAGTTGGGGGTGACGCACAAAAACTTCAGGGCGCGGCAATCATACTTCGGGGCGACGGACTTCACTTGGGGCACCCGTGTAGGGGGGGGGGCGACGTCACCTACATCCATTTAGGCAGTACAATAATGTATACAAGCTTACCTTGCTACTTGCAGGAAAAGAACATCATTATCTCCCTCGTAAGTACAGGAAGCATTCAACAATGTATACAACTCAGGAAGACCGCTGTACAGTAAGTAGCCATGTCCACCACACGCCAGTCGGCACGTCTCTGCATGATGCATGGCCGTTGAAGTCGAAAAAGCCTTGAGACCACTTGTGATAGCATGGCTCTACAAATAAGAAATAGAAAAAAAAGAGTAAGCTTGAGGAAAACTCAGGCAAAGTTTGTTGTAAAAAAAAATAAATAAAAAGAATAATGTACGTGCCGATAAAATCTCTCACTTAGGATAAAATTCATATTACAATGGCTGCCACACGACATCCTCTATTTAAAAGGGCTGGCTATAGTATATTGCATTGAATTTTGACTGGTTGACAACCCATAGTATCTCAACTCATATACCATAGACCATTTTCACGGCATAAACATCGCACTTTTCTTCGAAATCATTCAGATGTCGCATATTTTAAGGTAATTATTTGAGTGATTTTTAGTACAGCGACTATCATTCCATCCGCACTTGTCGTAAGACAGTTCTAACCAACTTTAGATCTACGCCTCTCATCGCCTTTTTACGATCTCATTTTCAACGAACGCAAATGGAATAATCGTTGAGGACTGTGAGCGGCGGATACAAATGAGAAAGGCACGAAATGCCATCCACGAGATAAATAGAGACTGTTCCATGAAAAGTGCGCACGAACGATTTTTATTCACGAGTGGCGATGCATCAAAAAAAAAGAACGAGCGAGTGCAGCGACAAGGGAGCTTTTTGATGCATTATAACAAGTGAATAAAAATCGTTCGTGCGCACTTCCCATGGTGATGTTTTTATTTCACACATTCTAAGATTTATACTGAGCAGTACGAAGCGAACGACTGTGAAAAAACATCGTTCGTCCAATCAAACACGAAGGATAGCACTTCACAGTGTAAATCTCAGTATGTACGAAATAAACTATTTTAGCCAAAGTTCCCAGACTGGGAACACGAAAAGGTTTTACTTTACCTCTGGTAATATGGACAAGTCACCAGCTGCAATTTTCTTTTGACGTTCCTGAAACGATCTCCACACATGATCAAACGCAAACTTTAAGGCATAGGCCATAGCCAGCCCCGGTAACAGTTTGTACTGTTGTGTCTTGTAATCGATAATCTGGGTCTCGGGTTCCCTGTTGTAAGATCAAAGACAAATTGTGGGTAAATCACTAAATATGTTTCCAAGTGTTTCACCAACGGTTAATTAAACCAAACCTTCTCGTAACGCGTATAATAACAAACGAAAGAAAAACAAACAAACAAGCAAACAAAAACCTGACGCACACAAACCAACAAACAATTTAAAACATCATGTTAACACAAATCAAAACAAAAAAACTAACAAACAAAAAACAAACTGAGTCCTCATTAACAGCCAAGTGAGCGCATCTAAGAGTCAATTGATCCCCTTTGAGTTGAGGGAATTAAAAAAATTATTCGAAGGGATAAAAGATAAACTAAAAGCGTGCACGAAGCCCGTTACTCGAGGATGCGAATAACGACCATGAAAGGAACGACTCGAGGAACGTTTTGAGTCGATATTGTTTGAATTTACGCAATTTCAAACGCTCGAGGCTTTCTTTCTATCAAGTTTTTTCCAAGTGTTACCTTAAAAACACTTGCTCCCAGCTGCAGCAAAATGTACCGTGAACTGATGACATGACGCGCGTGAATAGTGCCAATACAGACATAAATGGGGTGAGTCTAGTCCATTATATCTCCTAAACAAGCACAGTGACCTATCCTTTTTATTATATTTTTCGAAACAGACATTGGTAGGGTATATTTAAGGAAAGTTAAAAAAAATTGTTCGATAACTTTTTTTTTCTGAGGAGTCACCTCAACCTTTACTTCAGGGGTAGTAATGAAACGAGAAAATATCATGCTAGTCACTCTTGGGTGTCGACAGGTTGATGACAGGAATGCATATGGTTTCTAAAACCAATAAACTTGTCCCATACCCTTGTTTTAGCTGACCCTGGCGACGCACAGCACTGTAACGAATGGCAATAGTGATCGCTTTTGATAACTGCCAGAAGGAGTCGCCAACAATACCTGCCCGCATCAAACTCATGGTACCGTACAACAGTTTGGAGTTGGCTGGTTTTGTGAAGGTTCCGTCAGGGGACAACTGTTGGTTATTGATAGTAAAATCAATATATGAAGCCTATCAAAATCAAATCTAAATAGATGTAGGGGGAAAATGCAAAATAGCTGGAAAAAAAAAGAAAAGTGCAAGGATGAGCGATTGATAGAAAGTTATGTACGCTTTTCTCAGAGCGAAGACAGAATGTTATCACAGCAAGGAGTTTCGGGTCGCGTTTTATTGCGATAAACCATTTAAGGGTTTTGAGTTTTTCCGTCATTAATTTATATGGTTCAATTCGTTTTTTGATTGGTATCAGACCAGTCTGGTAAGGTTGAAAACACACGAGTAGCGATTCGCGATATTTGTTACATTAAAAATACGTTAAACTGTGATGAGAGAAAGTTGGATTTTGAGCATTCTGAATGTTACCTGACTTTAATTAGAAAAACTTATGCAACCACAATGAGGTTTCCACCCCTTTGAGTGTCTAACCACTTATCATTGTACCATAAAAGCCAGCACTAATGCCAAGTCATATATACGAGCACGACAACCCATTTCATACTACCTTTGAAAGACCCATTAGCATCTGGTCTAGTGGAATACGGACATGGTCAAACATTAGATATCCATTGTCACTCCCGTTGTACATCATAGAAAACTTGGCTCCAATGTCTCCTATCGTGATACCTGAATATTTTTGAAGAATAAAAGGTCTTACATGATAAATCACAGTGCGCCAAACAGATTGTAGTGGTTGTTGAAAGGGGGTACGTTTCTGAAGAAACTGTAGTACTGCTTCGGGGGAGGGAGGGGGGGATTATGGCTTTATCAATTGAGGTGTTTTAAGTGAATTGACCATGGTAAACAGTTTCTAAAGCTGGCGTTCCGAGCATTAGCCCTTCGTCTGAGCGAATAGATAAAATTGTGAGTTGTGGGTGTTTTATCTGCATAAAAATGGAGCTACGCTGTTGGTTGGAACATGGTAACATTACGAAGCAAATAAAGTTCAAATACAAACGCAACTTGAAGGAAATACACGTATTTGCTGCGCGGACGCATACAGCAACGCAAACGCAGTCGTGTAAGCAAGAAATGAAAAAAAAAGCCATTCTCCTGTCTTTGCGTTTGCGCTTGCGTTTACATCTCTGTGTGTCTTAATGCTACAAAGAAAAATCCTCCTCAAGTTCGTTTCGTCATGTATTTGGGGGCCTTGTGGTGTGTATATGTGCAAGTATTTTTCTTTAATTTCTCTTGCTTTTTCTCTTGCAAAGATGTCTTACCTGGCAAAGGTTGATGAGTCTCTAGATCTCGTAACTGAACTAGAAACATCTGAATTCCATGATCAGTTCCATCAACAATCAGCCTTGCGGGCACAGTCGCAAAATTAGAAGTTTTTCCCACTAGAAAACATTTTAAATAAAAATTTCAAAATGGAAGCACTGTAGCATAACATTAAGAAAGGACAGAGTTTAGACGATAAATTTATTCGCACTCATAAATCTGCAAAAGTAAATTGATCTGCTTTTTTTTCACGCGGGTTATTCAACCATGAGGAAAAAAAGCAAACAAAAAACCGACATTTAAATCAATACTTCAGAATGGAAGTAGTATAGCATTTATTACAGATTACTGAAGAGTTCAAGCAATAAATTTAACCACAATCATGAATCTACAGGGCCAAATTCCCTTCATTTTTTTTTCCTTTTCACATAAGGTCATTCAAGATTTGATGATTGAACGAAAACAGCCGTCTAGGTAGAGAAACACCCTCTCTTGTCCCAATCCCTTCTCGCCCACAACTCCTCCTCATTATCCGGTACTTAAGTATCTTTTCTAACCAAATCTTTAAAATACATCCATATGTAACATAATTTTGAGCATACGATTTCCAGGCCACCATTTACAAGCTGAATGAGTCGGTGAGTGAATAATAAACTCCTGTGTGGTCTTATCATATGTTGCTGTTGTCTCCAGGCCACGCACAAAATTTCCTGAAAATAAAATTTATACACAAGATAATTCATCAAATTACTAAATGCCAAATACCTAACCTTTGCCACTCTAACATCAGTATGCATATTCTCCATACTGTTCTCTATACATTTCATAAGATGCTGACAAGGAGAATTTGTTCATAGACCTTCATACTCACCATGGCCAATTTCAGTCTGGGCATATGTTCCTATTATCTGAAAGGACTCTGCAAGAGGCAGCCATTTTGCTTTTTGTTCTTCACTTCCTTGTCCCTTAATTGACAGAAGAAAGAAACTACATTAATATAAAAGCCTTCTTTGCAGTAATGAACACTGCTTAAGCAGTAGTGGAAATAATGCCTGAAAAAATTCAGGCCTGTATAGGATTTGAACCCACATGACCTATGTGATACCAGTGTAGTGCTCTTCCAACTGAGGTACCAACATAACAAGCCAGCTGGGAGCTGGTCATTTTTTTGCTTCGTAATAAACCTGTGAAGTGATGAATAATGTTCAAATCCCATACAGGACTGAATTTTTTCAGGCCTTATTTTCATTTCTGCTTAAGTAGTGTTCATTACTGCAAAGATTGCTTCCATATTCATTTCTTAATCTGCAGTTCACATGTAATCAGTCTGTTTGTAACAGTAATTTTCAGCAATTAACCAAAGAAGCTTGATGCAGGTTACACAGAGAATAAGAAAAAGCAGCCCCAGCCCTCTAGCTTTCAGTCCCTAGTTTACTCTCCTATACCTATTGTTACAGGTGTGGTCTACAAAAACATTTGAGATAAAATGTAAAGTCTGTTAGAAAGAAGGTTGCATCATTCTGTTGCAACATAATCAAAAATTTGCATTTCATAGTTGTCAGCCTTTTTCATTACCATCTACTTCTGACTAAATTTCTGAAATTGAGACGTTTAGGAGTGTTACAAAATTTTCTTTTTGGAGTAAGTTTGTGCTTTTTCAACAAATATGAACAATTTGAGGTACCTTTATGGTAGGAATGAACATCACTTTATGCAAGGCGTATGGCAGCTGGGTTTGTGTGCTCCTAGGGAAAGAGTTGATAGCCTGTAATTTTGTATACATCTCATAATGATTTATCAGATTTTAATTTTGCATTACAGTTGCACACTTTTTCAGCTCGAGGAATTCATATCTAACTAGAAACAAAGTACTTCTTCAAGATTCCTTTTAAACAGTCATGTCAGAAAGTTTTGAAATTGGTGACTACCCTATAATTAAGGAGTAGCTATCCCAGTAGTTATCCCATCTGTTACTGAAGCATTGACTCGGCTTAAAACAAGTAGGTTGTAATCATAGTCAGCTGAGAGTTCTTTAATCTTAGCTTGCCCAAAAGATACTAACAGTTTCTGTTTACACTTGCAATCATGCTCATTAAGTCTGCTGCTGACTGAGAAGTACCCCACACTTAGGCATAAACAATGACTGTGATTGTGGCCCACAGTATTTATCAGTAACGTTCATGCCTTTTATTAACCAGTAATGATCATGTCAGACTTTCACATTTGTTTAAAATGCGCTATCTATACCTTCCTAAAATTCTTTGATCATTAGGATCATTTATCCGATGTTCTTTCACTAGCTCGGTGATTCTTAATCCTTTCTGTAAACCTCTCTCATAAGCACGCCTGCGGTCAAGGATGTAATAATCTTCTTTGCTAAGCACAGGATCCTTCTCTACCAATGACTCTTCAATTGAATAAAAAGAAAAATAAATTATATTTGATGACAAAAAAAAACCTTTAATTAAAAGCTAAAACAGGTTTTATCATAAATACTGAACATGAAGGGTGGACAATTGGTTAGGGGGGGTCACAATGTGTCAAACAGAGGGTTTTCATCAATTTTTGTCACCTGAATACTGAATATTGTATGAGTTGTTTGCTTACAAAATTGGGGGGGTCCACAGGCACCCCAGGACTCCACCCCAACATGGGATCATGGGTTGCACCCTTATGTTGATGTCTTCTTGTATCAGGGTTCAAACATCCCAGAATCACCAGACAGGGGAGGAAAGTCCCTCTAGCAGTTCCTACTACCATTTTAGTGCGACAAGTCCATTATAAGTATTAAATGCATCCATAAAAAAGTACATTCAACTGAAAACACATATATCAACAATACAATAAAACCATGAGCCTTAGGGATAATTATACTACAACAATACGTCTATTCGCTCTAAATTCCTATGTGTGATGGTCACCTTGAGCTTCACCCTCATCACAGTTGTAAAGCGATAGAAATCTAGAGCTCATAGTCTAAACGTCACATAGACAGTAGGTTATGTGTCACTCAAGTGTGTCAGGTTTAAGGTCCACTTTGCAAGGGTCTCGGTTCGCGTGACATTTCTCGAGCTAGAGTGTCGATTTCCATACGAACACTCCATTTCGCATCTGGTCACGCTCGATGCAGATGCGTTTGCCACGTTCTCCCCAATTACCTGATTAAAGCAATTATCAGAAATTATTTATCCAAATGCCATCTAACAGAAATGCCAATCTCATAGCTATAACCACCAATCGATATTCTCACCTAAGAATTTCTTACGCTCTGTTCTCTCTCGGCCTCCATAAAGCAAGTAAGTTAGTTCCCTTGTGTCAAAGGATGCCTTTCCTCGTTCACGGGCTAAATCGGGATTTATTTTACCAGACGATGGCTTCATTTTGATACAGACCAAATAGATTCCACCAGAGATCAATGGTTTTATGAGGTAAACATTACACAACTCGCACTAAGGCAACGTGACTTCGCTGCTGAGCTGACCATAATATCTCGGTCTAGTCTCCCTCGGTCATCCCTAAAATGTACAGGTTGTTGCGTAAGCATTTTATTTCAAGAACAAGAAGTTGAACATTCGAAAAAAAAAAAAAAATTTATACATATGATTATTTTCAAGAATCAAACAGTGTAGAGGCTCTGCCTGATTATTTTCTGTTGCCTGCTTGGCATATGGGTTTCTCTTTCACGTAGAAATAACAATTATACACGGGAAATAAACATTTTCTTTCTCTAAGGGATATTTTGTTGCTTATCATTTTTTTCTCTACACGAAACAAAATATTACCTCTGAAGAAACCCACCGAGGTTCTTGTGAAAGCGGACAGGGAAAACCAATTCTAGTGCCTAAATGTAAAAAGGTATTTTTTCCATTAGACTCCATCAAAATACAAACAATGAAAACTGGAAAAAAAAATGGCTTCCTCATCTTTCCATATTCCCTGATGTAGACTCGTACCAAGACCTTTCACGGCCAAGTGCGTCGCTTGCGCATTGTTGTATACATGATAATCTCTACTTTCTTGCATACTTCGCCTTTCTCAACCACAAGTGGAGAAGGAACTCAACTGAACAATGCGCGATACAAGAAGGCTGTGTCCACAGCACTGTGGATTCAAATGATATTATTTGCTTGTTACCTCCCATTTTTTGTTTTGTTTTGTTTTTTTTTGTCGTTGTTGGTTTTATCTCTTTCGGTGCATGGAACACGCCGTTCTTCATAGCTGTGTGATGCTACGCTCTTTAATTCTAGATAGAAAAATGTTTTCCTATTTCTATTGCTGGATATGTTACGAACGAGACAGATGGAAAATTTAAAACTTGTTTATGGACTTAAAAAAAAAATATATATATACACATAATTATATAAATCAAGATATTTTCCTCGAGTGTAAGACATGATAAAAAAGTTGCCAATCGCATTGGTTGCCAAACTTATCTACAAGTGTACTAATGCCATCGACCGTTTGGCCTTGGCAGTATCCCATTGGTTGAGCATACAGTGACTAAGTTTGTAAGACTCAGGTTTAACTCTTCACGGGCAACTCAGATTCTTTCATTGTTCCACGTTCCATAATCGTGATTATTCTAGTTGTATAGATTCCGCTCCTGTTCTAACAGTGGTTGATTTTCAAATTTAATTTCAAGAGGCGAGTGGGCCACAGACCGTTTCATGTACATGTACTCTCCATTTCCCATGTTTCCTTGCGACTCTTTTTGGCGGAATTGCCGCCCACAAATCACGTGAAAACAAAGCAGACCAAAAGGTCTCTCTGGCAGTTCAGAGGAGCTATTAAAGATTGAATTTCACAAGGACTTGTGGTAAGTCCGAACAAGCTTGTGTAACTATTGCTACAGTTTAGATTTGTTGTCACGCATCAACGGCCGCAGGTACTTGTAGTAGCCTGGCTGTACCTAGAATGGAAAAACTGCTGATTACTACATAAAAAAACGGTAAAATAACGCAACTATAACTAGCGGTCAAAAAAGATAGAAACGACGCAAAGTTTGATGTGCTTCGTAGAGGGTAAAAACCATTAATTGAGACAGGAAACTTTCCTAATATCTGTGTTGACCGAGAGAACCTGAACGTGACTTTGAATTTGAACAAGGCAATAACGTCACACGATAAACAACCAATAACGCACTAGCTGAGATCACGTGGCGCTTTTCCTATCAGCCAATCAAATGACAAGCATAACATAATGTCATCACTTTCTGGTCACAGACCAAGACACAGATGTACAAACGTTACAACTATAGACAAAAAAAATGACCCATTGATCTTAATAGACACTCGTAGTAAACTGATGCGTTACAAACCACAACTCAATTTACCTCCTGATCATTCAATTCTGATCTTTGAGCCCATCTGAAAAGGTCTTCATAAACGTTGCCATCGAAGCGTCCCAGCGGTGAATTAAGTGAGTAATCTGAATGATCGAACGCGTCTACTAGAGCGACTGCTTTAGGTCTAAACGTTAAGAAAACAAAATAAGAACGCATCCAGTCGCAATGCAATCTTGAAAGAAAATTAATGAGACGAAGGGAAAAGAAAAAGTTTTACACTTCTTGATCTGAAAAAACTTCTTGAAGCGAAAACCGAAGTACTGAAAAAGGGTCAAAGAGTGAAAATAAAATTTCGAATAAGATCGCATAAATGTGTGATACATGTTCAAAGTAAATTACATAACGCATTATTTGTAAGACAAACCTGAGCTGTTCCATCAATGCATAAACTTGCTGTCGAATGGTTTGAATTTGGCTGCAGTTCAGAATTCCAGCCTGAAAGCAAAATGGGAGAAGATGTTTGGGTTTCTCTGAAAACGTGCACTTGGTATCAAAACCATGGATTTGAAACTTTTCAGCAACATGCAGTCGCAAAACACTAAAAGTTATCTAATGGCTGTTAAACTGACATAAGTGCGCATACACATGTAGTTTGTTTTCACGGTTTTCTAGCATTTCCTGATCTCTCTTTTGACTGGAGGTGACAAAATAAACATTCAGGACCCATTTTCAATGCTTACGATTTAAAACAACACTTTGGGGCAAGTAACAGTATAATGCTCCCCTGATTTTCTTCGATAAAAATCTCACTCTTCATCTTGTGAAGTGTGATTACTGCTATAGACTTACTTGTGTATTTCCCTCCTTACCTCTAGAAAACTACCTGAGTTTTCAGTAATACCCCACAGAACAAATAGGTCTGATAGAGATTTCAGGACCGTGCGTGAATTCGGGCTGACTCCAGAGAGGTTCTCCATCGAATCCAACACATAGGAAACCATTACACAGTTACTGTAGCCCTGTAAAAAGAACGAAAGATAAATCACTTTAATCTACGGTGACTCAGAATAGTTTACCCCTCCCACCTCGCACCAGCCTTCCTCCTCCCAGTAATTCTGGTACCCGTACATTTTCCGAGGTGGAAGGAGCCATTTTGAAAGTGAGGTCTCTTGCTTATAAATACAACACAGTGACCCGGCTTGGGCTTGAACCCAGACCTCTCAATCTGTCCCCGGTAGTTCGACGGACGGATAACGCTATCCACTGGATAAATCTCTTTCCAGTGGATAGCGCAGTACATTTGTGAACATTCGTCCATTGGATACCAATTTTATCTGCTGGATAGCGTCATCCACCCCTTTAACAATTGAGCCCTAGTATGGAGTGTACGCTCTCTCCCCCACCAAGGGGGAGAGGGTGATGCGTGAAGAGACCAAACAAAGGCTGCGAAGGAGACTACTCAAGACAAAGATACCCTGAAACTTTTACCTTGGCACAGCGCACTAAGTCTACAGACAAGTCATTCCACGCATCGGCAGGATCCATTCCAGAAAGTATTCTCCTTTGAAGTGTTCCTGCTACAGTCCTCAGTTCACTTATATTCAAAGACAAGAGAAATTTCCCAATAAAAATGAGACATTAAAGTTATTCTTCACTCAGAGCAGTTTACTTTCAAGTTAAAGGCACACTTATATCTCCAGTGTAGATGCAAGCTCAAAGATTGTTGATAAAAAGCCAAGAAACTCCAATCCATTGAAAATGGAGAGCAACAAACTGGTGCTAAAATCTCAAGACTACTTCAGGTATCTGCTCCAATGACAGTCTCTTAGACAAAACAAATTCAGTGAGTCCTTATCTGAAAAATGATTTAACTATTGTTAATTTTGCTTGGTTTTATTTCTTTGCCTCACATTCCCTATACATAGTTGCTAAAAGAGCGATGGCAACCCTTTGATCACTATGTGAGTGACTAGCGTATAAATCCTCCTTACAATAGAATCCCTGAATCAAACATTAAGGTCAGGAGAATAAAAGAAATGATCACCAACTATAGAAACTCTTGACTGTTAAACAAATTCTCCTTCAGCACCTCAGGAAATGTACAGAGAATGGTACGGAGAATATGCATAATGATGTTGGCGTGAAAAGAGTTAAGACTACTTGAGAACCCTTTCGTTTTTTCAAGTTCCTTGTTCTGGACCAAGCTCACCTTGCAGTCCTTTCCTGATAAATTGTTCTTTGAATTTCAGGTTCTAAGAATCCCTCTCCGTTTATAACTGGACAATGTTCACATTTTCGTGACATATATTTAAGTGATGGTGGAAGAGTCTTTCCTTCTTGAACTTGTGAGGCGATTTTTACCAGATACCTATTGACACGTTTATCAAAATGAAATCTTTAGGTATTGCGGGCGATAGCTGAATGCAAGCTCACTTATAACATAGGGAGACACAGTTTTCAGCTCACCTAGCGACTTGCAAGTAAAGGACATCATTATCTCCCTCGTAAGTACAGGAAGCATTCAACACTGCATAAAAGTCAGGAAGACCACTGTACAGTAAGTAGCCATGTCCACCACAAGCCAGTCGGCACGTCTCTGTATGACGCATGGCTGTTGATGTCGCGAACGCTTTCAGACCACTAGTGATTGCATGAAGCTACAAACAAATTGAGCATTAGAAGAAAAAAAAAGAAACAGTGGAACAGTGCGAATTAATTTAAGCTGTTGATGCCAGTTTTTAAATTTCTAAGAAATAGAGAATTCTGAATCCCCGCCTCCATCTTTCTGCACTCAAGAGAAAATTTTGTCAGGCTCTAAGCTTACTAAAAAATTTCAGCAACCTATCAAGTGCAAAACAGTCTACAGTTATTTCTGTTTCCCCCAAAAAGGGGATAAAAATGATAAAAAATATACTTGCTGCAGTTGTCAAACACTAGGCAACACGTTAAATTACATTTTTAAGTCAAGAATTTTCATACCTCTGGTAACATAGAGAAGTCCCCTGCCGCAAAATTCCTTTGGGATTCTTCATACAATTTCCACACACGGTCAAACGTAAACTTTGTAGCGTAAGCCATAGCTAAACCTGGTAACAGTTTATATTGCTGTGTCTTGTAGTGGATAAGCTGGGCCTCAGGCTCGCTAATTAACAGAAAAACTAAATGTTCACATGAGGATCTAACTTCAAAGTAACTATCTTCATAATAGGAAATCTATTCTCGTTTGGACTCCCACTCTCACCCCCATCTTAGCCATATTTTATGTTAACACCTCATTAAAGAAGAAAGTTGGTTTATCAACTGAGTTGATAATGTAAATTGGCCACCACTGGGAGTTGCAAAAGCTGACATTTCGAGCGTTAGCCCTTCGTCAAAGCGAAGGGCTAACATGGCACAAGACACACCTCGCTGGAAAGCAAACGTGTGCACTGTGACATCCAAAGCAGGGGAACTTGCTTTAACCTTGCCGTTGTTGTTGTTTGAGAAGTCTCACTGCGCATTTTTCTCAACCAGGGTGTCTGTTTTATCATATAAATGCTTACCGAGCACAGCCTATTTCTTACAACTTACTCTGATTTGGGTCGACCTTGCCGTCTCACTGCACTGTAACGCAAGGCAATGGTGATTGCTTGGGACAGTAACCAAAAACAATCAACAACAATTACTGTCCGCACATAACTCATAGAGCCATACAAAAGCTTGGAGTTTCCTGACTTCGTGAACGTGCCATCAGGCGAAAGCTGTGTATGGAAAAGAGTGAAAAACGGAGTTTCTTATTAAAAGATCAAAACCCAAGTTATCACAGCGATCGATCAGAACAGAAATTGACATCTTCGCTAGCCAATGAGGACTCAAAGGTAAACCAAGCAAACTGCTTGAAGCGCGGGAAAACGCAAGTGACGAAGTCGCGATTGGTTTTAGTTTTACATCTGATTGGTTGAGAGAGTGGCGCGAGTTTTCTAGACCAATCACAAGCAAAGTAAAGTAAAACCAAAGTTAGCGTAAACTAAGCCGTAGAAGGTGTACGCAGAGGGAAGGGGGGGGGACCTCCGATATGTGGATGTGATCAGCGTCCCCAATAAAATGTCAGTGACCAAAACTTGTACCATCTGAGTGCTTATTACCAGCAAGTCCCAGGCAAAGTAAAGAAAAACCTATGCAATTCCCAAGGCATGTAACTAATTTTAACACAATTTAAAATTGCTCAATACCTTCGCTAGCCCCATAAGCATCTGGTTAAGAGGAATCCGGACATGATCAAACATCAGAAATCCATTGTCTGTTACATTTGTCAAAGGAGAGAATTTGGCTCCAATGTCTCCTACTGTTATACCTAAGAAATAAGAAAAGGAGGTAACAAGGACACTGTTGTCCTCCTCGTTGTGGCAAGTCTTTGAGGGACAAGAAATAACTCAACAGGCTTATTTGCTGATAGGCAAATAAGTGGTCCTGTATTCAACAGTTTTGCCGAGACAAGCTTTATGAGATAATCAGACAATTTGGTTTTATATCAGAGTTGATAATGTAAATTGGCCACAGTAAAGAGTTTGACAAGCGTTAACCTTTCATCAGAGCAGATGAAGTTTAAGATAAAACATACCAGGCAAAGGTTGGTGAGTATCCAGATCACGCAACTGAACAATAAACATCTGTATCCCATGATCCTTTTCATCCACTATTAGTCTTGCTGGTATGATGGCAAAATTGGAAGACTTTCCCACTGAAAGTTAAAGATCATAACCAGTTTGGCAAGTAATGCAAAGTTATCTTTAATTTTGCTTGTAAATCAAGATATAACAAGGGGTAATTTATTTCACCATCCAAGCAACACCAGTCCTGTAATAAGCTTTTTAGTGAATAGCACTTTGCTAATAAGACTGGAAGAAGCATTCAGAGTCCTAAAAGTGACATTTTTTTGGACACCTCACTGAAGTAGATACTGTACAGCACATGTATGCAACATGAAAGTCTCAGGCTCACACATTTCTGAACTAAACTACAAGTCTGTATTCTGTTTCAACTTTCAATTGTATTTAATACTTAATAAATAACAAACATTCATCTGATGAAAGAGGACTTACAATTTCCAGGCCACCATTTGCATGCAGTCAGTGATGGTGAGTGAATAATAAACTCTTGTGTGCTTTTATCATATGTTGCTGTAGTCTCCAAGCCACGAATAAAAGTTCCTGGAGAAAGATGTGAAAAATCACAAGAAAATATCAATCTTATCAGAAACAGTTTTCAGAACATTTCAGAATTTTGAAAAAAATCATAAACCATTCATTTCATTATACAGCACAGACTTTTATGTTTAATTTGTGTGTGTTTACTTTGCAAGGTGAAATCAGTACAATTTAATGTTATATACCAAATTTCCTAAAATCCTCCTTCCTAAAATCCTCCTCTTAAGTACTCACTATACACCCCCTCTCCCCTTACAGGTGCAGGGCGTGAAATTAATATTTTTTTCTGGTAACCACTTGGCTCCTAAATTTTCAAAGTGGTAGCTAATTTAAAAAAAGTTGGTCGCCATCTTTTGAGACAAACAAAACCTTTTTTTACGCTGTCAGCGTACTAGATAGACCCTCCAAAATTAAGTTAGTAAAGAGATTGTTAACATGCTACAAAGTGGACACTAAGATGGATGATATACAACCTTCAAACTCACCTAAATCCAACATGGCATCTAGTTATCAATCAAGATGCATGTGCTGCGTTTTGGAAACAAACTTAACGAGGAAGTTTGCCATAGATTTACCTTGGCAAATCTTTTTAATTTACTATATCTCTAGGTAAGGTTATGATGAAATTTTCAGGATTTGGTCGCCAAAGTGAAAAATTTAGTTGCATTAGCGCCTGTATTAGGCGCAATTTCAGGCCCTGAGGTGGGCAAGGACAGCAAATAAATGCCCCCTTCTCTTTCCATCGCTCTATTTGTTATATCAATCAATTCTCTAAAACTAAACTTGTATCATTATATGTGAAAAGGGGCCTCCTGAATTAAGCCACACTCTTCCTTAACTGCCATCTGTTTCGACCAAAATTTTGAATATCAGGGAAGTATAGAAAATTATTTATTTATTTACCATGACCAAGTTCAGTCTGTGCATAAGTTCCAATGATCTGATTTGATTCTGCAAGAGGCAGCCACTTAGCTTTCTGTTCCTCAGTTCCTTGGCCCTATCACATTGCATTGCAAATCATTAACATTGCATGATTATCTGTTAGAAGGCAAATGCGAAGCTCGTTGTCAGTTGAGTCATTAAATTACTGATACAAAAAAAGTATTGAACCAAATGCTGTGTGACCTGAGCTTCTGTTGAGCCACAAAAGGGCAAAATCTGTCTATTTAAGCCTAAGTGGTCCTCCAAGCCAGAGCTTATCCTGGTTTCCTAAGCTTGAAAGGACTAGGAGCATTACTACTCCCCCCTGGATGGGAGCTAGTCCATCCTAAGGGTACCTCCCCCTCTCCCCCCTCCCCCCAGCATTTCAGCAAGCTTTTCACTGCAAGGCTGAAGTACATTTAAAATTTTTGGTGAAATAGTGCTTAGTATTTCTTTGCAGAACATTTGGCTGCCATCTTGGATCTTTAATGCAGAAGGAGATCGAGGAGAGAATGAAATTTCTAGGGAGGGGGTGGATAGTGCATGTAGGGGGGAGAAAGACGAAGAAAGGGGGGGCACTCTCTTACTCCACATCAAACATGGCAAATCAGTTAACAATTAACAGCTTGTTAGATCAATGGGCTCTCTCTAGTATGGGCAAGACATCTGCACTATTCAAGCGACAACATATACCAGTATACTGTTTTAAATACAATTAAATGCTCCAATAAAATTTTAAGTACTGTCTATATTTTCAATTTTAATTATTTTTTTTTCTAATTAAAAGAAATTACCACCAAGTCTGGAAATGGAGATGAATATTAAAGTTAATAAAAGATAGCTCACCTGCAAATGGAAATCACCATTAACCCTTTAACTTCCAGAAGAGATTAACATTTAACTTCTCCTTACAGTATCCATACATTATGCAGCAAACAGGTCATGAGAATACTCAACCTCATCAGGTACAATTTATTACCTTGATTGAACACCTAATTCTCATAATCAATTTACAAGGAAATGTGTAGTAGCTAGAGGAGAGAATTGACGATCAGATCTTTGGAGTTAAAGGGTTAAGAATGAAACATATTTTCAATATATAAAATCCGGGTGTACCTTTAAAGTGGGAATAAACATAACTTTGTTCAAGTGGAATGGAAATATAGTCCCAGCAAACCTAAAGGACAGAACGCATAAATTTATACAGAAATTTACTGCTCATATAGCGCTATTTACAACAAAAAGATCAAAAGCGCTTTACAAGAAACATAACTGTTACAATGATAATAAATATTTACAGGATCAGACAGAAAATGAACGCAAAATCACATGTATGTTAATTCACTGACTTGTATTACTGTCAAGGACAATCTAATTTGGTAGAATTTTAAACTAGGAGAAGTGAATCGAAGAGGAACAAGATGGGAATTACAAAGTAAACGCATACCTCCCTAATAAGGTGATTTCATCTGGATCAGTGATTTGGTGTTCCTTACACAGTTCAACAGCTCGTAATCCTCTTTGTAAAGCCCTCTCATAGCCATGTTTGCGATCAAGGATGTATGCATCTTCTTTGCAAAACACTGGATCTTTCACTAACAATGACTCTTCAATGCAATGCGATGCGAAAAAAAAATGACAACTTTACAAACGACCAGAACTAATGTAATTAATTTCTCTGCACTTTTGGGAATTGCTGAGAAATCTTAAAACCTTTTTTTTTCAAGTATTGATCGTTCCACTACTCTTGATATAATGAGTGCGTCTAGATCCTTGGTTGTAACGCTTAAAGATGTTAATGGAAGTTTCATCTTATCCTATCCCAAATCTCAGATCTTTACACAAAGTTGGAACAATTAAGTTATGTGGAGATGAAAAATTACCTAGGAATCGTTTCCGTTCTGTCTTATGCTTTCCTCCGTAAAGGAGGTACGTCAACTCCGTCGGGTTGAATGAAGCTTTTTTTCGCTCTTTGGCTAAATCTGGATTAACTTTAGTCGGAGAAGGTTGCATGGCGCCGCAAATTCAAACAAGATCTCTACACGCAAAGCTGAAAAATGGCGGCGAAACGCCCCCTGGCGAAACGACGATTATTTCGACAAGATTGCGTGACGTTACCGAGAAGAATCTGGGTCCAGTTTCAATTAAAACTACATGAAAAAATACAAAATTCATTGTTTTACTCCTTTACAATTCCAGACTTCTACGGACTAATAAGTGTCAGATCATGCAGGTGCTACAGTAAGTTGTATAGAGGAAAGAAAGCAGTTCAAGTCCTTCAGTGATCATGCTGGATTTTAATAGGAACTTTCTCATTCGAAAATTATCGATGGCAATTTCCTTTGTCACGTTCGCTTTCCTGAAAACTTCGACCGCGAGCAGTGTTCCTTCTCCGATCCAGTTTCCTCCAATCATTGGTATCTCTCAAAATGAACAGTTTCCTACGGGGCATCTTCAACCTTTGGGCTATCAGCGTGTTCCTGATGGACCCGTCAAAGAGTACTTTGACGTTCTTCGAGGTGATTTGTTTTGGGAGAAACATGTTGGTAAAGGCATTCCATTGGTGTTTCGACAGGGAATCGGCGAATCACCCGCTTTATTTACGTGGACGGATCATTATTTAAAAGACAAATATGGAGACCTAGATGTCCTCATTGAGTTAAAACAAGAAAATCGTTCTCATCCTCCTCGAAGGATGACTATTGCGGAGTTTCTCTCTCGGTACAAGGAAGAAGATATGTATATTGTTACAGTTTTGCCTGATCCGATGAGACGAGATGTTCAGGTAAGGTAACCAAGCAGAAGTAGAGGTAAACAAAAATGTTGGTTTAAAGAAGTTCACAGGTTGTTAACTATCTATTGTTTGCTTCTCGCGCCCTTGATGGTAAGGAAATTAATCTTTTTATTGCTCTAACGGAGTCGATTACGTGTAAATCTGAAAATTTATATTGGATGAAAAACCGTCCATCCGGTATTCTACCGAAAGTGCAGTTCAAAAAAAGTATACAAAAGATTCAAAAGACACTACTTCAAGTTATAGATAGTTCATGTGTTTGTTGAAGTGATCGGTCCAATTAGGTTATTGTTGGTTAAATTTTAATTCCTGAAAGATCTAACTGCACGTTAAATATAACTGTTGCACGCTTCCTGGTAAATTCGGTCTGAGAATTTGGTCTGATATTAATTTAAGAAAATACCCAGCTGATAACGTTGTCCATTGCTCCTTACTTGCTTAGTGATGAATTGATCTAACCTTTTAACTCCCAGAAGTGAATAACCTAAAACTTCTCTTGACAATATCCATACACTTCAGCAAACAGGTAAAGAGAATATTCAAACTTATCAGGTAGAAGCTGCTATCTTGATCTGGAACCAAGTTCTCATAACTAATTTATAAGGAAATGTGTAGCAGTTAGAGGGGAGAATTAACAATTAGATCTTGGGAGTTAAAGGGTTAACTCAAGTTATTGTAGAAGTTACTTGTTACCCACCTCTACCAGGGGATTTATTGATTAAGTTACAAGGAAGTATTTATAAAAGAATTTAACAAACTTTCAAACATTGATAATAAAAAATGTATTGTATTTCCTCAAACAAGCTCTTAGATGCTTTTTTACATTTTCAGCTTAAAGGAGGGGCACTTATTTGAGGGAAGGAACTTAATCAAGGGAGCACTTATTATACTCCTCGACGGATTCCACTCTAGTTGGAGCTTAAAACGTTTTGAATAAAGTGGCAATGGAAACAGGTTTTCCTAGTATCCCTACTATGTAAGAAACTAAGGGAAGAGGGGGGCACTTATTCGAGAGGGGTTCTTTTTTGACATTATTGCCTCATGGGGAGGGCACTTTTTCAGGGCAGGGTACTTATTAGGGTGTAGCGCTTATTCAAGAAAAAAAAAGTATATATATTATATTGTCAGCTTATATTTCTCTAAAACTTCCTTGAACTCAGGTTCCAACCTGTTTGCTTTGTGGCACATTTCTTGATTATGTCCATGAAACCAATTTCTGGATGAGTTCAGGAGGAACGCGATCAGTCATTCATTATGATGCAGATCATAACTTGCATTGCTTGGTAACTGGGCGCAAGGATTTTATCATGATGGAGAAAAAATACTATACAGACTTGTACTTCCTAGAGAAGGTAAATATATAAATAAAAACTTAGAGAAATGGTAGAGTTTAAAATGTTGTTTTACACTTTGTATTCATTTTAGTCCAAAAGAGTAGAAAAAGGTGGTTATTTTTTTCAGGGCTTCTTTAATTTTCCACCATATACTCAAAGTGTTTTTCTATAACTTTCAGAATCAACATTCAGGATCAGGGTTTTCAGAAATTGACCCAAACAGGATTAACTTGTTTGAACATCCTAATGTGGCTAATGTACCATGGACCTATGCAACACTCTCGCCAGGGGACTGTATTTACATTCCAGCAGGTAAAGCCATTAGGTTGGGTGTCAAGGGTTACCAATTACTGCAGGAAGTTTGATTTCTGTGCATGAAGGAACTATCCCATAGTACTGTATTTTACTTATTATACAGGGGGTAAGTTGCTGAAGAAACCGTGATGCTGCATTACTGAGGGAGTCTAATGAGATAATTTTGGTTTTATCAGCTGAGTTGATGCTGAAAATTGGTGTAGAGTTTCAAAGCTGATGTGTTGAGCATTAGTCTGTCATCTGAGTGAAGGGTTAATGCTCTGACATATGGCTAATGTTTGAAATGTCAGCTATGAAACTCTCTACTGTGACCAATGTACTTTAACAACTTAGTTGATAAAATCAAAATTATCTTGTCATGTCATCATAGGCCTCCCTCAAACCATGACCACCCTTAGCTTGCCTAAACTTGGTAAAAGGACCATACAAAATTATCAATAACTATCTTCCAGTTAGAAGGATGAAGCATAAACTCAAGGTTTACAAGAAAATAAAAAAACAAAAGTGCCACTGACACAAATCAGTAATGTAAACCATCCTTAGAAATTTTAATTTAAAAAAATGGGACAGTGAGTGAAACTCTAAACAAGCTTCTGTGCTGCATAATAATCATTTATATACACATGTGGTTTGTGTAGAACAACCTCTTAGCACTTGAAAATTATTACCAACTCGCTTTTTAAGATTTAACTACATCTTCTTTTTTTCTTTCCTTCTTTTTAAATGAGTGATTTGTTACACTTATTGCATGGTAATATTTTGATAAATATTAATGAGCACTCATTTAAAATCTGTATTTTGCAATTTCATTCCCAGTATATACTTGCAAAAAAATTAGGAACCATACATACCTAATTCTTTTCAACTTTTTTCTCTTTAGAATACATACATCAGGTGCGGTCATATAACAGAACCATCTCAGCAACAATTCTCTTCACATCAGGACCCCTGGTGGGGGCACCTTTTGAACCCAAAGGTTGTGACAGAGAACATTTTGAATACACACCACTTAGTGAGTTGAAAGTACACTGGACATATAAAAAGGGAGACAGGCTTATTGAAATGGGTTACATGAACGTGGAGGTTCTGCGTTATAGCATACTAGCAACCATGAAGGAAAGAAATGAAGATGTTTTAACAAAATATACATTTCTTGATCTATGGCAGCAACAAGAAGACAGGGAAGGGGACCATGATAAAGACAAACTAAGTGAAGAACCTTTTAAAATTTTTCATCAGCTTTTGGATACTGAGAGAAAAGGATTCTTGACAAAACAGGACATATTAACTATTACACATGAAAATCTTAAGAAAGTGGCCCGTTTACTTGATCCTCCTCATGGGCCTGTGGTAAAAGAGGAAGAAGAAAACAGCTTAAATGAAGACACAGGATCACACGAGGAACTTTAATTGATGTTGTTAAATTATCTAACTGTAAGTTAACAAAGAGAGTCATGAGAAACAGATAATCTAGCTTCTGCTTCAACTGTCAGTCTCTTCAGATGTAAAATATTCTATATACAGACTGCGCAATAAGATTTCTGTGCCCAGTGGGTACTACCCAGCCTTAAGCTATTGTTATTTCATACAGTCCATGCTTTCACTGAGTAAAAGCTTAATTCCACCTCCTTATGCTTACTCATCCAGGGATAAGACCTGGCAAGAATAAAAACTGCTGAAAGTCTGCAATGTGTTTGTTGTTTTAAAGTTTCAATGATTTTACCTGAATGAGAATTACACAATTCACTTTAACACAAGTGTTTTAATGAGAAACAAAACCATTCACTTGTGATTAATATTCTACAACTATCTTTTTAAACTTTAAAGTGGCAGAAGACTCAGGCAAATACAAAGACTAAATACAATGCATCATGAGACTTAAATTGGACCTTTTACAAAAAGATTTACACTGATAGATAATTAAGTGCACTTCCATCCACCTGACACTAAAGGTTCTTCAATAATTATACTTCTTTCTTCATATTTCATGTAAATCTTTTTTTGATCTGCTTTCAGCTATAAAAATCTAACTTTAAATAACAACTACATGTATGTTCACCCAAATGTCTTTCCTTTAACAGTCAGTTTCCAGCCTCTTAACCCTTGAACTCCCATGAGTGATTAAGACAGAATTTCTCCTTACAATATCAATACAATATCAACCAGATAAGTGATGAGAATAAATAAAAATGTCAATTTGGGGTTAATTTGTTGAACCAACACTAAATTCTCTGAACTAACATTATAAGAATTGCATGGTTGACAGTAAGGAGAATTACAAATTTGATCTGGAGTTAAAGGGTTAAAATACAATAACAGAGAGTATTCATGTTGGCAGGAAGAGCTTGTCTTTCCTTGTATACAATGGCTGTTCTCTTCATTAAGGTATATTTGCGAAGAAACAGGTTGAGGTTGAGGGTATACAGCCAACCATACTCATGAAAACACTTTCCAAACAGTCAAGTCCTGAACAGTGTTTTAACAAACTCCTGAGTTTCAAATTATTGATCCATTCCTAGGAAACTGCTATTCAGCACAATCTTCTTCTGAATCATTCTCATTCCATCAGCTCAAGCTAAAGGAACACAATGACAAATGAAGATAAACAAGACCATTTTTGGCAGAGGACAGTATTCATAAAATCCCACTAACATCACTAACTTCACTTTCCTGTTAAGATACATGTACACTGCAACTAGAAAGTGATAAACAATATGTTCCCAGCTGGGGCATTTCTTTACAATTTGCTTTAAAATTGAACTGCAACACTAATATTTGAACCTTCATTTCTTAGGAAGTAAACTATAAATTTTAAAGAAAACGTTACATTATTGATAATAAATAATGGTAAAATCCTTTGATACAGTATAAGATTTTAGTGAGGGTAATGGAAATAGTCATTAACTTACAAGATCCTCAGCATCGTCTGTATAATCATTGGCTGGACGTTCTTCCTTTTCAACAGCACCATCATGACCTTCTAAAAACTGTTAGCAAAAAACATTTTCAAGTTAATATCTGCTGATGTTTATCTGAAGCACTGAGCCAGATATCAATTATAACCTAGACTGAGAGAGAATTGATAAGCATGGTGATAATGGAGCTCACAGCAAAGCAGACGATCAAAGGCTGGTTAAACAGTAAGGCATTCTTAACTTATCCTGGGCCATTGGTTAGTGAGGGTACAAAAAAAAGTGGGCGAGCATAAAACAGTGGGAAAATGGAAAAAGCTTGGCTTCCCCCTTCTCCTGCAAGGAATCTTAACCCTTTAACTCCCAAGATCTGATTGTTAATTCTCCTCTCTAGCCACAACACATTTTCTGGTAAATTAGTTACAAGAACTAGGTGCTAGATCAAGATAGCAGCTTCTATCTGATAAGTTTGAATATTCTCATTACCTGTTTGCTGAAGAATGTATGGATATTGTAGGGAGAAGTTTTATGTTAATCACTTCTGGGAGTTAAAAGGTTAATGTCTTGTCGCATTTTTTAACTCTCCCTATTAAATAGATTAATTTAAATGTACATGACTACACTGTACACTCTACTATAGCTTACCTCTTTAGCTTGATTGTCTGTGACATTACTATCTGGAGATTCAGTTTGACTAATTAAGGTTACTTCCTCTATAAAACAAAAGATAATACTGAAATTATCATAATTGTAAACTATGGGCATCAGTAAGCCCCAAATCTCAAAATGGTAAACACAGCAAAAGCTTCTCTCAAAAGCTGGGTTTTTTGCTAGAGATGGAGTTGGGGTTGTAAGAACCTAAGAGCCTCGGTAAAATTTTAAAGTTCCACTCATAAGTAGACTCTCTACAGTGTAAGCCATCCGTTTTTGAACTTTGGTCAACCGTTTAACGTTTCATACTATCCGTTTTTATTTTTGGTCAACCATTTGAAGGCCTAATCTATCCGTTTTTGGACTTTGGTCAACCATTTAAATTTTTTGCCATCCGTTTAAGCGGTTATGGCATCCGTTTAAACGCTCGAATTAGCCGTTTACTATCCATTTACAACCATTTTTCGAGACCGTTTAACGGAAAAGCGTTAGTGTCCGTTTTCCCATGGAGGGTCAAATATAATATATAATTATTAAGATTATGCTACAAGGCTAACAGAATCAAAATCTGAACATTTTAACACTAACAATTATATGAACTGTTTTGACCGAACAATAAATGTAATTATTCTATTTAGTATGTAGTTAAGCATCTCCTTTCTTACTTTTCACTATCAGAAGCCAAAATCTATGGCCTAATTTATTGACGATCTTCTCTTTCAACTCTTGCAGAAATGTGTTAAACATCAAAGATTCCCCAGCCTGAAAAAATCCAAACATACTTAGGGGTGAGGTAAATGAGAGCTAACCAGAGTAGTACATCATCAGTATAGACAGCTGACTGGTAGGAACAAAATTTGTAGGGGCCCCAAAAGATTGCACTTACAGTGGCACATTATTATTGGGCAGAGAGAAGGAGTACCTTAAGGTTACGCTAATATTGATACAATATATTGGGGTGGAAGCCCATCACTGTGAGGCTAATCAGGGAATCCCCTTGAAAATGTGTGGAAATAACACAGTGACTGTGCTCCAATCCAATTTAGCTTATTTGAAAACATTTCCACTGTGCACTGCACATGCAAAACTGGTGATTTTTTTTTTTGTAAAATGTAAAATATTGAATTCCTTCATTGCTTTTTTTACCTTGATAGCCTCCTCTCTCAGCACATTTACACACTGAAGGGCCTTTGAATAAAACTGATCTCCAAATGCGTCTAACACCAGCTGCACAATACACTCTCTCATTTGTTTGGCAGCTGCATTGTTGGAAAACGTACAATGTTAAATCCTAATAAATATATTTCTGTCTTGAACATCAACAATCATTTACCAAGTGATTATAATGGTAATATTAACAAGGCAAAGCTTTCATTTCTATTTTCATGTTAATCAGAAGTTATAAACGTGTAACTTCTCCCAAAAATATCTGAACAGTATCCAGCAAACAGGTAATGAAAATACTCAAAGTTGTCACTGGTAGAAATTGTTATCCTGATCTAACAACAAATTCTCATTACTAATTTAAAAGGAAATGTGTTACAGCTGGAGGGGAGAATTAATCATTAGATAATAGGAGTTAAGAGTTAAGTTTAAATAACTGAATAAACTGTGAACAACATTCTTGTTTGTATTTTCAACAATGTTGAGAAAAGTGATAATTAATGTGATTATATAACAATAATCATTGTCCAGTTCATTGAAAGAGTGTGAACAAGCAAGAGGAGATTTTCTAGTCTGATCTTAGATGTTGAAAGTTCATAGGTACTGAAAAAATGCAGTCTCTACCTTCGTCAAACCTGTCTTCATCCCGTCTGGTGATGAGAGTACGGAAGTCTCCAACTGGATCAACTGTTCCAACCTGAACAAGCAATACTTATCAGATACAAAGTTGCACAGCTTACATATTATTTAAGTATTTATGTATCTTAATTCTTGGAATTGTGAAATGTGCAACAGGACAGTTCGCTTGTGGAAGTTGAAGTCAGAGTTGACCGCGGTAGAGAACTCTCTGTCTGCTCACTAATGAGTGCCAGTCTCATCTGCCAGTACAGTTGTCATGCATTCAAACTAAACACACAGCATCAAAACAAGAATATACCAAATTGCATTATCATACCTTAGTGATCGCTCCTCTTGCCAAACTTGCCATACTGAAGTCAGTTTCATCAAAAGCATTTGTTCTGCTGGTTGATGGTTCTCCATTTGGTTTGTCTACACTGAGGTCAAATAATGCATAGTGCAATTAACTGTCAACTGAATGTCAAAAAACAATGCCTTAACAACCAATCAAATGTATACCTTTAACCAGCCCAACTTTGTCAGTTTCTTTTTTTCCAAATCTTAAGCATATTTATATTTTTGAATCCTACTGACACCTTGTGATTTTTTTCTCTTTGTTCTTCTCAGCCATTCTGATTACTTTGGTCCTAGTTAACCCTTAATCTCCCATGAGTGACCAAGACATATCTTATTCTTACAATATCAATACAATACCAAGCAGACAAGTAATGAGAGTGAAGAAAAACATCAACTGGGAGATTTTTAAATGATCCAATACCCAATTCTCCAAACTATTACCAAAAGAAGTATATGGCTGACAGTATGGAGAATTACTGCATTAATAACATCCTGGCAGTGAAAAGGTTAAGGGTACTCAGCTGAAATGAGCTCTGACATAATAATTAATAAAACTAGATCAAACTAACAACACATTGATGTGCACATAATCATACAAAACAAGAATTAAGTAAAAGTTCACTGAAACATTACAAACGTATCAGTCATTGATGACAAGATTTCTAATACATACATTGGTTTGAATATGTGTTCAGCTGTGTACTCTTTCTTTTTTTCAATTTTTTCAAGGCGGAACATGTCCTTTAGAGCAAAAAAAAACAACAACATAAATAAAACTTACATTTAAACTGACAAAAAATAAGTACCTTTTGTTCAAGCCTTGCACACCACCCACCCCTTCCCCCTCAAAAAAATAAGAAACTGACTCATAAAAGAGATTTCCTTTCCCTTTGAACTCCACAATTACTGATAGTACTTAGATTGTTCAGCACCAAATACTACCGAAATAAAGTTGCAAGATACATCTACATACATATGGTTTACAAAATGTATGCAAGTGACATAGTATATAGATTTAGCCAAGCCTAAAAGCGCAGCTTGCATTTTTTTTTTCCTGCACGTCTCAAGGGCACAACACCTTGCCCCGACCAGGACTAGAACTTGGGTTGTCTGACTCGGAGCCCAGTGCACTGACCACCGGACTACTGAACAAAGTACTACGGAAATAAAGTTGCAAGATATATCTACATACATATGGTTTACAAAATGTATGCAAGTGACATAAATATACAGATTTAGCCAAGCCTGAAAGCAGAGCTCGCATTTTTTTTTTCCCACACGTCTCAAGAACACAATGCCTTGCCCTGGCCAGGACTAGAAACCAGGTCGTCTGACTCGGAGCCCAGTGCACTGACCACCAGACTACTGAACAAAGCTGTGGGGTTGGCTTGCCCGCAGTACAGTTGACCATGCATGTTAAAACTAGCACCTTGTATGGTGGAATGGTCATACATCCAAATTTTTTTGGCTTGATGGGTTACTACTATTTTGTGTAATTATGGGGCTATGCTCTGCAAACTCCACTAAAATTTTTATATCACTGCCAAGTTCTACTAAAGGAGTTTCTCACCTTAATTTTCATACACTCAGGAGCACATCTTGCTTTGAACTCTGTGCTGGGCTCCAAATAACTGCACAGGAATAGATTAATTTCACAGATCAAAAGAAGAATTCCTTCCTGTTCCTCTCAGAATGCAAAACTCAGGAGACACTGTATGCCCCTCCTCTTTAGAAAGCCCCCTGGTTAAACAGAATGTAAGTCCAACCATCTTTCTGAAAACTTATAAGTTATTCAGTTTGTACATACACCCACCCACAGTGACTGTAGGCATCTGATCTCCCCCTACAATATCACAGCTAAATCAAGCATTTAAGCCCTGAGAGTAAAGGAAATGATCACCAACGAAAGGAACTCTTGATTGTTAAGCAAATTCTCCTTGTCAGCACCTTAGGAAATGTATAGAGAACAGTATGGAGAATATGCATACTGATGTTAGAGTGAAAAGGGTTAAGGACTTTAAAGGATACAATAAAACCATTAAGTACCTTGCAATCACAGGATCTAAATCTGGTAATGATGAATCATCTGGGTTAAGAGCACGATGTTGAATGCACTGAAATGTATAGTTTGAACACAAAAAATTAGTTTATTGTTTTGTAACAAGGAAGAGGAAAAGAATGGTAACATCACTAGATAGGATAATTGTTGTGATAAAAAACATATGAATCAAACATAAATCATACAAGTACCCCTCTAGATTACCTGGAAAACTCTTTGTCGAGCAGGGTTGAAAGTTCTGTTACATTTAAGTGCCTCTGTGGCCTGCCCATCCTCATCACTTGACCAAAGGAAAAAGAGATTACTTATTAATTAAAATAAGAAGCCCTAGAAATTACTGCATGGTATATATCTATCGAATAATTAATTGTTCAGTCAGTGTAACTGTATATCTTTACAGGTTTTAGGAAAGGTACCAGTACATTTGATAAAGGAAAGAGTTAACCCTTTACCTCCTAGAAGTGATTAACTGGTAGGTTCTCTTGCAAACATGTTGTAAGAACAGAGAAGCAAATCAGCTAAATTCTCCTGTCTAACTTACAAGGAAATGTATGACAAGCAGTTTATAGAATAACTAATTTGATATTAGGAGTTAAAGGGTTAAATTCCTTTCAGTGTTTAAAAGTTACCATATATTATCATCTACATTCCTAACAATATTTTTCATTGATTTCTCATCAAAATAATCTTACATATCATCACAATCAATAATGGATAGTCAGTTACCCCTTTAAACCCTACGAGCGACTAGCATCTAATCTCTCCCTACACTATAACTCCTGAATCACACATTAAAGTAACGAGAATAAAGAAAATGGTCACCAGGTAAGGAACCTTTTGATTGGATAACAAATTCTCTTGGTCAGCAGCTTGGGAAATGTATAAAGAACAGTATGGAGAATATGCATACTGATGTTAGGGTGTAAAGGGTTAAGAGCCACAAAATGAAGACAGTGTGGGGTTCGACACATCAACTTTGAAAAGAATGGTCACTTAAGGAATACAGTGCAGTCAGATAAATCATTTTGTACCAACTGAAGATAACTCACCGTTGAGCATCTGTTAAATCCATTGCAGTGATGAGATTATCCACAGCATCTTGTTGCTCTCCTAAAAAAGCAAAATGAAATACAAAAGCTTGATCAAACATTTGTTCCTATGGGTAACAATGTTATGAGAACAATATCACAAAAATGTTAACCCTTTAACTCCCAAGATCTGATTGTTAATTCTCCCCTTCAGCTGCAAAACATTTCCCTGTAACTTAGTTATAAGAATTTGGCGTTAGATCAAGACAACAAACTGTACCTGATAAGTTTGAGAATTCTCAATATCTCTTTAATTTGCTGGATAGGGTATGGATATCATAAGGAGAAGTTATATGTTAATCACTCCTGGGAGTTAAAGGGTTAAGTCAAACATGGATTTTTTTAAATTTCACCACTGCAAGTTATTACTTGTATCAATCATCACTAACCTAAAAACAAGACCATCAGGTGATAGGTTTTCATTCTTAGCTACAAACCCTTTTATCATCTAACCCTAAAGATTGATTAGCACCTAATTTCTCCTTACAATATCATCCCAGAATCCCACATTTAGGTGTATTAGGGTTAATCACGATTGCCAAAACTAGAGATTTATCACATAATTGCATTCAAAGTATGGATGTACATGTACATGTATAAAGCCATTTTTGATCATTAATTTTATTAACAATGCCTAATGTTGCCGATTTAATTTATATTCATCAAATTCATAACAGCAAGCACTTGCCAGAAGGTTCCCATTTCTTGTTAGCATCAAGGGGTGCAAAGGCAAACTGACGTAGATCTTCTAAAAATGGCAAAGCTGTGAAAAGGAGGCACTGGAGTAAAATCCAAATAAAAAAAAGAAAATAATCAACTTAAATCATGTCACAACACTAGTATCAAACAAGAGTTTACGGCACTTCACTGCAATATTGTTTTTATGCACATCTCAGGCAGTAACCACCATACATGTATTACTAGTGAGGATTGCAACATTTCTTCACCCAGTGAGGTACTGGTGCAATTAAATTTGTTTAACACTTTTTTTTAACTTTCCATAGCAACCATGGATCAATATCAGTATCTGGGCAACTGCCCACCGACCCCTCCCCTAACCCAACAACAGTCAACGGTCAACAACAGTCAATTGTTGGGTTAGGGGAGGGGTAGGTGGGCAGTTGCCCAGATACTGATATTGATCCGCAACCACAATAGATACAACTTGGCCCACTGAGCAGGTAAAAGGAAAAAGATGTCTACCTCATAGTCCTGTTTTATGTGTGGAGCCAAGAAGCCCAGCTTGGGTGCAGCATTTTTCGCTCTGCAATATCTTACAATTGCGACAGTGTTCAGCTCATACATGCCATTTATCAGCGCTGAGAGTGCAACTGCAGCATGCTAAATACAAAAAATTATATTTCATTACTGAATTGGTAATTTACATGTTAATTAGGGTACTAAATGGACAATTGGATGTTGAAAGTAGCTGTTAATGACACTGAAGGTCTCATCATATACATGTAAATATCCCAAAGAATAAAAATCTTGATGAATCTCATATTAATAATTAATCTTCATCTCCCAAAATCTCAAATTTCATTGGAGTTCTGTGCCCAAAAATTTTTTTTTTCCTTTTTAAATGGCCAAATGATCGTTAAATATGGCAGATCAGTTAGCACAAACTTTCATGGGGATAATGGATGGAAATCAAAGGATCATTAGCTTTTAGTACAATCATAGTAAATTCTTATTACAATCTGCACAGTATATCAATTCATGAGTTCACCAGACAGTCACTTTGGATTATTTTTTTATTTCATGAGGTCTTAAAGTTTAATTACCTGATCACCTGGCTGTGGAACAAAGGCTATTACATTGTCTCCAACATACTGATATCTCTGGACCTGTGGAATTGCATGTTACATTATTATATACTGCTACTGACATACACTGTACCCTCATACATTCAGTCATATGGTATCTCCTCAATTAACCCTTTACCTCCCATTAGTGACCAAGAGAAAATTTCTCCTTACAATCTCAATACAATATCAAGCACTGAAGCAATGAGAATAAAATAAAATATCAATGTTGGAGATTACGAATTGATCCAATACCAAATTCTCCAAATTGACATCATAAGAATTGCATGGCAGACAGTGAGGAGAATTACTAATGAGATCTTGGGAATTAAAGGGTTAAGTTCCCATGCTCTAATAAGCACCTTCTCTCAAATAAGTGCTCAGTTCAATGTCAAACAACTGCCCCCATTAAGTAACCACCCCCCTATCTCCCTCACCTTCTTAATAGTAGGGATAAATGGAAAACCTGTTTCTATTGCCAGTTTATTTCTAACTTTTTTAAGCTTCAACTACAGCAGAATCAGCACAGGAGAACAATCAGCACCCTCCTTAATCAAGCACCCTCCTGCCCATGAGGGACCCCACCCCTTTCAGTCAAAATTTTAAATAAGCCCCCAGGCACTTAATTTCAGGAAATGGAGTACATTCATAAGAAATGAAGAAATAAAGGAAAGTACAGAGCCTCAAAAATCATTCTGTTGATACATGTATCTTAGAGCATATCCCCATTTTGACATTATTTTACATGAAAGATTGATATTCTCAGTGTTAAAATACAAGATATACTGTAGATAAACATATCAAGAGAGAAATTGCAATTACAGGTAGACAAAATGGTTGTTACTTTTTAAATTTCTATTTTACGATCAAATTAGTACATTTCCTTTTTTGATTCGTTTTCATTCAAGTTGACTTTTCCTAACATGGTTCTTAATTCTGTCATCAGCACTTACATTTTCATTGGAAGTGAAACAGAGTAAGGATAAACATCTTTCTGTGGGAAGTTTCATGCTGTCTTTGTCAATTTTGGTCAAGGGAACCAATGTCTTTCCATACCGGTGCCCTATTTGATAACAAGTAAATCACTTATGATCAAAATTATACCATTTCATAGAAAAGGTTGTGGTTATTCATCATGGTGAATAACAATAAAAGCTAAGTTTTTCGTTTGTTTATATTAATAGTCACTTATGATCAAAATCATCAACCTCATCACCTGAAGAAGACTACATGAATGCAGTCAAAACGTGGTAAAAAAATCAACATGACTAAAAACAAAAAAAACTCTTTTATTTATTATTATACCATTTTTAAGACATGAAGCTCCTGGTAAAAAAAAAAGAGAAAAAATAAAACACTCTGCTTAAAGAAGTAATTAAATACATGTAGTTACTGATCTTCAAATTTCAACCCCCCCCCTCCCCTTTGAAATAAACTATCCTTTGAATACCTCCCCTCCGATTTTCACTAGAACACTGCAGATGCCCCCCTTAAAGAAGCAACCAATGAATGTTTTCTGATAGGCAGAGGATTCCTTTGCTGAACTAGTGTAGGAAGTTATTTGGTATTTTGGTATTTTCAATTTGAGAACAAGTACCACAACTAAAATTTTAGGATCAGCATTGAGTAAAAATTAAAAAAAAAAAATGTCCCCACCAAAAAAAGTCACAATCTCACCCTCACAAATGTTCCCATACATTCTGAAGTAGGCTGAGCAAAAACTTCAAAGAAATGGGCTACTAATGGTTTGATTTTTGTTCTCATGTTGTTGAGCCTAGAGAAAGTAAGCAGAGATTCTGCTTGACAGAGATGGTGAATTTCATCTCGGTTTTAGGCTCTCACTGAAACCTCTAATACTAAATCATGCACCCCTCATAAAAAAGCCCTTCTCCCTCCTTCAACCCCTCCTGGTGCCACTGCAAGGATTTATAAGCAGCCGGTATTAAAAAAACATTTGTGTCAGAGTTATACCTTGGGCTACATTTTCTTTGTCAACTTCAGTATCATCTTCATCAATCAAGTGATATGACCGTTGCATCTGTACTTCCATTGTGTCAGGGTTAGGAGACATTTGAGAAACAGCTGACAACTTCTTCCAGGGTGGTAACTTCTCCTCCCTTACCTTCAGATAATTCAAAGAGCTAAAGTTATTCTAGGACAAAAATACAGTTGTAGCATTTTCAATTCATCATGTTGAAATCTACTGATGGGTCAATTGACTGGGGATAAAGAGAACGGATCAAAGCCCTGCGTGACTTTTTTATGCTTGGTCAAATAATCTCACCATGTTTCACAGGGAATGCAAGAAAATTTGACATGAGTTTAAGGCTTCTCTACTTGCATCTCTTCAATTGCAGATTAAACCAGCTGCTTTGCTTCAATAGCAGGTAGGTGTCTGGGGTATTAGGTACAAAACTCATTTGCCCAACATACAGTGCATGAGTAACAACAATTCCAGACACCTGTCAACACTGATTGGATAAGTGCAATGAGCAAAAACAGGATAGGGTGAAATGAGGTACATGTCCTGCAGTATGGGGGAAAACAATCCCTAAAAATTATTAAGGACTGATGGAAAACAAATGATGCAAAGCTGCTTGAAAATTCAAACTTTCAGTGGTGATGCAGAGTACTGTCAACATTCCACATAATGCTGTACTTTTTGCATTAACTGTTAGCCAGAAGAGCCTGCTAATTGTAGCTCAATGCTGCATGGTCACATTCATTTGATAAATTGTCATTAAAAAAAAATTACATTAATAAAATATCTTCTCTTTACCCTATTGTACCCATAAACATTTATTTTCAGCTGAGAGCCAATCTCCAGAGGTCCTCTAAACACAGTGGTTTGTTTGATTGATCTTGTCTGGAAAAAGCTTAGCATTGGTAGAACATGACTGAAAGAAAAAAAAAATAAAATTAGTTTTCATTATCTAGCACAAATGATATATCATAATTTAATTATGGTGTAATAATACCTAAAGGAATATGTCTCGCCATCCAAAGCCTCCAACATTTGTCTCATACAGTTTTCCCCTGCCACCTGCATGGAGAAAAATAAGGCACAGTGTATATATTAAAAAAATTATTTGGTCATTTAAGTTTACAGTCTTGTACTTAGTTGCCAAGCTTTTGATTTGGAGTGAGGCTGAAGGTAACCTTGTTATGGTAGAGACCAGGATCTGGTTAGCATGATTAAAAACATAATTTACATTTGAAAGAAGCAACTTATGTTTCATAATAAGGTCACCCTTAGCCTCACTCCCTTTCAAAGCATTAACAACTAAGCACGCAACTGTAAAATAGACATTGCCATGATTTATATAATACCCTGTACATCAGTAATAAACAGCAATTGTACACCATTCTATTAAAGATTTTAAATTATCTATGAGCAATTTTATTTCAAATCTGTATTAGTGAAAATTACCCTACAATTTCATTGTACAATCAGAAAAATTTTGATTCATTCACTCCAAGAAGTGATCAAAAAAGAAAATCTCTTTACAATATTGCTACATTTTCTAGCAAAAAGATGATGTTACCATTTTTTTTTTAAAATTGATGAACTTTATTCTATGGTAAGATAGAAAAATATTAACTGTGGGATTTGTTTAATTTAACACCAAATTCTCAAAGCTTAAATTATTAGAGATGAAAGACAAAGATTGGAGAATTTATATTTAGATGCTAGGTTTAAAATGGTTTAAACCTGCTGTGGTGTTCTTTCTTTTCTGTGATCTGGAACTGAAGTTGAAGGTCCACTTCCATCTGTGGCACAAGTTCTCTCATCCTCATCATCAAAAAGATCAGGTCCTCTGAGAAGAGCATGTGCATGTCAGTAAATTCATTTATTAATAAGAGAATTCAAATCCAAATTATAGTTTCTTTATTTTCTTCTGTCAATAAAACCCATTCTACCTCAGTGTCATCCTGTCTGCTTGTATTTGTTATGCACTAACAGAGGTCACACAATTTTCATGCAGCAAAGAGGACACAGGGATTTTACATTTGTGGAGACAAACTTTTGCCATGAGGGATGACCAAAATGTTTATTATAAACATCCTTTTCACTTGATTGTACATTACTGGTTAAAAGAAAGTTGATAGGCTTGACCTGTAACTCAATCCTCGATTCTCAAAACTACCAAGAATCAAGGATTAAGAATTGAGGCTAGAAACTATCGAGAATCTAGAATCAAGGATCAAGATGCTCAAATAAACTTTTCAAGGATCTCAATCTGCAGTTGACAAATGACAAAGCCTTTAATTGACACATGGCTCCTCTTTAAACAGACATATTGCACACATGCAAATTTTCATATCCAAGTTTTCTGGAATTGAGAAATTATCAAGTTTTGAGGGTTTGTCAACATACTTTTGAACAATACTGTACAACTATGCCATCTTTAATTCCACCATTGCAAATTAGTGATTAAAAACAAGCATCTGGTATATTTATCATGCAATGTTAGGTTGTAAGCAACAGTTTCATGCTCACATTAATGTCAAGTGGACTTGCAAGCTTTTGAGGCCTTCTGTGATGGTCTCCAGCTGATCGTTTCCAAATGGTGAACTAAGGTCACTGAATAAATATATCTTTTTTTCACACTTCTTTCCTCTGAAAGGAAAAATTAAATTATCTTCCTTTACAATGTAATTCAGAAAATTTGGATCATTTTGTATCTTTTCTTTTCATCATATCTTTTCTTAACCCTTTAACTCCCAAGATCTCATTAGTAATTCTCCTTACCGTCTGCCATACAGTTCTTGTGATGTTAGTTTGGAGAATTTAGTATTGGATCAACTGGTAATCCCCTAATTAAAGATTTTTCTTAGTTTATTCTCAATACTTGTCTGCTTGATATTGTACTGATATTGTAAGGAGAAATTCTGTATTGGTCACTCATGGGAGTTAAAGGGTTAAGATGCCAAAGCAGAAATAACATTTTTGATTCTTTCTAATTCTTACACTGTCTGTTCTCGCAACAAATCCACACCAACCACGATGGCATCAATGACTATACAAAAGTTAAGGTCAAACATTTAACATTGGAAAAGTTCCGTATGAAATCTATACTAAATATTATATACCTATTACTGACCAAGTTTGAGATCCTTGCTGCAAGCACCAAGTGTGCAGCAATAAATCCAAGTGGGAAAAACAAGGTTCTGTAACTTACAGTGGACTGTGAAAATGAGGTTAGTAAATTATTAAATCTATTACATCTCTAGGTTCAGATAGAGGAGGAAAGTTTCGATTCAAACAACAATTTGAAGTAAACAGGTTGCACAGTGAAATACTGCCTGCTACATGTAAATTGACCAATCATAATACACATTCTACATTCTGACTGAGTGATACAATTACTGTATTATAAAAATAACTTCTAATACCATAATTTATCAGTTTAAAAAAATTGATTTCATGCTACAATTGCCTGTTTAACTAATATATCACAGATGACATTCAAATGTGGTCAGAACAAAACAATTGCACAAGAACAACACCTGCCTGTGTCACCTACATTCTTTTCACAATGACACGCCCAAATTATGTAAAAAGTTTGTTTCTGATTCCTGCCTTGCAACAAATCACACAAACAATTAAAGTGGTGTGGATTTGTTTGATGATCACAAAAACGAAAATAATTTGCAGAGATCAGCTGTCACAGGAAAGTTTCAGTATGACCAGCTTCAAGGTTAACCCTTTAACTCCCAGATCAAATTTGTAATTCTCCTTACTGTCAACCATACAATTCTTATAGTGTTTGTTCAGAGAATTTAATATTGGATCAACTAATTTTCTTTAAATCAATTATCTGGTTGATATTGTATTGATATTGTGAGGAAAATTTCTGTCTTGGTCTTACGGGGGTTAAAGGATTAAATCAACTATACAGTAGATCTACATGTCATGTAAAACATTAAAAATGCAGAAATAGTGACAATATTTTGTCAGTTTGCAAGGATACAGTCTGTTTCAACATTACCTGCAGTAGAAACACACTTACTGTAAGTGTAAATTGAAACATCTTATATAATATACAGACAAAACTCACTTAAAAAGGCAGTTCTACTTATGCCCCAAGGAGAAATCAAACTTGAATATGAAAGCGATCTTCGCAGTAATGAACACAACTTAAGCAATAGTGAAAAGAAGGCCTGAAAAAAAAAAATTCAGGCCTGTATGGGATTTGAACCTATGACCTCTAAGATACCAGTGCAGTGCTCTACCAACTGAGCTAACAAGCCAACTGGGAGCTGGTCACTGTGTTGGTTCCAAATAAAAAGAAATCAAATCAAACTAAAACTCACAAAAATGTCACTTACCAGGGGCTATCTGGTCATGGATAAAACGAAGCAGTTCTAAATCAGGCAAACCAAGTCTGCGAGCCACAGTGATATTCTCATATTCCCCATCATTTTCATTCAATTGGTTTGATGTTCCTGTGAACAAATAACATTTATCAATCTCAAATCATTGTCATTATGGATTATCGTAACCACCAAAAGTAATGGCCTGCTTATACAGGCTGTGTTTTTTTACAAATAATAACAAAAACAATAATAATAATAATGATGATGACAATGATAATTACAATAACAATCCTCACATACAGAGCCTTCTGTCTCATAAACTCATACATGTAAATGAAAATATGGCAGATCAATCACTTGAAAGTTCCAGAAAGCAAACTTTAAGAAATCAAGAAATTGAACTGCAACATGCACATACCTTCAGTACCAAACAGAACTAAAGCAAATTCATCTTTTGTATTTGCAAACATCTGAAATGAAAAATAACTGTAAGTACTTTGCTTTCAGTGGAAAATCACTTGAAATATTGTGCATAGTATGGATCATTTGCCTCAGTTCTTAAACATGCCAACTGAGTAAATACATGTACCTCAGGTACCTTTCGTAAGAAAGGGCTCCAAGTTCCCTTTTTCAAAAAGTCGCCTTTTGACAAGCTTCAGCTGTAAAATGGTCGCCATAGTAATAAAAAAATCATCATACCATTGGGAGGAAACTTCATGTTGCATTACCAAGGTTTGTATGTTTAATAGTTCAACCAAACATCGATAGACTTTTCAATTTTTTTTTTGTCAGTTGGTTATCTATTTTAAGTTGAAATCTTGATTGTCAAATATATTTTTCACTCGCCATGGCCACCAAAACAGTTGTAATTTGGAGTGCTTTAGAGAAAAGGGCTGCTTTAAGTTGGTGCAAAGACCATCAGTGTCCACAAAGAATACTGACAACAACCAATGGACGACACGTAGAGCATAAATTAATACGTACCTTTCTTTGTATAATCATGTTGACAGCCTTGACTGATATCTCAAGTGAGGTGGAATGGCCAGGGGGGGCCTGACACATCGAAGGGCCCACATCCAAAATAATAACAACAGCATCCTTAGTGACACACATAAAATAAAGAATTATTCTTTGTGACTCTTTCGAAACTCATACTAATGCTGCATGAATCAAAAATAGTAGATCACCTTCGGGACTAAGGATTCTTTTCAGAATAGTGTAGGGTAATATTGGAGTATTTCTTTTAACTTTCTTGGGAATTTCAAGAAGGTTTGAGTAATTTGGAGTTTAAGGTATCGGGAGTGAAGAAAAAGATCCACCCGTTGATAGGAAAAAACAAGAAATGACTATCACATAAATTCTGCATTTCTTTCATGAAGTGGACATGTTCTTCAGTCAAATCAAATGAAAATACAGGGAATCTGAGTGCAAATGAAACATGTTCAGAAGTTCACCAACGAGTCGAACGACTGATCGCGAGAATCAAAAGGAATCAATTGCAATCCAGATCAGAAGATCCTCATCGCCCCGATCATGCGTTTCTTTGCGGCAGCTAAGATGGTCTGCGTGGTGTTCTACACATAGTCATACCCCCGATAACCTCACAATGAATCCCAACTATGGAAACCAGGTTATCTCTCTCATAAAGTAACAGAAGTTCTGCGCGTAAAGGGAACTAACCCATTCCCACAGGTTTTCGATTTAATTGGAACAGAGAGAAAGATCGATTGGAACTTATATTTTCAGGGATTTAGGCGCCCACTCGATGGGTGAAACGCAAAGTGAGCCTAAAAAATAGAAAATTTCGAGCTAAGAAAACAAAGTTACCAACCTTCGCAGCCGCCATTTTGTAAATGTTGACGTCACATGATCCGGTCTGAACTTCCCTGGTATATTTTCCCGCCAAATCGAGTTACCCCGTGGCATCCCCCGTGAAAAATGCTTTAATTTGCTCCATAAGGGATACAGACAAGAATGAATTTTTAAGTCTTCCAACATGTGTTTTCATCGCATAACAATTAACCGAGAAACGACCAGCAAAATTTCAAAAGTGAGAGAAATAAAGAAAGTGTTAGACAATAAATATGAATAAATGAAGAACTGAATAATTAATTTTTAATGAAATAAATTTAGCACCCCTAGGTAGAGATGTTTATTCTGTAGAAGACATCCGGGACAGTTTGTAGCTTTGCCGGGCTCCGCAGCTGAATTTCTTCATTCTTTATAACAACCAAACTTCAAGTGCCTACGAACAAACTTTTGCATTCGTAACATGTGCACGATAATTTTCCATGTTTTCAATATTGTATGCTTCTGAGACTGATATAGAAAGACAAGAAAACGAGATACATTTTTGTCGTTAAGTTACCTTTTCCTCCACGTTCTGAGATCCGGAGAAACTTTCTTTTTAAGTTATTCAGTCCGTGTCTGTTCCAAGAAGGATTTTGTCCGTTCTTGTTCGGACCATGAGCAGGACCTCCTCACTCCTGAAGTTCTGCGAGGCGCGTTGACATCAACTTTTTTTCGCTGTTATCTTTTTGGATTCACGCGACGGACTTTGCCGAAAAGGAGGAAGAACTTGAAATCTAGTTCTTGTTCAAAAGTGTTTTGAATATAAAATATTTCTCTCCCATCATGAGTTATTTTTTTAAAATAAAACAACCACGGCAAAAACAGAGCAGCCTATATTTAGTCATGGTATACCGGAAATCCAGAGGTATCCTTTGATAAGACCCTGAACTGTGCAAGAAATGGCAAAGCATAATATGAAGTCTCATTGGCAGCCACACATAGGCTTTCTGTTTAGGGGGCGTGGCGTGCGGCATTCCAAAGAATGCCGCAAAAGATTATATCATTATTGCGCGAAAACCACAAAAATTTGCGCAAACTGAGATACTTATTTTATAACTTGTTTTATTATTTTTTTATTATAAATTAATAGCAATTTTCATCGTTTAATCAGCGTGTTACAAGATTTTTAGGCTGTCTTTGTGAGACTGTAACAGAAGCAAGCTCTTAAGAAAATATTTTATTTGCCATTGATGGAGGTTTTTTTTGTCCTCAAAACAGTCTTGCGTACGTGTTCTTATTTCAAATTGCCTGGGGTCATTTAACATTCGTGGGAATTTTTTTTTTTTTTTTTTGAGAAAGGGTTATTTCCATCAAGTAGAGCTAAAAACAGACCGCAATCATCTATATTTAGGCGGAAACCCTAGGGTATTCTATAAAAAGAAAAAAAACCGGTAAAAAAAATTTTCGCGACATGTTAATTTCGCGGTAAAATTAAATGTCGCGAAAATAACATGACGCGAAAATTAAGTGACTCACTAGCTAGCGGCATGGTAATGTATTTTGGTTCAGCTGTTATTTGGTGTTGTCACGCAAAACTTTATCTAAGATTGCGTTCCGTTACTAAACCGCAACTAGTGACACACCTTCGTGGGAGCTTTTGGCGGCGGAGGAAAAGGGAATTAGGAAAAATCGAATAAAAGTGGGTTACATTTGTCATTTATTGTTCGTAATGTTCAGGCTTACCAAGTTAAATAAACACAGAGCAAGGACTTGTGTAAAATTTCCCTGACATCTTTCACGTTTCTATTTATCTTCACATTTTCTTTTGATAATCTTGAAAGTCTTGACAAGTAAAACGTATCTGAAAGAGAGGCGGGTGTCTTGCTCAAAATGATCGATTGCAACACCTTTTTTGTCATAATTTGAGATAAGAAGGTCAAGTTCACAACACTCACTCTTGCGATGTAATTATCGTGTAAGGGTTGTAGAGAAAACGAAGACCCACGAAAACAAAGACTTACGCCCCGAAAATGAAGAGCCGGAAAGGAAGACCCCTTTATTAAATATGATCTTGTTATGGTTTCTCGCCGGAGATATCCAGCTCCGGTTTTAATCTTTCTAGGAGTGTTGAAGACCAATCAAGTCTTCGTTTTCGGGTCTTCCTCTTCGGCCGGGAGTCTTCTTATTTAACACTGGTGTTTGACTGCATACTTCATCAATATTAACCTGGCGCTACAACCATATGTAGGGGTGATTTTGTCATTTTGTCACAATTGTCTTATTTATTTTCTGAAGTTATGACGAGAAGAAAAAAGACAAGACGTGTGTTTTTGTTGTTGAGTTAACTTTCTTCTTCATTTGAAGATTGCAACGATCAGGTTGTTCGTCACAAGACGAGTTCTGTGAGGTCCTATTTAGAAGTGTGTTGATGAAAGGAACATTTTTAATATAGAGTTATTTTTGTTAAATACTACTAAAAACAGAATAAAAAGGCCTTTTTTAGGAATAACCGGAAATCTTGGGGTATTTTAAAATAAGAAAAAAATAAAATTCAAAGATAGCGCTTTGCGAACCTGGCGGCACTGTAGGCGTTTTCTCACCTCACAGCTCTATGCGTCGAGTGACGCAATCTTGTTAAACGTTTTGCGTGCGGTAAGGAGTTTCAGGCTCATTTTGTGAGTTTTTAACATATACCCATGTTCCATCGAAGCTCAAGTATTATAATTGAATAGAGCCTTGACAGTTGTTTTGGTTATTCAAATAACATATCGGTACTGCGTATTTACGCGCCTAGTCCAGCCGTCGTGAGCGCCAAATGTTACTTGATTGTTTGACCAAAATTTCAAGAGTTTTCCAAAGTCTATAGGAAAAAATTTATACGCGCGGTAAATGGTAAACTCATCTACTATGGAAACTTTCGTCCATTAGGTTACGCCGGAGAGTGAAACGAGAAATCTTCCTATTTGCTTGCGTGGTCGGAAGTTCTGAACGTACTTTGAGGTGTCAGCTACGCAGGTTGTCCCCCTGAGATATGATAGCGTGGCTTAAGTAAAAATACTGCATTTCCCAAGCAGTGTTCTTATTACTCAATTGTGTATCATTTTTACCTCAGAAATTGGTTAATCTGCAATCCCCAACATGGAAGATCAATGCAGACTAAATTTACTCGATCCATAATTCTTGTCAATTCGGAACCTCCTACCTTAACAGGAATGTTGTGAAAAGTCGTATTTTAAGCGATTTATAGGGATTAAGAAGGTCTGATTAAAATGCAACCGACCGGCTTAAAGATCAGTTAATAAATTCGCCTTCCTTTTTTAAGTTTAACATCCACGATCCTTTGAAATGAATGTATCCATGTTTTTTAATCGTCATTATTTTCAAGCAAATAAAACTTAATTTCACGTGAAGGATGTCTTTAGTTTTTCAAGTGAAACCGCTCTAGGGCATAATGGCTTAGCGGAAAACCACAGGAAATCGTCTTAAAATAAACCATTCTAGAATCATTAATAACAGATTGCATCCAGACAAACTAGGCAATGAAATGGGATTCATCAACGAGAAATAGAACCTAAAAGTTGGAACAGCGGAATGACGGCATGGCGGAAAATTACCCCAAATCCTAAAAGAGGAAATGGCGACCGCCGTTGCGTCTTTAAGGATTTGGGGTAATTTTCTGCCATGGCCCCGAAAAGGGATTTGTGATGATTTTCCACCGCTCCACCTTTTAGGATTTTCCGTCATTCCGCTGTTCCAGCCTATAGCATCGCCCGACAAAAACGAAATATTTCGAAACAAGAGAAAAGGATTGAGGACAGTACTTCTTTTCTGTACAGAAACAAGTATTCAGACGTGCAATTCTTAAATGCAAATTAAAGAAACGGATCATGAGCTAAACCGACTGTTTAATAATGGGCTCGCATAACCGCGGCGCAACATTTATCGCTTTTTTTTCCCAAACCAGAAACATCTCTTATGTCTAAGGAGAAAATAAACGCAAAATCGAAGGGAAAATTTGGAGGTTTTAGCGCACCTCTTGTGTCCATTCGTTCACCAATAACTTTGAAGTAAGAGTTTCCGAGTTCTACTTTGCACACAATAGTCTAAGTAATCTCTTTAACTTTCTTTACCTCTGGGTTTTTTCTAAGAAAAACCAAATTGCCTTGAGTCAATTAAACGACAGACACATAACAGCTTTACCACCATGGGGGCAAACGGCTCGGCGAAAAACACGAGAAATCCTCCAAAAATAGACTATTCAAGAGCTATCAATGACATACCACATCCAGAGAGTCCAGGCAATGAAATAGGACTTATCAGTAACGAAGAGACAAAGATGTACAATATTATGAGACATTGGTCAAAGTAAGACAGTCAAAGAACACTTTTGTTGTAAATATTTAAGAGACAAGCGTATAAAAGTGCCGTTTTTTTATACGCAACTTCAGGAAACATATCCTGAGGAAAACTGGTTGCAAAACAGGTTGTGCTATTTTGAGCTCGGATACCGCAGCGAAACAACAATGGGTCCAATAGCAATTTCCGAGAGTCAGAAACACCAATGATGTCTTAGGGGTGTGTATATATAAACCTGATCCGACACAAACATCCCTCAGTTCAAAGCAAACGCTGGCTGAAATTGTGGAAGTCGTATCAGAAGAAAACGTCCTTCCTGGCACAGCACAAAAGATGATTCACACCCAAGTTGAGAGAAGAGGTTCTATTTCTGGCTCTTCAGTGACACCACTGGAATCTCGATTTACGAGACTATATTCTTACCAGGAATTTATTCTGGAGCGCAGCATTGTGGTTCTCGTGTTAGCATGCTTTGTGACTGTCGCACTTTCCTCAAGATTGCTAAAGCAAGATGTTTTCTGTGCTGGGTTCGTGCGGGTGAGATAAAAGATTGAAGGATGGCTTCTCTTCTATCCTAAATACAGCTTGTGCAGATTCAGGTCTGATGAACTTAGCTACCTTTGGTAAACGTTGCGTCTTTTACTGAGGTGCCATGGCATTCTGAACAGAGCACACCTCATTTAGTATCACAATTTTGAGGTCAGAAAAATGCATTTGGTCAGACTGTAATGATGGTTACTCCAATCTCAACTGACAGGCTAAGCGGCCAACGAGAAACAATGGTGAAGAAAAATCCATCGAGAACATTCTTGAGGACATGTACACTAGTAAATGTCGAACGGAAATACGCAGATCATGGCCTAACCCGCAGATCTACGTGGATCAGTGTATCCATCGTGAACTGGGACTTAAATAAGAACTTAACTGTTGTATCATATTGTTTCAACAGCAAAAGGAATTGGAAATATAGTTTATCTATGTCAGTAGACCTTGTTGCATAATTGACATGTATGTTTTCCGGCAGTCACCGAGAGTTGGTAAATAATATTGTTTCTTGAAAGCACGGAATAGACGTTGCAGAAAACAGAGGAAATATTTTAAAATTTGAGTTCATATGCATCGGCAAAACAAAAAAAATAAAGACTTTTCAATGTTACCTTTGTCTGTCTTTTTGATGTTTCTACACAACGTCGAACAGAACTTATTGGCAAGAGCCAAATTTAATTTTCGAGAACCTACCAGACCAGTTACGCATGCAATATTCAAAAGGCTATGAAACATTCCACTTTCCTTAGCGTCGAAAACTTAAGAGGAGCATTCTTGCTTACTTCTAGGAATAAAACCCTAAGAGAAAAAGGGAAAAGATCCAAAGTCCTTTTTGGATAAAGAGGTTTTTTTTAGGATAATGCTTCGGATTGGTTTCAAGGAGAACTCGTGGGTTGGGTTGGGGGTGGGGCATTTTCAAAAATACTAATTCTAGGGATATGTTGTCGACGGATTCGTGCCTTTTGATCTCTCTGTTTAGAGTTGTGTATCCAGTTTAGGGACCAATCGCTGGGATGGGGTGGGGTGGGGAGATTTCAGTGGGATCACATGGTTTTCAGGGGGAATAGAAGCGGGATGGGTCGTTGCCCATAGAGTATAAAGAGGCAACTAAAGAACATCGACCGCCGGTCAAATGCCAGTTAACTGCGAATGAGGGGGGTGGGGTGGGGGGAGGAATTTATAAGAATATTACAGAAAAGGGATCCAAATGCTGAGAGGATCGGTACATACCCACCCATAATATACGCGAGTGCCCCTCCCTTGTCTACAAGGCAATGTTGTATGCTATGCAATAGGAAGTTGTGTTCTCGTCGGCTTGATCTCGATCGTGGTCCATACACAGAAAGTGTTTTCTAATCTGGAGTAAGATCTTGCACAGCATTTTCGTTAGCTACTCAGATCATCTACAGACACTTAATCTGCCCGTATTTTCTCCCCAAACGGGTCTTAATTTGACGACTTGTGCGGCGCACTAACGCAAAACCTATTCAATTACCCTTGAATTACTGCAAGAAAACTGAGACAAAATACGTTTTACAAGCCTCCTCTGAAAAATTGAGTGCAGGGATCAAATTGGTCGCAATTTGCTTTTTTCTTAACAAAACTAACTCTTTAGTTGCAGTGCCAAAACATGCGATCGTGTTACGTGCGTTTTTTAAGTCCTATCCGCAAACATCACGATCGAGTGGTGATGCTAAAGTTAGCCTTTTCCACACATTTTATCAATAAAACGAAACGCGACAGAAAACAACACGATAGCCGCGGAGGAGTGACTCGACCTAGGCCCCCTTCTTTTTCGCTCTGCTGTACTATCGCGCCGTTTACCCATTACGCACGGATTACACACTGTTTTATTTGCCGAAGGCGTGGAATGGGAGATGCCACGCTACAGTACACTTTAAAAAATTGGAAATACAGCAAGTGTATGCGGCTCCCTTGCCCCATGCAAACTAGCAGCTTTCGAGAGGTTGAAAGACGAATTTCAACACTTGACTTGAGTATCAAGCCCGGTGTGTGTTGTGTCTTGCTGTTATGCAGAAGCGTGAGCTATCCCTAGTGGCAATAATTATGTAACTAATTTAAGATGGAGCTATTTGAGTTTTGCCAGTATTATTTAGTCGTTTAAAGCAAAAGAACATAGCCTGAAAACTTGCAAATTTACGACTACTCAGATTTAATGCAGTCATAACCAAGGAAATGGGAACACACAAGAGCGCCAGCTTAAACACTTTTAGCAATATCTTGCACACAATTGTGCCTGCTTGTTTGCATCAAGTCACTCACGTGTTACACTTTAAACGTGACCAACTCCTCTTTTCTCAAAAGTGATCAAGAAGCAATTTCTCCAAACAGTATCAATAATAAAAATTTTCAGCAGCAGTGTGATGAGAAAACAGAAAAATTAAACTAAGGGGCATTGTCTGATTCAAAACCAAATTTTCAGAGCTGAGATGATACGAAATGTATTGCAGACAGTGCACGGATTCTAGCATTGTGATTATGGAAGTGAAAGCGTTTAGATGCCGCCATGCAGTTGACTCCCGCCGTCTCCTGCCGTCGAAAGAATTCATGAAAGGATCAATCTTTTATCGAGGAACGAGCATTCCCACTTTCTCAGTTTAGACATTCGCTTGAGCGATAATAGTAATGTACAAAAATAATCGCATATGATAATAATTTATCAGCGAAAACATTTGGGTCGACGCCGAGGCTACATTTGTTGCGGCTCGGGAGCATAGGTTTCCCACGCTTGTTATACCGTACTTCATAGAAGCCTGGTCCGCTTTTTCAAAATTTCGGTTAACAAGAGGGTCGCCTATTGGTAGGAGGGTGCTTAATCGAGAGGAGCGCTTATTTAGTTAGCGTAGCTATAGGACAAACAAGTAACGCTCATAAAATAACTCGGCAAGTACATGGAGATAGAGATAATTGGAACGAAAAAGAAGCGATTCTCATGTACTGATTCCGCCGTCGTCAAGGCGTAAAAAGTTGTAAATAAAAAGAGTTAATGAAATTAAGGGAGGATTCGAAGGGGCGCTTGGTTTGACATTATGGCCGAACGGGTGGGCGCTTTTTGGGGGAGGAGGGCGCTTATTCAAGGAACTAGGGTACGAGTCCATCCACTCGATGTTGCTTTTGTGAAACAGGTTTTTTGGTCTTTAAGAATGCAACCGTTTTCCTTATAACAATTCAATACAGTTCAGTGTCCTCGTAGGTTGGGGATGAGCTATACCTGTGCTGAAAAAAAACAGTTTTTCTGGCGGGTTTGAAAATAGAAATTTGCAACCGTGTTTACAAGCTCTTCTCCAGACACATTTATCAAAACTTGCACAACAAGTCAGTTGTTTTTCCCAATAATGTATGCAGACTATGCCTAAAAAGGCGAAAATCGGTAAACTGATTTAAGATGGAAGAACTCTTTATTTCAAGGAAGTATAGAATTACATTCATAAATTGTCTAGTGTCGCCTGAAGTCCTTCAAATATTCAAACTACGTTAAACATATAAAAAACAATGAAATACATTTAGTATAATAAAACAACAGTTTCTTGATCTTGCAGTGTGAAACTCAGCGACGGAAAATCTCAACATAAAAACTTGGAAATAATTTCATCATAACTATACAAGAAAAGAGAAAGTAAAAATGTCATCCTTTGTTTCAAGTAAGAATGTCCGAAACTGAAAAACTTACGAGACTTACCACTTCCCTTCAATTTACTGTAAAGAAACTGAAATTGGGTTACAACAGAATCAACGCCGTTTTTGGACGATTTGATGATTCGAGATGTTGCGATCATTATGCGAACCTTTATCATAATTTGCAAAAAAAAATCCAATAAAAAAAAAGAGATTATTCTGTGCATTAATACGAGGGAACGAGAAAGAAAAATATATTTTTAAAGAAGCTCAGTGTATTTCTGATAATCACGAAATATACCGCATTTCTTCGAGTAAGCGCCCGGGTAATTAATTAAAATTTCGGCAGAAAGGATGGGCGCTTAACGGACGGAAGGTGCTCAATCGAGGGAGTCGCTTATCACGAAACTATTAACCTGTACAGATTCAGTCGACCTAATAATTTTTTTCTCGCCGAGTTTTCTCGTCCTAGATTTAAGGATTTGGCCGAAAAGGGTTAATGATTCCAACTCTAGGAGGTGGAGTTGTCCCCCTTCCGCCTAAATCGCGCTGATGTCCAAAGGATTAAATTGTACTCCTGCTTAAACTTAAGTGTAAGTAATGTCAGGAAAAAACAATAAACTATCATTTGCTGGATCTTGTAGCTGAAGGTGCAGTGGATAAAACGGACAATGGTGAAACGATGCATTCAGTTCCTTGGCCTGCGATGGGGAAGTTATCACAAGCCATATTTTTCGGCCAGGTAAAACCGAATCGCTGCATTAGGGGAAGACAGCCACGTCTAACGCTGACACAAAGATCTCTGCATGGTTTAAACGGAGCAATGCAAGATGGAGCATACAAAGAACACAGGAAAAGGGACAGATCTGGGGAACAGCCGACTTTTACAAGAGGAAAAAACTGGTGAACTTCTAAAGCTGCTTCTTCCTGTTTGCGATGATTGAAGAAGTTGGGAAACAGCGTCATATTGTAGGGCAGATCTTGACACAAAGGAATGGTTAAGGCTTCGCATCTCCCTGCAAAGGATTTCAGTGAGTCATTACTGTAATGTCCAGTTTAATTCTGCTTCTTAGGTGAATACACGAATTCGTCAAAAATTTATGTTCAGAATTTCCGTCGAAATCAAAATCGATTTCATAAAAACAACTGTGTTTCTGAAGAGTGCAATTTACAAGTGTGACCCCCGTTCAGTGTTATGTCATTCCATTTTATAACAATGAAGTGATCAAGAAACGTTTTAAGTACGAAACTTTTGTTACGTTGGTCAAATTTCAGCATCAAGATAGAGACTGGGTACTAATTCCATGCATTCCATTCCCTTCCTGCCGTATCATGGTTTCAAGTGATCCAAGACTATGCCAAAGCCTTTTAGTCCTAAGATTCAATAAGTAATTCTCCTTTCTAAATCCCACTCAATTCCTCTTAAACTAAACCTTAGAATTTCGTCTGATATCGAGATAACACCCTCTAACTGATAGGCTTGTCTACTCTCGTAACCCGTTTGCGAGGTTACATTTGAAATCGCAAGGAAACGCTACATGTTTGCCTCTGAGAAATTGAGGGTTGACACCTGTACTATGATTGAAGGATGGGAAGACGTACGTTTTATTTTAGGGATTAATTTTAGGGCCCCATCAGATGAAGAAATCTTTTTAAGTGGGTGTGTCTCATAACACTATATTTCGTTCGACTGATTTAAAAAAAACACTTGCTTTTCCTACGCTTTGGTGAATACACCAATTCAAAAATACTACCGGCCTCAGAATTTGCACTTAAGGTCGAAATCGAGGTAAAGATAAGGACCTAGATAAACGGCCTGGCGTGCCAATTGTCTCCTATACCTCAGTGGTCGAGCATCCGAGGTACTAAAAGGAAGGTCGTAGATTCGAATCTTATTTGGAGTACGTGGAGTTCTTTTCTCTGAGTATGCCTGTGTAATTCAATGAGTGACATCTTCTATCACGTGACAACGATGTTCTGAAAATAAGTCCTTTGAGTATACTATCACCAGCTCTCTCATTGTATGATTTCAATCGAGGCTTTCTACTTTGCTAATCGTATCAAGATGTGGGACGCATGTCACATATCAACTTAGTAATCGCCCAACTCACTGTTGAATCTCTGTGGCCTAACTCACTGAAGTATCTATTTGGCTTAGCGGTAAAGCGTTGGAGCGCGGAATCCGAAGGTCTAAAACTCGATTCCTCGTGGGGACCTAAAAGTTTTATTTTAACCCAGGCGCGTGAAAGATGAAAACACATTTTTCTACACTTGAATAAGTTAACTTATAAGATTTATTGCTTACCAGATGTAGTTTGGTTAGCACTGGATATAACAGATCGCCGAGGAGCAGTACACTGTGTTCCTGAACCTGCACTGGGGAATTTATCACAAGCAAATTTCTCCGGCCAAGGAATACCGAATTCCTCAAGTATGGGGAGGCAGCCCTTTTTAACACTGATGCAGAGGTCTCTGCATGGTTTGAACGGTGCACTGCAGGAGGGAGCATACAAAGAACACAGGAAAAAGGAAAGATCTGGGGAACAGCCGAATTGAACAAGAGGAGAAAACTGCTGAACTTCTAAAGCTGCTTCACCCCGTGTGTCATGGTTGAGGAAGTTGGGGAACAGCGTCATATTAAATTGCTGCAGACCTTTACAAATAGGAATGGTCGTGGTTTCGCATTTTCCTGCGAGAAAATTGTTGTAGAAATATTAAGAACAGTTAATTTAGTAATACAGAATTTAGACCACCTGCTCATGGTCCAAGATTAAAATTCAAATAAGAGATTCTTTAGGATAAGAAGTTATGAGGACCAAGTAATTCCAGCTCAATTTGGTTATTTCAAATAATCTATTGCTCAAAATTTCTGTGCTGTTGTTCAGTTGCATGTCACACTTCAACGATGTTAAAAAATTTTGAGCAACCCCTACGGAAGAAACAAGCAACCCCGAAATTTTCACTGTTTTGATACGACTATGAGTTTGTGTAATCCTGAATGGAGTGCAAGTTTGTCGCAGCAGGATAACCTGTGCACTTTGGCATGTGTTTTGAACCAGTTCACTGGAACCTAATAGAACTCCGAGGTGGAGAAGGGGTCTGGAAATAAATATGTCTGTCTTAGGGCCCAGGCCCCAGGGCTCGTACCTGGACCTTTAGATCACCAACGCGACTTTCATAATCGAAGAAAATGAAACCTATAAAGTAAAACTTCCTTCTATACTCTTTTACCTTTCGTATAAAAGTAATATTTCTTACAACCTTTCTTTGTTACTCACCGTTTCCTAAGGTATTCGTGGTGGTGAGAATGGTAGCCTTAGGGGAGGGCGGTGCATCCAAACAAACAGGGACTTCTGATTTGCGTGAAAACTTTGAACAAGAAACCGGCCATTTCATCCCCAACTGTCTAATTTTAGAAATGCACTGTTTTCTGACGCGACTGCAGAGTTCCTTACAAGGTGCAGTGTATGGGTGTGGGTTACAGGGCGGGGCGAACAATGAACAGAGGAAGAAGGTTAATTCTTGGGAGCAATTGGTCTGGATAACTGCATCAAACTTGCTTAATTCAAGGGAAGCTTGGTCTTGGGTTTGATGATGAAGGAAGTTAGGAACCTTCGTCTTGCTGTAATGAAAGGCGCTGCATGCGGGCGCCCTTAAAGGTTCGCATTTTCCCGCTGTAAAAAAATAATAATAATAATAATAGTACAAATGGTATGGTTATGCGCACGACAGATCTCTTTGTTACAGGCTCTTGATGGGCCTAATCAATTAACCTTTTCAATAGCATTCCATTTTGCGACCTAACTGGCCAATGTACAATGAAGATCCTTCTTAATTGTTCGGTTACTAATGGTTTATGAAGCGCGACAGATCTCTTTGTTACCGCCGGACTCTCCTTAGGAGTTTTGGCCTGACGAAATAATAATTCCGATGGCAATCTATTAATTGTAGACCTAAATGACCGATGTAAAGACCCCTTTAAGTCGTCCAGTTATAGAGAAGGGACCAAAAGGTAAAATATGCAGTGCACAGTCAGGGGCCAAAATCTGAACGGCAGCACCGTTTTCTGTCCTCTTTGATTTTGCGGAATATTTCTACCTATTCTCTGGCAACAGACGCCGACCAACAAACTGAATAAAATACCTCTACTATACATCCCTTTTGCAGCCATTTCAAATATACTCCCCCCCCCCTTTATTCACTTACGCAAATAAACAACCAACCAGAAAAAACATTTGCCAAACAGCCATTTTGTCTGAAGCATAATTTAAACAAGTCCCAGTCTTTCTCACCTTGAGGCTGAATTACCGGACTCGGAGACGGAGACGGAGACGGAGTCGCAACAGTCGCTACGTCAGGTCGATCAATACAGATACTGTCTCCCCTTCGAGAAAACTGTTCGCAATTCATGGCTTCCGGCCATTTGAAATTAAATTTCAGTAAAAGAGGAAGGCATCCTTCTCTGACACGTACACAGAGCTCTCTGCACGGGAGTGGTGGTTTGTCCAGAGAAGTGCAAATGGGAGTGTACAATGTACATAGGAAGAACGCTAAGTCCGGTGAGCAATTGATTTGTACCAGAGGAGAAAATTGTTGAACTTCGAGAGATGCTTCAGCTTGAGTCTTGTGGCGGAAAAAGTTTGGAAACTCTGTCATGTTGTAAGGTATATTTTTGCACAAAGGAACCGTCAGGACCTCGCACTTTCCTGAAATGATACACCATTAAGTTTACGTACCCATAGTGCAATTCTGTACCGGCGAGCCAAGTGGCCCATCCAACCGGAGCTTATTTCGTTTTCCTTGGCATAATTCGATTAAGGGCATTACTACTCCCGCCCTGCCTGAAAACACAAAACAACGACCCGGCCGGGGCGGCGAACACGGACTCCCCAGCGCATTAAGCATCGGGTCACTGCGTGTCATACGCATATCCATAACACTTACGTTAATTTACTTCATCCACCACATGTTCATATTTTTTTAGCCATCGAAGTACAATGCTTTTAACAACCCAGCAAACATGATCGATGTCTGTCCATTTTGCAAACGATTTGCTCATTTATGAGATTGCTGATGTCATATTAGTGAGTAGTAACGTTCACTTATAAGCTGGGGTTGACTCGAATGCCAAAACTAACGCAAGCAAAGTACAAATACAAAAACATCACAAAGGGAAACCAGGTATGCATGAAGTTCTAGCAAGTCTTATAGTATTAGATTTATTGAGAATGCTTCTGTGTAATTTCAGGCCCAGATCTGGGAGAAAAACATGGGAGAAATTAACATAAACATTTTTTCATTAGGGAATGGACCTTGTTTCCCACAGAGAATTTTCTCAGGCCGGGTGTTTTACCCCGACAAGTTACTAAAACATGGAAATTCAGATAATTTAAAAAAAAACACTACCATACGCTAATTTTTGTTCGAAAAATGTTTTGCAGAGAAAATTTTGAGCGATTTTTGGGCGTATAACTGTCGTTGGGCTAAAACTACTGTTCATTGTGTTGTTTGATAAAACTGTCAAAGTGAAGGGATCACTTTAAACCATCGACTGCCGGTTAACCCTGTAACTCCCACAAGTGATGAACATGTAAGTTCTTCCTGTAATATCTAAACGTTATCCAGCAAACAGGTCATGAGAATATTCAAACTTATCAGGTAGAAGTTGCTATCTTGATCTACCACCAAATTCTCGTAAATTATTTACAAGAAAATGTGTCGCAGCTAGAGGGGAGAATTGACAATCAGATCGTGGGAGTTGAAGATTAAGTCTGGGTTGGAAGTATACTCATTACCTGGAACTGTGGGCTGCGGCTTCGTAGTCGGTTCCGGTATTATCTGTCCATTGAAGCACGGTTCTTCATCTTTCCCAGGGAAATTCCTGCACTTCAGGATTGAGGGCCATTGAAGGCCACCTCTTTTTGACAAGCGCATTTCTCGCTTACATTGTGATCTTGCCTTCAGGCAAAACTCTCTGCAGGGCAGTAAAGGGCGTTTGGTCTTTCTGCAAGGTGGTACGTGGAGTCCGCAAAGGAAGGTGGACAGAGTCGCGGAACAATCTTTATCAGCATTTCGAAGAATTCCCTCAAACTTCTGGAAGCTAACGGAAGCTTCTCTAGCATCCTTGTGACCGAAGTAGTTTGGGAACTGTGCTTGCCAGTTTGGAGGCAAGAAACGGTTGCACTGATGAGTTACTGGTCGGCATTTCGTTGCTGAGTGAGCCGATGCTATCGAAAGAAAGTTGAAGATTGGCAAAGGTAATGCTATGTGTGTAATAAGACCGCCACCCGAAGTTACCAAACTAAAACCAAAGACTGTTGATGGTAAACTACTAATTCAATGCCTGTTTGCTTTGATAGACGCATATGAGGTCGTCACGCTCCACTCAAATTAAAGCGTATCTCAATGTATAATCTATTTTTTCTTATCGTATGCATATTCGCTGCTTAAGGAATCCCAGTTAAAGGGAGAAATTACATGTTGATCAATCCTGGATATCGCGAAGGGGTTAGAATCGTCTTAAGATCACGCTATAATCATTAAAACTTAAAAGGAAACCTTACCATTGCTGTCAAAAGGCAGCGGCGAATTTTTTAGGAGTAAGAACACCGTTTACTCAAGAAACATTTTTCAGAGGACAAAAACCCTCGCCATTTTTACCACAAATAGGCAATGATATCTAAACACATGCAGGAGAAGTTAATTGACATGTGTCATACCTGGTATTGGTGTGTTTGTGTTCTTCGGCCATGATCCGTTGAAGCACTTTGATGTGCCCTCTTTGGGCAAGTTTTTGCATCTCATGGAGGGATCTAAAGTTATCTGAAACTTATTAAGAAGGTCCCTACAACTTTTAGTCGCCCGCTTACAAAGTCCTTTACAGGGAGGTATGGGCTGCTGGGCCCCACCACAGGGAGGTGCCAGAACTGAACACAGAAAATGTTCTATGGATGAGGAGCATCCGCTTTTAACCAGAGGACCAAGCACGTTTGCCAGCGCAATTGCATCATCTTGGGTTTGGTGATTAAGGAAGTTTGGAAACTGTGCTGAGCTGTAAGGCATATTCCGACACATTGGAATCCTTAAAGATTCACAACGACCTGTGGCGCAATTAAAGTACAGGTATTAGAAGCCTTCGTGTCACCTGGTCAAGCTCCCCATAACAACACCTTTCACCAATAGGTGACTCGTGCACACTGGCCCCGAGAAAATTTAGCATGCTTGTTGAAAATCTTTGTTAAGGAGTATGAAAACGAGCCCTCCTTTTCTAAACAGGTAAGATCTTTGAACCTTACGCGACATCGATATTTCATCAGAATCGATCCCTGGAAGTGCTGGAGAGATGCACGGGGGCGAGGAACAATTTTCCTCCTTTTAGTTCTCCGAGCTTTTGTCTCACGAATGGGGACAGATTAAAAGTCGCCTGAGACGTTCCTTTGTTAAGACCAACAATGGCGCGAGTTGGGGAGGAAATTCTTAAAATACTAAAACACTTAACACTAGAGAGAGATTACATATAAGAAAAGTGCTAACAAATTAAATCCGCTCAACGCATCACGTTCATCGACAGAAAATTCTAACTCTTAGGTTTTCCCCTTAAACCAACGTAATATTCTTTATTATACTTTTTTTTCTCTCAATCATGAATTTCATACTTTGCTTAGATCTTGAAAGCCGAACGCGTTTCCTTTTAGACAATTCCTCGAGGGAGGATCTGTGCTCAGTCGCAGGACTGGAAACTGTCTTTTTGTCACCATCTTCATCTGCAACATAGGAAATAAGCGTCGTTTAGTATCTACTCTACCAAGAGAAGACTTTGAGGTCCCGTCTGTCTTGCAGAAGACATTTTTTAAAGGATAGAATGAGCTTTAGCAGGCCAGTCAAGTCTTACTCAGTTTTTAAACTAACATGCATGCTCCTTGCGCTGACTCGAACTGATCCGCACAGCAGACAGCTCAACGAATTTAAAATGAGAAAGTTAATATTCTTATGAAAAGAAAGTGCGTGTTTCTCTTTAAATGGCTTTCTAATCTCCTGGGAAGCATTTATTTTGTCTTGTAACGCAAGGCGCCTCTCCATTCAAAAGTGGGAGAAAGCGGATAGGGTTGTTTACTTCCTTGTACAGATACATAATAATGGACGATGTTTCGCGGACAAATATCTCTGACTCAGTGGCTTTATTGTACATATAATTTTTGCAATGATGTCGGGGTCAAGAATTCGCAATAGCCATCAAAAAGTTAGTGCGTTTATATGCGCCGTCGAGGCCTCCTTAAAAACCACAACGGATATAACACCATAATGGGCATCATCCAATCCCATTAATAGACCGAATCGACTCAAAAACCAAATTTAGGGCGGAAATACCTGTACAGTTTTTAAAGCGTTTCCCCCTCTCGCCATTTTGAAAAGTGAATTATCATTTCTGCAAAAACAGTACCATACTTTGTTGAAATTTTCAGTTGTTGCTAATGAAATACTTATGAAGAACGGCGAAAAAGTGCCTTTGGAATTTTTTTTGACCGCAAGGCATCTCAGTGGCATACCTTAAAACAAACCCTAATGGTGCGCCAAAAATAAACACGATAAGGCATTTTAAATTAATGATTAACTGGCTGAATTCTCACCGAATACTAGAAAAAAAAATTTGTATTGATCAAAGCAGATAAGGAACGTGCGGTAAAACTGTTACAATTACTTTAGACTTCCCGCTGTTTTTTCTGGTATATTCCAATCAGTATTGGTTCATAATGTCATACCCATGATTAGATTCGCATCTAGACAAGCATGCTACGGAATGGGTTCCACCGAGGCCATTCACACGCGATACCAAAACGGGAAAGTTTTTATATATTTGCCAAAAATACGCTCGGCTCAACAACACCTAACCACGATACAAGATTAGGGCTTTCTTTGACCTACTTCTGCATGACAGTAGTAGCATATGTTTATTCAAGTGATGCCAGCATTCAAACTACAAACCCGGCTGAACCGATGGACAAACCTTGATCTCCTTTACAGACAGTTAGTAGCAGAACATCAGAGAGATCGGATTGCAATACGTTCAAGACCGCAAAATACATAGTCTGAAAGCGCACATTCTGTTTGATGGTTTTATTTAGTGGTATTCATACTTGTTTGTTGGAAGGCTAATAGCCATTTCGAAAGCTTTCTTGTCGGTGAGGCATCTAGCTATAGGCGACGAATTACATAATAAACCAACCACTTTCTTTCTCAGTACGCGGCAAAAGCAATTTGTTCTGTTGCGTTGTGAACGAAATCTCGAAATGCACGTCGAAACGCTGAGTGGGGTATCCCGCCAGCACAACTTGCCTGGTAAACATATATCTCCCAAAAAGTAAATTCAACTTGACTTTTTGCGGGTATTTACAAGACCTGACCTGACTCTGTAGCGAATTGTTATGAGTGAAATGTTAATAAAAATGAGACTGCTAACAAGTAAATTCTCCACTCCTTAAAACTATCTCTAAAAACACAACTAACTTTACCTTTCCATTTCTGGTACTCTGCAACATTTCCTTTCAAGGTTTTTATTTCTTCGTCCATCACGATCACACAAGCAGTAAGAATTACTGCCAATCCGGCTAGCAAAACAATCACAGCGAACAGCAGTCGTCGCCCACCGTAAATATTAGACTCTGCTTTACTCGACTTTTCAGAAGACATCGTGAGTATCCTTACCACTCACTTCGTCCAAAGAAGGATGTGCTCTTCTCTCAGATTTGGGCTGTTCTGCTCTTACTATGCTTTTTCTGCGTCATAAGGGCGATAAGCCGATAAAAATTTAGCGAAAAACAGATCCAGTTACCAACTTGTCGTCACTTTTGCCAATGATAAGTTCCTTATGTGACCTCGCTGATAGCCTGTTGGACCACTCGGCTTGCATAAAGGTAAATTTACCGATGCCGAGAGATATCCTGTCCATTTCACCCAGATTTGCCTGAAGAAAAAATAAACATTGTAGAATCTGCCAGATTCATTAACTGACTTCTCTTTTGTAGCGTGCAATGTAATTCCATAAACAGTCACTTTTCAATTCAATAATGCGGTGTTAAGTTTATTATCAATTTTGATTTATCTGAACCTTTGTTTTGAGAGAGCAATTGGCAGCTGTATAGTGTTTTGGTTTGATATGCCTTTTCTCGTACAGCATGCCACTTAAAAATATATGTATATGCCACGTTGTTTTTGAATTCGGACCTGGTTCCACACTCTTGCATTTTTGAGCAAGGGTAGTAGTGCTCGGCATTTTTCGACTTTTGCCCTTTATGACTTTTACGTAATATATTTTTTTTCAAAAGTACTTGTACGCTTTGGCTGATTGTAACCCTTTAAGTCCCATGAATGACCAAGACAGAATTTCTCTTCACCATATCCTTACAATACAAAGTACACAAGTAATGAGAGTAAAGAAAAATATCATTTACGGGATTATTAGTTGATCCAATACCAAATTCTCCGAACCAACATAATAAGAATTGTATGGCACACAGTAGAGAGCATTACTGATGAGATCTCGGGAGCGAAAGAGTTGAAACGGCTTCTTGAATCATCAAGAAAGAATTTTCAAGCAAAGAACGAGGAAAGATGTTTACCAGCTGGACAAACTTCAAGAATTGTTAAGGTGTGAATTCTTCACAATTTCCATTTCAAAAGTAAACACGTGTGATTTATGATTTGAATTCAATTTAGGTTTGTTTTTGCAGACAACACGTGATAGGGAAAGCTTGTCGTGGTGGCCTTTGGCCTTTTATGAGAGAATTTGTGGGCGCTCATGGCACGGAATATACTTAGTTTCAACTTGATTCCTTGAATTGAGCCGGTTAAAGAAAGTAGCCTTGAGTTATAGAGGATGGTGTACCCTCTCTTCTCTAAGAATGTATGTCCTTATTTTAAAGCTGAACGTATTTATGCCGAAATGGGTCCGAAAAATTTTATGTATACATTCCTATCGGAATTGCCGTTGATTGTATGTCAATAATACTTCTAGAACTTGCTTGGGTGGTTTGTCCATCAATTTTATCGGATGAAGGAGAGAATTTAACGAATTTTATAATAGGAAAATAAATCTTGTTTACAAACTTTAGTTCTCGCAAAAAACCAGTGCAAAATACAATCGAATCTTGGAAGTAAGAAGTTGGTCAATTTACAGCTAACGGTTGATGTCTTTCCATTGTTGTCACCAGGAAAAAAAATTTCAGTAAATTTTTTTACGACTAAAGGTGAAGATTTGTCAATTTTTTTTGCCTTAAGGCTAAATTTCTTGGCCGTTTTATGGTCAACGGTTAACCTTATTGAGACCATCAAGTAACCACCCTTGGCGCAGGATAAAAAAGTTGCTTAATAGAAGAGGGAGCTTGAAAAAAAAAATTGTTCTAAAAACTTATGACCTGGATCCACCAATTATTACTATTTGTTGTCTGAGTAATCATGGAAGGAAGCTTAAGTTAATCTAATTTGTGCTGCAAAAGTTGGCAAAACATAAGTTGAAACGATAGGGATCCAACAATAGCGAAATTCCAGATCATTGAATTGCTTTCGCAACAGAGAAAAGCAAACTCAAAACATAAGAGAGGTTACAATTCCTCGAGAAAGCATAAGGGTAAAGGAGATTCAAATAGATTGTGAATAGCAGACTAGGAGAACTTAGGCTATATTTCCCAACATTTTCAAATTGCGACGAGGCTGGTTTAACTCTTCTCGAGTTGAACTGTTGAACTGGTTGTTGGTGGCATAAGTGGCTGAGCTCCAATGCAGTTGGCGCCACTCCCTGCGGAGGGGAATTCGTCACAGTCGATTTCTTCAGGCCAAGGGTAACCATACAATTCAATGTTGGGAAGACATCGACGTTTCACTCGCTCACAAAGCTCTCTGCAAGGCTGGTACGGCATTCCACATGGAGGAAAATAAAGAACACACACGAAAAGGGTCATCTCTCGGCTCTCACAACGCAAACCAAAATAAAAGGAAGGATGAATTTCAGAGGCGGCCTGTTCTTGAGTACTATGATTAAACAAGTTAGGAACCGTTGTCATTGTGTAGTTGACATCTTTACAAATCGGTGCAGCTAACGCCTCACACTTCCCTGAAAGGATAAAATAAGAATCTTATCAGTTGCATATATTCAGTTCTAGGTCAATAGTCATGTATCATATTGATTCGATTTGGCACTCGGGGCGCTTATTTACTTTGGTTACCTAAAGGGTTGGGAGAGGGGGTTATTAAAAACAGGGCGCTTATTTTTTTTTTTTTTTTCAGAATCAGCAGAATATGCGAAACAGAACTTAGATATTTATTTGAAAGGGATCAAGAACACCGGAAAACGAATTAGAGAGGAGGTGCCTATTGGAAGGAGGGCGCTAAATCGAATCTTAACGGTGGTCCCCCTTGTAACTGCTCCTTGATGAGTACAAAGAGCAGCTCCGATGGAGATTCATAGTCATCGGTATTTAGCCGGCTTATCTCATTTAACTATATAACTTCATTAATCATCAAAGGTCTGAACTCTCAGCTAATATCAAAACCTTTCGCTTGATTCGAATTTACCAGAATTTAGAACTACGTGCGCGGGAACGGCTGATTATTTCTTTCTATGGATCGTTACATTTTATATTCAAGAGCTTACAAAAGGTATCATCTCACCTCCCCTTTTCTGTGATTGTGAAATTGCGAGTTGGCTGGTTTCCTGGGGTCTGTCAACGCACACCTCTCCACTTTCTCGAAGCGGAAACTTTTCGCATGCCAGCGTGGAAAGCCATCTTCTTCTAAACACCTTCAGTACCACAGCACACCCACGCTTAACTCGAAGGCAGAGCTCCCTGCACGGTAATGGAGGCGTGTCTAGAGTGGTGCACATCGGAGCGTACAAGGAGCAAAAGAAGAACTCCACGTCACGTGAACATTTCCTGTCTACAAGTGGCCAAAGTTGATGAACTTCGAGAGATGCTTCTTCCTGCGTTGTGTGTATGAAGAAGTTCGGAAATGTCGTCATGTTATAGGGTACGTTCTTACAGAAAGGAATGGATAAGGACTGACATTTGCCTGATGTGGAAAAACGAATAGGAAAATAAGATTTTCGAAAATAAAAAAAAAAATCTCAAAGTTGGTAAAAATTTTTTCAGCATTTGAAAATACTGCTCTAAACGATTCTTTCAAATGTTATTAAATGCCAATGACCAATCGAACTAATTGTTATCTTGATTTATTTTCCAGTTTATTTAGCTTTGGTGGAATGACTTTTGATTACATGAACGCCTTGATATGTCAATGGGGTCCTGTTTTTGACGTTTGGAGGCTGCTTGAATGTCTATAAGCTACCCTCTCTTGTTATATATTTTAATCATCATGCACACCAGTGCAAATTTTGTTGATATTTTCTTCATAGCCACTAAATAGTGAGATTTTTAAACAAACTTTTTTTATTGCGAATATACATGTTTGGCCGGTTATTTACAGGAAGTCTAACCCAAACCACGGTTTTACGCAGTAGGTGGGCCAGGCTTTCTACATAAGGGGATTGATTTAGTTAAAAAAAAAAAGGTCCTTTCAATGTTAGCTTTCGGACCTCTTGACACTGCTCACAAAAATACATCTTCAGATAAAACGTTCAGCTATATTGAGGATTGTTTACTGAGACTACGGTTTGGTAAACGAAGGGGACCTTTTTTTGAATAATCGGACCTTGAAGTTTGCAATGGCGAATCGTTTTCATTTAATACCTGGTTGTGGCTTTGCAATCACTCCCGTTGAAGGTCCATCATAGCAAGGCACTTCTCCTTTCCTTGGAAATTGCTGGCAATTAAGATTCAGGGGCCACGTAAAGCGAAGGTGATCGAAGACCCGTTGGCATCGTGTCCGCGTTTGTTGGCAAAGTTCTCTACAGGGGGGAACGGGAAGAACCGTTTTCCTACAAGTAGGGCCATATAGACTGCACAAGAATCGCGATAATAGGAGCGCGCAGTCATTTAGGGCAGTGTCAAGGATTCGTCTAAACCTTCCGAAGCCATCAGAAGCTGTTTCTGCGTCCATGTGACCAAAGTAGTTTGGAAACTGAAGAAACGAAGGTGGAACGTATGAAGCACATGGATGTCTTTGGTAAAGATCTACCGTCATTCGAAAGCATTTGGAAGCTAGTGGTCCATTGTGGCACTTTGATGCACCTTTTGTTGGTAAACGGGAGCATCGCATGGCAGGTGGCAACTGAAGTCGAAACTTCTTTAAAAGATGTCCACATGGCTTTGTTGCCTTAATACAGAGCTCTTTGCATGGTGGATTAGGCCTTCGGAGGCCATTAGAGGGAGGTGCCACTAAAGAACACAGAAAATATCTGAGAAAGGGAGAGCAGTTGCTGTTTAGAAGTGTTTCAAACTTTGTAAGAAATTTCGTAGCCTTCTCTTGTGTTCGGTGATTTAGAAGGTTTGGAAACACTACCAAGTCATTCGATGATCTCCTGCAGAGAGAAATTCTATTCTCTTCGCATCGGCCTACAAAAGGATAAATGTATTATTACTAGGATAAATAGATAAGAAATATTGGCTGAAGAATTTAACCATAAAACATGGCAAAAGAGCTTGCCAACTTGAAAATGTAATAAATGATTGGATGACTAAAATCAAATAAAGATCTTCATTTAGTGAGAAGGAAAGTGAACAAGAAAGAACGAAGCGAAATAGTTATTTCAACGACTAAAGAGAGGATATTATTTTCATTAAGAATGTGTACTTACAGCCAGGCTTACATCGCTGTGCTCCTTGTTTCAAAGCTCTGGACAACCGCTTGTGCCTTCCTTTAGTTACCTCTTCGTACGTGGATGCTTCCTCAGTCAGGGGGGTAGTATCCCGTGCTTTGTTATCATCGTCACTCGCGTCACCTGAGTCAAAATCACACAGCACATCCTTAGAGTATCGCCTCCCCTTAGCGAAGAGCTCCTCCCTTCCCTCCCCCCATTACGAGTCAGAATTTAAAATAACCCCCCCCCCTCGAATAATCGCTTTCAGCGCTTTCTCGTTACATTAAACGAGTCTTAAGATAACCTTAAGAATGTATAACAAGGGTCATGTTTATAACTTTCGAGCGGCTTTGCACATTTGTACCGGCTGCATTTGTCTCAGATTGTATTGGGATTGAAATTGATTTTACGAACAAACAAACAAACTGAGGCGCTACAAAAACGTGAAGACAAGCTTTGTAAACTGATAAAAGCCCCCAAAGCCCCTTCCCTGCTATCGTCCTCAATTTGAAATTAACACCCCAGGCGCTAATTAGATGATTTGTGATCTCAACAATCACTAATTTTGTCCTAAAAAACAATACTCTCTGGCGCGCTTGAGAGCAGAAAGGTGTCAACACCTGTGATTGATATTTTTGATTTCACTTCAGTTTTGGCTTCGTACCAACGAAAGGTCAGATAATGACAAACTCCTTTCTGTAAGCCTGTTGTAAGATCATTGTTTTCAAACAAAAAAAAAGTTATTGGTGTTTGAGATCACTTCACGTTACTCGAGGAAGGACGAGGGGACATTCTCCCACTTAACCCAAAAGTAATTATCTTGGCAGCCACTCCAACCTGATTTGCTAAGCAGACAAAGATCTTCATGGAAGATGAATTTCCGGTATTAAAGATGACTCTAAAATCCCATGAATTGCGCTCGTGGGAACAAGCAGATTAAAATGATTCCACGTTACCTACATAGCGGCTATTAGAGGCACAAATTTTAAAAGTACTTTTGTCGGTCCCTTTGGTTATTGCATGGTTTGCAAGCTTCCCTCAGATTAATGCCATTCGTTAGCAAAGACCAGCAAAAACAATTACAAAAAAAAAACAACAACAATACCTGCGACAGTGCCTCTCGAGTTTGTGATTTCTTCCTGAATCAAGATCATCCCTGCTATCAATACTATTACGACCCCAGCCAAAGCAACGATTGCAGCGAACCGCAGTCGCCGCTCCTTCTTTGCGTGTGTCTTCATACCCCTGTCCTCTATTATTTTTGAAGAAATCTCAGCCTCCTACCCGTTGATTCTTGAAGAAAAGTAACGCTTAAAACTGTTCAGTCTTACTCTAACGATGGAATTGATAGCTCTAGGCAGTGGGCGTTTAAAAACGTATGCAGATATTGTTTTGGCCATATTTTGGCAGTATTAATTGTCCGGAAGGGAATATCATGTTACTTTCTCAGAAGGGATTCGCTTCGTTCAAGGAATTTTGCACGCTTTGAGCACGCTCTAGGAATAAGAGTATCCTCGTTTGTTGACTTATAAGCATGTGGAATTTTTTCTCACAACTCTCACAACAGAAGTAACAAACTTGCAAAACTAATGGAGAGGTTTTGGTGAAAAGCCGCGGACTGACACACAGAGGCAGCTTTGAAGCCATGCTTACCACTCTACGAAATTTTCATCATTCGCACGAAAGGCAAAAGCAAAGGCAAAAACAAAGGCAATCAACGGAAAATGACGAAACAATTAAACAATTGATTTGGCTTTTATTGACGATTGATTGTTTTTTGACGAAAAAAACTTTTAGGGGGGGAGATCACTTGGTTTTCGGGGTAACGGAGGAGACGATCAGAAAAATTGACAGCCAGGCAACTGTCGAGAGGTAAGAGTTTATATTTTCTTGCAAGAGGGGGATCAGGTAAATTTTATCGCGTCACCAAGCAAAATTCTCTACCTCTTTTCCCCCCGTCACTGCAATAAATGATGAGCGGTTTCTTTGAGATCGTTAAATGTTAAGTGATGGACATAATGAATTAACCATTTAACTCCCAGGATCTGATCGTCAATTCTCTCCTCTAGCTACTACGAGAATTAGGTGTTTAATCAAGGCAATAAATTGTACTGATGAGTTTGAGTATTCTCATTACCTGTTTGCTGTATAATGTATGGATATTATAGGGAGAAGTTACATGTTAATCACTTCTGCTTTTCATTGAAATTTGCACTTTCATGCTGGGAAAAATGAGATATTATTTACTACTACAATAAAAGACTGGTATTCTCAGTTTCGCTACAAGGGTATCAAATACTACTCCTAATTTTATTTTTTATCTTCCCGATATTACGTTAATCAATCCCTACATGTTCGTTTTCGAATTACGTCAATGATGTATCATTAAATTAAGTTTCTATCAGTGTTCCAACTGGAAAGAACAACTCGGAAAGCCCACTTATAAAACAGCAGTGAGTAATATAAAGCACCTCTTCCAGCGATTAAGTATATTGCTGCAGTATATTTATCGGTTGAGTAAAAAAGTATTACAGACGGTTGTCTTAGTTTTCTTGTGATCTTTTAAAAAAGTGCCGTTAGCTTTTTTGCTTTTAAATCTAGAAGCCCTCTTTGATTTTGTTATATTCCACGAGAATAAAATAATACAAGTGTCTGTTGTTAATCATAACAATGGAGTTAGTTTCCGAAGCGTAAGTCTTCGATTTAACGTGCGTCAATACAAGAATATAAAAGAATTGGTAGGGTACGGGCAGTCCCTCTTCCCCATGCATCTTACGGGATAGAAACGAACAACTTGTCGCCCGCGTTTGTCGCTCAACATTGGTAATCAAATTTCCTTTTCGGTATGCGTGAGAATCTTCCAAAACGGAAGCAAGAAACTTTTAGGCCGTAGCAGTAAAAATGACATTGGCGATCAGAATCCTCCATGCGCCTTGTCAGGCAATTGTCACTCAGGGATGTCACTGGGATTTTTCCAGAACGGAAGCGAGGAACTTATAACTGACGTTAGAAATATAACATTGGTGATCAAATCTTCCAACCGGCATGTCAGGGGCACTCATCCAAAGGTTCTTTTCGGGAATGTAGCATTCCACTGAACTGAACACGGAACCTCCTCTGATGTCACTCACACCTCCAATGACATAAATCTTGTCACCGTGTGCCACAGCAGAGTGCTTCATTCGAGACTTACGCATCGGAGCAATGTGCTGCCATCTGTTAAGCTTTACGTTGTACACCTCACAAGAATTAAGAACATTCTGTCCGTCATAGCCGCCAAAGATGAAAATTTCGTCATTCAACGTCACAGCAGCAGCAAACTGTCTTCCTTCAATCATGGGTTGAACGGAAGTCCAAGCATCTGGATAAAAGTGAAGGCATTTAGTAAGACAAGAAGATCGGTAAAGCAAAATATGCGTTGCGATTAAGGGATGAGGTAGCCATCTTTGTTTACTGCAAATTATACTTGTTCTTAGCAGTTAATACAGTTAAAAGGCAAGAAAAAAAAAATAACTAGAAATCGCCGAGAATACCAACTGGCTGTTGGATGTACCGCAAGCGGCCCAAGCTCTAGTTGTGAGATGATCATCTTGCGAAATAAGAGTCGTGACGAAATTATAAAAGTATATTACACGTACATGTACAAAGTAAACCTAGAAATGGATAATTCGCTAAAAAGGGGTGCTTTTCAATATAGAGAGCGGTCAGATAACAAATGATGCGCTGTGGAAGTAAGATGAGGTATTTTCATTGAGAATTTGACAATACTTTTTTATTCCTAAGAGCGGAAGTAAATATTCCCATACAACTATTATGATTTCGCCATGACTCTTATTTCGCAAGATGATCATCTCACAGCTTGAGCTTGGGCCGCCTGTGGTTGCACTTGTTAAATTGGAAAAAACGAAGGGAGCGTTCAATGATAGATAGCACGAATGAACTCTTTTTATTCAAAACATAATTGTCTCTTTTTCACATGTTCCATTTATATACTACTTTTTCGGCGACTTTGATGAGATTAATTTGGTAGGTTTTTTAAAAAATTTTCCTGTAGAGGAATGCCTTTGCCCAGGTTTTATTCTAGCAATGAGTCCTCGGTAAGTTTCGGTCATCTAGCTTATGCATAACATGGTCCAACTTGTTAAAGTGGTCCAAACGGTTATGAAGGGTTTACAATTACTTTCACAAGGAAACCCTTTCCTATGCACGATCTATTTTCGTAATGAAAGGAAAGATTTGAATATGTATTCAAACTAACTCAGTCCTCAAATGGTGTCTAAAGGTGGGCGTATATTTACCTCTAGTTGAATCATAACATTCAACTGTTCGCATTCCTTCACGAATAGCAAATGTGTTTGGTACTTGGAATCCACCAATTGCATACACATTGTCTCCAGATGACACTAAACAGTGGCCTGCCCTGGGAAAGAGCAAAGATTTTCGCTGTCCAACGAGCCAGGATCCATCTTTAAGCTCAAAAATACTGACATGAGACGTGCATCTATTGGTTTTGGGATCCAGGCCTCCAACAAGAAGAAAGGTGGTGGAACCTGTGGACACAGCACCGAAAGAGTCCAGCTCAACATCATGCACTACAGGCTGATGATCAGTTGCATCCCACGAGTTACTTTGACCGCTGAAGCGTTCTATGAATGGAATCGCTCTTTCTTTAACGCAGACATCTCTTAGCCCCCCAATAGCTAACATATTATCTTGTGAAGTTACCAGCTGAAGCCTGGAAGAAATTAGTGAATAATGTGATCTCAAAAACACGACGAAGACAATAGCAAAACATGCAATAAAATAAACATTATTTACATACTTTTTAAATATAACCTTAACTGCCTTAGAGTCATATTCGCAATTCGTGATAATTTGTCCTTCCTACACCATCTTTCTGCATTATTTAGAAATGTTTGGAGCTTTTCTACCCGGTTGACGTATTCCGAGATTTAATTCTGTGTAAGAGAGCTTTTGTCTACATCCAAAAGGCGTGACCTTGAGTTCCTTTGATAATGTGTAATTAACACATAACTTATCATGATACATGCTGGTGATACATGCATGATACACGCATGATACAAGGCCGGCTAAATGTTGAGTACTCAGTCAGTCGTAACCGGCAAAACAAAAGTCTTTTGTAGATTTACCTCCATCGCGGCAGCTTCATGGCCGACAATTCCACCCACTTGCTAACGACAGGAACAAAACAACAGACATTGCTTAAGATTGCTGAATTATCGCATCCGCCTGCTACCAGAATCACTTCCACACTTCGGTACGATTTCCTCGCAGTCATTTTCCCAGCTTCTTTTTCGTAGGTTGCTCCTTTGAATTCTGTAACAAGTCTTGGAATGATCAATTCATTCAATTCCTTTTCATGTAGCGGGCCATTCAATTGTGACAAAGAAACGAAAGATAGTCGAACTAATTTCAATAATTGACCACAAAAGTCTTTCCTCGCTTCCAAATCGTAGCTTATCCAGTCGGTGATAATTTCAAGGAGTTGGTCTTCATTTTCAACCGATATATCATCACTGGACAGGAACTTGATAATCTCTTCTTTGGATAACTTCAAAAATGATTCTGTCTTGGCAACTTTACTAAATTCTCGATTTACGTATTGGGTGACTGTTTGACTTAGATCATTGCACGAGAAGGCGTCAGCCATCGAAAGAATCATAAAACAGTTTTCTGTATCGAGTACACTCTGTAGGAATTGACAACAAGCTTTCTTCACCTTTTCCACAAATAAATAATTTGATGCTTCTAGCAATTCGAAAACATTTTCGATGTGAATTTGAATCCGTCCCGTGTACATGAAATCTAAAATGCTTTCCATGGCAGCAGCAGTAATAGTACTTACACTAGCACTTGTTTTATCCTTTTCCAGCATTTCTGTGGTAAACATGGCAAAGAAGAACCGGCTATTGGCCGCGAGAACTGCCTTATGCGCTGAAAAGTTCTGGCCATCCACTGTCAAATTAACATCGCATAATATTCCTGAATGTCGCTGTGTGTTCAGCACTTTTAAAATAATGTTGTCATCGCCTTTCAATTGAAGAAAAGAGGGACCTTCATTGGTTCTTACAAGGCCCATAATCATTGCCGACTTTGACAGAGCTACCTGGATGCATGAACGCAGTAAAATGATGAAATATGATTGAAGTCCAGTTTAAATCACGCACACTTCAGTCCCGCTCCAATGACTAATTTTTCACTACAGTTCGTAATTGATGTAAACAAATCAGTGTCCTACAGTGATATTGAGTAACGTTAGCTTGCCAATATTGTCATGTGGTCTCACGATTTCCGTTTCATGGATGACAGTTCGTTATAATAACAAGTCCTACGTAAATGAAAGTGTTCTCTTGGTGTTTGTTCTGCTTACAGCTGCAAAGAAAGTCAAATAAATTGGCAACATATTTAAGAGGGATGTTTTTTTTAAGTTTGATTTGCAATTACTCTTGACAACTGGTGGCAACTGAATTATTAAACTCGACGAAAATAATTTACATTAGAAAACGTATAAAGAGCAGGTAGCGGAAATCCCTTAAGTACTTTCGTGGGATTGTAACAAGCTTTTGAACTAATGAGTACGCAAAAAGTTACTGATTTGTCTCGTAAGTGGAATAAGGCCAATTTGGCCTGAAGCAAGTATCCTGAATAGAAAGATAATGATTTTACAAAGGGTTATCGGAAGAAATGGTTGAACTGTAACCGTGTTAACTGACGCGTTCAAATCTTTCTTTGCACGTTAGAGAAAAGCATTGCGGGAGGGTATCTTTATCACTTTTAAATCGTTTAGTCAAGTGCTCGCACTCACTTGATATTGTACACGAAATTCTTGCCCACAAGCCTTTCAACAATCTTTTCCAAGGAATGAAGGACGACTTCCTCTTGCTCCCACGAAATAAAAAATTACAGATATGAATTGGAGCTCAGCCACCAACACGAAAAGAAAAAATAGATTGCGGGATCTCGTTTTGCAAAAACCGAGAAAACTTTAAAACCCAAGGCTCCTTTCAGCCGAAATAAAGAAGTCAAAGAAGATTGCTAGGCAACGAAAAGCTCATATAGTATTCATGCTCATAATTCATCAATGTGAGCAAATGGTTCAATAACATTACTACGGAAGGTCAAGAAGTGCGTCAGTGGTTACAATTGATTCCGTGACGTTTACTCTCCTACGCAGCGATGTGTTTTGAGTCTTCACGTAAATGTATCGTCATTAATTCTCGCCAACGAATCCTTTAAACCTCTCTTCCAAACAATGAGAGACGTTCCCGCAAAAATTTGTATTGAAATAAAAGCCACCAATACTGCCAAAAGAAACTGCAAACTTTATTTTTAATCACGTTTTAGTCACGTTTTGAAAGAACCGAGGAAGCACACGTTTCCTCCAGTCTTAACGAAGAAGACTGTTAGGCAATGCAGGGCTATTAATTCATAATTCATTGAAGGATTAAAATCTAGGATTTCAATTAATTTACTACGGAAGTTCAAGAAGAGCGTCAGTGCTTACAATGGGCTCTTTTTATGATAAGCCGAATTACGCGCTCATTTTTTATTGCAGTGCGCACTTATGGTCTATTGGAGAACAGAATTGAAGCATGGCTGACGTCACATGATTACCAACTGTTTGCATTCCATATTTACATGCTTCTTTCAAGCAATAGATCATAGAAGGAATCAAACTCACGGTGGTAAGGACATCAGTGACACTCGTTTGCACTTCCAGTGCCACTTTTTCGATCTTACCACATTTTGATATCATCTGTGTCTATTACTGAACAGGCGCATGTCAACTTGGAATCCATTTGTAATAAGTATACCATAGTTCTAATGTTCAAGGTTTGATAACACTGAAGCCTCTCACGACAGTCTTATTTTTTCAACTTCCCTATTGTGTCCGACTCTTCCTGTTTGCTTTCCCACGCAAAAAAGGTGCTTTGAATCTTGGTATGAGTCCAAACTACATGAGTTTGTTGGTTCATTGATTTCAAAAGAATGGTAAGTTTAATTGAGCGACCGGAAGGGCACGTATATAGCGCCGTCGTTTGGGAAGTCGTTGATGTCTCCTTTAAATCATCGACGAACTGACGATTTGATCCAAACCGAGGTGTTACGAAAGCAGTGGCCTCAGGGATTCTTTATAAGAGGGTGGATTTGATTAAATAATGATCCACTGCTGGCTTTCAGTCCTCTTGACACTGTTGACAAAAAGTAATTTTTCAGATGAAAGGTTCAGCTAAATTGAAGATGGCCTCGGACGCAATTGCGTTAATGAATGACTAAATTTTCAGTCCTCTTGACACTGTTGACAAAAAGTAATTTTTCAGATGAAAGGTTCAGCTAAATTGAAGATGGCCTCGGACGCAATTGCGTTAATGAATGACTAAATTTTGCTTAACACTTAAACTCCTAAGAGAGACTAGCATCTAATTTCTCCTTCATTACAATATCACCCCTGAATCATGCAGCGGGTTCATAGGAATAAAGAAAAATTATCAGCAGCTAAAGAAGCTGTTGATTGTTACACAAATTCTCCTTGTCAGCACCTTAGGGAATGTATGGGAAACAGTATGGAGAATATGCATACTGATATTAGAGAGAGAAGGGTTAAATTAGCGTTGATATGGAAGCTGTTATGTCACAATATTTAAAATCGAGTTTACTTTACAATGCACGACTGTGCACGATTGTCTCGGTTCAAATGAAAGGAGACTCTAAATATAGCTCTTTATGGTTGAAACAACGCAGGGAGGGAACGCATTTAACAAAAGTAAATAAACATATCCTAGGATTGGAAACGATTAACTCGTATTTTCAATTGCAATATCCTCAGCCGTTACTTTTCTACTTAACACCAATTAATACCAGCGTAATACTGGTTTCTTTTTTAATTTGTAATTCGAACGCGAGTTCGAGGATTTTTTTTCCAACTTTTCGATAGCTCGTAAGGATAGGATTGCTGCATGGAAACCCACAAAACTTTCTTAACATCTTCATTTTCGAATAAGGGGGGGATTTTTCTATCGAGTAACTTAAGAGAAAGCGACCAAGAATTTGGCTTTTTGTGTTTACGCTTCAACACTGCAAGTCACTGAAATTCGCCGTTTTCAGGCACAAAATCGAAAATCAATGATGCTGATTTAAGTTATACTAGGGTACGTTTATATTTTGGTCTTAAATGGAAATATCATCATCACGCATTGCAAAAATATCACACTTTTCGATATAAATCCGAACAAAAGAGAGGAACACAAACAAGTAAAAGAAAAGTGCGTGAGCATGTTCCTCGGCCGGTCTTTTGAGAGAACGTGAGGTTACTTAATTTAAGCGGATTAAGTATATAAGTCCATACATAACCAGAGCGGCTAAGTCACGTTAATAAATTGTCTTTTTCAATCATTTTCATTGTAAAGTAACATCAAATAATTAGCAGGAGTTAGCAGTGTTAATATATGTTCATGTATAAATACTGTCACCACTGAAAGCGAGAAGACATTTTGAGGAGCGAGAAGTGGTTGAAACTGTAAATTTAACACTGAACCGATATGGTATTCGAAAGATTCTTGACATTGGATGACAAATTATCATGACTACCACCGAGAATAATTAAGGTAATAAAACTGCCAATGATAATAAAGTAAGACAACCATGTATGACTAATTTGAATGAAATAGTTCAAGAAGACATTTCAATATGGAAATGAAGTAAACGCAAGAGTTCTTGAGACGAAAAGTGAGGGTTGTAAATGGTTATAATGCTATCGGTTATAGGAATATCGCAATAATGTCAAATAAAAGATCAAACTGATAAGTTTGAAATGAGGTACCGACTGCGTTTTCTGTTTTATTATTATTTTTTTCTGATCTTTTGCTAAGTATCCATTTGTGCCAACGGACATTTCGTACCCAAATTAGAATGATTCATATCTAGTGTTTGTGCGTTCGTGCCCGACCTACTGGTATATTCGTTCCCGTCCCAGCGTACGCTGATGATCAAAAGCCACGAGTTTTTATGGAATACTTGTTACGATTGGTCCAGGCCGGGTACAAATTGACTGAGTTGGAAACGTACGTAGGTACGAAACGACTGATAGCGTATCCTTTTGTTAGGATTAATGAACCTAAAAGTACACAAAGCTCAGTAGAGGTCCTACCAAACTGATTGATAGAAACGTCCGGCCTATTTATCAAGTCAGAAACAAAAGCTTGCGTGCGGTCAGGTAACTTCCGACACAAATTAATAAACCGCAACACTGTCATTTACATTCATTAAAGACCAGTCATTATATCGTCCATTATATCGTCTAGGGGAGGGGGGGGGGGGTGAAGACTATTTGAAAGGGGGTGCATATGGTTTTCAGGGGAAACGGAAGGGGGATCAGTCAATCAGCCGTTTATCGCCATAATTGACCACTTTTAAATGTTTAAAATCTCACTCAACAAATACAACTAACACTGATTTCGCAAGAGAACTAAAGGAGTAAACCTTACTTAAAATATTATTCCTAACTTATTTGAGTAGTTTCGATCGCTACAGGTGGAGGACAATACAAACAGGACGTTGGGACTCACGGCAAATGTGATTACGGTCGCCTGGTAGAGGTGACCGCTTGCTAAAGGTGAAACAAATTTCGGTGCTTTTACAACCAGGCGCTTGATACAGGACGACCGCTTCGTACGGTGCCGCTTAAGCCTTTAACCCCCGTGAGTGTTCAAGACGGAATTTCTCCCTACAATATCCGTACAATTTCAAGCAGACGAGTGATAAGAATAAAGAGAAATATCAGTTAGGGGATTATCAGTTGAGCCAGTAACAAATTCACAGAACTGAAATCATAGGAATTCAGGCAGCAGCCAGTAAGGCCAAATGAGATCTTGGATGTGAAAGGGAAGATACAGGTTCGACTGTAGTTCCATTCAAGCGATATTGCCAAAAAAAAATGGTGATTCGTGAGAAAGCAAGGATAAGACGGAAAATTGAATGTTTCACTTTTTATTACATTTATTTTTTTTTGGAAATCATATTGTAAATAGACCTCTTCAGGCAGTTTCTATGTCGGCTAATAATGTCCGCGGCTAAGAGATTTTCCGAAAAATTAATATTTGACCGAGAAGCAAAGCTCGGAGGGCAAATGATAAATTTGCCCCAATATCAATTCATATCATGCAAAAGTTTGAAAGAAGATAAAAAATTTTAATTAAGCTTAGAGACGGCTTGATTTACCACCGAGTTTTAAGAACTAGAATCACACTAATGTACAGCATACCGTATCAAAATTTTTAAATTGAAAGGGATCAGGTCCAATGAACAAGTTATATATTTATATAAATCGAATATAGAAGCCTGTCTATTAGAAAACACGAAACTTTAAAATTTAAAGCACGAAATTGGACACAGGCTGTTGGGAATTATCACAATGTCTAAGCATGAAAGATCAAAATCTCTCACCAATTTGTGAAAGTAGCTTAAAGACTGCCAAGTTTCCTTCAATCAGTCCTTTTACTGTGTAAGGAATGTTGTGCTTGGAACAAAAGCGCTTCAAAATCTTCGACGCAAGAGGTAAACTATGACGAGGTAAAGTAGGCCATATATGATGCTCCACCTGATATGCGAGACCACCGCTGAACCACTTGTTAAAGACAGTGGGCGTGATATTGCGAGTGGAGCGAACTTGAAGGCGGACGAAATCAGTGTCACTCATTACCTCGCTTGTAAAAATTTCCATTGCATAATGACCAACGGTAAAAATTACAGCAAGAAAAATCCCACCGAGTGACTGACAGGTCAGTTGGAAAACGATTCTTGAGGAAGTCGTTTTTAGAAGTGATGTGATTAACACTAATGAAACGTAATGGACAGCCATTGAAGAAATCTCGGCGATCTTCATGGGTAAACCACCAACATATTTATGCACAGGTTCCAGTTGAAAGAGAATTGACTGCAGCAGCCATGATATACGAGCAGCAGCATTCAGTGGTAGATAGAAGAACTTTTGATACCTGACCATAAACTTGGGAAGGTCTTTAAGATCTTCTGCATCGCCCTCGATGATCTTCTCTGACCACAACAGGAATGGCATCGTCATAATATCTGGGTCTCCTCCAGCTTGGGTGTGCACAACGTTTGTGGAGGCGTGATGGTGATTATGCTTTGTTTTCCACCAAGAGGTTGAAAAGCCCTGCCAAATGTTGCCAAATAAAAGGCCAGCTAAGTTATTGTAGCTACGGTTGGTGAATACCTGATGATGGAGGAAGTCATGAGCAAGGAAGGCACTCTGTTGCCAGAAGAGAGCCATCAAAACTCCGCCTATGACTGCACCAACAATTCCATTGAACATCAAAATCACAGCAACTGCAGCAGCAAATATGGCTAAATTAGTGGCAATCTTGAATGCGTAATACAGCTTAGAGGATTCAAATGCACGAGCCTTCATCAGCTCCGATTTCATTGCTATGATATCCTGTCTGTACTCTGCCTCCTTTTGGGCATCCAGGGGAGTTACGCGTGAATCTTTTACCAAGTCACCAATGTAGAAGCGAGGTAACCATTTGTGCACTGAGGCAGGATGGAATGCGCTTAACACATCAGTAGCATCTTTGCCAGCGTGCGTGAAAATGATGGTGCCTCCTGGATGCTCCTCACCAAAACTGGAAACGTCGTATACTCTGTTCTTGATCGCTATCCATGACTGCGAGCCATTAGTTCCGTTGTGTTTCTTTAACTCCGTCTCGGTGATGAACCCTTTATTCCCCATTGTTCCAGTGGTGATTGCACCTTTTCGTTGCACAGTGGTAGGTGTCATAAAGTCGAAGCTTGAAAAAGTGAAAGGGATAGAAATTTTTAGTCAAGATGTGAACAAAAACAGCATGAAAAAGAGAAAGGAGAGGAAAGGCTATCTTTTTGTATGTATTGCGGACCTAATTATATACATGAAAAATTACTCAGTTCTGATTAGTTGAGCTAGATGCAGTTTCCAATTGATTCAGTGCAGAAGAGGGTTAATTCAGTGCAAAGAAGTAACAAACCAGACATTCTGATTTGTCAATTATCAAAGAAACTCACAGATAGCCAATAAAGTGCGAGCCTTGGATGTCACAACATTTGGATATGCTGAAAATTTGCGAGCGAAACAATGGCCGGCGTATCAAGTAGATTTTCCTTCGCCACCGCAACAACAATACAGCGGCTGAAAAACAGCTCTAACAACGAAAACACTGTAAAAAGCACTGCTTCTTTTGCCGTGAGTCTTTCTTTTTGCTGTGGGGTTCTTCCTTTTGCCGCGAGGTTATTTCTTTTGAGGTGACAGTTGTGAGCCACCGTAATACGATTGTTTAAGGGAAAGTCTAAATATATAACAGAGCACTTAATGTATAGTCCCTCGGGAAACTAGCCAGTTTTGTTTGCCTCGAGTCATGGACTCAAAGCTCAGGACTGACGAGAAAACAAAAGTAACTGTTTCCCTTGGGAACATACATTAAGTGTAAATTGCTAACACAAAACACAAATAGATTCCATGCTGCCGTCCGAGGTTCTTTACAATATTTGATCGCAGAAGTTAAGAACATCAGTGATACACTCAGCTTCTTGTGAGCCACTTTTTTGTTCATATTACAGAAACACGGTATTATACTTCCCACCTTTAGGGGTATCCTTCGGGAAAAAATTCGTACGCGTGCTAGTTGCTCTAAAGTCCTAACGAAGTATACACCCAAAGAAAGCTCGATAAATGCAACTTATGACAAAAATATTATTTGAGCGAGTTTTCCTTTTGGAAAATGTCAGAGGTCGATAAATACCCTACTCGTTTAAAGTGGATGTATTCCTCCCAACATCAAATGCGAGATTTTAGTTCATAAATGTTTGTAAACAACTCGCGCCAAGCCGGGAAACCGCAAACAAATGGGACAACAGGACCTCCTACCTTCGATGACAATGGTTCAAAGATGAAACAGATGATTTGAGAGATCAGTACACCTCTACCAGTTTGCTTTCCAACGAAGTAATACCGTTGCGCTTTTGTCTCCTAAGTTAGTCTTTCCGCCCCGTATAATTTATCAATGCGCTTGTCATGTTATGCGTGACAAGATCGAACAGCGGCTGCGAAGGAGACTAAATCTGACATTGTGTGATTTTTCATCCCCACTTTTGATCCCCTGTATCACTTGTTACGTAGCTAAGGTTTCAACTTTACATAGACACATACTGTTAAGGACACCCTCAGTGGGAGAAGGAGTGAATTCAAGTAACTAGCTCTTGAAATTTAAATCTTATAAATATTCCCATACCTAATTCGCAAGCACTGAGTACGAGAAAGCCTTATTAAATTATATAAAAAGAAACGGATTGTACTTATCATTGTAGTCATTGAATTTTCCTCAGGCGAAAGAGATTCGTTCGACGATTCGTGTCAAACTGACCGGTTTATTTCAGAAGATTCCATCGATAAAGCTTTTACTTAACAATCAGGAACTTTCAAACTGAATAATTGTTTACCTTCTACGGGTATTTCCATAAGTACTTACCTAGAAAGACTAAGAAGGGTAGTTAGGCAGTAAAAATGACGAGAGCCGGCCTTGCAGTTATGTAATCTTTACGTTGATGTTGATACGTGACAATGCGTTAGTCTGTTCACGAAGTAGAAGCCAGTTCTTCAGCTCACCGTATTTCATGAATAGAGATTAAGAAAACATACTTATTGACTTGGTGGAGGAGCCCGAATGGGAAGATATTTCGTACAAGGAAACGACGCACGGACCTTGCACGTACGGACCTTGTACAGTTCCCATTTCCGTTGAAATTTGTCGTTTAATCAAAAGGTTACTAAAAAAATGCGAGAGAAGCTTACCTCCTATCTCAGTGATAGCCTTGAATGAGTGTGACTTATATTAGGAATGCAAATCAACGCAGGTTACCGCAAGAGTGTCCACTAAAATATTGCCATCAAAGATTGCTGAAATCGTTTTAATCAAGTGAAAAAAAAAAAGAGGTGTTGAAAAACGACACGTTTTGACCTTCAACTAACATCTGTATAAGGTAAAATATATTTTTTGAAAAAATCTAGATGAACTTTGCACACTATAGAATAAGTGCTCTCTAAGGCATATTCAAAGTTCTCACAAGAAAATTCTTTGACACCAGATACGTGGGACAGGAAAACTTAAGCTCCGGATATTCTTGTCCTCAAAGAAATCCCGCTGGCCTAGAATAATGCATAAAGTTGCAAATGAACGAATCAGTAGTTAGCGGTGCTAGTTGTTTTTTCTTTTTCTGAGACGAGTTTGACGAGCTATTTCAAAGTCGTTAGTCGTTATTTAACAAGTGGTTCATACGCCGGCGTGTGTACATCGAGATATGAAGCACGCGGGAAGTCTGGAGAGCACGAAACATGCGTGAGTGCTGAATGTGTGTGCTCTTCTTCTAGCTTCTTGAGTGCAGAATGTGTGTGTTTTTCATTTCCTCGCTTGTGAAGATATCTATTGTGTTGTGTCCAACGATGAACACCACCGCGATGAAGAGGCCACCAAGTGAATGACAAATCAGGTGGAAAACGATCCGCGGGGCTGCTGTTTCTAAAAGCGACATGATGTACACCACTGCAGCGTAATGAAGTGCAAGTGTAGAAATCTCGGCGATCTTCATAGGCAAACCACCAACATACTTGTGCACGGGTTCCAGTTAGAAGAGAAGTGACAAGCAAAGGCCATCAGTGGAAGATAGAAGAACTGTTGATGCCTTACCATGAACCGCGGAAGGTCCTTAAGATCATCTGAATCGCCTTCGCTGATCTTCTCCGACCACAGCAGTAAGGGCATTGTCAATATGTCCGGGTCTCCTCCAGCCTCAGTATGCACCACGTTTGGTGAGGCATGATGGTGGTTATGCTTGGTTTTCCACCAAGCTGTTGAGAAGCCCTGCCAAATGTTACCAAAGCAAAGGCCAGCTAAGTTGTTGTACATGTGGTTGGTGAAAACCTGGTGGTGAAGAAAATCGTGGGCCAGAACAGAGCCATCAGAACACCGCCTATGACTGCACCCGGCATTCCATTCAGCAACACAATTGCAGCAACAGCAGAAGTAAGTATGGCGGCATTTGATGTAACCTTCAATGCGTAATAAAGCTTCGAAGATCCAAATGCTCAGGCCTTCATCAACTCTGACTTCATGGAAATGATATCCTGTCTATAATCTGCTTCAATCTGAGCATCTGAGGGAGTAACGCTGGAATCTTTTATCATGTCGCCAATGTAGAACCGAGGCAACGATTTGTGCACTGAGGCAGGATGGAATGCGCTAAACACATCAGTGGCATCTTGGCCGGCGTGCGTGAAAACGATGGTGCCTCCTGGATGCTCCTTACCGAAATTTGAAACGTTGTACACTCTGTCTTTGATTGCTATCCATGTCTGTGAGCCATTAGTTCCGTTGTGTTTCTTTACCTCCGTTTCAATAATAAATCTTTCATTCCCGTCGGCCTCTGCTATGATTCCACCTTTACGCTGGATGGTATTTGGTGCCATAAGGCTAGAACCTTTGAAAACCGAAAAGGAATGGAACTGTTATTTAACATTTTTTAACATCAAGACTGCATGTCAGATATATTGAAACAACGGAAGTATACTTTTAAGTGATGTGAGCTGGAAATTTTCTAGTCGTTCGATGTTTCATTATTAAACTTATGAAAAATCGAACTACTTAAAATTTTAAGCTCACATCACTCTTTGATGGCTGTTTTTCTTTTACTTTCCACTAAAAAAAAGGTTGTTAATCCTCCCTCGTTGAATAAAATATTCTTCTTAGGAAAGGAAAAGCATTCAGTTTGTTTATCCCATCACTTAATAATAGTTTTCATTGACTACTTTGAAAACGCCAGAATCGTTTTGTCATGAATTGCCGAAATCGCGTTTTTGCCGGTGGAAAAAAAAGTGTTAACATCATGATTGACTCCGCTTTTTTTTAATTATAGGCAATGTTTCCCTGACAACTGACGTATTTTAAAAAACTATCACACCTAAATCCTAAGGAAAAATTCTCAAAAGGAAATACGTAATTATTCGTTACCATCACTTTACCGTTCACTGATGAAACAGTGAGAGGACCAAATGATATTTCCACTGAGAGAAACCGGCAAAACAGAGAAGCGACAATTATAAATTAAAATTCTCATTGTTGATTTTGGTGTCTGTATAAAATGAAAAAGTGGTTCAAACCTTGGAGCGATAAAGATGTTTTTAAAAATAATTACGTCTCTACGCAACTCCATAGGGAGGGCGATAGAACTAACGTGTGGAGCAATAGCGAATTTTTCCTCAAGGCGAAAAATATTTATAAACAATCTCTAACTTATTGTTATAAAATTAACCTTTCGTGACAAGTAGCGTTACACTTACGATAAAATATTCACTGGACAGTAGCACGACCCTCAGGTGTGATTATGGTTGCATAATCAACAGGACGTTCAAGGGCAGATTCCATGGCGCTTAAGCATCTATTACACAGACCTTCAGGTGCACTGAAACAAGTATACACAGCACTAAATTTGACGTTAGTATATGTAACACTGCATTTAGGCTTCAAATTTTCTGTAATTACGGCGGCTGAGATGCTTATATTAATTTACAGATCAAAATGCTGGGAATGAATCAAATTTTGACCTTCGTATTTAGTGCAGAAAAAAAAAAGAAAAACAATGATAAATGATCCTCGCTGGTGAACTTCGGTCAAAAAAATCGCAGAAAAGAATCGGTGATAAAATTAGGAGATAAAGGGCGGTCGAACCCGTGCCTTTCAGATACTAGCTGGGTGCGACTAGCAACTGAACCACGTATCTACGTGTTTGGAGCAAGACGAAGCTTTCCTTCTATCTGTTAACTGTCCGCTTTGTGCTCAATGACTAAGAGACAAAAGGCCGTGAACTTCGACTAAAAAAATTAATACTACCCTACGAAAAAATATAGTATAAGATGAAGACACTCAAGAATGAGACTTCTTCAGTGGAGACACTAGATATGGACTTTTTAATACCGTGAAAGAACATGAAGTAACGAAAGGAGCGAATTCGTTACACTTCACGCTATCATCACGCAACTAAGACAGTACCTGATCATGTCACTATAATATAAATATAAGTGCTAATGATCTTTCTGAAAATTGGTTCTTATGGAAGTTGTTAGTGGAGTTTGTGGACGTAAGTTCGCATTCCTTTCATGCAGAATTATTTTCCGAACTCAACACCAACATCGCATTGATGAGCAGAAATTATTATTACTGCTCACTTTTGTTTCCTAAGCTGCTCATCCGCAACTAGGATGGGTGTTTTAACTTCTGAGCTGTGAATTTTGACGTAAGTTTGTTCTCTTTCAGTTAAATGGCGTAGAGTCTATTGTATCCGCTCTCTTACTTTTGAAATTCTTTCCGAACAGATAGAATATTTAAATAAAATCGCTTAACTACAAAGATACTTTTTCCACTTAATTGTAACCTTATTCAAATATTGCACTTTGTGTGATAATAGAACCTCGCACCCGCTGATACATAAGCAAGTAAGCTTTTTCGATTACAGAATTGAGTTTGCTAAAGGTGATGTCAAATGTCGGTATGAACTAAAATAAAATTACTGTGGAACCAAACGCTGTCTGATCCTTGACGTTCGTAGCAAGCTCACTTGAAGGAGGTCGCCGTGTAGCAGGAAATCGTGACGAGTTTCCGTTCTCGCTACCAAGTGGTCTCTACTGAGCTCTTTTCCCACGTTATTGTTGCGTTCCCCGCAAAAGTCCAGTAAGTTCGAAAAAACCTATCGTCACAACTTGCAAGCTGGTTTAAACCTCCAGAAATCGGCATTAATTGAAACTGCTGCTCATAGAGACTCTTTCGAAACTCTTAGGTAATGGATTGGAACTTAGAAATGTAAGAATGAATGCAAAAAGAGACGAATGCAGTAGTAGGTAAGTATTCAAGATTACTCTCAATATTGTTTCTGTACGGTATCGAAAACAGAAAAACAAAGCGAAGAAGGCATAAGAATGTATCATAAACGTAACTAAGAAGGTCGTGAGATTACGGAAACTTCTAGCTTTAGGCAGACTTAGGTTTATTGGAAATGATATCATCCCAGTCTGGAAAATACAGCTCCTTCATTCGCTGAGCGTGTCTCTGAAGATTCTGAGCTTTCGTCTTGGCCGTAAGCTCGGCAAAAGGACTTTGTGGACAATCCCAGGTTGCTCCACAGACAAAAGCGAATACTGCAGCGTCAGCAAGGCAAGGCTTTTCACCAAACAGGAACTTCTTCTGCCCCAAAATTTCTGACACAGCAAGAAGATCCCTTTCCGCTATTTCATAGAGCTCCTGCTCCGAGTGTCGACCCATTCCGTGCGACCATAAATCCTTCTTGACCCTTCGCTGGATCATATAGTATAAAAGATACTTGATCGGCATGATAAGATGACCAAACAATATCTCGCGATCTTTCTCAGCATAGCTGGGAGTAAAGAATCGATAGTGCACAAGGGCCCTGTAAATAAAGCAGAAAATGTTCGAAGAAAGATCGTTTGTTTGTCCCTCAGCCGTACATAGTCACACAATAGCTAAAGCCGTACTAGTGCGGGCTGGAGAAAAAACCTCGAGCAATATTGTTATTGAGAATGACCAGGTTAGTTTTCGAAAAAGTCACACACAGTTTATTAATAAAGACCTTGAACTGAATGATGAAAAGATTAAACTTGATCTGACGCGACAGCAATAAAGTGGCATCTGCGAACCGACGAAGCGTATCATTACGTGAATACTTTTTAGAATACACTTGTTATTACGCACGAAATAAAATAGCTATACATAGTGATGGCTAAATATTCACTCACCAGTAGGTATTTTCCTCCAACATAGTTCGAACAGAGTGCGCGATAGCTTTTTCATCGGAATTCAAGTGAGAATCGATGTCAATTTTGAACTCTTTCGTCAGGAACCGAATACAAAAATTAGAGTCTGCTGTGTCGCGCCCGTTGAACTCAATCCACGGCATTTTGCCTTTTTTGGAGAATTTAAAACTGTATTCATTTTCGTACGGGATCTTTGTCATGCGGAGGAAAGTTTCCAACTTCAAACATGGCGGAGAACCCGAAACACAGAGCTCGGAAGGAGGAAACTGGTGTAGAACTACCGTTCCAGGCCTTGCAGATCGCTTCTTTTCTTTTCCTTGAAATATCTTGGCGATGATATAAACGAAGAGGACGACGACTGCAGCGATACCGAAGTACTGTGACACCTGCATCTTTTCCGTATGTGCAAGATGTAGGCGGGAATTGATTGAAAGCACTCCGTTGCGTGTTTGTCACGCAAGCGAGATTGTAAATATGCTAAGTCATGGTCGCATCGAGGTAAGCGTGGCATCAAAGGTCAATTCGCATAATCATTAGTTCGGCATCAGTTCAGATATCAGTCCACTGTAGCGTGACATTTACTTTAAGCTTAACAGTACTGAAATCGTGAACATCTCGATTCTTTTGCAATGTGTTTCAGATTTCCAGCTAGCTCTCGAAGAAAGTAGAAACAAGTTTCACTTACAATCCAGAAGCCTCTTTGCATTGCAAAACGGTATTCCCTCACATTGTTACAGGCAAAGTAACTGAAGAAAGAAAATCATTTAATTTTCAGACAAATTCCCCAATTTTCGCATGTTTGATTGTTTGTTTTTGCATCTGTTGCATTTCATAATATTATCAGTGCAAATAGGAAAGAAGAATTAATGTAAGTATTTTACATTATGATAAGCCTTTTGAGCACTGGAACTGGCAGTGATGGCTCGCCAATAAATTCCTTCACACTTCTTTGACCTTCTTTATTGCAAATCAGATTTACAAAAAAAAAAGAAATTAATTAAAACACTAGCAGCTCAATTTTCTTGTTGAGCAGAATTCATACATCTGTATATAAAGGATAAAGAAAAGACAAACAGAAACAAAAACAGAATACTAAACTAACTGAAGTGAAGGAAAGTTTTCTAAAAGCGTTACTAATTTCATTATTTAATTCCATGTGAGAGGCTCATTTGCATTTATTCTCACACGCATCTTGGCACAGCCTGGCACAGTTGTCTCACGTCAGTTTCTTTCCTCGCCCTTATCTTTGAGTGGCTCTCCGCCATGTTTAAAAGTAGAAACGTCCCTTCGCATGGCAAAGATTCCATTCGTTCGAAACTTGCCTCGTCTTGTTCTGAAGTCTGGTCACGGCCTTGTTGTAATGCACTCACTGTGTGCCGGCATGTTTGGGTTCATGCCTCTTTCTTTTCATGCGCGAGCTGCAAGTTCTCTTTTAAATTTGCGCGTGTCAAATTATAGACTGTTAGTTACAGCTGCAGGTTTTGAAAGTAAAAGTCTACAACCTTAGTGATCATGCTTAAGTGTGACCATTATCTGGGGTACTGACAAGGAGAATTTGTTAAACAATCAAGATTGCATTCTTGTAACCTGAATGTTTTATTCAGGTGTGATGTTGTAGGAGAAGTTAAATGCTAGTCTCCCTTAGCGGTCAAAGGGTTAAAGAGAAACCCTGTTCAAGAGTTTGAGATTTACCTGACAAGCCAAACACCCTGGGTCGTAATAACCCCCTCCCTCCCCTTCCCCCGCTGATCTGGAAGGAGTAGGAAAGAGGTTAGGAACAATTCATGGCGGTGGAAAAAGTCACACACAATTTATCAATGGCGTCTACAACTACTTCCAGTTCAATTTTCCCAAAGTATGACAAAAAAAGTTCGTTTAACCCTTCGGAAGGAAATTCTGTTTCATTATTTAAACAAAGCATACTCTAAGTACTGCGAAATTACCATTTTAGTCAGCCAACTTCGCCGAATTCGGCCCTCTTTCACTAATAGCGGTGGTTTCACTATGCTTTCATTCTTGAATTGCTCGCCACAGCATCTTATCAGATGAGTGTTACCAATACGCATACCAGGCATGAGACTCTTGGTGCGAGGTATACGAAATATAGAGAAAAACTACAGAAACATCTTTTATTCAAATAGAAGGCAGTCCCTGTTGTATAGTTGTAGAGTATTGCAGTAAAAAAAGCACTGTGGTATAAAATGCAGAGGGATCAAAATGAACAGCTCTTGACAATGCCAAAATTGTGACAAAAGGAGGACCTGCTTAGAAAAGAGTTTGTGCACTGACCAATTGACCGGCCGGGGACTGGGAAGGAAATTAACAGCATAAATATGCGCAAGAGATTATAAGCTGAGAAGTTTACAGTTTCTTGATGCGTGCCAAATATAATTTTATACAAAACTTTCGCGCCGTTTTTTAAATGATATCTCAACATCAAATACTTGCGAGCGAGTTTAGACCTCCAAAAACCGGGGTTTACACATAAACTTTTCATTTCCGATTTATTCGAAATCTTTGCTCTAGCATTTCAAAAAGTATAGAAAAAGCCATAGCAGCTTTTGAATTTCCAATTATTACATTTCGCTTGTTACATGCCTGTCATTATTCACCCGTATATCGGTGCTTTAATGACCATTACTGTTGAAATTGCATTTCAATATAAGCGTTAATGCTCTTTCCGGAAATATAAATATAAGTGCTAATGATCTTTCTGAAAATTGGTTCTTATGGAAGTTGATAGCTGAGTTTGTGCACGTAAGTTCGCTTTCCTTTCATGCAGGATTAATTTTCCGAATTTAACACCAACATTGCATAAACAAGCAGAAATTATTATTACTGCTCACTTATATTTCCTAAGCTGCTCATCCGCAACTAGGCTGGGTGTTTTTAACTACAGAGCTGTGAATTTTGACGTAAGTTTGTTCTTTTTAAATGGCGTAGAGTCTATTTTATCCGCTATCTTACTTTTGAAATTCTTTCCGAACAGATGGAATATTTTAATAAAATCGCTTAACTACAAAGATACATTTTCCACTCTATTGTAACTCGCTGATACATAAGCAAGTAAGCTTTTTCGATTACATAATTGAGTTTGCTAAAGGTGATGTCAACTGTCGGCATGAACTAAAATAAAATTCCTGTGGAACCAAACGCTGTCTGATCCTTGACGTTCGTAGCAAGCTCACTTGAAGGAGGTCAGGAAATCGTGACGAGTTTCCGTTCTCGCTACCAAATGGTCTCTACTGAGCTCTTTTCCCCGTTATTGCTGCTTTCCCGCAAAAGTCCAGTAAGTTCGAAAAAAACCTATCGTCACAACTTGCAAGTGGGTTTAAACCTCCAGAAACCGGCGTTGATTGAAACTGCTGCTCACAAAGACTCTTTCGAAACTCTTAGGTAATCATGGGATTGGAACTTAGAAATGTGAAATGAAAGCAAAGTTGGTATTGAAGATTACTGTCAGTCCTGTTTCTGTGCGGTATTGAAAACAGAAAAACAAAGCGAAGAAGGCATGGGAATTTATCATAAAACGTAACTAAGAAGGTCGTGAGATTGCGGAAACTTCTAGTTTTAGGCAGACTTAGGTTTCTTTGAAATGATATCATCCCAGTCTGGAAAATACAGCTCCTTCATTCGCTGAGCGTGTCTCTGAAGATTCTGAGCTTTCGTCTTGGCCGTGAGCTCGGTAAAAGGACTTTGTGGACACTCCCAAGTTGCTCCACAGACGAAAGCGAACACTGCAGCGTCAGCAAGGCAAGGCTTTTCACCAAACAGAAACTTCTTCTGCCCCAAAATTTCTGACACTGCAAGAAGATCCCTTTCCGCTATTCCATAGAGCTCCTGCTCCGAGTGTCGACCCATTCCGTGCGACCATAAATCCTTCTTGACCCTTCGCTGGAACATATAGTATAAAAGATACTTGATCGGCATGATGAGATTACCAAACAGTATCTCGCGAAATTTCTCAGCAAAGCTGGGAGAAAAGACTCGGTAGTACACAAGGGCCCTGTAAATAAAGCAGAAAATGTTCGAAGAAAGATCGTTTGTTTGTCCCTCAGCCGTACATAGTCACACAATAGCTAAAGCCGTACTTGTGCGACCTCAGGCTGGAGAAAAAACCTCGAGCAACATTTTTATTGCGAATGACCAGGTTAGTTTTCGAAAAAGTCACACACAATTTATCAATAAAGACCTTGAACTGAATAATGAAACGATGAAACTTGATCCTGACGCGACAGCAATAAAGTGGCATCTGCGAACCGACGAAGCGTATCATTACGAGTATACTTTTTAGAATACACTTGTTATTACGCACAAAATAAAATAGTTATACATAATGATAGCTAAATATTCACTCACCAGTAGGTATTTTCCTCCAACATAGTTCGAACAGAGTGCGCGATGGCTTTTTCATCGGAATTCAAGTGAGAATCGATGTCAATTTTGAACTCTTTCGTCAGGAACCGAATACAAAAATTAGAGTCTGCTGTGTCGCGCCCGTTGAACTCAATCCACGGCATTTTGCCTTTTTTGGAGAAGTTAAAACCATATTCATTTTCGTACGGGATCTTTGTCATGCGGAGGAAAGTTTCCAACTTCAAACATGGCGGAGAGCCCCCCGAAACACAGAGCTCGGAAGGAGGAAACTGGTGTAGAACTACCGTTCCAGGCCTTGCAGATCGCTTCTTTTCTTTTCCTTGAAATATCTTGGCGATGATATAAACGAAGAGGACGACGACTGCAGCGATACCGAAGTACTGTGACACCTGCATCTTTTCAGTATGTGCAAGATGTAAGCGGGAATTGGTTGAAAGCACTCCGTTGCGTGTTTGTCACGCAAGCGAGATTGTAAATATGCTAAGTCATGGTCGCATCGAGGTAAGCGTGGCATCAAAGGTCAATTCACATAATCATTAGTTCGGCATCAGTTCAGATATCAGTCCACTGTAGCGTGACATTTACTTTAAGCTTATCAGTGCTGAAATCGTGAACATCTCGATTCTTTTGCAATGTGTTTCAGATTTCCAGCTAGCTCTCGAAGAAAGTAGAAACAAGTTTCACCAACAATCCAGAAGCCTCTTTGCATTGCGAAACGGTTTTCCCTCTCATTGTCACAGGCAAAGTTACTGAAGAAAAAAATCATTTCATTTTCATACAAATTCCCCAATTTTCGCATGTTTGATTGTTTGTTTTTGCATCTGTTGCATTTCATATTATGATCAGTGCAAATGGGAAAGAAGAATTAATTTAAGTATTTTACATTATGATTAGCCTTTTGAGCACTGGAACTGACCTTCTTTGTTGCCAATCGGATTTCACTAAAAAAAAGAAATTAATCAAAACACTAACAGCTCAATTTCTTGTTGAACAGAAGTCATAAATCTGTTTAAAAAGGATAAAGAAGAGACAAACAGAAACAGAAACAGAATACTAAACTAACTGAAGTAAAGGAAAGTTTTCCAAAAGCGTTACTAATTTCATTATTTAATTCCATGTGAGAGGCTCATTTGCATTTATTCTCATACGCATCTTAGTTGTTATTAGTTGTGCCTTAGGAAAACGCGATGAAAACAGAACTACTTGTTGGAATCACTACAGCCGCATTCTTCATCGTTTATTTTCTAACGAGAGCACGGCGCAGAAAACAGAACAAGCGGCCTGTAAAACCTGGCACAGTTGTCTTGCATCAGTTTCTTCCCTCGCCCTTATCTTTGAGTGGCTCTCCGCCATGTTTAAAACTAGAAACGTTCCTTCGCATGGCAAAGATTCCATACGAGAGCAGATATGGCTTGAAATTCTCTAAAAAGGGTAAAATTCCGTGGATTGAGTTTAACGAGGAAGAAATCGCCGATTCCAACTTCTGCATTCGGTTTTTAAGGAACGAGTTCAAAGTTGACGTTGACTGCTCTCATTTGAGTGACGCAGAAAAAGGACTTGCTCACAGTATTCAAACCACGTTGGAGGAGAACACGTATTGGTAAGTGTTGCTTCGATCGTTTTTATTCCCTTTCCTTAAAATTTCTCGTTTGCCTAAGGTGAGAGGCACTTGTAAGCTTCGCGCGGATTCGAATGATTACGTAATCCCCACTACAGAGGACAGTTAGGGTCACGCTACACAATCATTTCTCAGAGCCGATATTGGAGCTTGCTGTGCAGTTGCCTGATAATGTAATTGCTACATGCACAGTAGCTGTTGTGCTTGGTGGCGTTTCTTTTAGTCTCGTTTTCCAGTCTAGTAGTTTATTGAAAATTAATTGAAGAAACACAAACAAACTGCTATGTATAATCGTTTTGCATAAACGTTAAAGATTGACCAAGTAATACACCATGTTCGACGGTTCAGTTACCTCTTTATATCGCACCTTGCATCTGCTATGGAGAACTAACAAACCGATAAGCAAACCAGGGTGAAACTGGCCTCAAACAAATGAGACTGGAAACCAATTAGATTTCTTGCGTGTTCAGGCAGTAGACTGCCTGTGAATAGGAAAATTTGGCAAAAGAGACAAATTTTCTCCAAATTTTCCGTGTATATTTTTTTTTGCTGCGCTGTTACCTAGATTAGAATACTTTCAGTCCAGTCTCTAAACGACGACCTATGTTGGAGTCTCAAACCTTTGTGTACACCACACTAAGTGTTTGAGGAAAATAAAGCTGCAGAGCTTTTTTGTCTTGAATGGTTGCAAAGCGCTATTACTGATGCTGCTCAATTACCTGCCGCTGTTTGGCGATATGAGCCCGCGCTCCCCAAACCCCTTATCTTCTCGGGCAGGAGCGAAGGCCGGACACGTGAGAGCGGCGGAAATCGAAACTGCTGTCCATGATGTTTCTGATGTTCCACGTCAGCGTTACTAATGTTTCGCGATGCTTTTGAACATAGTTGCTTTTGAGTTACTAGTGTTTCGCGATGCTCTCGAATGTCGTTGCTTTTGATTTTTTGTTGCTATTTTTGTCAATATTACATCGTTGGTGTCACTGAAGTCGAATTGTTTTTGTAATACTTTGATGGGAGATTTTATCAGTTTGTCTTAATTGACAGGCTGCAATGAAGAAGGTGTTCTGCATGGTCTGAAAGTGGGGGTTGAAGGGAGGGTGGCAGGCAGAGGAATAACCGGCACCTGATAGGCTAGCATCGAATCCAGGATACAACGGCGTTTATCGAACTAATCTCGTATAGAAAATTACTCGTTCAACCACGTAAAGCAGAGTGTCTACAGACCATTGCTGCAAAGTACTTCATATTTAAATTACTTGAGGTAAAACCCTTACGTATACTCCTTTGTCCTTTACAGGGCCCTTTTTTATTACCGCTTTTTTTCACCGGACTATGCCATGTATACGCGAATGCAGCTGTTTGGGCATTTTTCCTGGCCACTCAGATATCTGATATTCTACGTTATACAGAAGCGATGTAGAAGAGATGTGTGGTCTCAGGGCATTGGTCGACACTCCGAACAGGAGATCTATGAAATAGCTGAGAGGGATCTTCTTGCAGCGTCCGCAGTTTTAGGGGAGAAGAAATTCCTCTTTGGAGATAAACCCTGTCTCGCTGATGCTGTCCTTTTCGCCTTTGTTGCATGTGCCTCGTGGAATTGTCCTCAAAGTCCTTTTGCCCAGCTCACCAAGACTAAAGCGACAAATCTTGAGCGGCATGCTCAGCGAATGAAAGATCTCTACTATCCCGACTGGGATGAAATCACTAGGAAGCTTAAATCTGACTGAATTCTTGGCATCGTAGAGATTTTTTTTTTATTCCTTATACTGTTTATTATTTTAATTCATAACTAAAAATTCTGAATGACTTTGTATAAGAGTACTGGCAAAGAATATGCGTGGATTTGCTCACGATTAATACTAAATCTTTGTACCGATTGAGAGCCGTTTTGCAATACAGTAAGGTTATAACAAAGTCAGAATAGGGCGCTACAAATGTAGTCGAAACGAAGATGGTTCGCTATATTACACTCCATTGTTAATTCTAATTATGATAAGCATTGGTAATAGAACTGAGTGGAGTCCAGGTTGGTCGGTAATCATGCGAGCGGTAACAAAATCGGACGACCGCGCAGCGGATTCGTATGATTACAGACCGAATTGAACGACACGAAGTCCTGTTACCAATTAATCATAAAATTTACTGTTTCCGATTAAAGGAGAATAGCCAAATTATGAGATTCTATACAATGTTTCTATGGTAATTGAAATCATGTTTGTGATCACATGATTGGTTGATGTAAACTACAGCTTTAAATGTGACATATTTAATTGTTCGATAACAACTTGGCACGCGAATTAGCGGAAAATACGAGTTTTTTAAACCAATTACAACCGAGGAAAATGTAATTATATTTTTATGATTACTAGGGTAAAAATGGTGACATAATATTCTAAATCTACTGTTATCTATGTTATCAAGAATATGGAGCACTAAGAACCACTTATGATAAACTATTTACAGCACAGTACTTACGATCACAGGATTTTAAGAATAAACTATTCAAAAGGCAGAAATTACAAAATGATGCTAAAAATAATAACGATTTACAATACGTGATACTTTGAGTCGAACCTATATTAAGCGGCTGGTAAACCGCTCGCTTTTGATAATTCATGATATCATGTTCCAATCCCATAACTTGCTCATCTTAGGCCCGTTTACATGGAGATGGGGGACCCCAGGTAGGTGAGGTAACCCGCTTAGGTGAGGTAACCCGCCTTTCCATATAATCTCTCATTTTATCTTGGTCATGTTTACATGATGGGTGAGGGTAACCCGCCAACGCGGGTTTCTCGGTCTGCCAAGTGGGGTAACCCTATCAGCCAGGGTGACAATTTGCCATGTAAACGTCTCAAGGTGGGGTAACCCGCCCATCTGTCGCATTCATAGCAAAAAGCTCAAAAGCTAAACACGTATGTTTTAAAACTTTGTACATTTCCTAGCCGTCTCATGGCAGAAATCACCAGAAACCGCACCGGACACACAAGGAGTGTAAAATGTTCACATTTCGGAATATTTAGCGTTGTAAATCGACCATATTTTGTTTCCCAAACTATTCCTTATCATAAGGAATAGTTTGGGAATAGTGCATGCATTACTCGTAATAAAAACAAAACAAAACAAACAAACAAAACAACGACAAAAAACTTGTGATGACGTAAGTTCACTTTTTTGTATATGAAGGTCTACTCACAGAATCCACAAAAAATTAGAACCCGCAATTGTTCATGTTAGCATTGTAATATAGTATTATTGGGTTAAATACTTTGGCACAAAAGCTGCATGGTATCTCTTATTCGCCTGACCTTGCGGGCGCGATAACCTCATAGCGCGGTTATCTTGGGCATCACTGCATCAACCCGAAATACTTTAAACTTCCGTAATAGTGATAATGATAAACTTCGTTGCTAGATACGTTGGTTTTTCTGTCTGAGATGATGATGTAAATTGGCAACCGCAAGGAGTTCTTAAGCTGACGTTTCGAGCGTTAGTCCTTCGTCAGAGCGAAAGAGCTGACGTAATGTTCACGCTCAAAACTCTTTACAATGGGCAATTTCATAATAGACTAAAAAAAAACTTGTAATACCCACCAGCGACAACACCACCACAGTTTCTATAGAAACTTGCCCCCTTTTTTTTAACTTCATCGTCGTGTGTCTCAAAAATTCGGGAATAGATTTGATATCAGCGAGGTTAGAATTATCGTCGTGAGTACAAAGAATTGTTTAGAAGCTTTCCCGGCTATCTATTTCTTTTGTTTTCTTTTCTCATCTTATTAAACGATATATCTACGTACTTTATTTGAGTCGGATGTGATCACGCTATACACTGATTTAAGCAAACTTCAAAAACTTCACAATTCTTGCTCTTTATGGTAAAAGCTGATTCCGCACAAGCTGCCCATTTCTTTGAGAAGAGCATAAAACTTTTAAAGCAATGCTCTCGGAAATTCGAAAATGTGTGAATTTCGAGAAAAGGAATCTGGTCGTGCGGGTTTTTTTTCTGTGTTTATAGATTAATCAAACTGTATCCTTAATTAGTTCGTTATTGGAACAAAAGGAAAATGTTATGTAGAATACGAGACAAGGAAACCTGATCTTGCGGGATTTACCCATGTTTATGAGGAAATCAACCTCTATCCTTATTTAGTTCCAAGAGACTAAAATATCTTGATATATTATAGTACACTATGCTAGTTTGCAAAAGAAAAGCATTACGTTGATTTTTCTTTGGTAATTTTTTGCCAAACCCGAGCCTGAGATTTACTTGGGGGTCAGTTTTTAATTCAATTTCTTGACCCTGACAACTTATTCAGTTTCGGAAAGCTCTGGTATTCTGAAAAAGATGTATGATCGGGAAAAAGCAAAGTGATTCTTATATGCTCCCAACCTAAAAATGGTACCGTCCTAAAAGAGCTCAAGGTACGCAATTCACGAAGAAATAAAGTGCTTAAAAGTCAGACGGTCATTTATTACGGCGAAACATACTTTTTATCACTGAGAACGGGAAGTCTTTCCCTAAGGGGCTTCTCTAACCCCCTTAAGAATATTTCATCGCCACATGTTACGTGAGTTAAGCGAAACTAATTCAGTTAGAGGGTTATTTTATCGTGGTCGACGCGAAGTTACCTCAGTAAAAGGAATTTCATTTAAGCCGAAGCTAGCAACATTGTAAAAATTATGCTTATTCATTGCTGGCATCAAAACATTAAAATTTGTCTTCGAAAACCAATATTGAAACGAGCGGAACATATATATGGCTTAGGGAGGCGCTGAACATCAAGTATACAGTTCGCTTATGATGACCCTGCGAAAATTTGGCTAAAAGAGTTTCCATGATCGCCGGCAAGCTCTAAATGGCTACGTTGAAGGCTTCTCCTTCCCTAGAAAGAACGAGGAAAGTAGTAAAATGAGTAAATTAATAACAATTAGATGGATATTGAAGAGATAAACCGTCCTCAAAGTTGCGTCAATCTTGCACAATATTGGCTTCCGGCAGAGAAGAATGCGGATCAGTTTCATGTCTTAGTAATGGCGTATTTTAGTTAAATATATCACGTGCAATAACGTCTAAGTTGTTAAGATACCAAAACTATGATTAATTGTATTTATTAAGGGAAGACAACTTAAATCCTCTCTTAAATGCATGTTAGAAGGCCTCGCTCTGGAAAACCTAAACCAGTTGGATTAAGCAGCGCACCACTTGTAACCTAACTAAGATGCAGATTTTTAAGAAGAAAAAGATAGCTGCCAAGCGAGAAACACTTATCCTACACCAGTTTGCTCCGACAGAGTTGTCAGTTAGTGGTTCTCCGCCTTGTCTGAAGTTGGAAACTTTCCTTCGTATGACAAAAATCCCGTACCGGAACGACCATCGCTTAAAGTTTTCCAAGAAGGGAAAAATGCCGTGGATCGAATTTAATGAGCAAGAAATCGCTGATTCAAATTTCTGTATCCTTTTTCTGAAAAGGGAATTCAAAGTGGACATTGATTATCATTTGAACGAGACAGAAAAAGCCATCGCTCACAGTGTTCGAACCATGCTGGAAGAAAACACATATTGGTAAACGTAGCTTTTTAAGGCAATTTGCCTGATTCCTTAAATCTGTATCCTAAAGCAGAATAACAATAGATCATGCCAATAGATAACAAGGATCTCTTAGCCGTGCCTATCAAATAGGTTACAAGGTTATAGAAAGATATTTCGAGCATATATATATATTGACGATCTAAGAAGTTCCTTTCGCGAAGAGTCATCTGTTGTTTTCATTTTCACTTGGACTGATACCGTGAAATTTGTTTATTCAGAACATAATCTAAATAGTATCGAAGGGTTTCACTACACTGCCTCATTTACCATTTACAAAAGTGATGCTTTAATGAAAGTGGTTCTCTTAAGGGGAAAAACAAGTTTCACAGCCTTAAGTTTTCTCACAGAATGTTTATCATCTTTTCATAGGGCTCTTGTTTACTGCCGTTGGCTGTCTGCATTTGGAAAAGAATATCGAAGGAAGCTGTTCACGAAAAAGTTTGGCCATCTCGTCTTCCCCCTTAAACACCTAATAGCTCACCAAATAACGAAGAAAATCAAACAGGATTTATGGGGACATGGCATGGGTCGACACTCGGAACAAGAACTGTATGGAATCGCGCAGAGAGATTTGCTGGCAGTCTCGGAAATTTTAGGTCAGAAGAAATTTCTGTTTGGAGATAAACCTTGCCTTGCCGATGCAGCATTGTTTGCCTTCATTGCTGCATCCGCCTGGGACCTTCCAAAAAGTCCGTTTGACGAACTTATCGAGACAAAAGCACAGAACCTTCATACGCATGCTCAGAGGATGAAAGAGCTTTATTACCCAGACTGGGATGAAATCATCTCTAGAAATACAAACCTCGTTTAAAACCCCTACGCTACGTCACCATAAGCAAGTAAATCCTCTATAATTACAAAATGGCCTCAAAGAACAGTTAATCTTTAAGAGAAAGACTCAAAGAACATAAGAAATGGTAGCGAGCAGAAAACAAATAATATAATAAAAAATGAACAAACATATAGATGATAAATGAGAGAAGATAAATGAATAAGAGAAGTGGTTAAGTTATATGTGTTTGTAATCCATGAAAGAGATTAATTTTCTCCTGATAAAAAAACCGGAAGTTTGTCATGCATTTTGATTCAAGTTCAACCGGTTCACCTTGGGAAACAACGAAAACACCTCATGTTGTTATCGACTGAAGCGGAATGAATTTTGCGACAATTAATTTGGCGCATAGTTTCTCTGTAGAACCATGCCCTCGTCAATATGCAGTAGATAGAAGCAAAACAATCACTACACGCCCCTCTTGAATGGCCGGGTTGCCCTATACTTTATGCACAACAGCTAAAATAAATTGTCAGACTGGTTCAGCAGTCAATTTGGTAATCTACATCATCCTTACAAAACGCCTGTCAAAATCGAGACATTAGACATGTTGGGACTTAAAAAAGTTTCTGTTATCTACTTTAACTATAGCGTGTAATTAAAGAAATGTTATTTTGAACTAAACGCCGCCCTCTAACAAAATCCCCTCTTCGGCTATATTACGCATAGAAAACGCTACAAATTTCGAAAATGCCCTGGCGTTTTTAAAATCGGGCAGATATGATATACTTCGCTGTACATACGTCAATCTTCTCCACTTTCGTGTCTGATTTATCCTTACGTCATCAATGTTTGTCTGATTCATTCACTTTTCTTTCAACTTTTGTCGAGTCATGATCGGCAACTGAGAATGATTCATCGCAATCCATCTTTCCCAGCTTCTGTACTCATTTTCTCAAAAAAGAGCGGAAATTTAAAGGAGAGAACTCTTCAAGTTGTTTAAATAATTTTATTTTAAAGAAAAGAAAGTCCTATCCTGAAGTTATGTTGCTGCTGTTTTTACCATAAAAACTACAAGATAACCATCCCGGCTTTAAAAATACTCCACGCACCTGCAAGATTGCATAACGCTGAAACATTAGCTGAAAAATCCTGATTTTTAGAATATTTTGAACGGCTTTTTTTTTTTTTTTTTTTTTAACTTTTCGCGCGAGCTGCTGTCGAGGGATACTGTAGAGTACGGCTATACCATACTTCTTTTCGCGCTAAATTCAAAATGGCGGACGAAGCTGAGGTGGAACTGAATGTACAATTTGTGTGTCTTTTTGCCCAAGAACACGTGGATTTTAGAATATCGGTTGGTACACGAAAATTTTCTTCATTCGGTTCCTACTTAAACAGTCAATTTTCTAGTTCTCGGTTTAATCCGGTCGAAACGCCGGCGAAAATAGCGAGCCGAGTGCGCGCTTTGACTGCGTAGATTGTACTGCAAGACTTTTAAAAGAATATGGAGCTAGGTGCCTGCTAAATGCCTGCTAAATGCACACAGAAGGAACGAGATATGATCATCATCAGTTTATGATCCGCTGAAACACTGATGTTGGCGGGAATGCCAAAAGAGTGAAAGAACTAATTTTTTGAGCAAGAACATTTATGGCAGATTTGGTCTGGCAGAATGGTTGCACTCTCTGTTTGAGATTTATCTAAGCACTGTGATGTATATGTTATGGTTCGAATCTCTCCTGATTTTAGATTTTTGAGACCAGCCTGATTTTCTCTTTTTTTCTTTTATTCGTTATCATAGCATGAAAATAAAAATCAAACTAGTTTTGAAACATTTTAAACTAAGCTAAACATTTAGCAACAACATACTTCTCATCAGAGGTATAGTAACTATTTCATTATTTTGGAGTGGACTGCAAGCTTCCATGTGAAGGGAATTAACAATTTTTCTGTCTTGCTTTATGTCAGGAGTTGTTATCAGTCTCTATGATGTTTGGTTTTGAAGTACTTGTGGAGAGTGAGGACCACAGAAAAGAAGTAAGAATCACCTTAATTAATGAGCTGTTCACAAGGCCACTGCAACTTTTTTTTCCATTGATCTAAAATGCCTCCTATGATGTTAGGAATAACAGGCATATTAACCTTTGGTTTTTAATTGCTGTACAGTGAGTTCTAAGACAATCCATTCATGCTATAAGCAAAGGTTGTAAGTTCCTAAAGAAACTGTGGTGCTGCATTGGTGGGAGAGTGTAACAGGGTAATTTGGTATTATCAACTGAGTTGATAATGTTAATTGGCTACTGTAAAGAGTTCCAAAGCTGCCTTTTTTGAGCATTAGCCCTTTGTCAGAGTAAATAATCATTTTCAACCTAGTTGATAATACCAAATTACCATGATACCAGAAGTAGTTTTCATGCTGAACTTGGGAATGAAAGAAAGGTCAGCCCTGGGTGATTGCTTTGTAAAGCATGATAGGTATTTCTGTAATAATGCACTTACACTCATGCAACATTGAATGTTATCATCTAATTGACAGGTCCTGACTAACCTGAGTATTAGTGACACTTCCACAAGTAAAATAACTGATATAAAATATTGTTTTGAGCATTTGATTATTGTGACTTCTATCTGTTTCTCGTATCCACCATTTTATGAACAGGCAGCTTAGTACACTGTATTTAAGGAGTTACAAAAAGACTGGAAACAAAATTTTGTTACCAAGCCTGGTCTTCTGTTTCTTGTAAAGCATCTACATGTACATCAACCATTTAAATCCCAGAGGCTGATTGCTAATTCTCTCCTCTAGCTGCTACACATTTCCTTTTGAATTAGTTGTAAGAATTTGGTGTTAGATCAGGAGTACAACCTCCACCTGATAAGTTTGAGTATTCTCAATACCTGTTTTGTGGATGATGTATGGATATTATAGGGAGAAGTTAAATGTCAATCACTTCTGGGGTTAGAGGTTTAAGGCATCTCACTTGACATTTTAGCCAGAAGCTTTGTTTCTTAGGGACAACCCTGAGTGGAATGACTGTGTGGTGTTCTTGGATTTGATACCCAACTCTCTCTATATTGTGGTATAAATTCAAACTAAGAATGAAAAAAACGAAAGTAACTGAAAAAACTGAGAAAAATTACTGGTTTGGTAAGGACGGCTAGGGTTGGCCAGTTAATGTGTATGCAAAGTTCACAAGATGTTTTATAAAACTAATACTTTTGTTTGTTATTGTTTCCACTTCTTTGCCCTAGAATCCTTATCTTGTAGTCTGTTTGCCAAGTGAAGACTGTGCAAGGAAGCTGCTATCCAGAACAGTTTCCATAAAGTGAGTTACTTATAAGTCATTTTAAACCTTGTTATCTATTTTAACCATTGAAAGGCCTTGCCCCAACTGAAATATTAGCTTACTGTGGTAGACACATGTAACCTTGAAGCATGTAAGTCTGTTCCAAAGCAGAGTTCAGTATGGTTCAAGATCCACTACACAGAATATTGCAGGCTATTTAAAACAAAATATGCCAGTAACCTTTTGATCCTATATTGTTCATGTATTTGGGAAAAAATGCATCCATGCTGGTTAGCTGAGAGACCCCAGGGATTTCATAAGCTTTAAGATAATATGCTTCTTAGACAGACTTCAGTTACTAATTGGATCCTCATGTACATGTGTAAATATTGTACACAATAGTTAGATAGATGCAAAATGCAAAATTGGACAGAAACCAACTTGAAGAGGCACAGTGGTTTAAATTGGTCAGTGCACTGGACTTTGGGTCAAGAGGCCCAGGTTTGAGACCTGGCTAGGACAATGCTTTGTGTTCTTGAACAAGACACTTTACTCTCACAGAGCCTCTGTTAAGTACACACTTAATTTGGAGCCTCACTCTGTTGTGTGCCCCACACCTTCATGGTGAAAGCAATTAAAAAAAAAATACATAAAAAAATAAAAATTAAAAAAAAAACTTGGAGGTCAATTTTTTGGTGTTTGTCAATTCATAAAATACATGTTCCTATTAGCAGTCTATAATTGTGCTTAATTTACATTTAGGTCCGTCTACGAATTGTGGGGACAAGGGGAAAATTTAACAGCATTAAAGGAGAACCTTCTCCAATATCCACCTGATAAAATGGTAAAAGCTCTTCCTGCTGTTGTTGTTGTTGTTGTTGTTGTTGTTGTTGTTGTGAAGATAGCCACAATGCACTTATCGGTTTTATGTCAACAAGAAATTAGTTAATAGGTACCTAGTTTTCAAAAGAAAATTTGTTCACTCTGGCCCTCACCAGAAATTTTCTAATTAGTCTTTGTCTGATCCTGCAAAATGTAGGTACATGACACAAATTTGATGTGGAAAAGATCACACTGGTTCCAGAATTTACACTGAGGAAGAATAAAAACTAGTAACTAGTATGAGTGATAAAATTGGAGTTATAAAGATTTTAACTACTAACTATAGCTGATTTACTAAATGATTTTTTGCATTTTTGTCTTCCAGAGAACTTTCACATCCGGTGACAAATCATTTAAAATCAGCATTGAGTCCTTTAATAAAAAGTTGTCCATAAATCAACAAAGAGAGTTAATTGATGTGAGTAAATGACTATTATTTTAAAATTTAGAACTCAGAAAAATCCAGAAGAATTTTTCATGGTTTATGGTACTCTAGTAAAATTTTTGTTAATACAGAAAAAGTGTTAACCTTATCATAAGCCTGAAAAATTACTTATTATATCTGACCTTTATCTCTCATGGTTTGTGGTTCTCGCTATATACAAGTTCATGTACTTGTACAGCTCAGAGATATGTCTGAATTTGATTTTAAGGGTAACACAGTTATTGGTGAACCAGTGGTTTTTGTAAGTCCCTCACTATCCCCTCCCCCCTCTAAAAATAAAAACAATTATCTGCTCCTTTCTTGACCAGGCTGCTGTTGTTATCAGTATTTGACCCACTAGAGCATTTGTGTTGTTAAGGTATCATTATGATGTCAAAATGATTTGTCTAATTATTTTTTTAATGGTTTCAAACTCAGTTTGACAATTCTTTGTGTGAATTTGATTTAAAATTACACACCATAGAGCATATGGTCTGTTGTTTGCTTGTTTGTTTGGTTGTTGTTGCTGCTTTTTTCATTTACATTATTTAGTTTTTAAGCAAATTGAGAAAAGCACACCTTGTTATCCACAGCAATTCCAATTCCTTCCTTTTCAAGGCTGTGTGAATCTGACAGCTCCTGATAATCTGTTTGCACTGTTGTTGGATTATGGAATGACCCCAATGAAGCCCCACCCAGTCCCCAGAGGTTGTTCTTTGGTCGCTTGGTAAGGATCCAAAAATCTTCTTTATAATGTTATGGATAATAACTGTAAGGTAAATTTAAGTTTCCAGAATTTTCTAGAATGCCTAGTCATGCGGACATGCATACACGAACTTTCTAATGTCATTCTAGAACGTTCTACTTTACTTATGTTATTGAAACGAGATTCATTGAAATATATATTTTTATTGACATGCAGGTGGGACACGGTCAGCGTCACTTGTTCAAACAGTATTCACTCAAGACAAGGCGTTTTATCGGAAACACATCTATGGATCCACAACTGTCATTCCTGATGGCCAATCAGGGACAGGTATATTAATATGTTTTAAGACAAAACAACCGCATTTTTCGATGGCTTGAATTGTCCTCAACAGGATCTGGTTGTCATCATAACGTGAAAGGGGCCTAATTGTGGTAACTTCGCGCATCGCTAGAAAAATTCCGCTGCTGTAAACAAATTTTTTTTTCCAAATTCGGAAATAATCGCGCTCTGTTTGAATCGTTTTAGCAAAAAGACTTAACAAAAAACAAAACCGCAAATTATTGCTCCAATTTTTAGGGTAAATGTTCTTCAAAGTTCGCGACAGCAAAGAATGAAATCTTCCCATTTCGCTTTTATTACTTTTGCACAATGCCGTACTTTGTGTATTTGTGGATGAAAGTTCCTCTGCGAGCCAACGAGTAGCAACACTCTTTGTCGCTTCTTGCTGATGAAACTGGGATGAGCTTCACGAGAATGGTGCTTCTGACACGTGAGCTCACTTAACCTTTCTTCACGTGTATGGAGAAACAAGTTTTGAGGTTTTACGGTTTTAAATTTATTGTGTGTAATATTTACAGGTTCGTTCAGGCAGTCTTGTCTTTGATCCCTTTGTTGGAACAGGTGAGCTTCCGCGCTGTTTTTTTAATTGTTTATTTATTTATTTTAACGTTTTTCGTTGTCGTTCGTGTTGATTTGGCTGTGCCATTTTACTTAAGCTTCCAGATCAAATTTGTACTTCTCCTTATTGTCAACTATACAATTTTTATGATGTTAGTTCAGAGAATTTAGCATCGGATCAACTAATTATCCCCAAATTGATATTTTTCTTTATTCTCATCACTGATCTAGTTGTTATTGTATTGATATTGTAAGGAGAAATCCTGTCTTGGTCACTCATCGAAGTTAAAGGGTTAAACATCGCATGTCTTAGATTTCATGCATAAGACTTTACGTTAAGTCAACCACGAAAAATATCCTGTCCTGGTATGGATAGCTAGGTAATGGTCTTAAAAATTTATGTGCAACTCGATGCACATAAGTTGTCATTTTAACAAAGCTTTGTCTCTTATAGGTAGTGTTCTTGTGGCCTGCGCTCATTTTGGTGCCCATGTGATGGGAAGTGACATAGATTATACACTGCTTCATGGTAGAGGTACTCGATCTGTTATTTTTTCTCAAAATCCCTTTTGACCATAAGCAGAAAAGCTCGAGGGCTCCGTCCACGCTACTCCAGAGATATCTAAAAACACTTCTTTCCAAAGTGTTCTTCAAAACGGCTTCAATTGAAATTGTCATCATTGTATCTTAGTGTGGTATGAAAACAAATCAGGCCTTTTTCGAGAGGGGGGGACGTGGGGGGGGAGGGGGACGTGGTAGTTTAGCCTTCCGCATCATATACAGGGGGGCATCCTTTAAAATCTTTTCCATGTATTTTTTTCCTTCCCCCTAGGTAGAAGTTCACGAGCCGAAAGGAAAGGCCAGTGGAGAGGTACGAAAAATCTTCCTTTTTAACCTCCAGAAAACTTAGGGTGTTAATCCTACCACTCTCTGGTTTGATGACAGATCATTCGACGAATTCTCATTGTAATTTTGCGACACCGTAGAAACCTTCTGGTGGTGAGAATTTGTATACAAGTATGTTCATTTTTCCTCTGTTTCTTTAGGTCGCGATGAGAATTTTCGGGCAAACTTTGCACAATATGGACTCGACAGTTATTTCGTTGATATACTTATAGCCGACGCTGGGAGACTGGGACTGCGAGAAATTCCTTTGTTTGATGCAATCATAACAGACCGTGAGTAGAAACACAGATTGCATATCAGTTAGCTTGGAAAGACTTATTTTCATGGTGAATTTTTAACCTCCTTTTCTTCTCTTCCCTGGGAGAGAAAATAATCTTTGTTTTAATGGTTTCATTTGCTGTTTGACTGGTAGAGAAATATCACGCTCCCTTCTCAACCTTTCAGTTGAAAATAAAACTAAACGCGACTAGCGTTCTACCGCGCAGCAGACCGTGAGTTTGCTTATCCGTGAAGGCAACAAATTTCTTGTGGTAACGTGTCTGTTTCGCTTGTCAGTGCTGTTTTATATCGTTCATAATTTTGTATTTATACTTCCTTTCTTTCTTTCAATCGCTTCAGCACCTTATGGAATCCGAGAAGGAGCTCGTAAGTTAGACACAAATATGGAAATTCAGGAGGAGAATGAGAGTGTGTAAGTAGAAATATGTCTAAAATGAAATGAATGGAAGGGAAAAAAGAGGAAAGAAATTTAACACGAAGGAAAGAAAGAAGGAAGGAACCTTCTGCCAGAAACACACAAATAGACAGCTTGTTAATCAGTCGGTCAGTCAGTGTGCGAGTGAGTCAGTCCGACCGAGCTCAGACAGACAAACGTGCCAATTTGGTGGCCATATCGGACAGTCAGACACATTTCGTCAGCCAGTTGGTCAGTCAGTGAGTCATTCAGTCTGTATGTCTGTTTGTCTGTTTATCTGTCAATTAATCGATCGGTCAGTCAGTCAGTCAGTCGAATGAACATACAAAGAGAAAAAAGCAAGGCGACTTGTTTTAATTTCATAAGTTTTATTAGTACAGAAAGCAACCAAGGTCTGTGTTCGTTTTCAGTGATCAGACGTCGCCGTCTTCAGCGGTGCGTGGCTGTCGTCTGTCAGAGATACTTACAGCATTATTAGACCTAGCCGCGCGACATCTTGTTCTTCACGGCCGGCTGGTCTACTGGCTTCCAATTTATCGACCAAGGTAAATACTGTTGTTTTCCTTTACTATCATTTTCGTTGATTCTGCGACACAGGCCACTTGGAAAATCCGAGTCGGCTTCCACGTGAACCTGCTGCGATAGGTTACAGGTCGCTGAGCTACGAATTAGCTGCGGCAGGAGGGGTCTTCTGTCTGATAAGCTCCCTTAAGGTTTCCTTAGTGTGTCTTGCGCTATGGTTGCGCTGGAACCCCGAAGCTTTAAATTCTTTTGTATCTATAGCGTGACAAGGACACATTGTTTTCTGTTCTTTTTACGTACACCTAGTTATTCAGACGAGTTTCTTCCCAGTCACCCATGCCTCAGACTTGTAGCGAACAGTGAGCAGGGTTTATCTAGACATGTTTCTCGGCGACTGATCACCATGGAAAAGATCAAAGAGCATGCGGTAAGAGGTCCTAGTAAAATTCATAGGAAGTAGTATCTTTTTATTTTTTCTAGGAAGGATGTATCTTTTCATATGTCAAATTCACATGTACATGACCCGTCATTAGACTGGTTTCCATCTCAACATCAGTATGCTTATTCTCCTTACTGTGTTTTCTAAATTGCTTTTGTTTGATAACCAAGAGCTCTGAATGTGATTTAGGGATGATATCGTTGGGAGAAATTGGAAGCCAGTCAGTCGTAGAAGTTGCAGCATTATCTATTAGCAGTGTTGCTACTTCCTCTGAATGTGATGTCAATCTATCGCAGGTGTCACCCCCCCCACCCCACTACATTTCGTGAGGTTTTCGGTGTTAATGCTCTTGGGTGGAGAGAGACACCTTGCTGTAACGGTTGTTCGACTTGTGCCAAATGCATGATTTAAAAACAAAATTAAAAAGAGAAAATATTCACTGACAACTCACTTGCTTGACACACAAACTTCTGAAAATTTAAGTTTGTTGAAGAAAAGTAACTAGAACATAAGTACCCTTTATTGCAGGTGGGAGGCCCAAATATGTCCGTGGTACATCAAAAGTTCTTGGAATCGTGCGATAACTTTAGGGATAATTACTTCAGTCAGCAAAGCACGTAACCTTTGAAATAATGTACATTATGACATCGAAGCACACCATGCCTCGATGTCATGATGTTCATCATTTCACGTGACGCACCGTTATGTGATCGTGTTCGGAAGAACTCCGATGATGGGAAGCCACTAGACGCATTCTCGTCTTACGAACGGTTTCATCTACTGGTGTTGAAAGTCGACTTCCAGAGGTTCGATTCTTGTATATTGCAAGATATCTATCCCGTCCTTTTATCTGTTGCAAATCTTAAAAATTGAAAAAAAAAAAACTTCAGATCAAGTTTCATTCCAAGGAGTTCTCCATGGATACTGATTACAGGGGAAAATGAGCAAATGCATGCTGTGTTAATGACATCGATCTTTTCAATTTCCCATCAGTCTCTTATAAAAAAAAATTGCAACGAAACTAACACCCCAAAAAGGCAATAACAACAAAAAGCAACGACCAAACAACCGAAGAAAAGAACAAAAACATTTTTTTAAAGAAATCGCCCTGTACCTGTAAACCTCTATAATTACAAGCTTTGGAACAATTCTTGTTCAAAGCTCTTACACCCTGACTGATAACTTTTTTGTTCTGAGGTTGTCAAACTAAACGATAAACGCGCGATGATGCTTCGATTGGCTTGAATGCTATATCGACTTCTAAATCAACTTTTGGAGTCCACCCTGTACTTAAGATCTGATAATTGATTCTCTCTTCTTGCCTGCCATGAATTTCTTTCCAAATTAGTTAAGAGAATGTAGTGCTACAGCAAGAAATTACCCTATCGTAGATCAAGTCGTCAAATCTTACTCCATCGAATGGTAATCACTTTTGAAGATAAGAAAGGACAGAATGCTTAGACAAGCACATAATTTTCAATCGATTGTCGATGGTAATCCGTGACTGCGTGCACGTTGTCGTTGGTCCAAAAATAAAACTAATCAAGATCCCGTCCTGCGCCTTTGTCAATTTTTTTATTTTTTGTTTTTTTTGCATTGGTGGACTTGTTATTTTTCTTCGACGATTTTGATTGACTGTTGTCATTACTTTGGAATTATTTCGCCGACACTCAGTTCAAATGCGTTCTGTTATCTTAGTCCGTGTGAACATGTCTTGCCGGTTGTTTCCCAGATCTTCATTTCACAGCATCCCTGCTGTACTGTTGGGTTCAGCAACCCACGCTTTCGTCACGAAGTAGACCTTTTAGGTCAAGTTTCCAACAGAGGCGACATTAGAGGCAGATGGACCACACAAAAATGATTTCTTCCAGTTGGTTGTCCGAAGCAGTTTGAACCAGATCAAACTGTGCATTGGAAAAGGATTGGAACGGACTTTTCTATCTAACTCAATTTTAGTAACAACTACAGCTATTGACAAAAGAGATGCAAGCTCCATGATATGGATTACTGCCAGCTTTTATTCTCTATCGCTTTGAGCTCTTTGTCTCTTAGATAATTGACTGGTTTTTTACGGCTCAGCCCATTACAATTGATTTTGAAAAAGCAGGAAACGATTAAGCATAAATTGATTTGAAATACAGAAGGTAGACACACTTGAAATTTGAACTTGAAATACAATGTTACACTTCAACTCTTTAGCCAGGAATTTGCAACAATGGAAAGCGTGTTTTCTTTGTAACTTGTAACTCTCTTAAACCGAGCATGTCTTTGTTATTCTTGCCCGGCTGAGTATTTGATCCGGAGGCGTGTTGTGGTTGTAGTAATACTCTAATGTGTTGCGTTTCTATCTCGGATAAAAGAATTTCAAAAGATTGCCGGGTCATCGAGTTCACGATATCAAGACTAAAACAAACTAAAAATATCCCACTCAGACGACTTTGACGCTGGGATAATTACCCTTAATTTGAATTTTTTTTGTTAAAAATCCGAAACAACGCTCGAGGAAACGTGAATTTTAATATCAAATTAAGGTGGTTGTTTTGGGCAGTCTTGCGGAATATTTTGACGAGACACTAATTTAAAGGCTGTACTTGAATGATCGTAAAAATGAAAAGTTGAAGTCTTGATGTCGCTCTGCGCGCTAATCTCCTTTCCCACATAAGTTGGTATTACGGATTCTTCGTGAGATTACGAGATTTTTGCGTGCTGTATAGTTTATTCTGTTGAAGTAGGTGGAACGGGACCTGAAGACGGGGCACCGTTAACAAGTCTAGATCTTCGAAGCCATAGTGTCACTGTCCAGGGTTCGATCGACTTTTCACCGTTTGTTTGTTCCAGGATACTGGAAGTTCGCTTCTTTTTCATGGTATACATTTCGATTTGATCTTCCAATTCGATTATTCGATTCTCGAGTTCAGATTCCAAGTTTTCGTTTTCTTGAGCTCGTGCAATGGCGTGTTGCACTTTACTCTCTAAATGTTCCGTTTCAAGCTTCCGTGTTTCCCGTAGTTTTCTTGATTGCTCCAAGACTTCAACACGTTCTCTCAAAGCCGCTAATTCTTCCTGTAGTGATATTGCAGTGGTTTCCAATCGGATACAGCGTTCTCGAGACGCCTCCGTTTGCAAGCGCAATTCGTGTTCTCTGTTAGCGCACGCTTTACACTTCCTCTGAGCGATTTTAGTTCTCTCATTAATTGACGCAATCGTGGTATCGATTTCGCTGACATATTTACTGCTATGATTCTCCATCCTTAATTCAGCTCCTGTGCTGGTTATTTCTTCGAGGAATCTATTTAAGGCATCCCATTTTCTTTGTACACCATCGACGAGAGATTCGACTTTTTCTAGTTGCGACTCTTTTTTCGAAATTAACGCTTCCACTCTTGCCTTCGATCTCCTGGTGCTATCAAAGCTTTCTTGTACAAGTTGAAGACTTTCTTTCGCTTTTTCGGTCCTTTTTCCCGCCTCCTGTATCTTGCTTTTGAAAGTAGCTATTTTCTTACGGACCATGTCGGCACCTTTTCTGTCCAAGGCCATATTTTTCATCAACCCTTGTGACGCTGTTTATAAATGTTTATACTCACAGATATTGTTGTTACCACACTCCCAAGGGTAGTAAAATCGGTCTAAAGATTTCCTCCGAGGCTAAGCTATATTTGCGTGCTTTAAGGCACCTTCTTCCTTAAGGGACAACATATTGTGTCAGCTGCACTTTACTTCATTACCCTGCCAAAGGATTAGACAGTTAATGACATGGGTTGAGCTATCGAAACCTTTCCACTTGATAATTGTCATTTCCCGATGGCACGTGACTGATATGGAAAATAATCGTCTTGAAATTGATTTAGTTCGAGACCTACATCTATGCAACAAGGAGGAAAAACATGTTAAAATTAAAAAATTACCTTTGAAGGCTTATTGCTTCGTTTGAATCTGCAGTTTTTCCACTTTGTAGAAGCAAATATTGGATTTAAATGTCTTTGTGGGGGCCCAGGGTTATGGGAAACGGTCATCAGGTTGTGTTTGTGTACGTATAAGATTTCATTATCAACATCAGTGTATTTGGAGAGGAATCACTGAATGTTATCTCCTCGATTGCGTCTGAGAATGATTAAAATGCCAGACAACATGCGGTGCGAGTTGATCTGCGTGCTTTTTCAGCAGAACGCGCATAAGACTTGAACAGGTAGAGATAATCAGTAAGGGCCTATCCAGCCCAACGCAGTGGCTAAATTATGATGTGGCTTACTGTAGGTTCTGTGCCATGGCGCTACCCTTGTATCTCACTACTCTTGGTAAGCATGATAATGACTTTAGGATAGGTAGGGAAGGAGGAATTCAGGAATACCTCGATTAACCCTCCCCCCTTCCAACCACCACCCTACCCCCCCTCCCCCGCTTTTCCATTGCATTGAATGACTATTGTCCGATTCCCTGTGATAATCCTGCGAAGAAAAAAGGCACCAAAAGAGTCTTCGATAATAAGTGCTATTAATCATATGACGGAGGGTGCGTGTAAACGGTTGTATCAGAAACCTACGATGCTGGCATCGGACAGTAAGACCACTCTCGGTATCAATAATTTCTGCTCGTGATAGAATCGAGCGAAGATGAAGAATAAGAAGAAGGAGACGAAAAGACAGAAGGCTTAGTTTTGTTCCTTTTTTTTATCTTCTTAAATCAACCCGAGTAACTTGTTAACTTGTTAATGTGGGTAGCACGTTTTTGGGCGGTGATGATGGTGAAATGCGTTTCATTTATTTTCCAGCGTTGATGCCTCTCATGTCATCGAGTGTCTATCACGGCAG